GCTGAATTTTCCATGAATTATAGAAAATTTATCGCTTATTAACATATGTAAGATTTGGGATTGAGAAGAATTGGGAACAATCGCTATTTCTGATATAAGACGACAAGGTCATGATTCGAGGCGAAAGCAAACATTAGACATCTTCAAACTAAAGTGAAATTTTTAGCCACTTGCGCTAAGAAATACATATTATCCAACTGCACAAAGTAGAGTACAAATAACGCGCGAATAGAGTACAAAAATCTTGCGATATTGTACGGTTATTTGAACCAGAGTTGGTTATTTTACACTTGCCTTATTTAACAACTGCACAATTGTGAACAAACTTACAATCTCTCTTATTTCTATCTAAAAACATTACGCTAAATAAACATTACGCTATCGACATTGCTGATCCCAGCACAGGGGCGGATCCAGGAATTTCTGAAAGGGGGGGTTGTACACTACTGAAGTAACCTTGAACACCAATGGTGTGGAAGGCGAGTGACGGCCCCTGCCTCTGGCGCGATCACTTGAGTGGGTCGGGAGCCATACCCCTCCCCCCAAAACATAATGTTTACGATTTTTCCCTCTAAAATGCCATTAGCAGAATTCCTGAGACTTAAAAAGCGTTATAAAATCTGGAATTTACTTTATTTCTCATTCAGAAACCCAAAAATAATAATGCATGATTGAAAGGGACGGCAGTATCAACAATAGTTATTTGAACCTCAACGTACCTCAATCAAACAACGTAGCCTGAAATAGTCTTCTAGGGTGAGCTTTTACAACAGCCTCGCAGATCTCGTCTACTTCGAATCTCGCCGGGTAATGCATGGCGATCACCGCGAGATCTGAGAAGCGCTCTTCAGACATCATTGATCTGGTGCAGGTCTTGATCCGTTTCATGAGTGAAAAGGACCGCTCAGCTTCCGCACTACTGATTGGTAGGGTGCATGCAATTAGAAGAAGACGATGGATGTTTGGAAAAGTATCCTCGTCACACGCACCAAGTGCTAATAGAAGATTGTTTGGAAGTTCCTTCTCTGCTGACTGCCGCATAGTTTGTCATCGTCGCAGCTCATTTCCAAGGAATTTGGGAAATGGAAGGTCATTCTCCCAGAACAACATGCCTTTTGCTGCTTCAGATAGCTCCTGGGAGTTATTAACTATGATTGAGGGTACTAGATAAAGCAAGTGACGGGCGTGGCGATCCTCGCCAGAAAATCGGTCTTGCATTTGAATAATCAGGGAATCAAGAAGGGGAATAGCCACAGATTTTTTGTAATGGTCAATTGGAGTAGAACTGGGAATGTTTGAGCGATTCCTCTGTATGCTAGTCTTTCTGGGTACAGCTTCAACGATTTCTAGTTTCCCAGAAAGGTCTAACATTTCTTTGTACCAGACTTGAAAGTCAACGTCAATGTTTTTTCTAGCAGACTTGATGTTTCCAATTACTTCGTCAACCATCGTGTAAGCTTCAAAAATATCTTGATCTTGTTTCTGCAGCTTTGATGCAAGAGCTTTAACTTCATCAAGAATATTCTTGGTTGTAATGAAAACCACTACAGTCTGGAATGTCAACAAAGAGGCTTTCAGTCCCTGGGCTTTTGTGATAGTATCTTTGTCCCAATTCCAGCTTCCAGTAGACGATTTCAAATGTGGGTACTCGTGGGGGGAAATAACTGCATCTAGAAAGGTGACAAGGAGCTCATACATTTCCAGGAAAACATCTAGGCACGTGTGTCTTTCCACCCAGCGTGTCTTGCAAAGAACTGGAAGCTTGCTGCGAGAATTCTCAGGCAGGTATTCTTTCAGTGTCAACTCGAGCAGCTGCTGCCGCTTTGGGCTGTTATTTAAAAATAGATATGCCTCGTTAATCAGGCCTATCAAATTTCGCACTTCTGGCAGTTTGCATGTTGCTGCGATGGAGAGGTTCAGGCAGTGAGCATAGCAATGCGTGTAAAGAGCTAACGGACTGGTCTCTTTTATCTTCGCCTGCACTCCTTCCTTTCCACTTGACATAACGGAGGCTCCATCATATGCCTGACCACGGATGTTGCTAGGATCCAAAGAAATAAATGGGTCAGAGAGAGATTCCAATATCTTTCTTGAAATCATGGCGGCATTTGTTCGTTCCAAGTGCATGAAACTAATTAGGCATTCTTTGACATGAGGATCGTTTGGCGTTGACTGGTCCACAAACCTCAAGCATAAAGATAAGATTTCCTGGTTTGAGTGTGGATCTGTACACTCATCTGCTATAATCGTGAAAGGAAGGTCCTTGGTCCTTAGGTCTTTTGTCAGCCTTTCCTTAATTTTTGACGCATACACGTGAATGACATCATTCTGGATAGTTTTGCTAGTATATCTTGCTTGTCTGTTTGATGACAAGAGGTGCTTCTGAAGAGAGTCGTTTCCTTTCGCCAGTAATTGTAGCAGGGCAACAAAGTTTCCTCTGTTAATTTCATAACTAGAAAAATCAACACGATCATCACGATGACCTCTAAAGGCCAGACTCTGCTTTGCCAGAAACTCTACAGCCAAAACAATCTGTCGTAGAATTTCTTTGTTCTCAGTGGCTTGATTGGCTACGGACGTCGCCAGCTGGGAATCTACTCTACACCTGTCAGGATTCTCAAAAGTTTGTTTGAAGAGGTCTGCCTGTTCAGTTGCATATTTATGCATCACAGATTGCTCATGACAGTTGAGGATGCCATCCTTGCCAAGTGCCTTAGTGTACGATTTCTGGTATGGTGCTGTGACCAATACACCTGGTGTTGTTCCCTTGGTAACTTTGTGAGGGAATAAGATACAGTGACTACAAATACCACCTTCAAGTAAGTTACTGTAGCAAAGCCAGGGAAACTGTTTTAGCCATTTGGATTGAAAAGAAACTTTCCACGTCTTCTTTCCTTTGGTAACTTGATGAGAATGAAGTATATCGGACTCAGAAGGCTTCCAGTGAAACGTAAGGTATTGCATTCTTTTTTCATCTGTAATTTCCTTTGATAATCGCTTCAAAATACCCCACAAGCCTTCAGCAGCTTTCACAACAGTACCCAAATTGATATTTGTGCCTGTGGTTGAACCAGAAGTGGCAGCCACAGGACCTTTTGTAACTACATTTAAAATTTATAAAAACAACTATTTGTATACATTCATAACCCCTTATATGTTAGTCCCTTACCTACTTCAAATAACCTCAATAAAAATTGAACACACATACTTTTTATTTGACAAAATTTCAATTGACAATATTTGAAGTTGTCATACACACAAATTAAAAAAAAAATACCATAGCCTGCTGATACAAAATGTCTTGGTTAGACCTTCAGTAAATGTTATAATAAACTATTTTCTATAACACAACACTGTTATGCCACCGTGTTATATAACATATTTTTACTCTTAGCGGCAAACAAAACTAACGTCATATTCTTCCCCTAGAGCATAGATATGTTCTTTATCTTCAGAACTGCAAGATATTTCAAAAAACTGAAGGTGATTCAATTTTTGCAAAATCAGTCTTATGTCTTCCCTCGCAAGGCTTACACCAACCAGGCACAGAACATTCAATAAGCATAAAGAGGCAGTAATTGTTGCCACTTGATTGGCAGTGAATCCTACTCGGTTGAGCGATAATATTCTAAGATTTCTTAATAGCAGTACAACAACAGGTATCTATTTTTTGACAGTCATTAAGGATCAAGGTTTCAAGAGGAGAGGACTCAATCAATAGGAAATTAAGGGATGATATCGGTTGTCTACTTAAATCCAAATATCTCAAATGTTTAGAAAATTCTATACTATTTCCTAGTAATGCTTCCAGCCTCATTTCGGATGTTGTCATTTCGATATATCTTATGGATAAATATCTGAACCCACTGGAGTGTGACATGATGTTCATAAATTGTTCTTCACTTAAATATGTTATGTGCCACTCATCAAGAAGGAGGCAACTCTACAGAATGTTGTTATTGTTTACAATGTGCCTCGACCTTCGTGAGACCAGGCACAATGTTTTAAGCATTTCTTTAAGGGAGAAGTTTTTAAACACCTCGACCAATACCTCATCAGGCAAAGCTGTGTACAAAACGAAATTAATACTAGTCAGTTTTACTTGGAATTCTCCAGACTTCTTGCATCATTTGAATAAATACTTTTTTTCTCGGACTGGTCAATATAAGTTTAACATTCAGATAAATAAAAAAAAATTAGAATTTTCTACCTTCGATCCCGGACACTCCAGCTTGATCGTCTGGGTTGCTGAGTTTTGGCAGCTTGTTCGGAGGAGCAGAACAGCTTCTTTCTGTATTTATCATGACAGTTCATTTAGAGAAGTATTAATTAAGTCTTAATATCATGATAAATTTTAATGTATCTGCCTCGGTTTAATGACAATTTTATTTCTGCTTACCTTCGTTAATACCTTCATTATTACTCGCAGATTCTTCAGACCTTGATTCGTCAGTCGCTGAATCTGCAAAATGTTTATATTTGAAAGGAATGATTATCTCGCCAGCCAGTTGGCAAGATGGCGACGTGATGGAAAACGCATGCACTTTGTTTATAAATTACACGGTATGTCGAGGATGCTGGCTGTTGAAAACAGTTTTTGGTGTTATAGAATTAAATTAAACTACTTCTTTTGAAAAAGAACCACAAACTTACCTGATTTCTTTGCATAAAAGTCTGTTATTTTCTTCATTTTCCGTCAAACGTTGTACTCACTTCAACGATACTCAAGCATTCGGGTTGTCTCAATCCCCCTCGTTTACTTTTCAATGAATGTCACCTGTTCATGTCGCCTGTTTTAATATACCTGAACCTGATACGACCTTTGCGAAATGTACATTATCTTTTCATAACTTGACAAGCAGTCGAATGGTAAAAGTGAAATAACTTCGTAAAAACAATTTTATTCTATTATTTTTAGGAAGAATCAAGCAAAATAACAATAACAAAAAAAAGCTGCTCAAAGGGGGGGGTTGCAACCCCCTCAACCCCTCCCCTGGATCCGCCTCTGCAGCATTATGCAGGACGCGTGTCATATGAAATTCGTAATCAGGACCTCGCTCACCGTGGAGTCTCTATGGCTAAGTGGTAGAGCATCGGAGCGCGGAATCCGAAGGTCTGAGGTTCGATTCCTTTTGTCCCACGCTCGTGACAAGACGAAAAACATCTTTCCCTGTGCCATTGTTCTTGGTTCACAGCCTTCAGCTCCTCAAGACCTGTCACCAACTGCTTCTCTGTTTGCTTCGCTTTTCCCGCCTCATAGGAAGTGCATAAGGAATAAACCAGTTGGATAATAAATAACTTAATAAACGTTTTGGTGCGTAGTATCGCGGAGTATTTTTACTCGAGTCAAAACACGGTACAACACGTAAAAATAGCCAGCGGGGGTATACACCAAAACGTCCAATAAGATATATCCTGCGATATTCTACGGTTATTCGGACAGTTGTTTATTTTGTGCATAAAATAAATCAGTTGAATAATAAATAACTTATTAGACGTTTTGGTGTGTAGTATCGCTAAGTATTTTTATGAGTTGTGCCGTATTTTGACGAGAAAGAAGTCTGTTCAGCAAGACAAGAAGAAGACGAGAAGAAACCATCAGAGTCTACTAAAGATGCCTGTGAAGACAGCTCCTGTGGTCGGAATCGACCTTGGAACAACTTACTCCTTACTTAGTTGGAGTCTTTCAACATGGTAGAGTTGAGGTAATCGCAAACGATCAGAGCAATCGTACAACCCTCATTTATGTCGCCTTTACTGAACAGAACTCGGCGATGCCGCCAAGATACAAGCAATGTTAAACCCAAGCAACGGGCTATATTTGATGCCAACGAAGAGGTTCATTGGTTGGAAACATGATGATACTGTGGTTCAGTCGGACATGAAGAGTTGGTCTTTCCAAGTGATCAACGACAGCGGGGAAGAAATGCGGAATTTCTTTGGATCTTAGTGGATCGGAAAATAATGAAATTAACATCGAAGGAGATGCCATCAGCTGATGAAGTCCTTGAAGATAATGAAGAGTTTCATCTTACGAAGTTGTATAAGCCCAGGGCTTATAACCGGAATTTTACGGTATCTTAAATCCCATATGTTTTTCCTTCAAAACTTCAGTATCTGCTGGCGTCAGATGATTACTTAATGACTCTGGCTATTTGCATATGACAGCTAACGTGAAAGGAAAATACAACCATGGTTCCTTATTGCTGCCATAAGTAATGGTTTCTTAGGGTGATCATTCAATAAACTTGCGACCCTAGTACTTTTACCGCGAATTTACGGAGTGTAAAAGAACATAAGCCCATGTTCTGCTGTTTAATGTTTTTCCAAAACAGGAGGGGATCGATGATAACGAAAATATTTTGAAATGGCGGAAAAGGTTCGCCATTCGTCGCTGCCCTGGTCGTCCCGTTGTCTCATACTTCCGTGATCCACGAAACCTCAAAGTTAGGAAAGTTGTTTCCTTTCATCATTTCCGGAACAAAGTGAGAGGAAGCAAAAATGTTTCTAGTCTTGGTTGTGAAGCCGTATGCTTGGCGAAATAATGGCAAAGGATGATGCATAAATAGATCAAGGAATTTTACGTGGTCACTGACTTCACAGGGAGCCAACTGAATAAAACTCGTCACCAGGGCACTTGTCTTACTCCTCTCCAGGTTTGAATCTCAGGGAACCGTTCCTTGGAAACGATTGAGCCAGTGCATGTATTTAAGTTTTATGACGTCCCATAAAGTAAGGACTCTATGAATTTATTTATTCATCAATTGTTTGTCGATTTATTATTGGATCCTAATTTCTTAATTGTTTTTAAGGCGCGGTCTCTAAGGTTGGTTATCTTTTAAATGTTTTTTGTTTCTTTGTTTTGCTACAGGCGTCTCACACGTCTCGAGAAAAAGCAAAAGATTAATTCAAGAAAGCGTCACGCGTTGTGTATTCTACAAGACGGAATGGACAACAGTTGAAATCGTAGTGTGCAACCTTGACTCCGTCATATAACAGGAATAACAATGATGGCAAAGCAGGCCCAAAACGGCAGAGAACACCAGAAACCACACCGGATACACAAGGAGTGTGTAAGTTTTATTAATCTTACCCGTAAAATGTTCATATTTCAGAATATTTAGCGTTGTAAACCGACTATATTATTATTTCTTATAACGCATTCAAATTCTCAACGGTTCCTCGCGTAACTTGACATGCGTCACAGCGCGTGACGCGGTATAAATAAAGACTAATACAAAGCTCAAATGTAACCATCGTTTAAGAGCTTTGCTTGGATTAGCTATAGAACTGATATTGGTCTCCAGCTCTAAATGAAAAAGTAAAAAAGTAGATAGATTATTTACTGAAAGATGTTTGTCCTTTCCAACACGATTCCCAGAGTAACTCGCTCCGAGGAACAAAAAATATTATAGTAATGACTGTGTGAACCATAAACATCAACCAACTTCCACCGAGAGAGTATAAAAAAAAGGAAAAGAAACGATACCGCGGAGTGTCTTGTAATCATTAATGATATTAAGCAAGACGATGATGGATGATCAACCCCCTAGTGAACCCCCTAAAGGGTGAGTTATCAAGACTGGTAGACAAAAAAAATTTAAAGGAACGTGCAATGTGAAACGTGTCGTAAGACCACACGCAATAAGGTACCATTAAGGCGAAACACAAGGTTTACCCAGGAAAAAAGATGCAGGATGTTTTTTCCTTTATCGAAATTGATGTGGTGAGCAAAAGATTCCGTGTTGACATGACGTGTTTCACAGTCCCGTGACTTGTACGACAAATGACATCAGATGACGTGCAGGAAATGTGGGCGGGACAAGGGCGAGGGGTTGAGTAATGTCACTTTCAAGATTTGGATACACAAGTAAATTTACTTTCGTTAGGGGCCTATTATCTTAAAATATAATCCGCTGGGATTTCTTGTCGGTCGCGACAAATGATTCCAAACAGACTCATCGAACGTTTACAAGTTTCATTTGCTATCATGTCCGGTGCAGAAAGCGAAGTATTCATTTGTTTAATCACGGATTAAATTCATTGCTCGATTTCTTTCTCTTTTAACTCATTGTCCGGTCTTCACGTAAAGACGTTCGATTTACATGACCCTCTGACAACTAGCGTGACGTACAAGTACGTGTTACACGATCGCTGTTGAGCACAGATGTAAACCAATCAAAATGCATGTTCTAATCGAGCCACCTCCAGTCCTCCCAATGACCTTTGGACTAGTTTCTACAGAAAGCTTTTCAGTGGACAAGCGTTCCCTTGGAAAATTACCGGCAAGCACGTTAGAATAATTGTAGCGTAACCTGTATGTATTTATTTCTGATCAAAGTCGAAGATGTCATTTACATCAGCTATCTCACGGTAGGCAACACCTCTTGTTAAACTCATGTTTTGAAAATATTTTGTTGAGCTTCAGTAACTGGCAATGTCACGTCGTTCTTTTGCTGTTCCTGAAATTTATCTCTGAAACTTATTTTCGTCACCATTCTACTTATTTGTTTTTGGCAGAATTTCGTCGATAGCTGTTCTGCCGTCAGTTCGTTTTACATTACGTTATCGCATCGCCCTTCGAAGGATGGTTTCACAGCTTCCAGCCGGTTGTTCGGTGATTCGAGGACAGTTTGACTCTCTACCCACTAAAGTACAGGAATACGTGGCTGACAAAGCTGAACTCTGCCAACCGGACAACATTTACATTTGCGATGGGTCCAAGGAAGAGAACGAATCATTAATAAACGAGTTGATCGAAAGTGGTGTGTTGACTAAACTTCATAAATATGACAACTGGTATGTTCAAGTAGTTTAAGCCAAATTTGCTGTTGATTTGACAATCGAATATACCTAAAACTTGGATTTTTTGCAAGCAATGATTCATACTAGGGAATCAAGAAGAGGGAACTTGACAGTAGTAAATTTCAGTTTATAGTCCACTGACTGTAGTTTTTGTGTTTCACAGTTTCTTAGCCCGCACTGATCCACGCGATGTGGCACGAGTGGAATCTAAAACGTACATCTGTACAGAGGACAAAGGAGAATCCATCCCAACAGCAAAGGATGGAGTTGAAGGCCGGCTGGGTAAATGGATGAGCGTAAAGGATATGAACAAGGAGTTGAGTAAAAGATTTCCTGGTTGTATGAAAGGTGAGGACATATCTTAAAGAAGAATCAAGCACGATTGCCAACCTCGTGCGGAAACTAGGATTTGTTTAGACCAAAGTTTGTTGAGAAAAAAAAATCCTTTTGCTTATAACGTGTCTTTTGGCATCAAAATGAAGCTTCCCTACCTTTTTACTGCAAGATTTCGTTAAAATTGTCCTGTCATCCTGGTCTCTTACGATATTGTCTATCGTGCGTTGTGATTGGTTGTTGCGGGAGGTGTGGTAAGGGGTATGCCACGTAAATAGGATATTGTCCATTTCAACTAAGTTTCAAAGGTCATCTTGGTCTTTTTGAAATTCAATGAGAGTGCATTTGTTTTGTTTTAAAAACAAGTCTTGGTTGCTTTGGTTAACTTTCACATTTTTGTTTTCCCCTTTATTTTTATAAAAATCCCTGACCTGAAAATAGTGTTTTTTGCAACCGTGAAAATCAAAATACTTATTGCTTTAAAAACAATCCAAAGCAGAAAGGTGAAGCTAGCAAGGATGTTTTCTTCCCCTAGGTGATTAATGATAGTCAGCTTTATTTAAGTCTATTTCGGTGAAACAGCTAAGTTGGGCTAGAAACATCTATATCTTCTAACAGCTCAGTCATTATAAAATATGAATACTGGTGCTAAACAGGTCCTTATCACATTGCTTGTGCCAAGTTTAAATTAATAGAATTTTAGTGAAGATTGGAAACTTCATGCTTCACTAAAGAGGAAAGTAATTTGAATATTCCATGTTGGAGGCAGTTTTATGTAAAATTTACATTTATCTGTTTCACATTTATCTATTTTCAGCCTCAACTCCAATGTAATTTTCAATAAAATGTTTTTTTAGTCTGAATATACATGATTGCTAATCCCAAGGGGTTGTTATCAGAGATTTCATTATACTGGAAGAACCTTTGAACCTGTTACATTCCTGTTGTGCATTCCATCTGTTATGGAGATCTCTTCTTTCTGAATTTCTTATTTGTTAATTTGTTTGTAGTTTTAATGTGCACAGTTTGGACAAAAGTACTCAGGACTGATAAATCTTGCAGACTTTTTCTTTGGTCAAGGGAGGGTTGAATGTGGCTATGCAAACCCACTTACCCATGTTACATTTGACCAATTCTGTTAATCCCAAACTATTTTCATTCTTATCCAGATCAGCCTTACTTCTTATTAGAAATCTTTGTGGTATGAATTTGCTGCTTGTAATATCATGTTTGTATATTGTGCTTTTGTTTCAATGTATCAAGATTTTACCAGACAGAAGACTTAATTCTTGATGTTGTTTGAGAAGCTAGTTAACAAAATTAATTTTTTGAAAAAATAAAGCTAACAAATAACCACTATATTCTGAAAATAATAGCAATCAATAAACCAGGTCAAACTTTTAAGCAGAAAATATGCCAATCGGCAAACCTTTTCATTCCCTTACTTAACAGTTTTCTATCAAAATACAGAAATGGGTGTGTTATCACAAGCCTGAGAGAAAATTGTTTGTTATTTAATGAGAAGTTGACATTGAAGAACCATTGGCAGTAGCCAATAGCTGTTGAACTTTGAACAAGATGATTGATGAATAGTAATGTCAGGTTTTTCAAGTTATGCACTCTTAAGTTTTTAAGTGTGTGAATGACCTTTGAAATGCTCAGGTTAGAATAACAACTGTGTTTCTGCTGTTCAGTAATAGATCACAGATTGGTTACTGATATTTTAGCCACAGTTTCTGAGTACAATTCAGCTTAACATACAAACTGAACTCCTCAACAAGAAAGGATGGAGTCCAACATCTTCAAATTCAAATTTCTCTTTGAGAAACTTAAAGCATTTTCTTGATGCAAATTTCTCTTTGAGAAGCCCAAAAAAACTCCTTGATGCAGGGATTGAGATTCAACCCTTTAACTCCCAGATCAAATTTGTTATTTTCCTGTCAACCATATAACTTTTATGATGTTAATAGTTAATAGTTATCACTTATCTGCTCGATATTGTACTGATATTGTAAGGAGAAATTCTGTGGTAGTCATTCACGGAGTTAAAGGGTTAACCACATTTTCCAGATGTTGATTTGCCTCCCATATGGTGGTAATTAACTGATATTCACTTTTTGGAAATGAAAGAATTGCATACAAGCTTCACTTCAGAGATGGACATATGTTTTTTCCAGGCCGTACCATGTATGTCATGCCATTCAGTATGGGTCCAGTTGGGTCTCCTGTGTCTAAGATTGGTATCCAAGTCACAGACTCTCCTTATGTGGTCTGTTCCATGCGCATCATGACTAGGATGGGTGCAGAGGTTATGAAAGTTCTGGGAAACAATGGCTTTGTGAAGTGTCTACACTCAGTTGGTTTGCCTAAACCTGAACCACCATCCCAGTTCAAGTGGCCTTGTAATCCAGATAGAACCATTATCTCTCACTTTCCTCATGATCGTGAAATCAAATCATTTGGAAGCGGTTATGGAGGAAATTCTCTGTTGGGAAAGAAATGCTTTGCTCTACGGATTGCCAGCACAATTGGTCGTGACGAAGGATGGTTGGCAGAACACATGCTGGTATGATGTATAACCTTGTAAACTGAGAAATAATAGTACTAGACAGTTTTAACACCTACAGAAACCAGGGTGTGTCAAGTTAAGAAGTAAAACTATTATGGGAGCTAAGTGATGATTTTTTATCTGATTTTTGAAAAAATTAATATGCCTGATTGGTCAATAACCTTAATGCTTGGGGCACAAGAGTCATACCTAAAGATCCAAAGCATCTATCTTGCCGCAGCTCACACCAGCTTACCCTTCTTCATTCCTTCACTTTTCCCAAAATTCTGGCTTTTTTCAGAATGAAAGTTATACATTTTGGTTAAGAGGCATAACATATTGATGAAAATGAAAAAAATTAAAGCAACTAAAAGCTATTGTGCTGTTTCTCTATCCAGGTTGTTGCTCTCACAAACCCCCAGGGTGAAAAGAAATACATTGCTGCAGCCTTCCCAAGTGCCTGTGGAAAGACCAATTTGGCCATGATGACACCAACATTGCCAGGTTGGAAGGTTGAATGCATTGGGGATGACATTGCCTGGATGTGGTTTGATGAGGAAGGTCAACTGAGAGCTATTAATCCTGAATTTGGCTTCTTTGGAGTTGCACCAGGAACATCGAACAAGACCAACCCAGTTGCTATGGATACATGCAAAAAGGGAACATTGTTCACGAATGTTGCACAAACAGGCGATGGTGACTTTTATTGGGAAGGTATAAGCCATGATATGTATTTGAAAATGAAAACATAGAATTAGTGAGATTAAGGTTTAATTTACAGAATAATCTCATTATTGTGTTAAGTATCTTACAGTGATTTTCAGATCTAATATGGAGCACTCATCATTTGAAGAGATTTTTAACTTATATTTCCAGGCAAATGGTTAATTAAGTACAAAAGCTTTTCCAGTCTGATCTAATTTTTAGTATTCATCATCTTATAGTATCCCTGGAGGCTAAATTGTCAGATGAAAATCAAGTTCATCTGAATCATCATGAATGGCAGCATTCTTAATCTAGTGTCTTTGTTTTGAAGGTTTGCCGCTACCAGATGCAGATGTAACTACTTGGCTTGGAGAGAAAAATTGGAAGCCTGGAAAAACTAAGGCAGCACATCCTAACTCCAGATTCTGTGCACCAATAAGCAATTGTCCAATCATGGACAAAGACTGGGAAAATCCCAAGGGTGTTCCCATCAGTGCTATACTATTTGGTGGCCGACGCCCAAGAGGAGTTCCTCTGGTGTATGAAGCCTTTAATTGGCAGCATGGGGTTTTCATTGCTTCATCCATGTCCTCTGAAGCCACCGCTGCTGCTGAACATCAGGGAAAAAATATCATGAGAGATCCTTTTGCTATGAGGCCTTTCTTTGGGTACAATTTTGGCAAGTACATGGAGCACTGGTTAAGTATGGGAAACAATCCAAATCACAAGTTACCAAGAATTTTTCATGTAAACTGGTTCCGCCTTGATGAAAATAACAAGTTTTTGTGGCCAGGTAAGACTTGAAGGAGTTACTAATAATAAAAACATTTCAACACAATTTTTTTCTTGTTCAAGGATGCACTGCAAATCAAATTGCTAAATTTTGGACTTTTTGTTCAGAAAACAGTTATTTATTTGATAAGAGTGTCTTTCTTTATGAGGGGTACTTATAGTTTTTATTAGTTAAAAGTTGATCCTTTCAATGTAATTTGCAGGCCATTGGAATGCTTGGAATGCTACCTACAAAATGCTGTATAATTATTATCAAGGCTGTGCTCTAGCGGCGCCCGGTCGCCTCAGGCGACTAACATTTGGTCTCGGGCGACTGAAAAAGAAAAGCGGTCGCCCGTCCGGGCGCATAGATTTCGGCTTGTATGAAAACTCGAAACGAAACCAGCAAACGTATAGAAACGGAACGGAACAGAACGAAACAAAAAGAAACTCCATCGTGCTCCCCGGCTCCCGCTAGCCCAAAAAGCAGTTTCAACAGAGGAGCGCGTGATTAATAAAACGAAACCGTCCTTGATGCAAATTTGTGTTTATTTAATTAGCTTCGTCCATGGCATGCAAGATGTTTATCAGCACCATATTTGGCGACTTGCTCTCAATTGTGATCATTCGATCAAAATTTGACGAAAATGAAACTTTAATATAAGAACACTTTTGTTTCGAAACCTATTTTAGTGATCTTCAAAGAAATTTTCTTAGCGGTTTTAACATGTATGTGGTTAATTTATAACAGGATTTCATGATATCACAAGTTCGCCAAAATAGAGTACGTGACTGCTAAATATAGTAACTCGCTTCGCCGCCCGTGCCCGGTGAAGTGAATATTGAACGAGAGAGATTAAAGATGAAACTGTTTGGCAATTCTGCGGATTCCCTGGAACTGTAAGAAGTATACAACGCTACTCTTTCAAAACGTCACGGATTAGTAGAGATTGTCATTCAACAATGGTTTCCTCGGCCGGAAGTCGCACAAACTTGCAATCAAGTTTTAATTAAACATCCTATCAATGGTTTTGTCTACTTTCTGAAAATTTTAACTTTCTTGCAAATAGTAAGTTGCAATGACGAAGGCTTTCCGATTCACTGTAACTTTCTCTAATGAGAGCTAGATAAACTTTGAAGTCCATCCATGAATCAAAATCTTTGAATAAGGATTTTTTTATTGTTAATTGTTAACTGATTCAACTGTAAAATGGATTATTAATTAATTAATCAATTCGGGCGACCAACCTGGAAGGCTGGGCGACCTACTTGTCATGGTTAGGCGCCCAAAGGGCGCCCTGAAAATTTTCCTAGAGCACAGCCTTGATTATTAAGCTGCTTTTGGAATATTTTGTGTTTTTTTTTATTCTGTGCTTTTAAGCTAATTACTCAACTTGTTTGTCAACTTTTTCCAAGGATTTGGAGAGAACAGTCGTGTGCTAGAGTGGGTGCTGCGACGTTGTGATGGAGAGGACATTGCTGAGCCTAGCCCAATTGGCTTCATACCCAAGAATGATTCAATTAATGCTGAAGGTCTTGGAGAACTGAATATGAAGGAGCTGTTCAGTATTCCCAAGAACTATTGGTTGGAAGAGTGCTGCTCCCTGCGACAATACTATGAAGAGCAGCTAGGGGATGACTTACCAAATGCTGTTAGAGATGAGCTAAATGCTCTTGAAGAAAGGCTTAAGCAGTAATCAATAGTTCCACATAATTACATACTGTTAGCTACATTTGTTTTATTTATACCACTCTTACATCAATTGATTGGCTGTATGCGGTAAAGGAAATTGATTTACTGAGCTACTAGTAATTTAACTATAAGTACAAACTCATATCAGTACCAATTAGTGCAGGTAAAAAAATTGGACAAGTAGTGAGTTTTTTAGTAGTTAGAATGATGATCTAATAAAGAGAGGCTACCTTTATTTTTAAAGTTAGCTTGTGAAGACTAACAATAACAAGTACTTATTTATTATTTGAACAAATTGAAAGACAAAATTTGAATGGCTAAATGCCAGTGTAAACATTTTCTGTAGGGTAGTTAGGTAGTATAGTCAAACATGCATTGTTAAATGATCATTTGAATAATGATAACTCCCAGTAGAAAAATGATCTTTTTCACTGATTTCAATTTGTTATTTTTTCCTATTTGCCTTCAATTTGTTGAGTAACAGACATATCTCATTATATGTCTAAGTAATGAGGTTCAGTTCCCCAAGTTAAGTCACTAACTTAATGAGATCCAATAGGTCACATTTAGAGTGATAAGGTAACCTATCAAATAAATATGTTGCTGACATTTTATTACATAGGAAGGTGTTAAAAATGTTTTGTGGCATTACTACATGTATTAACAAGTTGTATTTTTTTTTGTCTCAGTAATGGAATGTTATTTAGGTTGGTCTTGATTTGGCCATTTTTTTTTTGTCAATGGCTCATTTGCTAGCAGGTTACTAGAGGAGTAATTGTTACAAATAGGAGTCATAAATCTTGCAACCCTTGCTGGTTAAGGAATGTGGCATTGCTATTTCGGGACAAAAGTATCTCAATGTTGTTTTCCTTCTGACACAGAAAGCACATATTGTGTCAAATGAACATGCTTATTCAAAGAGTTAAAATCAAGGCTGAACTGGTTTAAGTGAGTTTCATCCCCAGACATGTTAATTTGTGGATCAAAGTTGTGACAAAGTGAGATATCAAGTTTACACCTATCTCCATTGGAAAAATAGTGGATGGTGCTCTTTTGTGGGATAACTGATTTTGCTCCAAGCAGTATAATTTGTTTTGCTGGCACTCATTCAGTAGATAGTTAGTGTGTTTCCTATAGTGTTTTCATAACCGAGGCCTAAATGAAATCAAATCAAGATTTTGCCCAAAGGGCTAAATTCTCAATTCTCACTTCTTTGTCAAGTCTGGGAGAGGGAAAGAGATGTTTCAAATGTAAAAATGCTGTAGTTTGTGAACAGTCTTTGGATTGGGCTATGAAATAATTTCAGCTAAACTTCTATTTGTACATCCCTTATAGACAATCACAACTAGCTAGGTTATGGAAGTGTAATTTTTTAACTTATCAAATAAACTACATTTGGTTTAGAATTAAAAGTTGACCAAGTCTCTTGATGTTGTAACAAACACCATTAAAGGAAAAGTATGCTCTTAAAACTATCTGATCTTTTAAATGCATAGAGAATAGTCCCAAGAATATTGATGATGATGTGAGGGTGTTGAGGGTTAAAAGTATATTTAAAAAGGACTGTTATGTTTGAGGATCCAGAGTAACCGAACCATTTGAAACTTGTAGAAAAGTGAACATAAAATTCAACTTGAGACCCTTCCATTAGCTGTTCATCTATGACATAAGAGTCTTGCTCGTTAGATTTCTAAGTGATCTGTTAGCATAGTTCAAAGCAATACAAAAAGGTATTTGTTCCTTGAGTAGTAATTTTTTGTGATAACTAGAGATACTATTTTGACCTACCATTTGATGAGTTTGTGGCCTGGTTATTAAGTTACATTCTCACATCTATTTTTAGCACTAAGCACTGAAGACAATTTTGAATGGCTTAATTACTCTACAATATCACAAAATACACAACAGAGTACACTGTTAGATAAACTCTTAAATGATAGGATAAAAATTGTATGGTTTCTAGAACATGCCTGTTCCTTTTCCTTGAATCCTCCTAGTCAAGATTTTTTATTCATGATTATCGGTACAGTATATTAATGTGGTGTGGACCCCAATGAAGGCTCCTGTTTTCCCTTCATTCAATTCCCTTTGATTCAGGTCAAGTTTGTTTACCAGAGCAATGTTTTCAATTATACAACTTTACCATTAAACCATGAGAGAATACCTGTGAGAGCATTTTCTCAATTCTTGTTGCCTATTGTAATTATAAAGTGGGAAGCGATTAATAGAAAATTACTGCATGAAGAAGTCCAAACTTTTAATTTGCAAATGATTCATAAAATTGGTCATGTCCTGCCAACCTAGGGCTAGACATCAAAGTTCCCCTAAGACTTCCTAAACATGGTTCGTACTTCCTAAAAGAATGGTTTTTCACCATTTCCGATTTTCCATGACCCAATTGTTCAAATTATTTTTCTCAATATATACTTACAGTACCATCAATTCGTTTTTTCCTTGCATGTTAACCAAATTGTAGAAAAGAAGAAGATGCTAAGACCAGTTAAATTCATACGTATAACACGGAATCTTTATTTCCGTGCAACAAAATGACACAAGTGCAACAACACGACGTAAACAGATACTTTTTACTAAACTTTACAGTCCAGAACTATATCTTTTAAATTTCCTAAGATAAACTTTACAGTCCAGAACTATATCTTTTAAAATTTCCTTATAAAACTGTACAGTCCAGAACTATATCTATTAAAATTTCCTAACAAAATCTATACAATGCAGACTTAATTTCCTAACAAAATCTGTACAATCCAGAACTATATCTTTTAAAATTTCGTAACAAAAACTGTATAATCCAGACTTAATTTCCTAACAAAACCTGTACAGCCCAGAACTATAAAATCTTAATTTCCTTACAATACAGTCATTGTTTCAGTGTTCACAATTGCAGTATGAGGTTTCAGTTTTCATCTACAATATAGAAAAATATATGAGTGCATCCTTGTATGAACAAATCTATTTGTTTTAACACTTCTTTCACTTAACATTAAATAAGTAAAAACTTTGACATAATTTGCTGCTACGTTGCACCGAAGAACAACAAAGTAAAAAAAGACATAATGAAGAACACAAGGCAGATGACAAATTCTTTTTTTTCTGTTTGATTATTTTGCCGATTCTTATTACACCACAGCACTTAAATCTATGTTATACAATCATTTAATGTGAAATTTGTGCAAAATACTGTATAAAATGAACTACATTACCCTAAGGATAAAATTAAGGATTCATAACTGAATTGATTTTGCACAAATTAATGTAATAATATTTATAACAATATAAGACAACAGTATGCTTCTGGGAAATTAAGAATACTTTTGGTCAAGTCTAAATTATTACAGCTTAGCTACATTAAGAAAAAATGATGTCACTGTTCTCGTCAGCAATATAGCCTCAGAACTAACAATCAGCAAAAGATTCAATTTTTTTTGCATCATTCCATAGTGTCTCCATAGCATGAAAAAAAAAATCAATAGCAGTTCACCAACAACAAAATGCACTTTAACCAACACTGTCTCTCTTCACCCTTACCTCAAACATTATAACTATATTTAAAAAGTTACTCTTACAGCTACATTAAGTAGCAGATTACACATAAAATGTCATTATTCTTTTCATCAACCAACAAATAGTCTTTTTACAATTTAAACATTCAATGTAAATGAAACAGAAGATGAGCACATCTGAAACTGATTTTTTTTCAAAATAACTTTAAAAAAATGCTAGTTTAATTAGTTGGTGAAACATCAATTAAGAATTAAAATTCACCTTAAAGTATCGTATTAAGCTGATGAGTTTACACATACAATAAGTGTATTGGAAAAAAAAATGAACATTTTGGACAATAAAAATTTGTTTACTGACTCTTGTAAAAAATACAAATTAATGTTGTTGAGGGAAATTTGGAAAATTACAAATCTTTTGGAAAATGTTCCTTTTTGGCATATGTGTATCTTGTAGTTCATGTTCATTCACTGAAATGTGACTTTCTCTTATTTTCAAACTCATGAATATCAATTCAGTGTATGTCATTATAAAAACAAAATATAACCATTAAAATCAAAGCAGAACTCATACCCAAGTAAAGAATACTTTGGGGTTGAAAATAATAAGGGTTTCCACATTGTTACTGCAACTTTCCAACCACATATGAAATCAAAGCTCTACATGCTGTATCTTTCAGTACACACTGTCATCATTTAGCCCTGTCATATAGAGATGTCTTAAAAAGTATCTTAAAATCTGTAAAAATGAGTTGGAATCAGGTTCAAAAAGGACATTATTAAAAAAATTATCATGTAAGTTACAAGAGAAATAACCATGAAAAGCACTCAAAAAAAAATTACACATCACTTCAATGAAGAAGAGGAAAAACTAGCCATGAGTGAAGTATCTGTAAGCCAAGTATGCCACTGTACATCCTAATAGGATTCCCCCTGATACCATCAATCTGAAGTTCCATACTTTTGTATCTTCACTTTGTTTGACATTCTTCTTTATTTTATCAATCATATCAGATGTCTTTTTCCTGCGTTCTTCCCTTCGCTTACGTACTTCCATACCACTATGAACAAAAAAATGCAGTATGTTGTTGACGCTGTTCTAAAGAATGTTATTAGCACAAGTTTGCTGGCTGTTTTCACATAAGCTCCATGGTGACTTGATTTTTTATTCTGCCGTCCATGTGGACTTTCTCCATTCCTAATCATAACCATTACAATTTCCTCAAATGTGATTAGTGCATTAGCTGCTTTATTCTTCACTTATCATTCTGTACAGTCGTAATTGGACATTTGGCTGTAATTGGATGCCTGTAATTGGACAGTTGAAGCAGCCAATCATACTAAGTCCACTCAGCTAAATCCACTAATCACTGTATTGATCACAATGATCATAGCAAGAATCACATATCCTGAAAAAAAAACCTGGGAAATTTCCAAAATTGAGGGATTTTTTTCTTTAGACATTGTCTCTACTGCAGATGTTTGTCCTTAATGTATTTGTGTTTTTGGAAATTTTAACGGTTATGATTAATTGGTATTAGGATGAAGTGGAGTCCAATTTGGTCTCTAATCATATTAATGGTTAACATTCAGTTTGTAATTCACATCCACACATCTCCATGCGCATTCATTAAAAGGTTCCAGCCACTATCTCTATCCCATCTTCGGTAGGTTTACTCCTTTTCTTTTTTTTTTTCACTGTCCAGTAGAATTGTTTATTCTCAGTGCTCTTTGCTAATATTGTATGATCATTTATACCTCTCATTCTCCTTTACTTGGCCTTTACTTGTTGATTGCAACCCTTCATCTACTGTTTTGAGACCTCCAGTGGTAACTTCACATCCCTGGTTTGAAGGTTTGCAGCCATCTCTTGGGTTTAGACAGTAGTCTTTGGCATTGCAACTTCCCTCATCCGACAGGTGAAGAACCCCTTCATCTAATGGTTGAGGGTCTTCCTTGTCTCTTGTATGGACAGTACCTTCCTTGGTATGTTGATCCTCTACAGCAGTTGATTGAGGCACATCTTTCAGTTTAGACCCCTCATCTGTTATTTGAAGACCCTCCTCCTCTGATTGTTCTAGTGTATCATCTTTTATGAGTAACTCAGCATGCACAGGGGATAGTTTGTTTCGTTCCTAAGAGAGAATAAGAAAAACAAAGATCACTTAAACTCAAGCAATTGTACAGCAGGATCCTCATTTAAGTAGCTAATGCATGCAAAAAATTCACAAGAAAACAAACAAAAGAATTAGTTTCACCAGAAACCAAATATTAACCTTTAAGTTGTAATTTTGTTGTGTTTCATCATCTTTTGAATCATCTAGTAAGCTTTCCCTTATTTGAACAGTGTCATCATCAGTCTCTGATTCTGACAAGGAAGACAGGTTGATGACTTCATCTGACCCATCACTACCACTGTCTGAAAAAACCTCTTCTACCTCTGATTTTGGCTCTGTCATGTAGGTAACTGAATTCAGACAAGTGACAAACAAATAAATGTCTAGAAAGTTTGCTTAGGTTAAATATGAGCTATTTACAAGACAAAAATATACTTATAAAGTAAAAACCAAACATTTTTGACATGAGGTCATCATCAAAAATAAATAAATAAACAAATTAATAAAATGATGACCTAGTGTTAAAAATGTTTGGTTTTTACTTTTAAATTAATTTTGCCTTGCAAATACCACAAACAAATAAATAACTAAAAAAATAGATGTACAAAAAATCAAAAGAAGACCTGGTATTCTGTATAATAATCAATATTGAAGTTTTCTTACAGATTAGAGGATGCATTCTCTTAGTCACTAAACATTATTCCAAATGTATTCCTCTCATTTGCTCCCCTAATTCATGTTTCAGTGCAGACCTTTCTAGTAGTAATCTATCCACTGATTATAGAATACATTCCCTGTAACCTCTTACTCCTTATCTTAATATTATTTCATTAGGGTGTACTGTTAGTAACATACCAGGTTCACCTATACGACTCTTCTTATTCTCTGGTTCATCAGTAGTCTCAGCATGCCTTCGTCGTGGTGGTAGTGGAGGTGGTGTCTCCTCTTTCTCCCCCTCCTGATGGCTTGTATCATCTCTTTTACTTGTAACTACTTCATCATCCTGGTCATCACCTTTCAGAGAAATAAAGGAGACTGTCATAAAACATTTTGCAGAAACATTTTTGAAATTTTAAATTTTGGCTTAATGAACCAGTAGTCAAAAATGCAGGTAACATTTCATTGGTGGATGGGTAAACAGTCAAACTTGAATGGGAACATAAATTAAGAGCCACTGACCGAAAATATCAAGAATTCGATGACAGTTGCAAAATTTCATAATTAATTTTATTTTTCCTAAAGGAACCTTTTGATGAACCTTTTTCAAAAATTATATCAAAAAATTCTATTTTACTTTGCTTTCTCTGAAAAACCGAAAAGTTCAAATGGTCATTGTCACTTCGTATGCCACAACACAATGTAATCCTGCCTTTAAATTTTGTGTGCTAGCAGATGATTCCTTTATCTTGTCGAAAATGTGGATTTGTTATGTTGTTGCAAATAAGTCTGCATAATGAGCCATAGAAATAATGTTCTTTATGTCTATTTCAGTGGTAAAATAGAGGTCAACTTCAATAGCCTATAAGAAGGTATAACATATTTATTTACAAATCATTATTTACATCATCTTACAGCTTTATGTAGTTTGATTCTTCCAATTCTCTATCTTGGCCTGTCATAAGTGGCATTTCCAGGTTGAAAAGACTTTGGGCTATTATGACAAAAATGCAATGCCAACTGCTGAACAGCTGCTATGGCCTATTTAAAGGCCTACAAAAAGGTCTGGTATACATATTTGCAAATCATAATATAAATCATCTTTAAGCTTTATCCTTGCAGTTTAATACCTCAAATTTTCTTTCTTGGCCTGCCATAAGCAGCATATCCAGCCTGAAAGGAATTTTGGCTAAAATGACTTAACACAGCAGTGTTATCGGTTGAACAGCTATTGCACAAGAGGTCATGCCTGGCCAAGAATGTACCATGTACATGACCTCTTGCATGACAGTTGTTCAACGGATTATTGCATTTTTTGTCATTTAGCCTGAATTCTTTTCAAGCTGGATGTGCTGCTTATGGCCCTTATGGTGCTTATGACTCTGAGGGGACACCATACTCTTTAATGAAATATTAATGGTACAAATAACATGGTTTGTCTTCTTGAAGCCTTTCCAATGTTTCCAGATCATCTTTAGAACTCAGAATATAAATGCTTGGCTCAAAAAGGCCTGTCAGCAATTTTTTGTCATGCTAAGTGTAATGTTTGCACAGTAGATAAAAATGATACAAGTCACCTTTCATTCTTTTTTGAAACAGCATTTTTATCTTCCAGTATGTGAGAAGTTCAACTTATCCATAGATTTAAAGCCTCTAACCCTCTGGAGTATAAGCCTGAAATGTTGTTACACACTATAATTCACTGTGTGCACAGCCAGACTGAGTTAACTCACCAGTATTTGGTTGTATCTGATGCTTTACAGCTCTGTGATATATTTCAGGCATTAGAACACGTACACCTTCTAAAATGGCCAGGTATGTGAAGCGCAGTTGATCTGGTGTTTGAATGAGACCCACTCTATATTGCCTTATTTCTAGTAACATGGCTTGGATATCAATCTGATTCATGTCTTCCTCATGCTCAATCTGATAAAAAAAATATAACAGGAATCTTCCAACATAAGAAATGGACTGCTCAAATGGTAAAGAAACAAAAACTTAGACATAGTTTGATGCTACTCTGGTTTGCAGATTTAATGAATGTAACTGAAGAAGTTACAATTGATAGACCCAACGTTTCAACACTCCTGCCTAGTGCCTTCATCAGGGGTGATCTAAACGCTACAACAAGAGGTCCTTTTATATGATCACTAATTAGCAGCCTTTTTTTCTGACAAGGTGTAAATAGGCGTCAGGAAGCAAACTGCCATTGTCACGATTTAAAGGGGCGTGGGCAGAGTTGATATGCCAAGCCTCCAAACAAAGGCACTGGTGGTAACGCGGATTAGTGGTGGCCATTTTTTTTTAAAGTGTCACCAACATTTAAGAGGTGCTTTGTCTGGTATTCATTTTTCAGGATGATTTCTTACCCTGACAACATCAATGATAGAAACCTATAGTATATATAATTTGATCCCTACTCACCTCTGTCAGAACTGAATCCACCATGACAAATGTTCCGGACCTTCCTATTCCAGCACTTCAAAAGTAAGCACAGAAACCTCTTCAGGATATTTAAAGCCTAAATATTTTAAACTTCAAATACATAAAATATATTAAATAACATTTTCAAAGGAGTCTGCCAGAGTCACTTCCCTGTATAGAGGTTTCTGTCAGCTGTAGTTTCTTGATTAAAATCCATTCCTATGCTATTTAGAAGAAAATGCTACCACTAATTGTATGAAAAAAATAAAAGGTTAAATAACATGCCTACAATGAATTACACAGGGTCCTACATCATTAGACATCACTCCCGCCCTGCGCACTTCAAACAGGAAAGCCAGGAAAGTAGCAGGTGAGGTAGGCACTCCAAAGTCTGGCCATGTCAAATAGTGAAAATGCTCTATTGGACGTTTCTCTCCTGTCTAAAAGATAATAATGACAACCTGTCTTAACTCATGCCTGTTTGATCAAAAGTAGTCAAAAAAGGAAACAACGTAAGTAACTTCAACTACTGACCAAAATATTTTCTAGTTCCAGTGATCTTATGGTGAAGTATTCATTGTGCAACTCCCGAAGGTAGTTGATTTTGAAGTTACCAAACTCAAGCTGATTAGAATGGGCATAGGCCTCTCCACATGGCCAGTACTGGTAACACTTGATCTGCAATGTAACAAACATGTGTAAGAAAATTTTTTTACTCCCAATGGAATGCTGTATTTTCTGTGGCCTTTTTCCATGTAACCTTGTGGAATTATTAAAGTAGTATTGTGACATGAAAACATTCCAGTGACATGATCAATAATTGCATCAAACACAGAGCACCCTCATGACCACTGTGTTTTACTTTCATTGTTACATATAATTGTATATATTTTCTGTAAAAACTCTTCATAGTGAATTCAAATTCTCCAGTTTACATAGATTATAAAGAATGGTGGAGCCCTGTTAATTCTTGAACTTTCCAAAGACCAGTTAGAATGGTATAAGGTTCCCAATGTTCAAGTTACCTAAGGTTAAACCTGGCAGCAACATGTTAACATAAAGTCTACACCCAAAGACACAGGTTTTGTCCCAAATAACTGGAAGTTTGAGACACCTGAAATTAAATATAAAAGTCTATGATAAGATTTGTACTTGCCTGATTTTTTTCCACTACTTTGTTCAACATGATTATAGCAGCTGTGTTTTGCTCCCATATCATCTGCCAGAAGTGATTTGCAGTATGAGGTAATGGTCCCTGAAATTTGAAAAAAATCAATTTTAGAATTAACCATGAACTCCTTGCATGAGCTAATACTGAATAAAATCTGCAGAGTACAGGAAATGAATTTCCCACATTGCCCCTGCTAGGAATCAATGTATGTACCATTTTTAGAGATAGCATAATTGCATAACACTTGCTTTTCTTGGTCATATTCAATACAACAAACCTGGGTCAAAATATACTTTTTGTTCAATCTTGAAATCTGTTGAGACAAATTGAATCATTCTTCATTATGACATAACTTAGAAACAACATGCACTCTAACTGGTCACACATCTATTGTTTATTTGCCTGACTGTATACCCAAACAAAACAAAAGCATCTCCCTGACCTATGAAATGGCACAATAACCCTGTAGAGAGACCCTCCCTTCAGCAAAATAACTGCACAATTATAATGCCTAACTTAAAATAATAATATGCAAGTTCTAATTAAAAATGTTCATAAAATCCAAGATGCTTCAACTTATGGTAAGTGAACAAAACAAATCCAAATTTTATCATCATTCTGAATAGTAACAAATACCTCAACAAGGTTAGCATTGATATAGTCTGAGGATCCTTGCTTTAAAATGATTCTACTGTGGTCATCTGAAAGCAACCAGTAAATACATTACTGTTGAAAGCCCTATCACAACAAGGTAAGTGCTTGTTGGTCAATCATCTCAAAATTGAGTCATCTGCACAGTTAAAAGTGAAGGTTCATACAAAGTTTTATGGCAAGAAGGGAAAAAAAGACTTCACAGTCTCATCAAGACTTCTACTGTACATTGTGGTCATTACTCCAAACTCAAAAATAATCTAACACAGCTCTGCAAGTTATAAAACAAACATCAATGTCTAAGTAGATATTAGGTTATCATGTTAAGTTCAAGTCTATCTAGCCTCCAAGCCCTTTGTTGGTGTAACGTTCTCAAACTTTGGCAAACTCAGAGAAGTTTCTTCTTTTGCAGATTGTTTAAAAAATGTATGATAAATCAATTATTCAATTTGGTTTTCACATGATATCATGAATTATCAAACCTCATGTCAGTGTTATCTCAAGATAGATAACTCAAACTTTGGCAATGATAATTCATGATATCACACTCAACCTCATCCAGTAATTGCCTAATAGCCCAATTTATACCAGACTAATGGAAGGATGATCAGCTTTACTCTTTCAGAAACCTGGTACAAGATACACATGGTTAAAATTTTTTCTGATGTGAGGAATTTTCCCATTGTTATCACCCAGACTACCTTAGTGTAAGCATTCATTTTCATTTTGTTGTTGTCAGTAATAAGTTTCAATTTTGGTTTACAACACCAATTTGAAAAGCAATCAAGTAAAATATCACATTTAATTAATAAGTTAAAAGTCTTGCGACTAAGACATGATTATTCCACTGTCTAGTAACAGATGTAGCAACTGGAAACTGTCCTAGATGTATTCAAGTCACGGCTTATTTGGTAACACACCAGATCGGGCAACTTCTTCAGAGTTTTTTATTTCGCAATCTGGAGCCAAAATAGTAACATATTTACAGCCTTTCTTCATTGTCCTTCAATGAAAAGTAGTTAATAATCTATCTGAGCAATCACTTACATGGTAAAACATCTCTGTACCGATTAAGTTGTCTGTTTTCAGGAAGTCTTGCAACTGTTAGTGCTCCAGCTCTTTGGCTCGCTTCCCAGTTGAGTTTCTATCAATACAGCATGAAATTAAATTAGTTTAAAACAAACCAGAGCATCATTAAAATTAATTTAAAATAAAAATATTCCCCGACAAGCCATATTCTAACATTATTAGACTTCTGACAATTAAACTGGCTTACAGCTGGAAAAAAGAACATGAGGCTAAAAGTTATATTAGCTTAATAATGAGCTTACAAACAACTGAACTTAACTTACTTGAAATAATCGTGGCCATGCCCTTGACTCATCCAACTGTTCTAATTCGGCCAACATATTGAGTTAAGAGTCAGAGGCTGAAGTTAAACCCTTCTGTCATGTCCACTTCGTTTACAACTAAAAACTTCAAGGAGCGCAGAGGACAAACACGACACTGCACGACACTCCACGACACTCCACGACACTCCGGTAAACTGTGCATTTCAGAAACCACAAGCAGTCAGCGGTTAAGCCGCGAAACACCTTTTAATGTGGTATGAGTTTGAAGAAACGTGTCCACGTGCTCAGAAGTCTGTGCGAAACATAATCAAGTAAATCCAGGAAACATCTTTCGGTACCGTTTACGAATTTTGAAAAACACGAAGTTATTGAAATGCTCTAAGAACCTGAAATTTTTAGTGAGACAAAAGTTACAAATACGTGACTGTACATCAGAGAGTTGTGTGACAATATCAAGTTTCCAGATCGCGCGCTATCGTAATAAGCTTAACTTAGAACAGTTAAATATGTTGTTGGCTGTTTCAGCAATGATTCACGATTACTTCAATAAACACAGTTATTCAGCAAATTCCAGGGCAAATGACAAATTTGGTAAATATTAGATTTCTAAGGCAAGATTACTGCTGGCTAAAAGAAAGAAAAATCAGGTTTATTTCGGAAATTGAAAATTTATGAAGGGGGTTTTTCGACCAGGAGTCATCAAACAAAACCACAATAATATCATCGGCCAATCAAAACAAAGATGGTTATTAAATTTTCCACTCCGAATATTACATTTCTGGCGTATTGATTGATTAATTCACCCACAGTTATCAGCCCATATTCCGAGTCACCGAATAAGTAAGTACACCGCACAAACTTTTGTGGTACTAATAAAAGCTCCAAATATGTAAACGTTCGTAAAATTTAGTGAAACAACCATTCCATGTACATCTAATGTCCAACTCGCCATCATGGAATAAATTTTAAATATCCAAAGGGATTAAAGAAAACTCAAAGTCCACACTCGTGACAAGTGCGGGAGATTGCGAATGACCAGCATATCAGAGCGATTGGTTTAATGGTTAGGATGGTGATACAAGTTTTCTTGATCAATCACAGATTGAAGTACAGCGAAACCAATGCAATCCCTACTTAATTTCAGTCCTCGGTGAAATTTGATTATAACACTCAACTTCTGTGATATATTTCGGTTATCAAATTCTTGTTTTGGCCTGAGCCTAAAAGATTTGCTATTTCATTGGAAGTATCAAGTACCCTGTTGCGACCTGTTGTTCATTTGCCAAGCTCTCTTGTTTGGTGCTTGGTTAAAAATCAGGTTTTGGCTCAAAAATCAACACTTGAGCCCTCCACAACAGCTCTGAATCTTCTGTTCATTCAAAAACATAAGCGAAAAATATCCAAGCTCTTTTTGTTTTCTTGTCCTTGCAAGTTGGTGAGTTACACTGCAAAGTGTTCGTGTTTTACAACGGTGGAATAGAGTGGAGGTTTAATAATTGCAAACAAGTACAAGGTTGATTCTGTTGTTTTCTGCACTGATTCACTGCAATTTTTGAGGAATTAAACTGAATCAAAACCTTTGATGGTTTACTATATTAGAACAAAAACACGAGGGACTTTGAACTAAGAGATGCGAGGCGGCAGATAACAAAACTTTGCCAAAATCTCGCGAAATTACACGCTACTCTCAGCTGCATTTCCCTCGGACACACTTTCAAGATAGGAAACTTTTCTTTTTGTAATAATTCACCTCTTCTATTTTGAAATTACGCACGATGATGTTATGAAAAATGTTTCCTTAGCTCGGCAGGTCTAGATAGGTTTACAAATTCGCCGGAACATTGTGCTACGCTGCGAGATCCTCTATTTAATGCCTCATTTATTCATGAGTAAAATGCTACCAGAGAGTACACTGTGCTCGTGACGATGTTTTCCTTCTGCAGCAGATTTTTTTAACAAGATAGACAAATGTGAGCACTCAGAGGCTGTCTAAATGGTTACTGTCCGTTTATTTCATTTGGCCACATGAAAAATACAATAAGGACAATAAAGGATAATTCAAACTCAGATTCACAGGAAAAAGTAACAAAGAGGCCGAGAGGAAACTAGAACTAAGAATTGTGCCGAACCCAGTTATCTAAGTTGACTTCCTCAGTTACTTAAGAAGTACAAAATAAAGCACAAAACTGAAACTTAGCTGTCATTTATCCATGGAAAAACATGTTTTTTCGATAACGAGGTAAACGGAATGTTTCTGTGGGTTATGACATGCGAATTGGTTGTTTTGAAGGAAATTGTAGCGAAAGATTGGTGAAAGAAGGAAGATGGGATCTGATTTAAATACGCTTAATCCATAACAGTCAAAAAAATATCATTTAAACACTTCGTTAAAACAAAAACTTGTAACAGATGTTTCCAATGAATTGTCTGCGATATAGTAAATGTACTATCACTCCTGGTTTATGACCTGTCCATTCTTGTCACCGGTTTGTGCTCGCCCAAGCTATTATTTATTTATCACCAGTCATTTTCACTGAAGTCAACGAGGAAGAACTTTGTAGGGATTCAGAATTCCCTGTGAAGATGAAAAAATTTAACACATTTGTCAGCACCTAACAAGAACAAACCGCTGACAAACCTACTGGAATTAGAAACAAACAAACAAATACTAGGATTTCAAAAAGGTTCAAGGACCTTCAAGCCTTGACGATCGCGGAATGGGTGATGAGGAGATATATCAAATAAACGTTACGTTAGAGCCCTTCATTATTATAACTGGAAAAGAGAAGACCGTGACATCGCCATAATCACAAATTTGTTAGCCAGCTTAGTATCACCACAGTTCTTCGAGGTACTCTCTAAATGTTTTGCTATAGAACCTACAGAAGCTAGCAAGTAATTCGGACAAGTTACCTTAGGGTCTAGAAGTTGTTTGATGTTTTTCATCAGATCTACTGATGGTGATGATTTGGAGTAATGTATATAATTTGCTTTCTTCAATCCCAGGCCGTGCTCCGCGCTAATGCTCCCGCCATGTTTTGCTGAAAAATAATGGCTACAGCTGTGCTCACGTCTACAACGACTCAAGCATTTTCAGCAGAAATACGCTTTCCTGTATTGCAGAATTTCTCCAGTATAATAAGAAGCAAACCTAATTACTCCTAGATAATTTTGGTTTTATCAACTGAGCTGATAATATACATCGACCAACGTGAAGAGTTTCAAAGCTGACGTTTAGTGGTAGTTAATAACAAAGAAAAGTAGAAAAGGAACTAATTGGCTGGAGAAGGAAAAATGACTTAACTGTGGTTAAAGATGAAACAAACCTGTCCACTGATAAACATAGGGCTCAATGGAATCTAACACTTGTTCACTGAACTCTGGAGTTGTGAAATTCAAATGTAAGTTGCCTATGAATGAGAAAAGACGGCATTGCACCAGTTATTGCTAAAAAGTAAGACCAAACATGATTAAACAAAGTAACTCTCTTACAGGTATTTGAATTACAAAAGGGAAAACTTTGTAAGGGACAAACTCACACATCCAGAGATACACAAATATTACTGAAATAAACCAAATAGAATACTAGAAAATGGAGACTTGAGAACGCTATCTTTAGTTTTTTTTTTGGCAAAAAACAAAGAAATTCTGTGTTGTTCATGGCTGGTACTGATAGATCCTGTCAATAAAGTCATATTTGGTTACGAAATGACTAACGTTTGGATACAGTTATTCTTTCACAGAGTCAATGTTGTATACATATAAATCACAGTAAACTGTGAGTTCCTTTGAGCATTCCCCTCCCTCATCTGATTGAACTTTGGGACTGACTGATATTCAGCAACTTGAACCATTTCCAACAAGGTATGGAGACATTCCAACGTAATCATATGTATTTTCATACCAGGATATGTGGGGGCCTTAGGGTCATGATTGACAGGTCTGGGTTTAAAACCTTTAGAGATATTTTTGTTTCGTAAAGATGCCAAGAGGCAATGATATCATCCTTTCAAAGTGCCTTCCCTCCATTCAGGAGACAATGGGTTTTTAGGTTAAGTAGGAATTCTCCTTGTTTCATGCTTTAAAAACTGTGATGAACTCTGACAGCCATGCAAGTCAGTCTCTTATACAGACTTCAACATTACATTTTTAAAGCTTAAGGGTAATAACACTTACAATCTCCAAGGTGGCCATATCCAACACAGTTAGTCACCAGGTCACCAAGTCTTTCTCTCATGTGTGACACAAGCTCATACATTTTTGACAAAGGGAGTGACAGATCATACTAGGAACAGAAAACATATCCATCATATGCATGCTGTAATTAGCAGTGCCAAAAAAGTTGCCATTTCTTGGTAGTATCATAATGCAGAAAAAACTAAGAACAGCTAATCAGTACAAAGGTAAACAGCAAATGAGGCAAAATTCATGTCACTGATTTGTGATTGGTTTTAATGTTGTACTTGATGAGCTGAAAAAGTAAATCAAGTTTTTAGACCAACCACAGTTGCAAAAGTCAGAGTCACCAGTCACAGAGTAATGGAGTCTCAAATATAACTTTCCGAACTTTGAATAATAGAATCACTTTACTGCAGCAACTCAATAACTCAAACAACATTGACAAATGTAGAATAACACCAAGGTTTATGCAAAATGCCACACAATCTTCAATGATGCTTCTGTTCAAAATAAAATGGTTTTCAAGGTGATTCTACAGCTTCATATTGTTGATAAATTTTGTTCAGTCTTAAGCATTTCTGCTAGATCCTCCATCAGATTCAACTTTAAAGCTCTTCTTTTTCAATCAAAATGCCTGTACTTTTTCACAAATATCTCACATGACATTAATGTATTTTAACTTACCTTGTAAGTTGTTCCACAAAGTGTAAGGCTCTCTGATATTCTTTCGCGTATATCCCAGACTTCTTTCAACTAAGTTGGAAAAGATATTCTTTCACAGATGTAACTAAATATCATATGGAAAGTCTCTTCAAATATAAAAGTAATTAAACAAATCAACAGAGAAACTAACCTTTGACAAATCTGTTGCCAGAGTTCCATCCCTTGCAATTTTGTCAAACGTAAGTTTCTCCAGAAAGAAATTGAGTTTCTATAAATACAAATAATATATAATAAAATATAATTATTGGACAAGCCATTATTGTGAATACTCTAATAAGGCCACAAATAGCATGTTCACTTTCAGGGCTTCAAGAAGGGGACTTACTAGAGGGAGAGGGGAGGGGTAGAGCATTTATTGAAAACATTACACTTTAGAGAGGGTGGGTTCTTAGAGAGTGGCACTCAATGTAAAGTTTTTTGCAATTTTGATATTTGTGGTATTCACATACAGTGGAAAAGCCATAACATTTATTATCACTTTATGGAATCTAAGGAAAGGGCTAATGCCATTGTATCCTTGTGCAACAGTAGCCTAGATACCTCACTCCCTTGTATCTCAAATTATGTTTTCTGATGGTTCTGGATCATGTGCACTGAGTCAGCCACGATTATCCAACAGGGGGTCTTAAATCAGTAACTCATTTGAGACTAGGAGCATACCATGACTTTTACCTGTAAATTACTTTTTTATACAAGGAAGGAAGGATCAAAGGCACCCTGTGATCCACTGCAGCTCTATTTGACCATGATCCTGAAACTCATTCCAAAGATTGTTACGACATCTTAAGACTAACCTCTTCATCGTGGGAGCTGTTAGAGCCTGAAGTCTCTATTAACACATAAAATGGCTGCTTACTGATGGGATTATGTAGACCAAGCTTTGTTTCCACGAGATTCATGCAAAAATCATCTAGAAATTCGAAGGCTGTAAAAAAGCATCTCATTGTTACCGTAAGACTCATGAGACCATGAACATTTCGACATTTTGATTTGATTTTGATCATTGAGTCTCACACTAATAAATCACAACACAGTGCAAGATGCCCAAACAAACCTCAAAATTGGTGATCTTGGTGGTATAACAGAAAAACTAAGAAAGTTACCAGACAGAATTTCCCCCAACATACTCCTTGCCAGTTTGTATGTACTAAGAACATCAGAGAAGGTGGCACAACCAAGAAAAGTGACATTGACAGCCTGCAGAGGAAGATCCATTTAAAAATTATTGGAACAAATTATGAGAAAAGGAGTAGGAAATGTGAGGTAACTGAGGAAAGATTAACTTAGATGCTTATATTAAAAGGTATAAGGGTAGTTATCAAATAACCCATTTTCTCAAATAATGTTTCATTTATGAGGTGAAATATTTTATCACATATTTATCATCTACTTGACTACTGTATGTATTTATATTTATTTAGTGTTCAATAACCTTTGGTCTGGGTGGTATCAGGATTGAAGCAGTTGTTATCACACCCAGGTGGCCTTCTGATCCAATGAACAGCTGTTTTAGATCATACCCTGAAAATGATGATTTTCTTTATAGCGAAACATTTTTTAGTAGGTATACCTTGTAATTTCTTCTCTAGTACTGATGCAACCAAAGAAAGCAATCTGTCCAACTACAGTTTGAGTGTTTCTTTAATTTAGAAAGATAATTCATAAAATGAAAAGTTAAGTTTGGTCAGTCAGACTTAAAGATAACAATTGTTGATGACAAACTCTGTTAGTGCTGGAAATTGTAAGTGAACAACTAAATTGAGATTACAGACAATTTTTTTAACACTTAATAATTTTGTACTAAATATGCAAAAGTATGCACTGGCAAAACTCAGTAAACAGGTGATATTCCACTTTTTGAAACAACTTAGATATAACAAACACCCTAATTGGTCAAAAACCTATATTGCACCAAACCCACACGGTTTACTACCATAATAACCCATTTTGCATCTTAGGAGAACATGAGAAGAGTTTCAAAACCACTTGCCTCTGGCTTGTGATTTATTATCTTCTCTAATGTTCATTCTCCTCTCATTCGGTAAAACAATAAAAAGTGCAGTCTATTGCTTAAAAATAATTTACAGAAAGTATTTACAAATTGACAGTTTTAACAAACCTGTGTTGTCTTTTAACATTGATGAAAGACAGTCAAGTATAATACCATCAGGAAGAACCTGAACATTAACAAAAAATTCCATATCATTCCATTGTTTGTCATTCAACAACAGAAACACCAGATAAGAAATAACAATGTACAGCAAAGAAAACTATTATCATGGGTTATGAGCAACTGTTATAAAATTTGTTGCTCCTTCATTTTAAGTGCTGTCTGGCTGTTTGTCTGTTTGCTTACTTGTTTGTCTGTTTGTTTGTCTCTCTGTTTATCATTCACTGATTCACTAACCCACTCACTAGCTTGTTAATTCATTCTGTCTTTTCTTCAGTTATCAATTTTTTAACTTCGGCAATGAATGAATAAAACAGTAATTACCACTTCTAGGCCTAGAACATTGCCATGTAAGGATCCATACCTCAGACGTCTCAAACCACCTGCATTTGTTGCAATGTTGCCACCTATATGACAACTGCAATGTGAAAAAGGAAAAAAAGGAGAGAAATCAACTGTTAAAATCAGTCACAAGAATACAGAGAATTGTTTCTTCAGTAATGATTGTTAAGTAAGTTATGATCTACTCTAAGAGTCATGACAACATCAGGTAAAGCTCATATAGGGAATAAATATCATCTGTGATTTGAAATTTTAACATTTAAAATAGGTTACTATGACTTATACTAGTTTACTTTATATTTTGATTCAAGAAAAACAGCATCCACAGGACCACTAGTAAATGACAAACCACTCATTGTCATGCTACAGTATGCATACCTTCCTTTTGCTCCCAAGTCCAGTGGCATAATAAAACCATGATCTTCCATTAATTTGTCCAATGACTCTAAAACACAACCAGCTTGACAGACAAGGATACCTAATGATACATAGTAAATATCTATTGAGTTGTGGGTAAAATTATTTGTGAACAACTTATTGTTACTTTGTATACTTCTGTGGTCTTGCATGGTTGTGACAAGTTCCCTTTAGTAGTTGATCCTTATTTTTACATGAGCATAAGGCAGGAACTTAAAGAAGTATAAAAAATGCCAAGCCTGATATGATTAGAAGATTCAATTTTTACCTGAAACATCATCAAAGCTCAATACTTGGTTCATTAATGATGTGGATAATATTATTTCATCAAATATTGGCACACTGCCACCTGTTGAAGTTGTGAGAAAGTAAAGGTAAAATTAGAGTTATCAATGCATATTAATTAAACAGTGTCTCTTTCTGGGATTCTGAGTGACTTTAATAAGTATAAGAAATAATAAGACCATCTTGTTATTTACCCCAGGTAGGGAAGGCTGGGTACAAAATCAGAGACATTACATACTTGCTACCTTGTTATAAATACCAAAGTGATTTAGCACATGGCTTGACATTGTATACATTAAAGAAGGCCTCTATTTGTATTGAACAGTTGGGCATTCTATTGTTGCCATCACTCATTCACTCATTTCAATAACATGTGGCTTTACCTCCTATAGGAGGCAGTAGCCACAAAAACTAACTCAAGGTAAATTGTTTAAGATACAAAGGCAGTTCCTTTAAAGTCTTCTTCATGTACAATATGCTACTGCACATGTTTTATCAACTTGGCAGGGATGTAACTTACCAACTAATCCAGTGTTTCCCCCTTGAGGGACTACAGCTAATCTGAGAGACCAAGAAAAAGGTATTCTCACAATTCATTCACCAAAGGCATTTTGACCTGATCTCTATTCTTAACCCAAACACTGAGAAACTACATACATTAAAACTGGAAAGCTACAAAATTTTAAGGTTTGCACCTGGATATGTTGTATAGATTTCTTACATATACATCAGCAGCAATAGTACTAGTGTCACTAACCTGCGTGAGTTGCAATATGCTAAGATCTGAGAAACTTCCTCTGTAGTTTTTGGTTTCAGTAGTATTTTGCTTGTTCCTCTGTATTAAAAAAAAGGGAAATTCTCACCAGTCAGCAATCTTTCCCAGTAATTCTCTTGACTCCCAAAACTGAAATCAAAACTACACTAACTGTGATCACAAAGTTAATATCAAAACAGTGCTTATTTAAATGATGTTTTAGGTACAGATGGTATAAAAAAATCAGCAATTACATTTCAACATGCAAGGCCAATAAGTGAGTTAAATTTGACAACTGATGGCTGAAATAATCATAAACTCAAGAATACAGTAATAAAATCTTGTTAAAAGTTAGTACAAAAAATTTACATTCATTTATGAAAAAATATATTCAGTAGTATACTCTGACCAAACTGCTTAAAAGTTAACACAAAAAATTTACAGTGTGAAAAAAATCTCCTCAGTCGCATACTCTGACCAAAGCTGCTTAGGATATTTAGCCTAAAGTACATGTACAAACATTACAAATATTTCAAGAAAAGAATACATTTAATTGGATGAAAAAAGTCTGTCGTATACATTGTGGAATATCATTATAGAAATCTAACCAGTAAACTAGTTTGAGTGACCATTAATGACAAATTACTACTTTAAAGGTCTTACTTGTATGCACAGAAATCCCAATAAGAAAATTAAAAGTTTTAAAATGATAGTGATTTAATAATGGTAAAAGGACTGAGTGGAGTCCATTTCGTCTGTAATCATACAAGTGATTAACAAAATTGGAGGACCACAAAGCGGGAGTCTGATTTGTTTATCACAAGTATCATTACTGACAGAATTGGACAACAAGAAATCCTGTTAGCAATTAATCATAATCATTTCAATTTCCAAAAAAACAAATACACCTAGAACAAATATCTCCAGTTGAGACAAACTCTTTAGTTAAATATTTTTCCATTTTGGAAATAGCCTTGTTTTTCTTTGGATAAGTGGTTGTTGCTATGGTTATTGTGATCAATTCTGTAATTGGTGGATTTAGCCAAGTGGACCTAGTATGATTGGCTGCTTCAACTGTCCAATTACAGGTGTTTGATTACAGCCAACTATCTGATTTTACTGTCTGATTACAACTGTACAGAATGATTAGTGAAAAATGAAGCAGCTGATGCACCAATCACATTGGAGGAAATTCTAATGGTTATGATTAATACATCTTTACCTGACCATTCTAAGCCAGTCAACATTATGAGGTAATATTTCATCCAGATTTGTAACAACTCTTGAAGGAACAAATGTCTCAAAAGCTCTTATATCTTCATCTGTTACCTATATACAGCAAAGTTAATAAAAGAAGTAGTATATTACTCCATGAACAACCCTGCTAATTTCTCCTGAAATATGCTATAGTTACTTGATTAAATACTGCTCTGTGTGAAATTCCTTTTTTGATTCAGGTGCTGTTGTTATTTTAGGGCAGAGCTTATCTGAAGAAAACACCTTAACAGAAATCCTCAAATTTCTATAAATGATAACAAAGAAATGTTACAGTTAAAAAAGGGAACAGTTTGATACACAACCGTTCATTATCTCCTTTGGGTAAAAGAACTGAGCTTCCCCCTTGCAATGTTGGCTGAAATATAATTTTAAAAGTCATTCTCTTCTTCATGGCCCAAATATATCTTACATAATATATTTCCAAAAATAAACACCATATTCTATGCTTATTTGAAAGAATATTCATCAAATATTTTGCCTTTACAATGCTAAGCCTGAACAGGGATGTTGCATAATAAGAAGGTAGCACTCAATTTAGAAAAAATACAAAATCATCGAGTCACTGTTGATCCTTGCAATCAGATTGGTCCACAACAGTGCAATTGAAAATATGTTAACCCTTTAACTCCCATGAGTGATGAAGACAGAATATCTCCTAACAATATCAATACAATATCAAGCAGACAAGTGGTGAGAATAAAGAAATATATCAATTTGGGGATAATTAGTTGATCCAATTCTAAATTCTCTGAACTGACATTATAAAGATTGTATGCTTGACATTAAGGAGAATTACAAATTTAATCTGGGAGTTAAAGGGTTAAAGTTCACATAGCAACCAGGTGGACAGTCAGACATGGTTTGATGCTACTCTGGTTTAAAGATTTAATGAATGTAACCAAGAAGTTAGAATTCATAGACCCAATGTTTTGACACTCTTGTCTCATACCTTCATCAGGGGTGATCTAAACGCTGCAACAAGAGGTCCTTTTATACACTCATGGTGCAATTTATTCACCAATCCCACCAGTTTTTGCTCTGAATCACTTATTTCCCCTAACCAATGAGAACTAAACACTACAATGAAACAACCAATCACATTCCAGTAGCATGATCTATTCAAAAATCACTTTCCTTCTTTTTACCCATTTTCCCCTACTGGATCAACAAATGTTGATACAAACCCAAATTAACGCACTTTTTTTTATGAACCTTGCCATAATGTATCACCATGTGTAAACAATGGTAGATTTAGAAGGGGAGGCCCTGTAAAGTAAGGAGAGCCTGGCTTTGAGAACTAATTTTTGAAAATTCGAGATCTTGGTGTGTAGGCCAGACTGTAAGGGTGGTTTGGGTACAGGTGGTGTGGGGTTAGAGGGGTGAAGTGAAGGGTGGGGTCAGATTAAATCAGAGTTAGAGAACACTGTCCCTTACCTCCGAGTATTGTCCTCTTTTAAGCCCTGGGTATCGGGTGCTCGTAAGTTCAACCTGTTTGGATCCTGTTGCGTAACTGCGTTTGATGTAACACTTCAGGGTTGCTGCTGCTCGTTTTTGCAAATGTCTCATTTTCCAAACATTCATTAGCTGTTTAAGGACCTCAAGCTCAAAGCGCCGGCCTCATAGAGATTACCTTTTTTCCCTCGCACGATGTGCAGTGTGATCGCTTTATATATTTCTTAGCTTACAACAATTATTCTCGTTTTAAGTGTGTTTTCGAATGCTGCCTGATGGGTCTGAGTCGGTCTGAAGCCGAAATTCTAACGCCCGCGATACAAATAACGTTTATTCGGAAACATAAGCTTCTAGATATGCGTGCGGTTATTCTCTTTTTCAAAACCACTGCCACCAATATTATGGACTCAATGTTCGTCACTTTAAGTACTCGGGAGTTACTACATCACGGGCGACGAGCGGGGATAGAAAAAACGACCCAAATATGAGCGGTCAGCGGTGAAACATCTTTTATACTTCATATAAAGACATATAATTTGTTGTTCCAGAGACAATCGTGTTGTAAAGCAGAAATGTTAACAGTTTACTTCACAGTTTAAGCAATTTTTCAAAAGTTGATTGAACTCATATCTTTTACTGCTTTAATAAACAATGGAGGCTTCGGAGAGGGAGTCAGTGGCATTCGGAAAGGCACCAAGAATAATTATATATATGGTTTGTAGCTAGCTGCGTGACGTGCGTGACGAAAAAAAAGTATCATGATTTCCGGTTGATCCATCCAGAGGTTGCGAAAAGAAATATAAACTTTAACAGTGCAATCGCGGGATTTCAGCCTGGTTGGCTTGTGGACAAGGTGCTTTTTTTTTATTAACATAGAGTGTCTTCTCCATACAACTTTCCTCCATGAAATGCTCTCCTTTTTCATTTTTTCAAAGGTTATCGAAGCAGTTCTGTGGCGCCTGACCTTAATCCACCGAGATATTTTTGTGGCAGACACAACTACGGCTGAAATGGTAAAGCGACATTCCAGCACTCGCTTGCTTTGGTCAGGAGAGAATTTCACCCAGATTTCTAAAATATTTATACCCATGAACAAGTCTGGAAATCACTAGACACTTCTGGTTAGGACCTTACGATAATAATCTTTTTGAATAACGCACTTAAATCAAGAACCTTTTAACTGGACTTTGCATTATAAATAAATCTTTAAGCGCTCTCTTGCTTATGTTTTAAAGGTTCTGGATCGAAGCAGAAAACCAGATATTATTTCGATCCCATGAATGGGCGTGTACACACCATTTTGAGCACCTCAGTTCCTAAGAGCAAACTGATAGAACTGATCGATGACATCAGGTGAAATATTTTCAACTCAATGTTTTCCTTTTTATTTTGATGCATGCAGACAAAACATACTTATGTAATTGCTGTATTTTGTTTGACTCTGCAGTGCCGCTGCTGATCTCAAAACGGGATGGAATTGCAAGTCATGGCTATGTGTTGAATCACTACATTACACACAGACCGATAGTTATAACTGTGGTGTGATTGTATGTCTTGTGAGTAGCATAATCACTTGCTAAAGCTCACTTTAATAGGACTGCTTCCTGGTTTCGAATGTATTAAATTTCTCTTTGTTTGTTTTAAGTTTGCTCGGTGTTTGTGTGAGGGGTTGGATATCAATGGAAGTTACGATGTGGACATGGAAAGGGAAAGAATAACGTATTATAAATAATCATATTTGGCTCGTGTTATGATGACCTTGATTGGTAAGTTTTGATGGTGTCAAATACCATTGTTTCTTAAACGCCGCACGTAAGTATTAAAACAAGGAGCGACCTAAAACCACCTAAAACCACCTAAAACCATCTAAAACCACCTACAACCACCTACAACCATCTACAACCACCTCAAAAATTTCAACAACCACCTAAAAACATCTACAACCACTCGCAAACTATCTAAAACTATCTAACACAAGGCATAAATGTCTAAAATAAGGCGAAACGACAACATGTCACGTACACGAAATACGAGAATCGAACGAAACCTCTACCTCCCCCTGAAATCTTACTCTCCCTGGTCCCATGTATAATCAACCATCTCACGAAATGAAATGCGATAGCATGCTAATTATTTTATATTCCCTCAGCAAAAGACTTAAAGAACTTTACAAAATGAAGTAACATGTTACAAAAAATAATACATTGGGAATCATACATAGGCGCGCGTATATATGGAAGTTTTTGTAATCATGATTCAAAGCATTTTCCATCTTAAGAGTCAGCGCCAACGCACTCTACGATTGTTATTCGAGGATTGTCGATTCATTTATTTGCATTCATTAATGAGGTCGGATTTTCTTCCCAGAAAAGGGCTATTGTGTTTATATGATAAACAAAATAATACATGGTTGCTTGTAGATATGGAATTTCTCTTCTCATGTTCAACTCGACATCTCACTCGTTCACTGCGCTCACTCGTGAGCTATCGAGTTAAACACTCGAAGATTAATTCCATATCTACGCGCGCCCATGTAGTATTCCCTAATTATTATATTTTGTAACTTGTTAGTTCATTTTGTAAAGTTCTTTAAGTCTTTTGCTGAGGGAATATAAATAGAGATTTCGTTCGATTCTCGTATTTCGTGTACGTGACATGTTGTCGTTTCGCCTTATTTTAGACATTTATGCCTTGTGTTAGATAGTTTTAGATAGTTTGCGAGTGGTTGTAGATGTTTTTAGGTGGTTGTTGAAATTCTTGAGGTGGTGGTAGATGATTGTAGGTGGTTGTTGAAATTCTTGAGGTGATTGTAGATGGTTGTAGGTGGTTGTAGGTGGTTGTAGGTGGTGTATGTGGTTTTAGGTGGTTTTAGGTGGTTTTAGGTGGTTTTAGGTCGTTCCTTGTTTTAGTACTTACGAAACGCCGCAACACTCTCTTTGACGTCCCATATCTTTTGGTCAATTATAGGAGAAATACCGCGGTCTGTAAGATTTGCAAAGACGACGATGGAGAGGATTGGCTTGGGTGCGATAGCTGTGGCCAGTTTTTCCATGCAAGTTGTCTGGATGTGCCTTTCGCGGAGACGCTTACTCAACATTTCACCTGCCCTTAGGGTGGCTTCTCGTCAGTACAAGTAGAGTTTAAATTTTAAAGCTGACTATAACAATGAACCAGATGATGAACTTAATGTCATGTACAGACCTTAATTTGTAAGATAAGAAATACAGTCCTTGGTAGTCAATTAAGATAGATTTTCACGAGCGTCAATGGTGCAGAATCGTAACTTGATGGAGCCAACAGTGGAGAACATTCCAGAATTCAAACTTTGTGATTTTTTTCTCGGCTTAAACGCTAAGTCAGTTGTTCAATTGAATAGGAAGAAAAACATTTCGAACGGAAAACAGAATTATTTGCACGTGTGGATCTTTTGAGAAAAGGTCTCCTAAACAAGTGGTCTTGATTATAAATATTTAAGGAATGGTAAATACATTAGCCTTAACATGGCTGTTTCTCGAAGCTCAGTGTTTTCCTACTTGCCTTTTTTCCACGTGAATTGGGGGCGATTGAATAGATATAATATGCAGTAAAAGAACTTCAGCTAATAGAAATTTTAAATTTCTCATCTTAGGCTGTGGATACAAAATTCAAGTGAAAAGGAAGCCAACTGTGATTAATGCTTTGAACAAGTCAAGATACGTTTTTTTCGTCACACAACAAGTTACATAACGTTAATATCATTCTTCTTGATGTCTTTCCCGGTGTCACCAATGCCTTTCCCGATGCCTCCGTTGGTTAATAGAGCATTAAAAGTATTGTTCCAGTTAAAGCTTGAGGAAAATTGCATAACTTTTTAAGTAGCGAAGTGTAACTTGGTAACATTTCGGCTTTACAACACGATTGTTTTCTGCAACTACAAAACGTACATTTAATTCTTCTTGGTACCTTTCGGATGCCACCGATGCCTTCATTGTTTATTAAAGCAGTAAAAGATATATGTACAATCAACACTTTTGAATTGCTTAACATTTTATTTAGCGAAGTAAACTGTTTACACTTCGGCCTTACAACACGATTGTTTCCTGATACTACAAATGATCTGTCTATATATGAAGTATTAAAGTTGTTTCACTGCTGACCACTCGTATTTGGGTCGTTTTTTCTATCCCCGCTCGTCGCCCGTGATGTAGTAACTCCCTAAGTACTCCAGCGATCACCATACTGAAAGGCCGGAAGTTGATTCGTTTTGGTCTTTAAAGGAACAAGATGAACATTCTACCAAAGAAAAGGTAATTTAGAAGGTCTTAGAGGACTTTTCGAGCCTTAACAATAAAGTATCTCATAAAGCTAGTATCAGTTTTAGTCCTTGAGATGTTCGCAAGCTGAAAACGTTTGATGTTACGTTTAATGAAGTTTGTTTTCTCTCGATTCCAAGAAAGATTGACAGGTTATTTTTTAATGATGAAATATTGATTAGTTTCTTGAAGAATTTGTTGCTTTAAGGATTTTACTTTGCTCTTATTTAAGTAAGGAAATAAAATTTATCATTAATGAAGAAGTATCTGCCTTTATTGATTTAGCTGGCATGTACGTAACATTGATAACATTGAACGCGTGCGTCGTGATGAAGAAAATGCAAGATTAGAAGAGAAAGAACGGGAAAGGAGACGTTCTTTAGCCGTGAGTGCTGTTTTTTGTATTTAAGTGTTGCCATACGAGGCAGATAATAATGTTGTAGAATTTTATTTCTAGCGAGAATAAGTAATAAGTTGGGGTCAATATTAGGTTAATCATCAACCATATCTTAAAAGCTTGATGTTGTTTATTGTTTTGTTTTATTTTTGTTTCAAGGAACAAGAGGCCAGAACAGCCCTTCTACGGGGGCGTGCCAGTGGAAAGCAGCTTAAAGATGGAGTATCACAAGATAATACTGTTGTTTTTGTTAAAGACAAACCACAACATCTCAATTTTTTTGCTGACATTGAAGAAGGAGTGAGTGATATAGCAGCTCATAATATTACTAAAGTTTCTTACATAGCACTTCATGGTTCAGCAAGTTTTGAATAGTTATTCAGGGATATTTTCTAGCGGATAGGGGTTTGAGATAATGTAAACTAAGGTATTCATCATGCAGAGTAATGAAAGTCAATACAAGATATGCAGTTGTTTGTGCTGAGAAAATGTGGTGTTAACTTCCAAAAAGTATTTCTTACCAATGTATCCCTTTTTAGAGCTATTTCTTTGTAGAAAAGATCATACTATTAAGAGTACTAATTTTGAATTTGCTACTTGCATATTGTTGTTACAGCTCAGACAAGGAAGTAACAAGGAATATGAAGCTGAAAAGAAAGCTGAACAAGAGAAAAGAGAAAAATCCATTGGCTTGTTAACATACCTTGGACAGAGTCAAAGAGATTCAGATGGTATGCAAGCCCAGCATTTTTTAAAAACAGATTTCACAATCTATTTAACAATTGAAGAGGCCTTGAATAAGCTCTGTTCTGTTCTAAAGTATGCAGGAAGCAGTTAGATCAAAAGAATGGTTGGGGAAAGTATGAGATGTGGTAGAGTGTTTCTTCCTTCTTCTTTTGTGCTCTAGCTGCTTCCTGAGAGCTTTAAAACAAAACAGAACATATGCAAAATCCATTCCGTGAAATCCATTGGAATTGTGGTGCATAAAAATACAAAAGTTCTTAAACAGAACTAGTAGAAAACAAAATCCTCAAGGAGTGTGTTTTATGAATGAACGGTGGCTGAATTCATAGGAACATGAAGATTGCTCCTGGTGATAGTGTCTGTAAATCTTGGCTGCTATGACTGATGTGGCCTTCCATGCAACACATCACAAAGGATATCAAACAAGCTCTTAGTTGTTCACTTGAAGGGTGGACAATGTAATTTCTGAGGCTTGCTTCTGCAATGACCAGAGATGCTCATGGTGAGCTAGCCGGGATGGACCACTGCATGATGGTAGTTGCTTTAACACCATGATTTGTATAAATTTTTAAAAGTTGTACCATTGTGGTTATAATTTTCATAATTCCTGTTCTGTTCCGTTTTGTTTGTTAACACAAAACAATATATACTATACAATTGTTAGCTGTGTTTGAGTTTTATTACTGTATGTGTTTAAATGATAATCTAAATGAGAGTGAAAATCTTCAAAACTCAGACAGTCCGTTTCGTCTTCTCTTTGGAGACTTTTGTCTTTGTTCACACTATAATTTTGTCAATTACGGCACTTAGCATGTCTACAAACCTTTTTTTGGTTCCTCTATAGCTATTTGCTGGCTCTATCTCTATGTTATTTGTGGTGTTAGCTACAGGTTGTTCTGTAGCTCTTTTTTGTAATGTGTACAGATGGAATGACAGCTATTAAGCTTGGCATTTTGTACCCTGATGAAACATGCTTTTCCAATCTATGTGAATGAATTTTATAAAATTTATATCCAAACTTTTAATATATCAAATCTGGAAGTTTTGCTGTCAGAGTGAGTGGTTTTCTACATCAGTAGCTGTCTGTTTGACAAACTTATGTTGTGGTTCAATGTTTTCTTTATTTTGACTTTTCACACCAGTTTGATTTTTTACTTCCTTTTTTCCTCCTCTTACTAGACTTAGAAAATAGAAATTAAACTGATTTGAAAAATCTCAAACTGAGAATGAAAATGATGGATCCCTTGTTTTGCACAGCTACTTGTGATTTTGGTTAATAAAAAGTCTTGTTGGATTGGTATCCAGTCAAGTCACCGATGGTTCAACTTGCCAACGCCGACTCACCAATGTATAAAATCAAGTGGAGATGTTGTAGATTACTTTTGAAGTTGTTTACTTAATACCAGGCAATGCCAGTAACAGCAGACATTTCCTAAATTCTTTGCAATAAAAAGTTTTACTTGAAGTTGGTTTTCCTTGTAGAAGATATCTTCTTTATTTTACAATGTAAGATGTAACATTACCATAAGTTTAAGTAACCGATCAGTCAGCAGATTGTATAAAAAATTGAGTTGAGATCATAATGAAAACTAAGACATGCAACCTTTGACCTGCATTTTTCTCAATTTTCCTTTGTAGTTGTAAATATTATCCAATCAAATCTAACTAATGGAAAATCTTATCTAGCACAACGCTATAAAAGGCAGTGTATGTTGTGGGGACTCCATTCAACTGTGTTAACAAGTCTATGTTTATGAGAAATTCACTCCAAAATGTCTGATAATCCAGTCTGCATGGTTTGTAACATGACCGCCATTGTTGGTGAGGATGCTTGGTTTCTTGGATGGTTGGATAACCAAACCTAATCTTTATAATATATCAAATTTTATTGTAAATCAAACATTCTCGATCCTGAATAAATCATTCTTTTAAGTTAAAAAAATGTGATTCCATGTGGTTGCTATGGTTGTCACACAATAACTTGTTAGTGTCTAAAGTTTTTTTGGTCACTGGTGATGTTCACCTTGCTTTATTTGCCTTGAGATCCTTATAAACTTTGTTGGAAATAAAAAGAATTGGTTTTTTTTTCTTGTCTAGAAAGCCAAGTTTTCTTTTAAAAAAAACTGACTGATTGACATGTTGAGTCTTTACAGTGCTGTTGTCACACAATAACTCATTCATGCCTGAAGCTTTTATAGTCATTGGTGATGTTTACCTTGCTTTATTTGCCATGAGATCCTTATAAACTTTGTTGGAAAAAAACTGTTTTTTACTAGATATATTTTGCTTTTCTACATGTTTAACTTCTAATAAGTTGTACTGGAGTGAAGACCAACTCGCTGATGTTTCTACTCGATTTAATACGTTGGTGTGTTGGTGTTGGTGAGTTGAACCGTTGCTGACTTGACTGTAATTCTTTGGATTAGGAGTGTTATGACAGAGACATTCAATAACATTGTTGATCTGTTGATGAATTATTTTGTTTTATTCTGCAGATGGCAAACTGTGGTATGTGAAATCACACCAGGAAAGAATGAATTTGAGTGAAGCAAGTGAAAGGTACTTGGTTCATCTCTGCTGCATAGCATATGTGCATCTGCTATACTTCAGATAATTCCAAGTTGTGGAACTGTTTTGTGTGTAGATTTTCAGTTATATTCAAACCCTGTCTTTTAGGTTACTCAAGGATGTCTCAGTGAAATGATGAAGTGTTATTAAATATTACCCCACAGAACACTATTTTATTTTCAAATGTTTCTTGTATTTTTGAGCAGGAAAAGGTTTTGTGCGAATTGAAGAATCTAGCTAACACTTGGAAAGAAGGACAGGTTGTGAAAAAATAGTTGTAACTAACCAACAGATCACCAGCAGATTGCCAACTGCCAGCCAGCTGTCAGCTGTCAGTCAGCCAACAGGATTTTTTTTCAAGGAGTTGTTCTTCACAATTACCCATTTTTTTTTAAATAATATTTTCTTTGTTTGTTCCATGTAGCTCTGTAGAAAGTAAGAAAAAGAAGTTGCTAGATCCTCTTAAAGACATGGACAGATACCTTGTGATAAAGAAATTCCATAGCAAAGATGAGGACAGAAAACATCAACAAAAGGACAAGAAACACTGGGAAAAACAGGCAAAGTCTAAGAAAAAACAGATGAAAAATTTGGAAGAAATGAGAAAAGAAAGATTACAACGAGAGCAAGAGGAACATGAACGAGAAAGGAAGCTTTTGGCTTCTGCTAGAGGAGATAGCGGTACATCTATTGCTGGAGGAAAATTACAAGATGATTACACAGCTTATAGGTAACCAAGCTTCATGTAATCATTTGATTTTATGAGAATTGAAGTTTCTTAATTAATAGGTTTTGCTTCTCTTTCATCTTATAGTACTGGAAGACATGGGAGAAACAGTTTAGTCCTAAGAATTTATTTCTTTACAATCAAGTCTCCTATTCTTTCTTCCAACTGTAAAATGCTACCTTTCCTTCCAATCTCCATGTGTTTGTGTCTGTAACACTTTGATTTATTGCAGGTATAACTCTCAATATCATCCTGACCTGGCCAGAAAACCCAGAAATCATCTTCGTTATGACCCATATTAAAAAAGTGTCAGGTTTGACAGTAAACCACACTGAGCCAAGGGTCACTGAAGTAAACAAGGGCAGTGATTTTCCTCCCTAAGGAGAGCAGAATAACCTGGGGAAAGATTACCAGAAAGTTACTCAGCTCAAAAGGGCCAACTGGTGTTAGAGAGTCGATAGAAGAAGGTTGACTGTCATGAATAAGTTGATTGCAGTGTAGCCACAACATGCCCATAAGAACTACTCTTTAATAACCAGCATGTTTGTTCCTTGGAATCAACCACAGAGAGAAACGATGCACTCAGAATAATGACAATAATAATAATATAAAACAGTTGAAGTCAAAGGGAAGTGAGGTTACAGTAGCAGAGTGAGCAAAAAATAGTATTTCATTGCAAATGAATTTTTTGAAATATTTTTTATTGCTATCACATTTTATTAAAATCTGTTTTTTGTCATGTTATCTTGCTTAAAGATGGGTAATGATATACTCATTAGCTTAGTGACTTCAAAAGGAGTAGTTTATTGTTTAGTAAATGACTGTATTATAGTGAATAAAAGCAAGTGAAAGTAACAAATAGGGTCCACTCTCTTTGATCCAGCTCTTGTATTAAAATGGTCAAATGGTTTAATCTACTAAATTGTCTAAGTCAACTTGTTAAGGTCCCATAACACTCTATCAGATTGCTGTTTGTACTTATATCAATCAGTCTGTTTCCAGCAGAAAATCAGAACACAAATAACTTTTTTCCTCTCATTTAAAAACCTATGAGACTGTTTTGAATACAAAAAAGCTATTGACAAGAGGAAGAAGAAAATCATAGGGAAAGATATCTATACTACAAGCAAGAATAGTGTCCTGCTTGCATGATTATTCTCAACACTATAGAGTAATTAAGAACTGAGCATTTAAAGTCATACGAGATGTCATTGGTTTGCTCTACTTCACTCTATAGTTGGTCCAAAAAAAGGCCTTGCCACTGTCTCAACCAATCGGATGCACAACTAATACCCATCATAACTTATCCAACTATATTTTCTTACACTTTGATTAGTTGGAGGTTTTTTTCCATTGAGTTCTCATTGGTTCTCCAAGGTATTTTCCTTTGTTCTAATTGGTGTTTGACTTTGGTTTCGGTTTGGATTGGTGGATAACTTTGATTTTGGTTTTACAATCCTCAATATGAAATCTGGTCGAAGTGGAAGCCTGAAGCTTCCCCATTTCAAATTGGTTAATTGGTTGCCATGTCCTAGTCTCCCCCCAACACACTGAAAGTCCCAAAAATCGAATCATGTATTCCACAAAGAAAGAGTTCTCTAAAACACCAAGAGTTAATTTTTAAGAGGGGAAATTCAAAGAATCAGATGGTCATAAGAAAACTGATGATGGCCTCGCCTTGGCTCTTGAACTCCTGCCCAGTTCTTCGCGGTTGCACAGGATGATAGATAAATGCGCTTACATGACACACATACTACTTCTATCTGCAAGCTCAACAATTTTTCTAAAATTTATCGTCGACAGTTGTCGATGTTATTTCTACTTGCTTGTTATTTGCTCGTTCCTTCGTCGAAGGTAAGTCCATGTTAAATACTCAGAATGCGGTAAAATTTCCGCACAGTCCCTTACTACATTGTGCATTCAGTTCTTGGACAAAGAAAACAACGACAAAAACAATACATTGCCGTTATGAAAAAAGATTTGTTTCACAACACTATGGGACTGTGCGGAAATTTTACTCAGAATAAGCTTCATACAGATCCCAGTTGGTCATTGATGGAAACTTTTATTGATCCATTCAGTCTGGACTTCGTTCTTAAATGCACTGACATATATCGTATAACCTAGCTCTCGTATAACCTAGCTCTCGTTACAATGCATATTTGATTATTACTTATCTAAGCTTCCAATAGGGGCTATACGTTGATAAATAAGGCATCGAAACTCCTAGGGTGTTAAATAAATTAGATCAGGAAATTGCGCAAGAAATACCAGCTGTTTGATGACACGATTATGCACATGGGTTAGCGACAAAGCCCCATAGTTTTTCACACACACCTTGTTATATTTTGACAATGTCGAGGCTAATCTACTTAAATATATTTTATTTAGCCTAAAACAGCATGAGTGGTGATCCCCCTCACCCTCCCCCTCATATGTATTATCCACCTGCCGGACAACACCTACCTCCTCCCCCCGGACAAGGGTACCCACAGGTGAGTGCAGTATTATGAGCAAAGGTGGACACATTTGATTAACTGTGCACAAAATTTATTCCTAGACATTGCAGCCTATAATTGGATTTTAGCGATATTTTTATAACAGACATGAAAACAATGCAAACCTCAAAACCCAAAACCTGAATTTTCCCCTTCCTATACCAAAGGTAGAAATTCTCAGTTCTGGAGATAACTCAGCTGTTTGAATAGGACTGTCATCACCTTTGGAAATTAAATTTCTTTCCCAGTCATTAATTTGTAGCAATAATAAACCATGAGGCTTCTAAAAAGGCACAGTCAGATTCTTGGTGGATTTTTTTCTCTCAGTTATACTGTATGCTGTGATTTGTCAATTCATTTGCTCAGCCTGTTGGCATTTTGAGGTGTTTTTGTTTGCTAAACTCTCTTTGTTCTGGAAATTGTACTTGCGGTAAGAGTGATAATAAAATCAAAATATTTCATTATCTTAAAATTGTGTGCCAGAGCATGCCTACTACTGAGTATTTATCGCTAAATTTGTTTTGTGTATATTATGAAACATTCCTTTGAAGCTCCTCCTCTTGACCAGAAATTGTTACCTGGACAATTCAAACACAAAATGGAAAAGTTATGAACATCTTGCAAAGCTTGTTATCTTGGTTTTCCGTTAAAATTACTTGTTATCATTTTTTCCTTCTTTGATTTATAGCCTGCATGCCTCACTTGTTATTTATTGGGCCATAAATCTAAGGGTGGAAACTTGCACAACAGACTGCTAAGTTGGTTAGTGAGTGGTAGTATTATAATTATACAGATAATGAGTTGATTGTCTTTTTGTTGAATGCAGGGATTTGCACCACCAGCCTATAACCCAACTGGAGGATACTACATGCCACCCACACCTGCACAGGCTGCATACCCAGTAATGTCAAGCTTTGTACAATAGTTGTTTACTTAAATGAGTAAAAAAAAAAAATGACTGTTACTGACAGAACTAGCCATGTGTGGTAGAGTTTTTCAGGTCTTATTTTCATTACTGCTTAAGTTCAGTTCATTACTGGAAAGAGGGCTTTCATATTCATTTCTTGTATATTCACAGTCATTTAATCATCACTTCTTGGGTTTATTATGAATCAACATAATTATTAGCTCCCAGTTGGCTTGTTATCTCAGTTGTTAGAGCATGCACCAGTATCACAGAGATTATAGGTTCAATTCCAGTACAGGCCTGAATTTTTAGTGTTTAATACTGGGAAGAGCACTTTGATATTCATTTCTTAATCTGCACTTCAAATATATGATTTTCATATATTCACAGTCAGAACTAGCAATATTTACCTGTTACAAGGTAATCAAACACTGTAGCTTATTTTTATTGCTGATCAAAGAAGGTCCCTAGAACCTTCCTTTCAGAGCAAAACCCAAGTGTCTAACCTTTGTGCCCCTCACTTGAAAATTTAGATGTGTTATGTTAAAAGGAGTGTTAATTATCTTTGTGTTTATACAAAATTCAAGAGCAACAGCAATTGAGTGAGCTCATGAGTGATATGAAGTTACAAAATTTGTACATTTTGAGATTTTTGGTTAAACACTTTAACAATGGTAGGTTTTCACAGGGGCAACAATTATTTTGTCACATGCTTTTTATTTATGAAATGGACAAATTCCTTTTCCAAGCTAACATAAGTTGTTGGAAGGTAGGCAACATTTTCTACTGGTTGAATTTCCATCCAGTTTTGTTAAATCGTTAACTAAACAAACCAGATAGTGATTTATCTGGTGGATAGCATCATCTGTCTGTGAAAAAACTTGGGGCCATTTAGTTGGTTTTGAGTTATGAAGTGTTGATAAATCTTTTATAAATTTCTCCTGTATATCAAAAAATCTCTGAATTTATTTAAGATACAAACAAAGTTAACTGCCAGTCAAGATCAATCATGTTTTGTGGTTAAAGTAGAGTGGAGATCACTCTCCAATCCCTTCTTGACCTTAAATGTTTTTTTAATTGCTCTTCAGCCACCATGTACTCCTGCTGCAGGGTTTTATCCTGGACCAGCTGCAGGAGCTTATCCCCCTCCTCAGGGAGGTCCTTTACCTGCAGGTTATTTTCCCCCTGGTGGGCCACACACAGCACCACCTCATGGACCTTTCCCTCCACAAGGAGGACCACATTCAGGGACATTTCCAGCATATGGTGGACCACATCCACCTGGACCACACCTTGGTGCATTCCCACCAGGACCACACCCTGGTAACAAACATGTGGTAAGTGTTCCTGTGTTATTGGTTGAGGTATTGTTACAATACATTTGCAATTGAGGTACAATGATTCAATTTTATCTTTGTTTCAAATTGTATTTCCCTTTCTTTTAATGTCACCATCTTTCATAAACATCACACAAACTTTGGAAAGATAGAATTCAAAATGGAAATTTGGACCATTTTAACCTTGAAATGTGGCTGGGAAGAGTGCATATTTTTCTGTGTCTTGTTTTTGCAATGAATGAGTGAGAACAGTGAATCAATGTCTTATTATTTTAATGACATATTTAAATATGAAGCCACCCCTTCATTTTGTTTCAACTTTCTTTATTTCTGGCCCTCAAGACCCATTAACTTTTTAACAAAGTATATTTTTTCTATATTATTTTAACACTCTAGATCAAAATTATGATTTTTGCTGTTAATTAGAAGACATAATATGATGTGATGTGGTTTTTGCTTGAAATGTTCTGAATCAATTTGAAGACAAATTGAATGGACATAACTCTTTATGTTAGGTTGTGTTTAGAGATTTTGTGCTGACTGAGAGACTTGAGTGTTAAAGAGATCATTTTAACCGGTTCTTATTGACCAACCTGGGAGCCACTTTCGTGCCATTTGCACTATGACATCTTATGACAACAGCTTTCATGATCCTTCAGTCAGTTGCTTCCTTGTTCAAATTAGGGCTTACTTTCACTTAAACCTCAGTAGAATTACTACAATAAGGCAGCAAGAAAAAAGGAAAATTAAAGGAATTGTGGAAGCTGTAGTAAACTAGATTCATTTCAAGTTAATGGGTCCTGAATTCACTTTTTTTCTTTTGTCTTGTCACAAGTGTGGAACAAAGAAAAAATTATGAGTCTCCATGAGGAATCAAACCTCAGACCTTTGGATTCCACGCTCCAATGCACTAACCACTGAGCCACAGAGAGGAATCTAACCTCAGACCTTCGGATTCCATGCTCCAATGCTCTAAGGGTTAGAGCATCGGAGCACTAAATCTGAGGTTTAATTGCTCGTGAGGACTCAGAATTTTTTCTTTGTCCCACACTCATGACAAGATGAAAAAAAACATCTTTCTCTATTTCTTTACCGAGCTCAAAAACTTACCATCTTTCTTATTTCTATCTGTAGTGAACTGTTACCTTCAAAAGAATGACCTAGTAATGGTAGATGTAGGTACCCATCTATACACACGAAGTATCAGTATTATTGATTGAATTCAACAATTCTTTCCTTTTTTTTTGCACAGGATGTGGAAAGTGATGACAGTGACCCTTCAGGATTTGGTATGTTTTTAAAGATTGAAGAGGAGGTTAAAGGAAGAGATGTGTCAAGACACTCTTACTAATAGAGTTCTTGTTGTGACTGCACAGTACACATATAGACTATACATGTCAAATGGCAAAGCAGTTCAGCACTTTGTTAATTTGTCGCCTTAAAGGCATTGTTACTAAAGGACCATTCTTTAAAATGGTGATAGATATAAAAAATTTACTCAGAGGAAAAATAATCATTGAAGCAAACAAGGACAGGGTTTAACTTCAAGGAGATGCTAAACTGACAGTTGAGAGAAATATATTTTCTTCAGAGGAAAATCCCTTTAAAGCAATCATCACAGCAAATTATTATCTATATTCCTATTCCTTGCTGGTATCATGTTGGGCATTTTTTCTTATCTTAACCCAACACCTGATCAAATGAGACTGTTTTATAACAGTTTCATCTAATTATAATTACAAACAAAAGGATGCTTGTTTCCAGATGCTCATTTAATTTTCCTTTCAGGCACCCTTTTTGAGAAAAATCTTCTCCATGGAAGTAAAAAAATTGTGATTATTTGGTTTTGTCACTAAACAAACAGACACTCTGTTGCTGACAATTTACTCTAAATTTTAATTAATTCATACAAGACAGCTTTGGCAATGACCAAGCCTACTTACACTCTAGTTAGACAAGATAAAGCTTGAATTAATAATGGTAATAGGACCAAGTGGAGTCCAATTCAGTCTGTAATCATACAAGTGATTGACAAAATCGGAGGAGGGAGTCCAATTTGTTAATTGCTTGTTTGTTTACAGACAGAATTAGACAACAAGAAGTCCTATTACCTATAAATCATGACCATTTCAATTTCCGAAAAAAACAAATGCACCTAGAACAAATATCTCCTGTGGAGACAATGCCATTGGTTGAAAACTCCTCCATTTTGGAAATTCCTCAGTTTTTTCTTTTGGTGGTTGTTACTATGGTTATTGTGATCCTTTCTGTGATTGGTGGATTAGCTGAGTGGATTGGTATGATCAGCTGCTTCAACTGTCCGATTACAGGTGTCCAATTACAGTTGATGTCCAATGAATGTACAGAATGAGTAGTGAAAAATGAAGCTGCAAATGCACCAATAATATTTGAAGAATTTGTAGTGGTTATGATAAATGTGAATATTTTAGAGTGCAAGAACTGGTGTAGGAAGCTTGTAGGTAGCTTTTTAGTTAAGCATATAGTATCTTTGGCATCAGGTTTGAATTTTTCAACTTCTGCAGCTCTGTACTCCAAAGAAGATAAGCATCCACTCTCCGTTAAGTTCACTAACAAGGCAGGCAAGAAAGTGAAACTGTTTTGGATCAACAAAAGAGGAAGGAGGAAAAGAAAAGGAAATATAAAGGAAGGCCAAAGCAAGACAGTAGACACCTATGAGACGCATGTTTTCATGGCCTTCAGTAGGAAACTAAGTCGTGAACCTCTGCCAATTAATGGTTCTCCAGTATTTTATGTTTTCCCTCACAAACATGGTGATAAGCATGTGGAAGTTGAAATAAAGAAACCATCAGGTATGGCAATCCCGTGTGTAACACAAGTGTAAACTATTTCTAGTAATTTCCACATTTATTATAATGATTACAGAAACAACCCTGATCATATGGAATACAAGGATGGATAGTTATCAACAGATGATATAAGATTTAAGGTTTCTTAATCACCTCGCACGAGGTGATTATGGTTGGGGCGCTAAATTTTTAAGTGACTGCCTCACACTTTGTCAATGTTTCTGAGGAAGTGACAAACGCGATGGAAGAAAATTCAATTGCAAGGAGTACAAAAAATGATTCTGCGCTTGGCGGAACACTTTTTAAGAGAAAGATAAAAAGCTTTTGCTGGTTTAACTGAATAAATATGCTAAAACTCTTTGCTTATCTTGATACGAGTAATCACCACAATTGTAACAATATGCACAATGCTTTCTTTCTTTCTTCAATTTCTCTATTTATTTACAGAATTTGCAAGAGAATTCGAAACCGCTTGAGCAATTATACCTAAACAATTATACGCCTCAGGCTCAGTGAATATTATTGTTGAATAATTCCCGAGACAAAGTCGAGGAGATTATTAAACAAATTATGTTCACTGAGCCTGAGCAATTATACTAAAACAATTATTCGCCCTAAGCTCAGTGAGCATCACTGAGCCGAAGGCTAATAATTGTTAAATAGCATTACACGTAACAGACACAGAGTTTGTCTGAGCAGTAACATCACATCCGACTGGAGAATTTAAGAGGTGTAGTGATACCAAAAACAAACTAATACGGAGGAATTCACACTTTGTTATAAGTCTTGACCGGAATGCAGTTACCAAAAGTACAAAGTAACCGGCTTCAACATTTAAAGAAGGGTTACGAGTGAAGGCACTTAGTTGTCAAGTGCACTTATGGTCAGTTAATATTATTGGTAAAACTGGAATACTGTTTGGCCCATATCATGTAACTTCAGTTAAAACTTAATTTAGGTCAAATGAAAGCTTTGCGATGTTTTAAGTTGTTTTGCGTCTGTTGTAACGCGATGTTAAAGTTATGCGAACACTTGTAGGTATTAGGAACATAGCAACACACGAGAATTTATTATCTTAACAGGAAGAACACTTTTACGAGCGTTTGAACCATACAGTACTTACAGACTCATTGATGAATACTAGAGGTGCTTGCACGTTATCAATTTTGTCCTCCGTGAGAATTCTTACTGTAAGCGAAGATTATCGTAAATTGACCGAGAACAAATAACTCAAATGTTTTCGTTATTGTGCCTTTCATCAAATCAATTTACATTTAATTTAAAGACATTTCAAGGAACATTCCTGAGGAAAATGTATGCGCCTCATTAAAATTGTCGGAAGGTCTAAAAGGAACTCACTTTATATTGTTGCTACTGTACGTTTACAGAATAAATATCAATAACATTGTTTAAAAGTGTAACGATTATTTTTCTTTCTCAGGAAGTTCATTCAACAGTTTGAAGTCAGAGGCTCACGTGACCGTCCCTGTTGAGGTGAAATTTGTGAACCGTGTTAAGTGTCCAGTCCAGTTGGAATGGATCAATCCTCAAGGCCGCCGTGAGACTAAGAAGCATCTCGCCAAGGGTCGATGCTGGCGCACCACTTCCTGGGAAGGTCATTACTGGGTGTGCACTGACCCAAAGAAGGATGGTCATTTCTTTGCCCTTAATTATGGTCTTCATTACAGAGTGCAGAAGACTAGAAGAGCGCGAGAAAGAGTTGTCATTACAGCAGGTAACATACTTATTTGCTGTATCTTATCTTCAAAAGAAATGAATAGCTCGGTTCCTTTTTTAAGAGAGCTTTGAGAGAACTCCACCGAGTACCAACTCCTTACAATGGCTGTAGGTCCACAAAGCGTGTTACAACTGCCTGGATAACCTCTTCTCTTATTGTCCTCAATATCAAAGCAAACTTTTCACAAAGTGGTTTATTCACTGTGCGTTTCCCGTATGGTTTAGTTAGCAATTGTGTGCAGCAAATCTCTGGTTTGTCTTTCATTAGCACATTTTGCTGTTTTGCCTACTTAAGAGCTGAAATAGCTATATTTTGGAAATAACAGTGTTCTAACATTCGAAATAAGAAGTTACCTTCCATCACGACCCTCTCTTTGCCACGGCTTCTTCCATCTGTCCTCAAGGTGGCTGTTGTAAAAAAAAACCGTAATAAAATGAATGGAAAAGATATCCGATACAACGATCAGATTTTGGTAGTACCTTGAGAGGCTATTGTTACTCCTCATTATCTTCAAACAAGGGAGCCCTTACTCAATCATCCCATTTTTTTATTTCCAGGATCAAATATTTCTGGAAGCAGTAGTAGCAGCAGCAGCAGCAGTGACTAAGGAACGACTGAACAGAAAATCGTATCTGCAGCTGTGTTGGAAATACGTCATTGCAGTGCTGTACTTGTGCTACTTGAATAATTGTCTTTGTATTGCAAATTAATAATACAAACTGAGTGACATTGATATCCAGTGGAAGCTTTCTTAATTAAGGACAGTACCTGCAAATAGAAATCCAATTTTGTCTGGCCAGTGACTGAGCAAGCCAGCTAGATCTTATCAAAGTCAAGAAAGAGCAGTGGGGGTAGCCACGCAATATTGTTCAATATCTGGAGAAAAAACCCTGACGTTGTATCTTTTCAAAAATGAAATCAAGTAAAATTTCCTTGGTGATTCCATTTTTATTCCTTTTTAAAAAAAACAAAAAAAAAAAAAAAACAGTAGTGAACGTAAACATCTTTACATAACAAGCAAAGACGATCCTCAGAACAGCGTAATGTTAGTTTTTATCATCAAAATGATTGCATCAAGGCTATTTTTAATCGCTTAACGGCATCGGATGTGTCATCACTCTACTGCTGATGATGCGCAACTATACATTACGTTCAAGACGTTATTTGTTGGCAATACGAATCAAAGTAGAACCAAATTAGTTAACTGCGACCGGTACATAGACACACGGATGCTTTGGAATGAATTGAAATTGAGTAAAGATAAGTCACAAGATCTCGTGATGTCTTCTTTCTATCGACCTCGGCCAACACTGGTTTTTGTTGTTGTCGGGGAGCAGTAATCGCATCCCGACTATAGTAAAAATCGTAACAAACAATACTGTGGACAGGCTTTGAATACCAGGTTTTGGGGGGGAGGAGATTCAGAAAGTTTTTCTGACTTGGAGTACAATCGAGCGTTTCCACTCAAGAATAAAGGTGAAAAGTCCAATCTCAGCACATAATATGGGAGAAATCGCTCAGATTACTGGAAATTATGATGGGTACTATCGCAGGTATCCAAAACAATAGCGTATTTAAAAGTTTGCGTGGTTCGTATTGAACATAGTGGTTGCAGGCGTTAATATGTCGCTTTAAACATCGACGAGATGCAAGCTAAGTTCTTTTTTGATTTCTCGTTTAATTAGCCATGACATAAAGAGATAAACATGGATAACTTTTATTTGAGTGGTTGCGCTTTTGAAAACACCTCCTGATTTCAGGATTGCAATAGAAACGTAGAACCCTTCACGTAATCTATTCTCTAAATGACTGAACGTCACCTTCCATTTTCGATCTATGGCACTCTGCGCTGACATTCTTCAGTTACTTCCTGACGGCGATCAGTAGTTAAATAATCAAGTTAATACATGAACCACGAGAGAGGAGAAATGCCAATAATTTCAACAGTGCCTATTGTTGTACAGTTAGAAGTTATTGTAGTTAAAAAAGGAATGACCTGTAAAGTGCCAATGCCAAAGTTAGGGCAAAATTATCCATCGTCTACCGTCCACCGTCAACCGTCTACTGTCTACTGTCTACTGTCTTCCGTCTACCGTCGTCGTCTATCGTTAATCGTCTATTGTCTATCGTCTATCGTCTGTCGTTTACCGTCTATCGTCCCTGTTTTAGTACATGTCGTTTCGATTTTCTTTCGGGAATCAAGCAAGAGTGTAGCGGTAAATTTTCACAAATATACCTAGTTATCCTGGAAATGGGTTTTGAAATCATTCCAAACAGCATCGTCTCGTTTACAAGGGAACAATTTACGCAAACCTCAGGCATGTTTCTGAAATGACGTTCCCGTCGTCTGGCTAAAGTAAGTTCTCCCCAGCAAGTTCACGACGTCATTTTTGCTGGATTCCCGTTGCGATCAAAACGCCTGGGATTTGCGTAAATTGTTCACTTGTAATTGAGCACTTGTTCCCGTCCTCTTGCTAAATAATTACTCTCTTTATTATGAAGCGGCATAGGTTTTTTTCCACTACCGGAAGCCATATTTACGACGATAGTGTAACTTAACAAAAGTCCACAAAAACGTGAAACAAAGGAAACCGAAGTTGACAGATGTTAGATCATCGGAATCTTCCGCGTGTTGGTAACAAGAATTATAATAAAGTTCGGATATAACGCGCGCTGTCATTGTTTGAAAGAGCGTGCTCTATGAGATTTCATATAATAAGCTCAGTTATGCACGCATTCTGATTGGTTCTTACTTATGATCTATTGCTTCATGCGTGCTTTACAACAGAACAGAGCACAGTCAAGTCTATTTGTTAATTAACGATGGTAATTGTTCTTTCTCCTTTTGTTGTGGCGCGGAAGATGGGGCTAGGGACACGAAAAAAGGAAGAAGGATATACAGTAACCGGATATTTCATTCTACATTGCAAAATTTCCTTTCTATTTATTTCTATTTCCGTTAAGCAGTCATATTGAGAAACTAATTTTCTGACTGTCTAATTCTGCTCTTCGCGTTATACAGTAACGCGATAGATCAAGAGTGTCTCTGTGGTAGATCTAATCAGTTTATGATTAATTATGGCCTTTACCGTATCTTTTCTTAGATTTTCCCCGCTTTTCCCCTGTCCTGTAAATTCGAATTTTTGAAACAGAAATTCTCCGAAGCAGGAGCCCATCACTTAGGTCCGAAGGGATGAGTAAGAGAGGGAGCCCTGGGGACGGGATCGCTATTTTCTATTAATAAAAAATAATTATCAATAAAATTTGATTATTGGTTAAAATCGAAATTAACTATTTCTACGAAAATTAACGGTGGACAATCGACATGGCCCTAACGTCCTCCACTAATGTCTTATTATGACATTAATTAGCAACGATTTCATAATAGTTCATATTAGTGCTTGAGAATACACTGTTATCATTGATCACAAGGCTGATAAATATTAACACTTCTAAAATTGCAAAATCGCTTCATTTTAACGGGGGCAACTTAGAGCAACGTAAGTTAAATAAACACAAGTTTTGATTCGTGAAAAGCGTTTTTTAAAACAATGACGCGTTCATCAAAACATCGTGGATGTTTTGTTCCGATGCGTTTTCGTCAAGATGCGAAAGTTTAGACCAAAATTTGTCCATTTAAACTCTGGACAAAAGGTGTTCCGTGGAACGATGTCCTTGGTTAATGAATCTTGCATGGAACGATTTCACCCAACATATATGAAATTTAAAGATCCAATTTAAGAACTTAAATGTGGAGACAAAAACGCAGCGTGCGATTGGGTAAGTAAACATTGTGGAATGTACATCTTCAGAAACGATATAATTTTACTTTCGTAACTTATACGTCTTCTAAACAAAATAACATGACATTTTGGCGTTTACACATCAAAAATAGATATAATCTTCTGCAATTTGAAGTTTTCCTATTGGCCAATCAATGTGTAATGTTCTGGATTTCTGAATGGTATGAGACAAATATGCGACAAATTTTAATGAGGCGCGGCCATGTTGGCTACGTCACCATTGTAGTATTTAGCGATGGAATGTGGCTTTGTGTCAACGATTACGAGAAGAGGAATTTTCAATATTTTATTGCCTTAACTATTCCGAAACAAAGGCGATCTTTGAAGTCAGAACGTTGAATGCCTGGCGATTGGCCTTTTAATGCACTAGAGAGCGACCCAGAAGGTGCGTGAAGAAGGGTCCGTGAACTGAATGCGAAAACAGAAAGCATGTTTGTAGTAATGACTGTTTGTAATAATGACCTAGAAGTCTGTTCTTAGCAGTCAGTATACTAGGCGACAATGTTAAAAGAAATCATTAAGTTGAGAAATCTTTCATGTCGCTCGCCAGGTTATTATTCTTGTCTTCTATCTTTTTCAGGTTTAACAACGCTGGAAGGCAATTGCTGTTGAAGGAGTTGTCTGGGACAAATTTTAGTTTGACATGACCGCTCCGGTAAGCATTCCCAATATGTAATGTTTTTAGAACCTACCTCCTGGAGTTTGGAGCAAACATACGAAAGCAATTTTAATGTTTGATGTTCGAGACAACGTGAAGTAGGTACTGAAATATGCTCGCTTGATACCTGATCTAATGTAAAATAGCAACAATCTCGGAGTGATTGTTTGTATTTTCTGTATAGATGTATGTGTTGCAATCAAATTTTTATCAATTGAAACCCAGAAAAAAGGTAAGAAACATGTTTTAGAAGTGATCAAACTTGATAGTATTGTTGAAAAGCTTTCTCACAGTATCGATATTGCGATATAGACTCATTGATTAACTTGTCAAGGAATGTTTAACTTGTGAATCTTAAATGTATCAGGAGACAGTAATTTTTTAAAAACGGTAAACGAATCAAAACATTATCTTTACCGTATTTAAACTTGTTGAAATTATTTTTAAGCGTTATCCATCGAAAACCTTGAACTTTTGACACAAATGTTTACACCCACGTGGTTTAATCATTTGGATTCGGCTTTACCTGAATGTCCCTTAGCTACAGAACACTAGCATTAGTTATTATATCAGCACAATACAGTGCATTTGAAGAATTTCTTGTGTTTTTGTCATTGTACTATTATCACAATCAGTTCTGTGAGTCAAAGAATTTAAGTAACCCCATATATTTACATTACCATCCCTGACACACAATCATTTACATGTCAACGAATTATTACTAAAGCAACAAACCACTCTTTCTATCGGTTTGCTGGCTAATAAATCATGCAGGATGTTGGGAGAACACGAGAAAAGTTGGTAAACCATGAGGCATAGCCTTGTGGTTTATGAACTTTTTTAGCACTCTCCCAAGTGGTTTATCTGCTGGTAAACTGATAGAAAGTGTGGTTTATAGCTTTTTTGGCCTAAATAAATATGAGTGAAGTTTGTCAGAGAGAATGATAAATGTATTCTTATTTTGTGATCAAGTTGTTGATTCTCATGAAACCCACCAAAAAGTACAATTAACCAATCAGAGTGCTGGAAACTGAAAGAACTCCCAGCCAGTAGAGTAAAGACTGTAATTACTTTATTGTTGAATGAAAGCAATGGTACAGAGAAAATGAGCAGAAAGTGTAAAGAAAACTAAATATTTTTCTCACTGTGTTCAAAAAATTTTCAAATTTTTCACTACTTTGTCTGTTCTTGTTTGCATGTCTGGCCAAGCCTTTATGGTCATTGCCCCCTATAGAGCGGCTAACTACAGCTTATAAATACAGGCATTTAGTTTTAACTTGTAAAACTCCTTGAAGAAGTCTACAACAATTAGACGAAATGCATCGGGAATAATAAATTTGTACCACTACTGTTTGCAGAGTGCTGCTCACTGGTACAGTTTTGAAAAAATTATTTAAAAAATTGATTTAAAAAATTGAATGAGGTTTCCTTTTATTTATGCAAATACCAACCTTCATACAAAAACATTAACAATCACCTTAAATTGTAATTTTGAAAGGTGTCTGTCAATTTGTTGTCTTGCTTCTCAGCACATTTTCTGGTTTTTCCATTTTTGCTGCAGGTTTTTCCTTTGCCTTTGATAACTTTTCCCATCATTGTGTTGCCCTCTTCAATGCTCCAGTGAGCAATTGAGACACCTCCTCTAAGGAAAAAATGCTTAAATTATAGCAGAGCTTGCAGAGCATAGCCTCATAATTGTACAAAATAGTAACCCATCAAGCCGAATAAATTTGGATGTACAACTGTACGACCGTACGACCATACAAGGTGCTACTTTTAACATGCATGGTCAACTGTACCGCGGGCACGCTAACGCCATGGCTTTGTCCAGTAGTCCAGTGGTCAGTGCACTGGGCTCCGAGTCAGATGACTTAGGTTCTAGTCCTGGCTGGGGCAAGGTGTTGTGCCCTTGAGACATGCGGGAAAAAAAAGATGTCAGCTCCGCTTTTAGGCTTGGCTAAAGTATTTTCTTAAGTATACTTTGGCAAACCTAAATGTTCATTATATACTTAGTATATGTAACACCTCAATTTATATTTGTAGTATCATGTAGATTAGATTTAGAGCTTAATTTGGTTAACACTGGGAACCCTTTTCTTCACACGAATGATGTAGTCTATCCAAAAAAACTTTTTTTTGAAAAAACATCTGCAAGCAGTGAAGAAGCCATTTCAGTGTGCTGCTGTCATTACAATATTTTTAACTAATTCATTGCCTAAAAGTTCTGCTTCCAGTGAAGACAAAAAATGTACTATTCTCTACAACAGAAGGTTGCACCCTCATTTTGTAAGTAAATAAAAAGAAAATATATCTTTTATTTGGCTGAAAGATTTGTTAACATGACACATTCTTGGTTCTCAATTTTCACTTTTTCATGTGAGCATAAAAAGCATGCTTCCACTTCTGAAAATTGTGCTGATTTAAAAGAGACTGAAGAAAAAAAAATCAGTCATTGTTAAATATAACATGGGATGGGTGTTTTGAAATCTATTTCTCAGTTGTAACATGTAGAGACATTTTGGGAAAGACTTTATGTGCTTTACTGATGGCAGTTATCATTCCTCATAGGCGATACTGGCCAAAGCTCTTTTTGACAACCTTGCTGATGCACCTGATGAATTAAGCTTCAGAAAAGGTGACATCATTACTGTGCTGGAACAAGATGTGGACGGCTTGGTTGGCTGGTGGCTCTGTTCATTACATGGAAAACAGGGAATTGCTCCTGGAAACCGTCTACAGGAAATCAAACGACGATTAGAAGAACAAAATTCACCTGATTCACAAAAGCCTGCTGAACATTTTACATTTGAAGAGATAGATTATGATATACCAAAGTCTTGTGAGCCTCTAGAGGATTATGCTGTACCACGGGGAATAACAAGTCCTGATTATGATGTACCAAATGCTAACAAACTGGATGCACATGGACATCCCACATCTGAACAGATTCAGCAATTAGAACATCAGTTTAATGATCTTCCTGGTAATAGTTCATTTAACAATGAAACGACCAACAAGCCATCAGGAATTGAAAGATTAAGTGATGATGTGTATGATGTACCCTCAGCACTTGTTGAAGATGACTTTCCCCAAGATGTTTATGATGTTCCTCAGCATGCACTGAACAGAGAAGAGATTGGTGTAGATAAATTAACACAACTTGATAACAATTCAGAAAACAGCAATGTCCTTGATCCAGGCATTTCAAGAGAAAATTTTAAGATTGAACTTCCCTCACATGCTCCCGAAGAACCTGGTATATATGCAGAAATATATGATGTTCCTTCAGCAACTGATCACGAAAAGGCACCTGACAGACTAGTGAATGGGGCAAGTACTTCTCCTAGAGGAAGTATGCATTCTGTTCCCCAAGAAAACAGAAGCAGTGCAGAGTTAACCAGCCGTGTATCTCATCTGTTGTCTGGTGTCAGTGGTGACAGCAAGCGTCAATCAACATCTAGCTCAGACAGTGCAAAGATAAGTTCAGATGATGACTATGTTGATTATCAAGAGATTTACGGAGATGGCAGAGTAAAAGATGTCAGTATATATGATGTCCCTGTTCAAGTAAGTAATTAGGCAAATATCAGTTAGAGCTAATGCTATATACAGTACAGTATTTAAGGTAGGGGGGAGCTTGAAACAAAGAGGCCCACCTGAAATTAAAGTTCCTGACTTGCTATTTAAATTAAACGTGATTGCAAAAATGTTGTGGAGGTCATATTTTTCATAACTTTTATAAATATTACCAACAGTGGGGCTATTTATTATCAGTTTTCATAGGGTACAATCAAGAAAAAGATCTGTGTCATGATCACTTTCAGCTGTATCAATTGCAATAACAAAAGAAAGGCACTCATCATCACCCTCCTGCTATTTCATATCCAGACTAATGAAATTTAGTTTTTATTCAAGTAAGACCCATAGTATGCTTGGAAATATTGCTACCTGTAACACATTTTTTAATCATATCCTTTCATCTGTTTTCTGTTTTAGCCAATTCCACTGGAGCAAGGTAGTGGACTCCCTACCACAAAAAGAACACAAGTGAGTATCCTACAGCGTATAAATATGAATGCTGTCAAGGGACTAAAGCTGAATATACCAGATGCATTGCAGCGTTTGACAAAACTTGAACAAGCAGTTAATGGTGCAGTTAACAAATTGTTAAGCTTTGTCACAGTTACATGGCGGAACCCAGAAGTTCTAAAGCCTCATCTAGCAGACATCAGAGATATTGCTGGGAAGGCAAAAGTGGCTTTGAGATTGTTAACAGAATTTGCCCTCAGTTCACTGGTCAATGCAAGAAATCTTCCAAACCATCAGGAGCTCAGTGGTAAGCTGAGCAGAGCAGTTGAGCCATTGTTGGAAACATATTACTCAGTCAAACTGGCATTGCAAAGACTTGATGAAAATGGTTGGAGTGTTGCTTTGGAAAAGAGTGACAAAACACATGATGACCTTGATCTGATTATGGTGCACATCCGCTCTGTTCCTGAGAATTCACAAAACTTGGCTGCTGTTATTCGTACTGCTTCAACTGTACTTTACAGCAAACCAAGCAAGAAAAGTCAAGGAGAAGCTTCCCCATCAGATCGAAGGAAACCTGGTAATGACTCCCACATGCATAGAGTAAAGCAAAACAAAATCTCTGAGACAGATTCAGATCAATCAGAAATGGAGAGGCGAACACTAATCACAAGTGCATTAAAAAACACTGTTGATGCAAATTTCAAGCCTGCAGCTAATGGAGCAAAGTGGAGTCCTACAACGGTTCGGCGTGTTTGTGGTATGGACATCCCTAAAAGGAACAGTAATAGCAGTGAAGAAGAAAGCTCAGCACCAAAGCTTCCAATGCGCTTGCATTCATGTACAAGCAGAGGTAGAGATTCCAGTTCAGGAGAAGACACAAGATCCCCACCAGCTCCCCCACAGAGAAAAGACAGCAATGAAAAGTGCCAGCATCTTAGGCAGAAAAGTTTAGATAAATTTCCTCTTGAAGCAACAACTATGGAAGCAATGGGGCCACCTCCCAAACCAAAACTAGACAGAAAAAATACATCAAGAAAAAGTTATAAGATTCCTTTGTACTCTGATCACAATCGCAATAAGGGAGACATTAACCTGAGAGAGCGCAAGACATCTGAAACAGAACCAGTTACACCTCGTCGAAAGTGTAATTCAGATCCAACACAGCTACAAGATCACAATGATATGAAGGAAGAACAAGGCTCATTGGAAAAAAACAACTTAGCTCAGAGTTTACTCAAGCAGAGCCTAGTGCATATCTCTGATTCTGACTTACCCCAGAGTTTGAAAGGTGCTAGTAATAGCCACTCATCAACTCTTCCACTTCAAGATAAAAGAAAATTATTCTTTGATTTTACCAATGTTGCCCCTAGCCCAGTGCATCAGCATCCTTTTTCAAACTTGATCAAAGACAATGGTGCCACAAAGGGATTTATGGTGTCTTTGAATGATCGTGAGCTTTTAGAGTTCTACAAGTATGAGATAGATGCCCAATTATTTGTGCTTAGTGAGGCTATCAAAGGGTTTTTTGCTGTTGTGGACAAGAATGAGAGTCCAAAGGTATTTGTGTCCAGTAGTAAGTTTATTGTGTTAAGTGCCCACAAGTTTGTGTACATTGGTGATACTTTGAGCAAGAGGATCAAACAAGGTGATCTTAGGAGTGAAATAATGGTTGTGACTAACAAACTGTCCAACTACATCAAGAGTTTAGTGAGTGCAACGAAGTCAGCGGCATTGCAGTACCCTGCATTAAATGCTATGCGAGAGATGAGTGAAACTGTTGTCCAAGTAAACAATTTTGCAGTTGAGTTGTACCAGATAGTAAAGAAAACCACAAAGAGTGCCTAGAACTCTAGGTCATTCCCCAGTACGGTCAAAGGAGTAATATTTTAGAAGATGAAGATGAGTGTGAACAAAGTGAACCATGTACTTGTAATTTATGGTGTTTTGGGTGCTTGAAATTAAATATCAGGCCATTTTGTCCTGGATTTGAAGAATTCTTACATTTCCCCCCTTATGATAATGAACACTTTGAGGATTTTTCAATTTCTTTAGGAGACATTAACTTAATTAAATAAAGAAGTCAAAGCAACCCATGTAGAGCAACAAGGGTAACTAGACAAAAATGTAACATGGTGATTATGTTTTACATATTTTTTTTCAAGACTTTTATTTTTGTGTTGTAAGTCTGTCTAAACTTGAAGACCACTCAGGGTAAAATGTTGCACTGGAATGTATCTGTCATCTGTAGGTGTAAATTGACTTGAAGGAAAAGACAAACATTTGGGAATTCTCTTACTTAGAACGATTTTTGATAAAGGAGAGTTTTCAATTTAACGGTAAGAATGTACAGTTACTGAATTTCAATTTTTTTCCTTTGCCTTCAGTAATTTCCATTTGACGTCAACAGAGTGCTTAGCCAGATAATTGATGTAGATATTTTATGCATGACCATCTTGTGAAAACAACAATCAATCTATTAATCAGCACATGTGATCAAATTTTAAAGGAAGTGGTAATATAGCACTTGCTTCAAAATTTAATCATTTTATAATATGTTGTTAATAGCTTGATTATAGAAAGTATTCTAAAAGGAGCAACTTCTCACGTGTCATGTGACTAGTAGAGAGCTATATAAACAAGTTTTGTAAGAAGAAAATGGTTTATGTTTATATTCCCTAGGCCTAATGTAGACATCAATGGAATTGTGTGGGAACCTTCATTCTTTATTCTTGTTTCAAGTTTACCTCCAATGTTTTTTTAACTGGCTGTATTTTTCGCTGGCTATACTTTCCATTTTGGGAAATATTTGATAATAGACACTGATTTGTAAATATTAAAATTTGCATCTTACATGAAAGGTTAACCACGTATTTGTTTCACTTTTGCAATAGGCCAATATCTAGATAGCATCACTTTACCACAGCTACCAAAATTACATATTTTCCCTTTTTATTCAATTGCAGCAATCCCAAGAATTCCTGAAAGAATCTGGAACCTATGGTTAACCCTTTAAATCTTAAGAGTGACCTAGCATCTAATTTCTTCTGACAATATCACACATAAAGGTCATATGAATAAAGGAAATGATCTTCAATGAAATAAACTTTTGATCAGTAAACAAATTTTCCTTGTCAGCACCTTACAAAATGTATCAAGAACAGTATGGAGAATATGCATACTGATGTTAGGATGTAAAGGGTTGAAAGGTATCCTTGTGCAAATTGCCCTTCCTCAGCATAACCACTCATTAAACTTTAATTACGTTATTTGGACATTTTCAAACTCAACCTTGTCCCTATGGTGTTCCCTCTTTAACCAGCAGTAAGAAGAGGGATCATCTAAAGGAAGTTAGCAAGATCTGATAGGAAGATCTACTCACACTCTCAGGTGAGCACACAGATCTTCAAATGATGTGTCAAACTTTGGTAAATCTATGGGTGATGCTTTGCTCAAAACTTTTAACTGTCTGCTTGCCCTAATCCCTTGTGGGCACATCTCTTTTGAGTACCCCTCTACAGGGTTTGGGATAAGAAGAGACTGTACATGCATCTGACTTACCAATGTAGCTATCTATTCACACTGCAGTCATTTCCTTATTTGGAAATTTAGTGGTGTGTGCTGTTTGAAATAACTTTCCCACAATCCGCCTTCAGCACAGTACCTTCAAGTAAGATGGGTTCATGGTTCTTATGGGAAATGGCATAAATTATACGTGGACAGATAGGTGCTTTTGACAGTTACTTTCTAGTACAAGTTACTCACTGAAAGCAGGCCCTAGCTATGTTGCCTGGAATTTTTAAAGTTAGACTCTTACATACAAAGTATGTTTAGCTTTATTTATGGGACGTGATTTCAAGGCTGTTTGTGTTCTCTTCTGCCGAAGTCCCTACACATTTGTATTTCACCTAACCCAACTGGGTCATCATTATTGTACATGAAACAGCCTTGGTCATTGAGCTTCTTGCCCAACAAAATCAATCATTTAAATATGGTGAAAGCGAGTATTTAAGATCCTGTTACTTCAGGTAAAGTGATAATTAATACTCACACAGTTGGAGGAGGAAATGGGATTTCACTGAAGATACATTTGAAGAAAGAAGAAGCCATTTCAAAGAATGCATGATCTTTTTCAGCCTGGAAAATTACCTTGACGGCTGGGTATTTTTTCCTGCTCCCAGTTATTACCTACACCCCAAGGTCTTTCTCAACTATTATGTTTAAAGGTCTGCTAATTCTTCAAGCAGAAAGCTTTAGTGGTCACATGTAGGCACTTCTCTTTATGAACCCCTGGCGGACTGGGGTGAGGATAGACGACAATTCAAAGTCATGAAAGTTTCTTCTCATTTAGTAACTGTTTCATTATTTGGACAACTAGTAGTCAGTGGTGTTAGCTCTTATTTTCCCATACCCATTTTCAGTACAGTGCAATCAAGGAAGTGGAGCAACGCATCATACCATTTATCCTATCCAAGAGTCAGTATTTATTGCCGATCAGTATTTATTGCCAGTTAAATGCTCCATAAAAAAAAGAAAACTTCAAAGCATTGAGGATGTTTCTCCTTTGCATAGGCTTCAGGTTAAGTGGTTACTACAGTATGCCACCGAGATTCCTCAGTTTATGATAGAATTAATTATTTCATATTTCTACAAAAATGTGTTGAACAAGATAGTTGCACTGCTAAAACTGTCTGCAGGTGCTACAGAGCTTACATAAATATCAACACCATTTATAACCATCATTCCATGGAAAGAGTGTACAAACAATGTTAATTCAAGAGTTGTGATGCATCAAAAAAAGGAACAAGTGGGTGCAGCAAACAAGTGAGTTTTTTGACACATTGCAATGAGTGAATAACAATTGTTCAAGCACTTTCTGCTTTCATACTGAGATTTTATCTCACTGACCAACACATCTCAAAGACTGTGAAAATCATTGTTCGTCCAATCAGAGACATGAACAACAGTATCTCAGAATGCGTGAAATAAAGCATATTCTGCCATGAGAAAAATCAGCCCCATAAAATAATTGTAGGTCCTTGTGACGATCATAAAAAAGAATGATTCTGAAGCTGGAGGCAATGGAAATCATAGTCCTGCCATTATTCGCTGCGCTTGCTTCAGTTCACCAAGTAATACACTAAATTTCTGTGACGTCATGGAGAATGATACAGGTCGTAAACTGTGGCTGTTGTTATCTACTTCATTAAACCTGAGCTGGACCTCTGGCTCCACCATCTCATTTAATTCACTGCAGCCTAAGACGAAGTCCACTCTCCACTCCAACCCAGTTAGTTGGTTCAGCTTTATACTACTTCGCAGGAAAGAACTTTGCAAGTTGGTTAAATTTTCTCCATAAGTTTTACAGAGTGCAGTAGAGAGTTCCTTAGGCAAGCCAAGCTGTTGAAGTTCGTTAGATAATGAATCGCTATCCACGCTGTACTTTGCAGCACTTGAGAGTATAAACGAAAGAGCTGCAATTGAAGCTTTCACATCTGACAATTCATACTTTGCATCCGATGTCAACTTCTCAACTTTGGCGTAGTCGATCTCTTCTCCCAACAAATCTTTGATCATCTGAGCACAAACAAGCCTCATCTTTACAGACGTTATTTTTGAAAGAGTACTTATCTCTGCAAGTACCCAATCTGGACAATCCAAATCTCCGCAGAAGCGAAACCTCATTTTCTTCCTTAGCTGTGCGATCGCCTTCTATTTTGTTCTGTCACATGCTGCTATTCAATCTCACGTGACCAATAAACCAAATTTGGAAGAAGAGTGTTTGCCATGGAGCGTCCAGCGACGCTTCCATTGTAGATAATTGAAGAGCGACGCGATGTTCACAGAAAGTTTATTGGCGACAGTTTTATCTGTATTTATCGCTATTTTAGCTGTGGTGATTGTAATATTGTTCGGTAAGTTTGATGGTGTTATGATCTTGTCGCGATCTTCGAGCGCGGAGAAGTCTGGTTCGGTGTTCTACCTGCATGTGGCTTGAACATAGGCTGTTGCAAACCACTTGAATTTTGAATCGATGTACCCTGTCTTAAATAATTCTTCTATTTCCCTAAAATCATATTTGTATTCAAAGTCACATTTAGGTTTAATAATCTCAGTTACAAGCAAAATCAAAATAGAAACAATTTTGACCTGAGGCTGAAATGTTTGTTTACATATCAGGGTTATTTCAAAAGAGTACTAACCGTATTTCTTTTTTTAATCTGGAAAAATACCCTTTTACTTCACTGGAAGTGCAATATCATAATAGTTTTTGCCCCTGACAGAATCACGTATTGCAAACTTGGAATGATTCCTGGAGGTCAGGTATATGTAAAATTTAAGCAGGGTAAAACTGTGTGATCGCACCCACCCACTCCCCTTATCACATAGGACTCTCCGTCAACAGCAAGCTCAACTGACCCTATAACTCCCAGATCAAAATTTTAATTCTCCTTACTGTTGGCCTTACAATTCTTATAATGTTAGTCCAGAGAATTTAGTATTACATCAACTAATTATCCCCAAAATGATATTTTTCTTTATTATCATCACTTATCTGGTTGATATTGTATTGATATTGTAGGGAGAAATTCTGTCTTGGTCACTCATGGGGGTTGAAGGGTTAAGTAGATACTCTCACAATCAGGTGGTGAAGATTTAATTATTAGTTTCATGCATGATAGAGAGTAATTGAAAGATGGGGCCAGGTTTTGCCATTTTAGCACTTGCCAACTGGTTGTAGGATTATGTAGCCTATTAGAGAAGAAACACTCAAAAGGAACTAAGAAAGTCTAATGGATGTAAAAATTGATGGAAAAGATTAATGGGGAGTACAACTAGGTAAACTTGAAAAGCATGAACACATATTTTCAAGCTTACTTAACACTGTATGAAACTTTAATGGAATAAAATAACTACCCTTGATGGCTTACACATTAACTGAATTGACACATTTTTTGCCTTTTAAAAAGAGCTAACTTTATTTAACAGGATGGTTTTTCGTTTGGAAGATGTTCCTTATTAGATTTTCCTTCATCCGGGAGTTAGTCTATGGCAGCAGCAATGGATCAGCAGGAAAAACAAAAAGTGATGTCCCACCTACTCCCTTGAGAAGATCATCACGTATAAGAGATCTGAGAGCAAGAAAATCCTAAGATACACAGTCACTTCAACCTATATCACTACAACACATGTCTGAATCCATGTATTATAACGATGTTCCCAGGTCATATTTTGTTTCTGTAAAATAGCTTGTACACCAGCAAAAGACAAACTCCCTCCACCTGCACAGTGCATGTTATGAATCAAATTGTACTGCATTGTGGGCATTTCAGTTTATCAGCACATAAACAGTGGTCAGAACTGATATGGACTGAGATACATTGTACGAGATGTCAGTACCTCAATACTCAATGGATGTATACAAGATCTTGGACAACAGAAAGTTCCAAGAAAAATAGATCAGAAAATAACATTGACCAAGATGTTCCTGGTACAACTCTATTCATGTGACTTTGTCTCTTTCTGTAATGCATATTACTTTGAATTGACAGGAGTATGTAATGGATGTTGGAAATGATTGTTAGTCACTCAATTATAGTTTCAGTCTATGGGTTTGCAAAGGAACCTAAAGTGGCAGTTAGCCCATAGTGTATGTTTTCATGTTAGTTTGGTGGATTACTTGAATGATCTTAGAGTCTGTATTAATGAGAGCTAAGGGAGCTTGAAATGGGAGATGTAACAATAATTTCTGTAATTTCTTTCAACTTCTTAAGAGTTGGAAATTTTTGTCTATTTATTTTTCCCATTTGGCATCTAAGTATGATGCAGACTAAATACCAAACACTGAAATGTGATACAAGTTTGCATTTTGCTCATTTTCCAATATGTAAAAGGGGAATGCATATTAGGATATGTGTGAAAGATACAAAATTTCTCATGTTTCAGTCTTTCAAGGTCCTATGTCCCAACACAGAACAAAGATTTGATTTTTGTCATTCATTCATTTGTCAAGAATTTTGTCATTCAGTCCAGTTATCATTCATTCCCCCTCAAAATAAACTTTGGGGCTCGGGCTTGTGATCATTTTCTAAGCAGTGCTTGGTTGTTGTTAATGCACATCAAGATACACATCCTGAATCCAGATTTCTCCCTCTTTTGGCATCACTCAGAGACAGCTTACACACAGAAAGAGATTTTTGGAAGCTGGTCATTGGTTATCTTGGAAGTACCTTTTGTTATTCTGAGAGTCAGGTTGCTGTCTCTGACATTTTACATGAGAATGCCTAAGAGCAGCTGAAATAATCATTAGCTTCAAAGTGATTTAGATAGGGAACAGAAGGGAATTTTTAATATTGAACCACCTTCAATCACTAAAAAAAATGATGGTTTCTGTCAAGTGCTAGAAATAAAAGTGTGTCACTGTATGTCATAGGCAATGCAAAATTGCCATAAAATAGCACAGACAAACTACTGAAAGTTCTTAAAAAAGTTTGCCAATGTATGGTGCCTGAAATCAGCACACACACAGATGTTTTGTGTTCCATTAATTTCTTTAGAACAGGGAGAAAATGGTGGTACAGGTTCATTCACTGCATTTGAAATGCTTATGTTACAGTTTTACACAGCAAGAAACAAGCTTTGATAAAGTTTTTGATCACCAACTTTCTGTGCCTTTTCTCTCTCCATGAAAAACTTGTTAACTCCTTTACCCAGCCATGGCTGGCAAAGCTCCCTCTGTGTTTTGTTGGAAGACAACACTACTTTTTTAAATTGTATAATTCTTGACATGTTCCACAGTACATATATGGCTACGGTGGTGATCACATTTTTCTCTTTCCCTGTCTCATATCTCTCTCTCTTTCAAACTGTCTTTCATCAGTTCTTTGAAGAAATGCTTGCTTCTCTAAATACCTACAAAGAAATAGGTGAAGAATTGTATAAAAAACAGGTACCATAGGTTTGGTTGCATATTTTTAACTCAGGGGCCAATGGAGTTCACTTGAATCACTTTTAAGAAAAAAACAAAATCCTAGTAATTAGTGGGTAATCAGCTTAATGTATTCAAAGCATTGTATAAAATTAATCATAGACAAGTCAAAAGACAAACTGACATTATTTTTAGACTGACATGCACCAAAGTTGTTACTAATCTAAATAAACTGGAAGGCCCAGTGGTCAGGTGGTTGGCACATTTGATTACTGATTGACAGTTCTACATTAAAGCCCTCACTGGGGTGCTAAGTTGTATTACTGCATAAGACACTATTGAATATAGCTCTCACATTACATCTCTTCCCTTGGGAGTATAAGTGAATACTGCTAAACTATTTGGGAAAAGTGAAAAAAGGAAACCTGGCCAGGGTACCCTGAGATGAATTGGCATCCTGTCCAGGGTAGACTAGCAATACTCCTAGGTGTAGTCAATAATTATCATGGAAACCAATACGAGTTGCAGTAGAATGGGCCACATTCTTTGTGTGCAGACCTCACTTTACCTCTAAGTTAGGATAGTTCTTTTTACGTGAAGAAATAACCAAAATATAATGTACAGACCCGTCTTTGTTATAATTCTGAAGCTCTTGGTGAATTCCTTCATGATCTTTAAATGATTCCCAATCCAGCTTTGATTTTTCCTTAAAATAACCAAAATTTTGTGTTTCATTGACCTCCCTATATGTAATGCCTTTCTTTTAAAATATGAAATGGTTTACTTCAATTACATCAATCAATGTTTTTCTTATTTTTAAAAACTAGCACCAATTCTAACTCATTTTGTGATGTGGAAAATATACATTAAGAGAATAAGAGAAAATCAAAAATTATTATCATGCACTATATCATATGAGGCTCACAAGAAAATTGGTATATCAACATTTCATCATTACTTCACCAATAGAAGTTTGTTTGCTAATATCACCAGTTATAACCCACCCATTAATTTTTGCTCAATTTTATTGGCTACTTTATGTCACGTGGTGTAAAATTGCCGGACAGGTATCATACAATAACAATGGCTTTTTTCCTGACAGTTTTTGCACAGTATGAAAATCAATGCACAGGTTATGAAATGAATAAACCCATCTCTGGCTTGCTGATATGTTGGCTGATAATGTCCTTGGCTGAGAGACTGTCCTCAAAATATCACATTTGCCCTCAAAGCCAAATATTCATTTCTCAGACAATATCTCACCACAATCAAGCAATCAATAAGTTCCCAAAACACTCATCACATATTAACACTTACCAGAGTACTCATTTTTGGCTTCTTTGAGATTTGACCTAGAACACTGCTAAGACCTCCTTTTCTTTTAAATCTGAAATAAACCAGTTGATAAAGTTACTTGTATGAACTGGCCCAAACTAACAGCTTGATATGCAATAAACACATTTCAGCTTTCTTGTCTGACATATTTTCTTAAATAAAACTGTTTCTTACATTAATGGCTACTCTTAAGAAGTTACCCTAAAGAGCCCAAATCTTTAACAGCAGGTTTCACTTCTGTTTTCTTGACTTCTTCTTTCTTGATATTTTTTGCTTCAGTAGAATTGGCATCTACAGTCTTGGTGACACTAAATACAAAATTTGCTACTTTAAAGGAATAATTAGACATTGCTAAATACAGGTTTAGCTATATTGAGCCACAAAAGGGTTGGGCATCGTCAATTAACTTCTGTAGAAATATTTTATAATCCTATGTGGTACCATAATTTCCAGCTGATTGGCTGCATGTAATCAGTTAAATCATCAGTAAACAACTACTGCCATGTGTGGGAGGGTGAGAGGTCCAGGTTATGTGACAATTTTAAATCTAGGTTACAACACTTTTACAGTGATTAATGTTTGATACAATCACTTATCAAATATCTTTTCTACAAGACAAAACAAACACTCCTTGCACACCTTAAAGAAAAAATGAAAACAGGGAACTGGATTTTCCTCTACAAGTATTTAACATGCATCTCAAATATGAAAAGTAAACCAATCTACTTATTTGAATCTTAGGTCTTTAATGCCTAGGAATGGACAGATGCTGAATAACATCTGCTTTTGAACATTTGCAATACAGATCAAACCCCTACTATCAACTTTTCCAGGAGCCTTTTTATCCTTTTTTATGGTTTATTGGGTTAATACATGGCAGGGAACAACAGGGTTTTAAATAATCTCTTGAATTTTTCACTAACTTGGATGGAATACCTACACTACAGCTTCACCAGCAAAGTCGTATGTTCTTGTGATAGACACTTTTTCATCTGAGCTGCCAGATGGCTACATCATAAATGTAAATGGTTGATTTAGCTACCCACACTAGGTTGGTCAAGGCATGTTATCCAATTATCTAGTATACATGTATGTATAGAGTTAACCCAAGGTCATAATCGTATCTCTTAAACTACCTCATATGCAAAATGTACAGTCATATTGTTTGTAATAAATAAATCCAGACAAAAAAAATTATGAGCTTCTGATTGGCTGAAAATTAGTGCATTTTTCATGTAACACTAGCAAAAAGTTATGACACAAGTGCAAATTACAAATAGTGTGCGTACTATCAAAATTTTGTCTGTCTTGACTATCTGTGATGCTTTTCATAAAAATTATTAAAAAGTAATGATACCATGATCTCTTGTGCAATTTGGTATAAACAACCACTTGAACATTTTTCAAAGACTATAAACTGCACTGCCAGACATGCTCCCACAAATTTATGTGCCATAAAATTAACACTGACTATTAAATGTAAATCAGGAGAATTATTTGAATAGTTTACACAATTTTAAATCATGCACCTTTGAAGATTTTGATGGTAACATTCCAGTATCCCTTTTGAAAGCAGCCCACATATCTTCCTGTTTCCCTTTCTTGGCAGCATGTTCTTGCTGTTGTTTAGCCAAAATTTCTTGTTCTTTGTCTTCATCAACATTGTCATCATTATCATCTGACTCACTATCACCATGTTGTCTAATTAAGGAAAAAATATTGTAGCTGGAAAAAATTGTAACTTAATAATTCTAAAAAGTTGATAAATACAACAAAAAAAGTTACAGCAGTTACTGCAACAGTTGAATTGAGTATCTTTTTATCGTTGTACAAATGGACCAGCAAGAAAGGACAAGATGAAAAAGAAAAAAACAAGAACCACGAAAAAAGAGACAGAACTGAAACCACTGGACCACAGATAAAAATGATCTCTTTTTCACATGTCTGAAGTACACTACTACTTTTAAAGTGATGAATTTACCTTCCCAGGATTTTCAACTGTTTAGATGAGGAGGAAACTTTTCTGTATACAAATTCATTTGTATACAGAAAAGTTTCCTCTCCTTACAGGGTTTCCATTGAGAAATTTGGTAGCTCACAAATTAACAGTGTAAATTAACAAGAGAATACTCTATACATCTAAAAAAGAAGTTGCAACCCAGACCATCAAAATATAGTTGGGGGAATACAGTGCAGTACACCATATCCTACCCTAAGTACTGAACATCTCAAGCCTTCTGTAAACTTGTAATTTATTATGCCTATAGTGTCATTTCTCTATATAGATATTGGGCCTCATATTCATTTAAATTAAAATGAATGCTCCTTGCACCCCAAGAACACTACTGAGGAAAATTGTCACAATATTTTATGATCTAGCCAGACTACATTCAGCTTTCATTGAATATTTCCAGACCAATTCATTTCCTTTCACTTTTCTTACCCTGATGTTTTGTTAGCACCCTTTCTCACTCTGTTCTTTTTATCATCTTCATCTCCACTATATTCTTCATCACTATTCTGTTCTTCTCATAGAAACAACAATATGATCAATAATCAATGAATACATTGTGTGTTTTTTGGATAAAATGTAATGCTGACAGTAGTTACCTAGTTTGCAAAACAGAACTCCTGGTTTCAGACATAAAACCCACTTATTGGTAAGACTTTGTGATAAGCAAAAGGGCCAATTATGAATAAATCAAGCTGGAAGTTTGGACCCATGTGATCTGAGAGCTACAGTAATTCCCCCTACTGATGATGTTGTATCTTGTTCTGATGATTACTATGGCAACAAGTACTAATGTACCAACTGAAATGAAATTACTGTTTGACTACTGAATGATGTAAAAGTACTGTTAGAAAGATGATTGTAAGAGGTTTAAAAGCTAGTTCAATGATCATTGAATAAAGACAGAATATAGAAAGCAATGGAAGAGTGAGTGTCTCCTTACTGAGCCACGCATATATTTGTGGGTGAGTTGTGAGAATTGCTGTATCCAAACAACCATGATGTAAACAAATGATGAAAAAGTACTTTTAGCGAGTAAGAGGATTTTAATAGGTTTAAAAGCTAGTAGATCATTGAATAAAGGCAGAATATAGAAATTAATGAAAGAGTGAGTGTCTCCTGACTGAGCCTCACATATGTTTGTGGGTCTAGCTGTCATGGGAATTGTTGTTCTATCCAAACAACAAACTACAAGTAGTTTATAACATGCCTGACGAAAATAAGTGGCTGTGCATTTAAATTGTGAAGAGAATTTCAGTACTGATCAGACTCAGAGTGGAAGAGTTATCATTAATGCCGATCAAAGCAGACTTTACTTTGTTTTTCCATCTCCATCCCTCAATGAATAAATCTTCAACACCTCGCAGACAAGAAAAAGTACAATCCTTTCTCAAAGAAAAACAGATTAAAAACATTTTTGGGTGATAACGTCTAACACAATTATTCGAAAAGTGGAGATCGTAATTTTAAACGGAAAATAGCAAAATTGATAACGATTCGAGTTGACTTTAGGCCACTCTAAAATTAATAATGCAATGAATGTCACACAACTTGATTGTGACCTGAAGTACTTTATCCTATCTGTGTACAAACTTTTCCTTTCTTTGTATTTCTCAAGAAAACTATTCCTTTGCCTTTACGAATCAAAAAAATGCTAACCTGGTACATAATCCTCGTCTTCACTGCTGTCAGCAGCACTGTGATCTGTGTCTGACATTTTCAAACGTCTTTCTACACGAAGTTTGTGGTGTAAGACATGCCATGGTGTCGTGAGCGCGAAAGTCAGCGGATGAACGCTCCCGCTAAGGAAAAAAAATCGATAAATCACCGGTAAATGACATGACGTTTTTAAAGCGCTCTGTTTCCCTTTTGTTTCCTCTTGTTTTTATTATGTGCGTGTGTGTAGGCGAGTATCTCACTTATTTTTCTTTTCCTGTTTAGGTGCACTTCGTAGTTTTCAAGTCCGCATTCGTTTGAGAAGGAAACAGTCCCTACTTAAGCAAAAAACATCACGAAATAAATGTTTAAAGGAGAAAGGAAAAGGGGCCTAATCCGAGTTCTACGAACATGTGGCGCTTATGATTTGCAGTCCTCATGAGGAAGATCACGCGCGCTGCCCGATAAAATCTATCGAGGTTAAGGTTGTTGAACTTTGAATGGGACAGATACGAAATGCATTTCTGATTTTCCCCTTTTCTTCATGTACATATGCACCCCCCCCCCCTTGATTACCATGAATGGACTCTCTGTCTACTGCAAGGAATGAATGAGACCCAGTGTGGCTATCAAAGTCCTCTAATTACAGTATTCAGCGTTGACCTGCTAACATTTGGCCATATAAAATCACCAATCACAGAACGGACTTTTTGATTCTTCTGAAATAATGATAACCCTTCCCTTTCGCAGTGGATAACAAACGCAAACCTCCGTGCCAAACTAACGTTATTATTGGTGCTAAGGAGAATTTACCGGGGAAGAAGGTGTGGAGGCATGTATAGAGTAGAGCGAACCATGTTGCGAAAGGGTCTGAAAGGATAGCATGTTGTTTTCGTCCACGTAAAGCAAGTTGATGCACAGAAGCCGAAGAATTTTGGGATTCGCCCCCGCAGAGTGCTGAAACAAGTTTATCGTGACATTTCGATCTCGCAAGATGGTATCTCCGCCATGGACTCGTTCATCATTTACACATTCGACCGTATAGCCGCAGGAGTGTGCCAGACTCTTGTGCTGCTATCCCTGGTGACGATCTATTTCACAAGGATCGAATTACTACAGGGGGAGGAGTGTGTATTTTATTTAGATCACAAAGTGCCATGTAAACTCCAAGAATCTTGTAATCAAGCTGAAGTCAAATCAATATGGATATCAACGAGGCCGCATAGTTTACCAAGGAAAATTACATCAATTGTCTTAGGTGTGATATGCCATTCTTCTGGGAACCGTGAACCTGAGAATGTGATTTTGCGGCAACACATTCAAAGAAATCTTGACATGCTATTATCTGACGAGCCAAATGCCCTGGTTATAATTACCGGCGACTTTAATCATCACACGACAGGATTTAAATCAAAAGATATATCTCAAGCCAACCATCTTAAGCAGCTTGTAACTTTCAAAACTAGAGACTCGGGTACGCTGGACTGGTTTTTTACAAATAGACCAAAGTTGTTCAGTGTATCGCAATTGCCCAAAGTCGCATCCTCTGATCATTATACCATCTTGGGCAGAACAATGTTATCATCCAGACACAAACCGGCCATCAAAATAGAGTCACGTGATATGCGCGACACCGCATGGCGTGCGCTGGGGCGCTGGATGACCGAGAAGACTGGTACTCGGTTCTTAATGCTGAGTCTTGTCAAGACAAGTTCAGGCTGTTGATAATGGAACTTACTTCTGCTGTGGATTCCTTCCTTCCACGAAAAATAGTTAAGAAACACCCAACTGACCGTCCCTGGATCTCTAAAAACCTGAAATCCTGGATTCGCAAAAGACAATCTACATTTCCCAGACATGGAAAGGACTCTACGAATTACAAATTTTAGACGAACAAGGTCCAGTGCGAGGTCAAAAAAACCAAAAATTAATACTATCATGATAAATTTGCTCAAGTGGAATCCACTAATTCCAGTAAGTGGTGGAGGCAAATAAAGTCACTCACAGGCCAAGACATCCAGTAGGAGTGGTCCATCAGTTTCTTAGGGATACCATGAATACCAAATTACTTGCAAACAAGATCAATGACCTTTTTGTAAGTCTTACAGACCATTTCACAGCTTTGACCCGTGATTCTCCCCCAAGCCTGGTACCACAGGAACTTTTTGTCTCCAACCAGGAAGTGTTCCGATCCTGCCGTTCAGCATGAATCCTTTTCAGGAAATTTCACACCAGACGTTTTCCGCTGGTTTCTTTCTATTAGCGTGACCTTCTAACCTGAGAAAGGGGTTTTCGTCCATGATAGAAGTAAAGAGCCTCCTTACAAAATATTCGTCATTAAGACTTTTTCCTTTAAATTTCTCATAGATTCAAGTGGGCAACAACCAGCGACCATCTCTATGGTGTTGGCTAAATTCTCTACTGCTATGACTATTTTAATGAAAACTTTAAATTCGTGGACATGAGCGTGACGTTTAATTATAACTAAGAAAGGGTTTCAATTTCCTGAACAGCCATCTTGGTACAAATCAAGTCGTGTGCCATCAAGCACAAGCTCATGCTTCGTGTCTTGAAAGAGGAATGCTTTTTCCCTCCTCTCGACCCTAATCAGCTTAAAAGTTCAATTCCGCTCCATGTTTTGCCTGATTTCAGAAAAGTTGACTCCTTCTTTAGCCCAACTTGGCAGGTCTGTCTTAAATTCCCAGTCTGGCCCCTAAGATAAACACAATGCATAGGTAAGAAGAGAAACCTTACTTAGTTGATTTCTAGCGGTATACACGTACATCCGAACCAAGAAGCAACACTGAAGTTAAAAGGAAATTTCGAGACTAATTCAAATCCAAGCCACCTGCAGTTTTCGCCCAAGTACGACCCAAATAGATTTGAAAGAACAAGATATGAAAAAAAAAACAAACAAAATGATGCTACATTCGATTCACGAAAATGACGATCTCTTTCGCAAATGAAACCCCAATATCAAGGAGAAAGACGGAATCCTGAAGTGCTTTTAGTCCTCCATAAAAAATAAACTTTAGTAACAAAAAAGGCTAGCAGGTGATTAGGCGCATTCTAGTGAGTCACCTTGTAAGAGAGAGCATGTAAACACATGGTGAGTTCATCAGAAGTTGGATCTCTCCTCTGTATCTGGCATTCACTACAGTCTTTGTCATAATACAGTTCTGTGTTTTTCTCATCTGTTTCTTTACAAGACTGGGATTCCCCAGGGACAATATCTTTATATCCGGTGCAGACTGGCTTCAGTGATTCATTTTCAACGATAGTGACTGCTTCGTGTTTCACATTGGTCGAGTTTTGTTGATGTTGACGCGAGAGGTCATCTTCACGAAAGGTTCCGCTCTCAGTGTTTACAATGTTTGGAGATTTAGAAAGCTCGGCTATCACCTATAGTACCAAGAAAAACAATACTATGAAATTAGAGGCCATTTGTGATGTGAAAAAAGCACAAGAACGGTTGAATTACGTTCCTGAATTTCTATCCCAGCAGAATTGTACTACCAATGGAAATCACGAGAAAAAGTTGGAAAAAAATGTCCTCGCAAATTGCGCCAATCCTAGGAACTCATCATCAAGCACTCGAAAAGACCTTTTTCACTCACTGGTAATTTCTATTAATTCCATGATGAAGTTCATCTATTCAGTCATAGATCACTGACGTTAAAATGCACTACGAGCCGTAGGCGAGGGTGTCACTGATGTCCTTACTACATAGGACGTCTTAGAAGTAACAAAATAAAACCGAGTACTGTAGCATTGAACAGGAACCTGCTTGTTTTACATATACATTAAAAGGAAAAAACTTTATCGAAGATGATGCCATCCATATGTCTGTCTTTCAATGGGTCATACACTAAGTAAATATTCAGTATACTTTATATATCAAACGAAGGATTGACCTAAAAAAAGGTAGTTGTTACCTGCTGGACCAGGTGGTCTGACACCCCACCCTTACCCCTGTGGGGTCCCCACGACTGATGGTTGTATATTGGATCATTTACAATTGGATAACCAAGCCACTGAAGATGAACACGGATTTGATGCATCCTGCCTGTATGTGGAACACCTAACAACAACAACAAATACTCTTTCCGTAACATTTATGAAAAAAAAAGGAGTGGGGGACTATAAACATGTAGTAAGTGGTGCAGTCAAGTGAGTTGGTGAATGCCCATATCTTCCCAGAACTAACCTTCACAACACATCAAAGCGTTTACAGCCCATTTAACTTGAATTAATTGTAGGATTTAGTAGAAACGAGCCATCGCAACCAGGTTTTTTAGAGATTAACTCCTTCAGCGTGATAACAGTTTAGAGAGGAAGTCGATTTGCCAAGGGCAAAAACAGTTTTTACTAAACAAAAGAAAATCCTCACCAACCACAATTTAACAGAAGTAAATTTGAAGTTGTGAAATTAACTTATCAATTTTCTGGGTTGTTTAATCAATACCGGTGGGTAACAAGTCTGTTTACTAATAGGCTATTTGGCTGTAACTGAACTATAAACACTCGGGTTCTGAGTAATTTTGTATTGATGACGATATTCAATTCAAAGAAAATTTTTATAGTAGCTTTCATTCCTATTCTATAAATGAAGAGGTAAATGAACTTTTGAACAATTCAGCTCTTAGAAAAAACTAAATACATTACTTGGTATATTTGCACAAGTATTACTTACTTTTCACAATACTTGTCTTTCCGTCATAGGTAAGCCTTTTGAAAACAGTTTTACACGGCTTGCCCTCATTTTTACTCACTCGACACACACCAATCTTGTGTGAAACAACTTTTATTGGCTCCTCACATAGGACTTCCTCACTGAAAACATAACGTGAACGTTTAAAACTTCTCTGTCTAAGCAATCACTTAACCTTAACAATTGATGATATGAGGTGAAAAATGACCTTTCTATTTGAATATCAATTGAGAACTTACACTGTTTTAAGATCCATGTATTGGTACATGGAGTTACACTCTGAAGCTGAATATGACGTAAAGAATGATGCAGAAATAACCTTGGACTAGAAAAGGGCATGTGATATCAGATCTCCCTGTTGCAGTTCACTTCTCTTACACTTCCCCTTCAGACTTTCTATTGCTTTTTTCAGCCAGGCAGTGCATCCCTCCTCTCAGAAGATATTTCCTTTCTACTCCCTAAGCTTTTGCTCCTCCCCTCTTTCAAAGAGAAGTTTGCTCCAGAGATCATATAATTTTTAACTGTGCTAATAAAAAAATTCATCAAAAATTTCCTTACAACTTTGTTCTAAGGTTTGAAAGTGTGTCCAGGCCATAAGAAAATTGTCTTCACATGTGTTAAAAATTCAACTTTGGATGCCACCAATTTGTCTAGAGCATATTATTGAGTCTTCTTTCAAATGAAGATGCAGTTCTGTATAAATGTGTGGAAGACTAGGTCTTGAATCAAAACAATGCCTCTCTTCATTAAAAAAGAAAGCACATCACCTTGGAAATTCTCCTTGCACTCTACTTATGTATTCCTTCCCTATTTGTCTGTTTCTCACTTGACTCTCAAGCTCTTGAGCCTTTGACAGTGTTCTGTCAAACCACAACAAAGATTGTATGGTGATTTTTTTTTTTGCATAATCATGATAATTATTACAAGAAAATACAAAGATATATATATACATATATATATTAAAAATGTGGCTCTTATCACTTTTCAATATAAGAATCAAAACTTCTGCATTACATTTCAATAAGTTGATAACACATTTCTGCATTCAAGCAACTGGCCATTCATTGTTAACATGGCAAGAGCACTCTCTTCTCCAAGACCTTGATCACATGAGATCACATAATTTCAACTTAATACCTGCATCCTTTCAACTTATAATAAGGAAATGCACAGACTTTTTGGTTAAAAACCAAAAAACCCTGCTTGTGAGCCTGGGCCACAGGATACAATCCCCCTCCCCTTTGTAAAAATGCCCTAAATGGCATTCTTCCAAAGAACCCCTCTTGTGAAATCTTATTGCAGTAATGTTGCAAATAGTTTATTTAATCAACATTAGAAAAGAAAGTTGTCAATCAGTTCGATTACACAGTCAATGTTAATCAATAATTTTCATTTTCACATCATTAAATTTATTGGCAAGAGATCATCCCACTGTCTTCTTCTTGTTCTCTATTTAATGCAAAGTAGTTCTATTAAAGGAAATAGCTGGCCAAAGGGGGAAGGGGGACTTACCACCCCAATTTTATAGCATACACTCTAAGTTATCAGGATCTAAAATTAGTATGGGCACAGACCTTGCAAACATCAAAATTCCTGAAGTGAGACGGTCAATACGGTGGATTGCTGTGAGAAAGGAAGCAAAGTAACATTGGAAACAGTTATAATCTTCACATAAACAGTTGTCATTGCATTTCTTAATGTCAGAATGTGCTAACTACAAAATATAATAAAACAACCCACAAACTGACTACATCATTATGGTAAAAACTTACTAAAAAGATTTTTCAATCCAAACTCCTTTCCAAGAAGAAACACAACAGTGTTGTGCCTGTATCTTCCACAGGGATGTACCTTGGGATCATATTAGCAATGTAAGATCAAACAGTTAAGTTTTATTAATTGCCTCCATGGATCTAAGCATTTTATAACTGTGAAATATATATAAGCAATTCAGCCTATTCAAGGTAACTGTTATTATTTATACCTTGTTAAAGAGAAGTAATGCTTGTCTTAACCAATGCATTTGAAATTAATGCCAATTCATTCAATCACTCTTTCATATGGGAAATTTAAGAAAAATGTCTTCAAATTCAAACATAGAGGAAATTGTACACAAACAAACACAAAAAATAGTTCTTTGAGTCAAGAGAAACAGAATTGATTTCTGAAGATCATTATAAATTCCCTGACATGAACAATATTCCTGGAATTTTTCCTTAACCTACACATGTAGTTGTGGAGGGAAGCATGCACAGTCTCACCACTTTAAACATCCTTTATACTGATAAAACACCTGCTTTTTTAAAACACAGTACACAAAATACAAAGACCAAAATACAAAGAAAGAAAGTGTCAAGAATTGGGGGCCAAACATTTGAAATAAAGGTTGCGGAATACAATGAGCCACTTTAACAGTGATTATGAAATTTAGAAAATGAAGATTGATGCAACATAAATCCTTGTAAAATTTTCAAATTCAGGAGCATATATTGTAGTTTCTATATAACAATTAAGCATATCAACATGGGTTGTCTGTAATCTGTAGGATATCTACTTTATAAAGTAAACAAAGTTTCCCTGTGGTTCTCCATAAGTTTATCTAAAAATAAAACAAATTTTTCCACAAAAGAGAATTTATTCACACCGGAACTGAAGAGGGTTTATCAAGAACAACAACTTCATCTGTTAAAGCAATTATCTTTATAGGATTCCCTGTCACAGGAGGTTCATGTCTGTTGAAAATAAAAATCATTATGAGTATTCAATCAATAGACAAACAGATATAGAATTATGAGAATCAAAATTTATAGGAAACAGAGAGGAATAAAGTGAAAAAAGTAAGGATGCAAAAATCAAACCTGTGGACTTTGTTGCAAATCACATCATTGTCTTTAAGAATTTTACTTTGAAGTGTTATTTCACCATTCACTGCAGGAAGACAGTGGAAAAATGTGTGTTATATAAAACTTAAAAGGTTTGTAGAACATATGAGCAGACACTGAAAAAGGATTTGAGACCCTAGCTTCCCCCATTTATTTCCTCTACTAGCCAATCACCTTCATCATAAGCTAGTGTACACTGTACAGTTCAGTGTTCCTAAAAGGTTCCTATAGCAAACAAATACATGTTGTTTTAAATGGCAAAACTGTTGATAGTAAATGTCTCCTTGATGAAACTGTCCCTTTCCCTTTTACATAATGATATTTACTAGAGTTGTGGTAAATTTTGACCAGTTGTCAATGAAATAGTAGTAACTATTACTTTGTTATTACTATAGGTGGAGACACTTAATTCAACAGACTTCAAAAGAGAAATAAATGACTTCAAACCTGTTATTTTTCCAGCTTTTATTGCCTTCTCCTGTTAGAAAAATTGATAAAAGTACATTTATTCAAAGGCTAATGTGATCTCTCTTCTGCTTCTCTTTAATGATAATCTAGTTTAAAGAAAGCCCTAGAAATACATGAACAAAATGTAAAACACAGGAACACTGTAAATGTGCAAAAGAGAAAGGAATAAACAATCAAAAGAACAAAGCTACAGCATTAAATTATGATTCCAAAAAACAACTCAGTAATCCTAAAATTGTTTTTCAAAGAGAGTTATGTTTCAGTTGAAATGAAAGGAGTATGTGTATGTCTAAACTGAATCCTTGCAATTTTTGTAAAGGATGCTAGAGTGTTGGTAACAAGAATTATCAGAGTGCTCAAGCCACACACAGACAATTAGGGAGGGATGATATAGACTGTAGTCTTACAGGAGACAAGGAATCACTGAGAAAATTAATTACCAGTAATTGCCGCTCAATGATCAAAATATGTATTATGGGCTCACTGAGATCATACCATTGTTACTGACACTGGTTTTAAAAGAGGTGCATCCAATATTCAATACTCACATAGTATTCCTGTGTTTCAGAACGAAATTCTTCTTTAAACACATCAATCAAGCTACGGCCTACCCAGCGTCCCTTGCAGAAGGTAGTGAAAGTGAAATAATAAGGATAGACACATCGCAAACCTAAAACACACAAAGTAAAGGCAATAACTCCAGAGATTAATATCTACAACAGAAAAATTTGGTCTACAGATTCAAAGCCCAGGTTATATACATCTAGATTCAAAGAAACACCTAATAGTATTACTGACGGTGTGATCATTAAATCAAACTATGGAAAAAGTTTAAGAGGAGTCCTGAACATACATGTAATACCCACATTCCAACAAAATAGATTCCAAACAATAGCATTCAAATAATAATTCCTAATTTGTCTCTAAATTTGTGGCCTAAAGAGCTATTTCTTTCATGATTTTCACCACAGTCTTGTTTTCAAGATGCAGTTTATCCACTGGTGCAAGCAATCTGACCACTATGTTTCACCTAGTGTTTAAAATTCATTTAAATTTCCACCCCCCTGCACCAAAATTGTGTTCAAATGCCAACAACTAAAAAAACTCTTCCCTATTAAACAAATTCTCCTTTTCAGAATCTTAGGAAATGTATATAGAACAGAATAGAGAATATGCATACTGATGTTAAGGTGAAAAGGGTTAATAGTCAATTTTTCATGTAAAAGGCAAAATCACCAACTGTGACTTTCCGGACAATAACCAAGACCTTGGCATAGACCTTTTTCTCTGAGTCTATGGCTCATGAAAGTGAACTATTCACCTAAAAAGACCTCCATATCAAAAGATAAAACACATGTATTCTGATAGAAAGACTTGACGATTCCTTTCAAATTCCCCACCTCTCAGGCACAGACGACAGTCAAATACCCATGGGTTGCTGAAAGGGAAGTTAAAACTTTCAACTGATTGAGACATCAATGGCCAGAAACAACAGTAAGCCCTCCATTGCATAATCAGTCAAGACTGTATTTAATACTCACCATTTCTTACAAAACATGTGGTTTCAAGGAATATTTCTTTATCAAATCCTGCACTCTTGGTGTTTTTTTCAACTTTGATAGCTTTCTAAATTAAAGAAAGTGACCAGAAAATAATACGGCTATACTTACTACACTGTCAAAATCAATGAGAAAATGGGGAGATTATTCAATTGTAAATCAACTGAATTAACAAGGTGAATGTGCTTCAAACCAAGTTAAGAATAATCAATCATGTTGCAGCTAGAAATGAATCCAATATGTATTGAACACCTCCTCCTTTAACTTGAATGTCATAAGGGGGGAGAAGAAAGCCAAATAAAGGACTTAAGACCTTTGGTTTATGCTTTTGAGTCTAAATTTTGCCAAAACAGAATTAAAGTTGATCAGCCCCTGCCAAATATTGCAGCTGCAAAAGAAAAATCATGACTGCAAATAAAATTCAAACTTTATGGAAAATATAACCAAATTTAAGAATACAAAGTCACTGACTGTTATTATACAAAGTACATCAATGCATAATCATAAAACCATACCCTCTGGCATTGGAGCCTGAATCAAAATACAGTGAGCCAGATAATTCAAATTCACAGAAAAATTGTTTTTAAAAACCCATTACCCCACTGTTTGTAACTTTCCTTGCCTGAGTAGCCTGGGATTAATATAAATAATCTTTTAACTGTTTGAAAATTTTTAGAAGCTCCATACTTCCAGGTGACAGAAAACGGGATGTGGAGTCAGTTCTTCTTGACTCAGAGACACATACTTAGGTAAACAAACAGCTCTTACAGGGTTCTCCCTAGTTTCCAGCACAACAGGTGAGGGACCTTTTCAAACCAGTTAAGCACATTTGCAGCTTCAGGTGACTGATCATTCTCAACTTTGTCATTTCCTGAAGCATACAGTACATTGTGCCTGTCAAAAATTTTCCAGCGAAAAATCAATAATGTGAACGATACACCTTTAGGTTCAGAGGTTGAACAAAACAAAGTAAAATTTTGTTTAAAAGCATTATGTTTGACTATGCCCTTTCCAAACTGCTTATGATGTAAACTGGTCTCCCTTTGATTTCAGGTGATATCTTTGGCATCACTTACATGGTATATTGCTGGAAAATCAGGAGTGTCAGCTACGAATTGCATCGCTATGAAATCAAATCACATTGAATAGCTGAATTCGTGTTCTAATCGTCTCAAATTCAGAACTTTTACAGTGCTGAGAGATTTTATTTCAAGGCTTCTTTCAAACCATTGTCTGAAACACATTTCAAGTAGAATTACATGATGAAGACTAGCTTTGTCCCCATGTGTTTGTTATACAGCCAGCAATTGTAGAGCTATCGAGGCGGTTATTTCTGGCAATTGGCTGGATGTGCCAGAATATGTTTTCCATCGCTAGTACGTAACCTTTGTTTTGTTTACCCCTAAAATTCTTGTAAAGCTCAGCAGCGGTAATAAGTGCTCTTGCAAGCGGTAAATTTTACCAGTTACCGCCTGATAAGGAGAACCCTGCCGCCGGCTCTTACTCAAAACAAAGATGGTAATCTTAACATAATCTCATCTCAGGCTATCTACTGACAGTATTTATCGTTTTTTTTTCCCATATCAATGATATCTATGTCATACATGTATGTATGTATAAGATTTAAGTAAAGCAGACCTTTCTTTGTTTCTTTGTAGCTTGTTTTGCTTTCCTTTTACCGGCCCGCTTGCTTTCAGCAACATTTACTTCATTGCACAACTTTCCCTCAACGTCCGCCATGTTGGTTTTACCAAAACATGTATGTCTATGGGGCACAAAATGTCCCAGTCCAAATGAGCCTTGTTCCCAGGATAATTTCTCAATCGTTGGGCCGATAGGTCTGGGATTGAGATAAGCGGGATTCGTACGTAGCACATTCGTATGTTCATGTAAGTGATACACGAAAAGTACAGAGAACGAATGAGTCAAAATGGCCGAGATAGATGAGGTGGAACAGGGTCAGCGTATTCTTGTTATTTGGTCAGGAATTGCTCCTCCGAAAAAGATAGAAGAGCTCGTGGTTCATTTAAACTCATCAGTTGGATCTACGGGTATTGTTGCCGTCGAGAATGAGGAAAGACTGAAGTTATGTAAGTATTTTAAGATGTTCTGATGAGTCATAATGATTCCCTAGTTATTCGATATTATCGTCAAACGATTTCGGCCGATTTATTTCTTGATAGGTGGGGTTTTGGATTTCAAAAGAACCATGCCTAGAAATTCACTTTGATATGATGTGCGATCTTCTGTTAAATGAGACATTTTATATCAAGACATGAATCGCAATGGGATCGCCTCTAATTATTACGTAGTATGACCTGAAGTTAAATATAGAGAAAATAGTAAGTAATTCAAATACTAGTTATTGAGTACTTGATGAGATTAAATCATGAGCCGTCAAGATGGCTATAATTAATGGAGTAACATCAGAATATTGAATAAAGACTACCCAATGTTAATTTCTGTCAATCTACTGTACATAGTAGATTAATTGATTTGTTACAGAGGGCACTCAGTCATGTGGGTAGTTATCTTCTCTTGAGGAGTAAATGTATTGATGAGATAAGTTTTAATTCCTTTTTTAAGTTTTTTCTCAAGATACTAGCATGAATGGATACTAGGAAGTCAACACAAGTCCAAAAACTAATATTCAATGAAACTGAGAGGCCGTTAGCTTGGCACAGTTTTGATTACTTGTTTACTGGCCTGGTGTATTCTAAAAGCATTTTAACAATGTTCAAAATGATTTTTTCCTTCAGCATCTCATCCAGAATCTTCATTTGATGTTGTTTTATCTGGGATGATGTTTCCTTCCTTCCTGGTTCATGGCCTGGACACTCTGGCAGAAATTGGTAGAATTTTAAAGCCCAGTGGAAAGTTAACTCTTGTAGAGCCTGCAGGTATGTTTATGCTGTGGATATGGTCAAGGAACTTAACTTGGTGCAATGGTGCTTATCTTGACCACTTGCTAATTGTGTATTTAATGAAATATTCCTTCAGGTTGACAGGGGATCTCTCATTGTTGTATGTTTTGAAGCCTCTATGCTAAGAATATGTCTTATGATTACAAGAAAAGTTTTATGTACATTGCTAGCATAATAAATTGAATTACAAAAATGATTTGATTTTAAGTATTATTCTTACACAACTTTACCCTGTAACATTAAAACTAACAATGTATTCTGGGATTTGGTTCATGGATACTCTGTTGAAAATGTAATTTGCATTTGTCTAACTTTTGGAAAAGAAAAGGTCTTTTTATCCCTAAATGTTTAATCTTTCACATCAGGAACAAGTGGAGATCTGAGGCCTTCTGAAAAACTAATATCTGCACTGAAACTTTCTGGATTTGTTGATATTTCAGTAGTAAGTACTGTAAATGCTTTCAATTTTAACAATAAAGTTCCTCACAGTTGGGTGTTGTGACTTCCTTTTGGACTTTTTACTTTTTTATTTTTTCAAAATGAATGGATATAAACAAAGAAAGCAGTATAGAGGTTTCGTGTGTTGAGTCTCATTTCCCATTTCCCTTGCTCTATCATGGTTTAGATCTGGTTTCAAATAGCTAGGAGGAGGTTCATCCAGTAATTTTATTTACATAATTATCAAAACAACTTTCCTCTACAGCCAAAAGAACTGAATTTGAGTGCAGATGAGAGCACTGCTTTCAAGGAGAAATTTGGAGATGGGAAAGTCATTCAGGTAAGTCAAGTGCCCTATGTATAGTTTGTATTGTGGTATGTTTCACTTATTTTTCTCAAAGGAAACAGAAACAGAGTGTATGCTTAGCCAGTTTCTTTTATTATTGGTTTGTTGATAAATATCTTAGGATTTATCTGATTTTATTTTAGATCTCTGCTTTCAAACCAAGTTTTGATGTAGGAGCTAGTTCACAACTTCCACTTTCTTTCAGATCAAAGGCTGGTCAGTATTCAGATTCAATATTTGCTGTTGTGCACATTTCTCTTTAGTTGAAAATTTAAACTAAGGAAAAATTTTTAATCAAAACTTAGATTGTTACCTTGGTTAATTTGAAAGTAATTGTGGGAATTAAAAAATAACATGATTTTGCTCTTACTGGTGACAATTTCATCATATGTCCCTGTTATCTGTTCACTCGTCATCTCTTTCCTGTGTTTGTGTGGCTGTATTTATTTCCCTACTTTCCACTTTTGTCCAGTTTTAACTAATCATGAAACAGAGAGGTTTCTTAACATTGTCGTTGTTATCATTCTAAAGTTTGTCAGGTGCTTTGCATAAGATTAGGCAAATTTCTTTAATTGCATGTTTTTGTTCCAATTTTGTCCTCTGTAATTTGACTATTTATTTAACAGCTTTGAAGCCAAAGGTCAAAGATGAAAATGTGACCAAGATTTGGACTTTATCAGCACAAGATATTGATGATGAAGAGATAGTAAGTTATTCATATAGCATTTGAGGATGTGTCTTTGTTATTAAAATTAATTATCTGAAAATGGTTCCAATTTGTCAAATATCATTGTTATTTCATTCACTGGTTTGTGGATAAATGTTTCTCCGTGAATTGTGGTTGTCATCATAATTTTATTCCTTTCATAGGATATTCTTGATTCAGACACTCTTCTTGATGAGGAAGATTTAAGAAAACCAGATCCTGCATCACTTAAAAGTGTGTTTTACTCCTTCTTATGTGTAGGGCGAATAATATATATTGTATATTACTTTTAAAAAAATGTGTGAAAATACTTATTGTTACTGGTCTTACTGGATAATTGATGATCAGTGATGTTCACTACAGGACGCTGTGTTTGGATTTTTGTTTAGAGGGTAGAGCAGAGGTATTTGAATTGAGCTGCTTGCTTATGACATTGCATTACAGGTGATTGTGGTACAAATAAGGCAGGCAAGAAAAAAGCTTGCAAGAATTGGTATGTTGCATGGTATCTCTCAAATATTTTTAAGTAATATGTTTTTAGAAAAGGGCTCAAGAATTATTCTCAATGACGATAACAAGGGAATTTTGGGAGGCTGAAGGACTCATTATTGTAATTACCAAAAGTATAAACCTGAAAACATGACTAATACAAAGTTTTTACATTTCTTTAAACCTTTTCCTTTGGTCACTGTTGCATCAATTGACAAAATTTCAGGGGTCCTTTTTTTTTGTACTTTTTATGAATGAAAGTCCCAAAGGCATGTTGTTCATCACAACTGTACTTACCATCTGCCTCACAGTGGTTTGGTCTTGTTCACTTGCAGCACATGCGGTTTGGCTGAGGAACTTGAACAAGGAAAGACGCCAGCAAAGAAAACTGTGACATCGTCATGTGGGAGTGTGAGTCCTCCCTTTTTGGAAAATGGAAAGCACTGACTAACATAAATTTCTCCTGGTTTCCATCCCATTTTCCCACGTCGCCTCCTATTTAAAAAAACAGTCTTAAAATGGGGTCATATTCATTCTTATACAAATAAGTCTGTAAGGAAATGTTTAATAATATTTTGTGGTTATTGGCTTGAGTCACACAAACACAAGTTCATGCTGGGGTTAGACTAACAGGTGATTGTGCAAGAGAAGTCACATTTGGGCCCTTAACACGTCTACAATAAGAGTTTAGGGCGCTAGTGCATTGGAGATTTTAGGGAGACTGGAGATGAGTGGTAGTGCAGTGTTTGAATGAGTATCCTCATCTGACTAATTCCTAGTTCAGATTCAATGGTACACAGTGATATCTTTTATCAAAGATAATGAATGAGGCCTTAGTGTGGTGTTTTTCTCTTTGTTTTAATAGTGCTACTTGGGAGATGCCTTCCGCTGTGCTAGTTGCCCTTACTTAGGAATGCCGGCCTTTAAACCAGGAGAAAAGGTTGCACTTACAAGTCGACAGTTAAAAGGAGATGTGCAGTAAAAATTACTTCCGCAACTGAATCTGCAGAATCTCTTCAGATGCGAAACGCATCCTCATTACACTTTGTAGTCTTACAGGATGGCTCTTTAAAGCTGATGCATATGGGTACTTTGATTCTCGGATGGCGGACTTCGTCAGTTGATGTAGCTGTGAGATTACTGTTACGTTTGTACTCTAGACTTAAAGCAATTTTAAAATACAATTTCCATTTCGTATGACGGTTTAAAGAGTGGTACCACTACTCAATGAAGAAATATATTACTTATCTTTCGCATTGCTTCAGTTGAGCAAGAAACCAACTTATTTAAGCAGTCAGTTGTATTTCATATTGATTTACCATCGCAATAAACAACCGGAGATCTTGGGAGGAAACTAAATAAGTTTGCGAATAACGAATCTAAGGCGATTGATGGATCTCCATTTAACGTATTCATTCGAAACCTAAACAGCTATTACACCAGTGAATCAACTAGTGGGCTCTTGCCTCTAAATGTTTCAGTTTTCTGTGGGATTACTGTTTTTATGCACGACATGTTTTCACGTTGCAGAACATGCGTAGTCACGTTAGAAACCTCAATAATAAACAGAAATGAACTCAATAATTATGGGCTGTCTTAAATATAATGAACTCTATACTTAACCAGCCTGTAAGTGAGGCGCATCCTCGTCAGTTGCGAGTGGTGTTCTTCAGCCCGGCAAATTAACAGGTAATTAAATGGAACAAAGTCTCATTGTAACGAATCTTGGTGCAACGCATTAGAAGACCTGTGGCCTTTGCCTCAATAATAATAAAGTCTATAACATGACAGAAACGACAAATGATCGAACTACCTCGATCTCTCAGCACGTAAATAATAATCTGTTAAGGTTAAGAACTTCAAAGGAACTACAACTGCACAGGGTGTTCCTTTGGTAACAACGAAAAACACCGAAATGAAAGGTTTAAATCAAAAGGGACCAAGAATGACTGAGAAAAGAGAAGTTAATGGCAACATAACTCCAAGAAAAAATTTTCCTACATCAGTTTTACCCGCCTTATAAAAGTAAAAAAAGAAAATGAAATTAAGGTTGCCTACGTCGATGCAAGTGGAGTGACAAATGTCTATCGTTCGCAATCTAACATCTAACATCCCCTTTAAAAAGGCACTTTGCTCAATACGAACCTGACTTGATCGTATTCATAGTCTGGGTGTGAGTGTGTGTGTTGTCTCTGTGTGTGATTTGTTGTTTTTGTCGTTCTTACTTGATTCTTATGATAAACTACGCTCAGTTTGTCGCTAATCATCACTAAAGGTATCCCGTCAGTCATTCCGAAAGTCATCTCGCCCGAAGTCATGTTGCACGAGACCGGAGTCATGTCGGTCGAAATCCCGAGACATGTCGCCCGAAGAAAAAAATAACTTGAAAGATCAGACTTACTAATAGGCAATGAAGTTGAGAAATCTTTATCACTGACGCGTTGTTCGTTTCCAACAACACCATGAAGACTTCGACTACACAGAGAACGATCCAATGGCGAAAATTGAAATATGTTTGAGTAACGACACTAAAAGTGTTGTTCGTCTCCAACAACAAAGTTAAGGGTTATTAAGTATTGTCAACTGAGTTGATAATGTAAAGGGGTAAGTTTTTAAAGAAACTAAGTTGCTGCGTCGGTGTGGGAGTATAGCAAGGTAGTTTTGGGCTTATCAACTGAGTTGATAATGTAAATTGGTCACCGTAAAGAGTTTCAAAGCTGACGTTCCAAGCGTTAGCCCTTCGTCATTCGCTCTGACGAAAGGCTAACGCTCAAAGCGTCAGTTTTGAAACTCTTTACGGTGGCCACTCAGTTGATTAAACCAAACTTATCTTGTTGTAATCCTGTAATCCTGTAATCCTGTAATGGACTTATTACCCTTGTCACTGGGTTTACAGTCAAATCGCCCGAAGTCATGTCGCCCGAAACCTGAGTCATGTTGCCCGAAATTTTAGTTATGTCGCCCGAAATAAAAAGTCAAGTCGCCCGAAGAAACAGACATTAAAAAGATCTGAGTTTCAGACTGTTAACAGGCAATAACGTTGAGAAATTTTAATCACTGACCATATTATCTATTTCTGTGTAGTCAAAGTCTTCATGGCATTTTAAGAAACAAGAAAGAGTTTCCCAAGCCTACGAAATGTCCGTGAGTAAGAAATGAGTACCTACCAAACGAACAACGCTTAATTTTTTTGGTCAAAAACGGAGAACGCTTCCCTTTGTTGTTAGAAACGAACAACGCTATAAGAATCGTTACTCAAACATATTTCAATTCCGAGCATACGATCGATTTCTGTGTAGTCAAAGCTTTCATGGTATTGTTAGAAACCAAGAAAAAGTTTCTCAAGCTTACGAAACGTCCGTTAGTAAGAAGCGATTACATAGCAAACGAACAACGCTGCATTTTGTTGTTGGAAACGAAAAACGTTTCCCTTTGTTGTTAGGAACGAACAACGCTTTAAAAATCTTCATAGTGTTGTCGGAAACAAAGAGCGCCTTAGTAATAAAACTGAATTTCTCAACGTTATTGCCTGTTAACAGTCTGAAACTCAGATCCTTTTAATGTTTTTTTGTTCGGGTGACTTGACTTTTTTTTCGGCGACATAACTAAAATTTCGGGACATGACCCAAGTTTCGGGCGACATGACTTCTGGCAAGATGACTCTCGGGCGACTTGATCGGTTACCTTGTCACTGTAGTGTCAATGAAGTGATATGCATAACATTTGATGGTTGAAGTGATTTTATGCATGGGCGAGTTGGTCCGTCGACACCTTGATCGGATACCACACCAAAAGGGTTGTTAGACTGATCGGTCTCTTGAGCGCCTTCTCATGATTTGCCACCTTTATGTTTTTACATGTCATAAAAAAATGGGCGACATGACTCAGGATTTCGGACGACATCACTAAAAGTTTCGAGCGACTTGACCGTAAACCCTACCGACAACCGCCCTTCTCAGCTCTATGCTCAACCGGAGGATCAGACCAAACTATTACAAACTGTTCTTTTGTGAAAATAAGAAAGCTTTCGAGTTAATTCTTGTTCAAGGGCCTTTGTTTGTTTTAACTATACCGTGCTCTTCTCCATTCTACTCTTGCCAAAATACATACTGTACTTCTCATTGTACGTCGTGAATCTTCTTCATGGTAGCAACCTTGTCATACTTATGAATGAAGGAAATAGTAAAAATATTAATACTGATGAATTATCATTAAGTTTTAAGTTTCGTGATAAAAAGCCACGCGTGAGCATAATTTGTGTCGGTCTATAAAAGCCCCTAATTCGCATACTGTTCGTGTAAACGTGCACAGTTGAGAGGACCTATACATTTTTCAGTCAGTAAAGTATTTTTCAATAAAGTGATGGAAGATACGATGAAATTGCTTCAATTCGGTGATATCACCTGTCATTAGTTTCCGCACGCTTAAAACTATAGCTGTAAATTTTTAGTACCCCTGCTTGGAGTCGGTACATAGTTCTCATCTTAATCTGTCTTTAAAATCTCTTAGACGCTACTAAACTGGAGTGGTTTCTTCATTAATTCGTCTAACTGAGTCTTATTACCGCCCAAAGGTCACAAAATAGCACAACAGAACTTTATTTGTAAGTTACTCGTTTGACTTTTCACTTACTTGTCGTACATCGACAATCAACATCTGTTTACCGAGGTTTCGACAAGTACGAATCTACTAGCAGGTTTTGAACGAACCGACTCAAATTGGGTAAGAATCGTCCGAATTTGGATACGAATTGATTATGTAAGAAACGACTGCATACCAAATCAACAACGTTTTCCTTTGTTGTTTGAAACGAACAACGCTCTTAGTGTCGCACACATTTCAATTTTCGCCATTGGATCATTTTCTGTGCAGTCAAAGTCTTCGTGGTGTTGTTGGAAACGAACACTACTTGAGTGATTTATTAACTTTCAGATTCCGGGAGTTATGATTTAGGTTTTGGGTTACCTGACTGTGGGTTAGATAACTTTCGGGCAACTTGACCGGTTGCTCTTAAAGACAGATAATTTACAACTTCAGACTATCTGCTTTACAGCATTACGACTCTAGGTATTTAAACCTAGATTAACTTTGTTACGCGTGCGTGTTCTCGCCGAGGGACCCTGGGGAAGAGGTTAATTGCGCCTCAGGAAAGGAAATCTAATTCATGTAAACTAAACGTTGCGTTTCTTCAAGACCTTAAAACATGGGCAAGAGGAAACGGAGGGTGAGTATGTTATCTATCTATCTATCTATCTATTTATCTATCTCTCTATTTCATCAGGCTCTACTAGCATTCATATTTTTGCTATTAGCTTTGTTTTGAATTCGTGGTGCAGCAAAAAAGAAATCGTCAAAACACGCTTCTAAGGAATTGTTAGCGTTGTGATAAGATCACCGGTGTGTCTCAACTCTGATTTTAGTCATAAACGCATTATTTATTTCCTGGGCGCGTTGGTGTAGAAAAACACCTCACCTCCTGATTAGGGCTGAAAGAGAACATTCTCAATAATGATATTCTCGATCCTTAGCAGTAAATTTTCGGATTATTATCGAGACATCTTCAAAGCTTAGGCAAATTTGGCCTCATTTTATGAGCGATACCGAGGTTCTACATGGTGAATTTCAATAGTGTGAGCCCTTATCTTTCGTTAATAACTGACTTAGTTAGGCTGATTGAAGGGAGTTACATTTCTCAGTCACCCAAGATTAATGACTGAAGTATGCTATCCAACATGGAACTCTCTTGTGGCCCATATAAAATGTTATTTTACTCTAAATATTAATTTTAGCAAAATTGATGAACTTAAACCTTCTGAGATTCAACTACGAGTATATGGTTGAAGTTTCTTTCATTATGTTTATAGGAGAGACCAAGACGTGGAAACTGGCTTAAGAATAGCCAGTCTACAGATTGGGTACAATCTATCCGAAAGAATGATTTATTTGAGGAATATTACAAGGTGCAGTATTGTCTTTGGCCTCAGTTGTATATGGTCTTATTCATTTCCAATCCCAATAAAGGTGTTCTATAAGAGAAGTCCACTCTTGCTGAGTCAGGAAGCCCTGAAAGCCCTGAGGGCAGAATGAGGGAATGGCTGAATGGCAAAAAGACAGAGTGACAGAAAATAACTTTAAATCCTATAAATTAAAAAAAAAAAATGGCAGAAAATCACCCCAAATTCTGTAAGAAAGATTGTAAAAGATGATTTTTTGTGGTTGTCAAGGTGTTAAGTGGATTAACAAGTTAATATAACTCTTGCTGTTTTTGCAGTTAGGTTAGTTTTGAAGAAAATTAGCTTTAATTCTCTAGACCTTTGCTCTAATGTGTATGTCTGTGAATGATTTTCCCCCTTTCGTGTAAAACTATTAGAAGCTCTTTTTAAATCTCCCAAAGCTGAGGCTGCTTCTCAATAATTTGCCAGTTGCCCAATAGAATCTTTTCAAAGATGGTTACTGATGGGTTGTATTGTGTAACAAAAGGCATTATGGCTAGTAGCACTTTGTTTAGAGTGTTGTTTTCCTGTTTGTAGAATCAACCTCTGTGAGAATTCTTTCACCAGATCATTTGGATTACCCCTTTGGTGTAATTACGACTTGGAGTGCTGGATGTTCTCTTCAAAGACTGATTTTGAATTATTAGTTCTTAGATCTCTGAGGACTTCTCCTTCAATAAATCAATTTGTTACGCACTAGTAGGAACTAAGCAAGAAGTTTCATAGGTTTGAAATGTGTGGACACGTCAAAAATAGATTTCTCATTGAATCATTTGCCTTCAAAAATTGTGGCATGTAGAAAGTTAATATTTTCTTCTTATATATCAGCTGTGAATTTAATTGTAGAATGATACCTGATTGCTTCTAGAACAAAGTGGTTTAACTCTGACTACACTCATGCAGGACATTCAATATGAAATTTTATGTAGGATGAGTCAGGATTTGGGGTAATTTCTGGCCATTCCATCCTTTAGGATTTGGGTAATTTTCAGCCATTCCACCAATTTGTCATTCTGCAACCCAACTTTTAGGGTTGCCCACTGAATCATGTTAGCCTGATTCATTGGTGTTGTATTCCATCTTCTGAGCTAGTGATGGTACAGCCAGACAGCATCCATATTGAGGGTTTGACAAGGTTAGGTCATCTCAAGGTAGTCTGGATTTATCCTGTAGAACTATAGATACAGTGGAATTTCCATTCAGAGGATGCATGTGGGACTAAGAAAAGTTTCCAGTGAATAAAGGTGGTTGGGTAGGGCTTTATTGATAATTAAACACAAAAATCTAAAAAATTGAGCTGGTTGGTTCAAAGTTGATTGAATCCAAAATGTCAAACTGTTACTGCCCCTGATGAGTGCCTTCATCACTGAAACTATTTTTTCACTTGGTGGTGCTTTGACTCTGGAGGAAGTCAACTGAACTGATAACTCTTGCCGCACAATTCATGTCTGTCATAAAAAGGCATATGTTGTTAAAAAGGTCATTTTGTGAAAGCTGTCATCATAGTAATTATCAGTACTATACACTCTTTGGGGTCATTCATGTTATGACTGCTAAAGGTGTCTACTGAATGGTGGTTAAAAGTGGGCTTTGGGACCCAGAATAAGTAACCCTTTCCCTGAATAGCAGTGTCCCTTTAATAAAGGTAACAGATGTAAAGGTTTCATGAACATTTCTCCGGGATCAAAGTTTTTGTCCTCCCTGAAGGACACCCCCTGAGATGTCTCCTGAATAGAGATTTCAGAAAGGAGATGTTCCAATATAGTATAATTCTCAAGTGCAAATTGATAAGAATTGAATTATGACTGTTTTAAATACAATATATGAAGTTCATTATTTTCATTGTCTTTGTCTTGGTAAATTACTTCAGGTTATAAAATATGCATGGTATATGGACTTTGACTGATGGAGAAGGTGCACATTATCTTTATTAATACAGTCATGTGATGTTGTCTTTTCCAACACAGACTCTTAATATAGTTCCGGAAGAAGAGTTTCCTGCATTTATTGCAGCTATGCAGTCAGAGCTTCCAAGCACATTTCGCATCACTGGAACAAGAAGGTAAAAAATTACATCTATCTTATATATTGCACTCAGTTTTTTTGTAAGAAGTCATAAAAATTATCTCCTATTAATTACCCCTGATCATAATGTATTGGATAATGAACAATAAAGAAGACAAGTTTGGCTGAAGAAGATTGAGTTATATTTTATGTGGATTGCAGTTGCAAAAAGCTTAGTTTGGTATTTGAAAGTTTAATTGTCAGACTTTCATCCCCAGGCAGGACCCATTTTTAGGCTATTGTATAGTGATCCAGGTTTTATTTTATTCTTTTGCATATAACACCATTAGCAACAAAAGGGGGGAAAGACATCTTGATCTCAAGAAATACAGTTAAAAAAACTATAGTGGCTCAAAGAATCAATGTTTAAAAACCACAAGTCATTGACTATGACACATTTTGTGTGCCATTTCCTTTTTGTTGATAGTCATGCCCAAGACCTCTTAAATTGCATCAGGAAATTTTTCCTTGATGATATGCACAATATTCAATGCGAAGGAGGAACAGCTGACCCACCAACACCTCTTTCTTGGTAAGAATATTGCTATCTGTCACAATTGTAAGATATTGCCATCACTTGGAAAATACATGAAAGTCTGAAAAAAGTACAGCAAGTTCTTAATAGAACTTAAGGCTTTACTGGTAGCCTACCAACATTTTTGTCAGTTTCCTTTCACAAATAACACACACATCCGCACACATCCAAGAAATGATAATCAAAGACAAAGTGAGGTTATTATCTGTAGTATTGTCTAGTATATTTTATTATTTCTTTACAGGTATCCTGATGACCTAGCCTGGCAAATCAATTTAACGAAGAGATTTATCAGAAAATCAGCATCCATGGAAAAGTTTCATAATTTTTTGGTTCATCAAACAGAATCTGTAAGATAAAATTTTATTATCAGTGGTTGCTCTTGTAAATAAAAGGTTAATTACTTAGTTACCACTTCACATCCAGTTGCCTTTATGTAATTTCATCTAAAGTCACAAAACACATATCTTTGTTGACGTAGCCTGTAAGGACAATTGAGGTTTCCCTAATTCATACCTTGGTGGTTGATCTTATTCACCTTTGAACGTTTGCTACTCTTGGATAAGTTAACTCCATTGTTTTAGCCTTCCAGTTACAATATAGAGAAACCAAATTATCTTTATGGGCTGTTATATAGTTGATTCTATTTATTTTTTACCTTCAGGGAAACATTAGCCGTCAAGAGGCAGTCAGTATGATTCCTCCTTTGCTTTTAGATGTCAAACCAGGTCAAAAGGTTAGCAGTTTTGGAGCTCAGATTGAGTCACAGAGTGACATGATAGTGGTCTGATTATGTAAACGATAAATACAATGCTTGAGCAAACTTTTTTTAAAATGATTTGATAGCAGTTTACTATTCTGGCCATGATAAGTAAATTAATTTTTTGTTTGAATTTTTTTTAATGTCTGATAGTCTGAAGAGTCCATTGTCTCTTGCCCCAATCTGCAGGAGGACTATCTTCTGCCTGAGTGCATATCAAGGGACTGGGGCTGGGACTTAATGCATATCAAGGGATGGGGCTGGGGCTGTTTTTGCAAAGTGGCTAAGGCTATCCACTGGATAAATCCCTATTTGGTGGATGTTGCAGTATGTTTTGTTAACACTTAACTGCTGGATAGTGATTTTTCTTAAATTCAGGTGAACTAAGTGATTTTGGTTCCTTCTTTACAAGTAGATGAGTGTGTTAGTTTTAGATTTTATGCACCAAAGCTTGATCAAGCTAGATGCATTTTCATGTTTTTTAAAAAGGAAAGAGAAAAAAACAACTTCCTGGACTGTAATTGAACTGAATACATGATTAATTTTGACATAGATACTGGATGCCTGTGCTGCTCCTGGCTCCAAGACTGTTCAACTTATTGAACTTCTTCATGGTGAGGAATCTCAAGGAATTCCTGGTAGGTTGTGTCATTCCTTTGTACTGGTGTTCATGTTGTCCTTGATTATTTTTCCTTTAAAAATAATGATTAGAGTCTGTCTGGAGAAGGAGCTATTCTTAATCAGCTCATAATAGTTTCAACTCATACATGTATTAAAATTTGAAAAATGTTTTCATCAGGTCAAATACTTGTAGGTCAGTCATCTTCATCGGTTAAGAGTTATCTTCCAGTAAAATCTTGCATTTGGAAATATCTGGAGTGAATTGCTGTTTCAGGCTCACTAAAATTTTTTCTTTGTTTCTTTCAGATGGTCTTGTTGTAGCAAATGAACTTCAGAACAAGAGATGTTACATGCTTGTTCATCAAAGCAAAAGACTTAAAAGTCCATGTTGTTTAATTACAAACCATGATGCATCTCTTTTTCCTGCCATGTTTATCAAAGGAGTAGGTTGACTTAATATTCTTGTGACAAGTATTAAATATAATATGATCCTTAAGTTATATCAATATTTACATCTTCTAAGCATCAATGTCTTTGTAAAAGTGCCAATAATAGATACTTATTTTAGTAGTATAGCAAAGTAAGATTACACTCCTATGTAAGAAATTTTAGTTGCCTGCCAAGAATCGGCTTAATTTACCTGTGACTCAACTGTGACAGAGGAAAAATCTAATTTAATTTGCAAAAGTTTGATAAAGAGCTTTTTTTTTTGCAAGGAGACTTAATTTCAGAAGAGGAGAGTTGCATTTGTCACTGTTGTTGTACATGTTTAGATTGTCTTTGTGTGTTTTGTTTTGTTTTGTTAGGAAGATGATAAAAAGATACCAGTTATGTTTGACAGAATTTTGTGTGATGTCCCATGCAGGTGAGTTATCAAATAATTTTTCTTTGTTAATACCTTTCTCAAAGTTTCTCAGTGTCAACCCAAAGGTAACTTTCTTTTACAGTGGAGATGGAACTCTGAGAAAAAATCCTCAAATATGGAAGAAATGGAGTCCACAGCTTGGCTTAAGTTTATTTAGGTTTGTATGTAAAATTGAATTGTTATTGTGGCTTAATGGATAACCCATTTTTGTAAGAAAAAAGAACTAAAGATATTTTTCTTTTCAGAGTGCAGCTGCGCATTTTAGCCCGAGCAGTAGAGATGTTGGCAACTGGAGGTCGCATTGTATACTCCACTTGTACTCTTAATCCAATTGAAAATGAGGCAGTCATCTGCACTTTGCTACAGAAAGCAGAAGGTGCTTGACATAGTATTTCACCGGTCAAATTTTGAATTTGAGTTTTATTTCTCTAACCTTTTTACTCCTAAGATCTTATTTGTAATTCTTGGCACTGTCTGTCATATAATTCTTATGATATTAGTTCAAAGAATTTGTTACTGGATCAATTAATAATCCCCTAATTGATACTTTTCTGTATTCTTGTCAGTTGTTTGCATGATATTTTATTGACATTGTAAGTCCAAATTCTTTCTTGGTGACTCATGGGAGTTTAGGTTTAAGCAGAGCAAGAGTTATTTGAATATTTTATGTCTTATTCCGAAATTTTGCTTCAAGAAAACAGAGGTAAAAACTGGCTCCTGCAAGGATACGTGTATGACACTATGTATTGTTGTCTAGGTGCTGTGGAACTTGTAGATGTATCATCATATCTTCCCAAACTAAAGCGATCCACAGGCTTGAGGACATGGAAGGTAAAATGAAAAAACTGTTTGATTTGCTACAAGCTTGCAGATGAAATTCACAAATAAAGTCAGTGACCTCCTTTTACTTCTAGCTTTTCTATTGTATTTATTACTTGCAAGTGGACTGTGATCTAATTTCTTTGGATGGAACTCAACCTCTTGACTACCTCAAATATTTTAATTTCAAATTGATTTTGTGTGTAATATGGTTTCTTAATCAAATCTTACTTTTTGTCATATTCACCAGTATTGTCAAGGCATTAACCTTTCTACTTCTCCTTATTTCAAAATGACACATTCAGATTTTTTTAGATGCAAAGGAAGTTTCCATAATGTCATCGGCATCTTCCAAAAATTATTTGATCAAATTTGTTCAACACTTGTTGGGTCTTGGGATGAATCCAATTTTAAACAAAACAGCTTTACAACTATATGACCGAAAGATATATACATTAAGGCAGAGAGAGCCTCTGTAATAGAGTGAGTATGAAGTGATCATCAAAGGTATCAAAATATGGATTAGGAAAGCAATATTTTAGATGGTTTCAAGGTTGTTGCAAGGACTTCAGTGATTAACTCTCAGTCGTGTGTCTAGTAACATGTTACAGCAATGAAGTTATAGATTGCATTTATTATGCTGCATGTTGTGTTCATGTAGTTAACAAACATGTTGCTTAAGTTTTAAATTGTTTCATTGCAGATCATGACAAAAAACATGAAAATTGTTGATAATTGTGATCCAGGTACAGAATTTTTTGCAAAAGGATTCAAACCAGAAATGTTACCTCCATCAGAGGATGTTATTGTAAAACTACACATAGAGAGATGGTGGGTAGATCTTTGTTGTGATGTAGTGTTCTGATAGGAGACCATTATAGAGTATAAAGTTCATTAGGTTTTTCATGCACACATTGCTATGTAAACACTTCCACAGAATTATTTTTTTGACAGTTATATAATTTTTAACTTTGTAAGATTTGACTGAACAACAGCAACCCATCTATTCCACTTGCTGTAATAGATGGGTTGCCAACAAAAAGTGATATATATCAAATAATGTATTTTATTACTAACACAGCCTCAGGTTACTTGTAAGTAGGTGCAGTGGTCTGTATTAGTTTTGTTGTCAGTCATTAATTCTGGGAAAGCTGATTAATTTGATTTCATCAAGATAGTGGGGGTTTCTAATTTATTCTTGCAACTGTTTCCTATGATGACTTAATGTGGATCCAGTGGTTGGTAACTACAGTTTCCTTTTATTAATTTATTTCCCACACAAAATGTATATGAACCAAAGAGGACTTTGAAGCAAACTAAACTTATATCAGTGTGAGAACTAATAAGTCCACTTGATTATGTCTTCCAAAAGCTAATGATTGATTCTACAGATTATATACCGAGCTCTCTACCACTAACCCGTTACTGCAAATATATTTTTTTCTGCCAGCTCTCCAATAATGCTGATAAAGCCATAGGAAACACTTCTATCCAAAAAAATCAAAACGGCCTTTTGAGTTTCAAGGACTCTGGTCAAGTGGCGGAATGTAATTTATGTTTACCAACCAAATGTGGCTCTTAAGAAGTATAAAATACGATTGATCAATAAAATGTGGAAAAGTTTGAAGTCTTTAAAGCGAGTTTGAAGGCAAACAAGTGTCTTTCTTGTAATGCAATACTTGTTACTTAGAGTTAAAAATGGTCGAGTGGATTATTTCTGTATGTGACAATCATTGTTGAATGAACAACACGCGTGTGCCATCAGGGTCGATACATTGAAGCACATTACTCTGATATTCGGGGTATTTTTGGCTGACATCTTCCATAGTATCATGATTAGTTTTCAGATCTTCAAATCGTTGTGTATCGACAGTGAATACAAGGGCGCCAAAGCCACTTTGACGGTCCAAGTCTGGATTGTTAAAGTTGCAGCGTTTTACAGTCCAGTATTGCAACTCGAGGGTCGTGTAAGGTCTTTTCCAAAGCCACTCTCGGATTTCTACAGCATTCACGTCATCTGATGGTGGTTTTTCATCTGTACAAGCCAAGAAATAAAGATCAAACATGTCTGGAATGTTTTGCCTTGAAAGAAGTTTCATGCCTAGTGAAGACTCATAGAACCTGAGGGATTCTTTGATGTCGGAGACTCGAAGAGTTATTTGACCCACGTGTGTTTGCTGACGTAGAGCGAAGGTTGGATTAAGAAAGCATTTTATCCGCTCAGAACAGAAGTTGCTTTGGAAATCACGTTGCAATAGTTCTATGGAATACCCAAAAGGGTCGCTCAAGTGACACAGGTAGCCAATGTCTCGAAACTGTCTGGGTTGAGTTATATCGACTCCGTGGCTCATAAGCTGTGACCGAGCAGTGTCCACATCAGCTAGAGACAGTCCAATCTTCCAGTACACATCTTGAGATGGTTTGGGTACGTAAAGCTTGGGTGGACTGGATTGCTGAATGTGAGATCGAAACTCAATACATGCCGACTTCGGGTTATTTTCGAAACCAACCCAGTGTATCAAATCGGTTTCGCTTCGCATCTCTTTTAGCACACTCATTCCCAGTCGTTGACAATACCACTCAATAAGCCCTGTGGTGGCAGATGTATCCACATGGAGTCGGGGAAACGCCAGCTTCATTTCTCTCAGTTATCTTATCGCGATAGAGAGGAATGATTATCAAAAGTTTTTTACCTTCACAGCTCCTTCGTAGGAAACAATCCTCGACACCAGTCTCTTTCTTTGGACTCGCACGCAACGAGCTCCCCCACGAAGGAGGGAGCGTGTTACATGTAATCGTCCGTGTAACCTCAAACGGAGAAATCGAGGCTAAATTTCTACCAAACTTGCGTTCCACGATGCATGTTTGAGTCAGGATTTTTTTACTTTTTTTTTTTTTCTTTTCACTTATAGTTTTTAATAATAGGTTAGAAACCTGTCCGTGAAGAATTTTATTGTTTTCAGCACTAACCTGTCTTTCCTAAGAATACTTTCTTAAATCATACAACCCAGCTTTTTTATTACATTTTTTTTTTACCCAATTATCCTAAAACTTTCAGATTTCCTCAAACCTTACACCAACCTGGCATGGTCCCGATCATTTTCAAGCTGTAGCAGCTGAACAGACTTGAACAGTGGAATATTTCCTCTTGAGTGTATTAGCAAGGGCGTAGTCCAGTTCTAGTCTGATACTTTTAACTTTGCAGTGTGAGAATATATCCCCATCAGCAGGACACTGGTGGATTTTTCATAGCTGTTCTTGAAAAAAAGAAGCCATCACATTGGGAAAATGGAAACAGGTGTACTGATAACCCGAGGCTACTACCCTGGGAGAGCATGGCAGACTGGCAGGTAAGATTCTATACAGTAAAACACTTCATCATGGTAAATAATTATAGGTACCTTCCCTTGTATATCTTTCCTCAAATAACTATAGGATCTCATAGGTTTTTATCGTTTTCTAGTTACTTGAAAATTCTCACAAAAGTAGTGCAAGTCCACACATGTTTTTGTGACATTTATGCTGCAGGTTCAGAAGTGCCATTTATTGGTCATTCAACATCTCTGTTCTTCCCCCACTCCCGACCACTGAGCCCTTCTCCATGGCACTATATAGAGCTCTGTGATGGAGATTGTGTTTTCTACGAGTTCCCGATAAAACATTCCTGTCCATAGAATAAATCAACGATCAGTTCTTTGCATAGTTTGCGTTATTTCCTTTATTCTGCCATCAGGAGACAAAAAATTAGCATTAATTATTTATTTCTTTTGAAAAACCGGATTCTAATTTTTGGTTATAGATTCTAGCTTACAAAATTACTTTCACTGGAAAATTTGTCTGTATGTTGCTTCATTTTACAGGCGAGAAAAGAGGCAAAATGCGGAAAACAGGAAGGTAAAGTTGCCTCACGGACGCCTAATGAGACCACAAAAACTGACTCTGATCAGAGTAATGTGAAACAGCAAACTGAAAGAGGGACAGAAAGGTCAGAAGAGCCTGCTTCTTGTGAACTTGGCATCAACAATCAGGTTGACAATGATTATTGTGAGCAATCTGCAAGCACCAATGAAGTTATGGACTACGAACAAGACGAGTCCGACAAACTTGATGAACTGGTTAATGACGATGATTCTAACGGTGAAAAAACTGAATTAGATCTTGCTGAAGATGAAGAAGCTAACAGGTTGACAAGTGAGAGTTTTGAAGAACACGACAGCACAGAAAATGGTCAACAGGAGGAACATTCTTCAGGCGGAAACAAAGAGAGTGATAACGGCACTGTCAACAATTCTGGAGATTCGTCGCAAGTGTGAGTAGTGGTTATTTTGTGGATCTGTTGTTATGAAAAGCTTATTTGAATGCGATAAAAGACAGGTAAATTTCGCTCCAAAACATACACAGATCAAATTTAATCAAACGTGAGTTGTTAATTAGGGATCTTATTTCAGTGGAAGAGTCGTTTCATGAACGTTCTTAGGTGAACCCTCTTTGACTGAATGAAGATTAACGTCATATCCATTAAAAGTTTCGAATACCGACATCCGGTCCTTAGTGGATCCAGTCATGTGCTCTTTCTCGTGGGAGGTAGAAGGGCGCTTATTTCAAGGAAGGGTCTCACTTGTAGCGGGATGCATATAACTTAAGTCAATATTAACTGTCATTTATGGTTAATTGTTCGTTAAGAAACTATTAAGCTGTGCCGACGGGCAAGTGAAACAATAAGTTTATTAGAACTTGATTAATGTAGGGTATTTCGATAGTCGGAGCAAAAAAATATTGTTATTTCCGATCTATTCACCCTAATTTAGGGCTAGCCTCGAAACTTTAACTTGTGTGGCTGGTGGGTTTTTGTTGTTGTTGTTTGATGAAAAAGAAGGCAACGGAGCACAAAGGTGCACATGATACAACTGAACCCCCCGCTCCACCCCTCCATGGTAAATAATAAACCCAACTTGTTTTGACTGTCTGCTGATCTAAGCTGTACAATTTTTGCCTCTTTAGTGATCAACCACCAGCGAAAAAAGCTAAAGTGGAAATGAAAGGGTTTAAAGAAGACCCATTTGTATTTCTCAAAGAAGATGACGAGCACTGGCCTCAAATTAAGTAAGAGATTACTTAAGTAACATAAGGGATCGTACGTGAATTAAAAGGCTGGGATATTTTGAAACAAGTGGATATTGAAACGTACCATATTTCACTAAAAATAAAAACGTACTCTAACGTATGCTGTCATTATATGGAGACTTCATACCGTTCTTCATGTGAGTGGTATGTTACAATGCTAATCATAAGCTTTTTACTTACCTCGGTATTTGAAGGGACAGTAACAAATTATTGTTATGTTCTGTGAAGTTGTGCTTAGTAATTAAGTAAACAAGTCGGATAAGATTTGGGGATGTTTGTCGTAGTGATATGATTACTAAGGAACAAGTTTGTGGAGAGTGTTTGCACCGATATAGATAAACCTTACAACCTGGAGGATGTCTCCGTCTTGGGGCCTCATGCCACGTATGTATGTATGCCCAAGAAGAAATAAAGAGATGTAGAGGTTCAATGTACGCATTTAAATGCATATTCAGTTCGATGTTTAAATGTAAATATTATATTGTAGGGAATTTTACGGTATAGACGATTCTTTTCCTGCTGATCAACTCCTGGTGAGATCCGTTGGTGGGAAGAAAAGGAATATTTATCTGGTGTCCAAAGCAGTCAAAGATGTCATGGAGATGGTCACTGACGAACACAAGGTTTGTTTAACGGTTCGTGTGGTGTCAAACATGTGAAGTTTACGACGCTCAAGAGAGCAGAATGTATGTCAGGTATTCAAACTGTGTCGCAGTTGTGTATTAGGAAGTTAGATCATTGAAATAAGGGTGATGTGAATGAACACCTCCCCTTCTCCTTTCCTCGGTAACAGAATTTTCACCCAACAATGCCCGATGACAGACTTCCCAGAGACTACTGACATTTTTACTATTTATAAAGTCGAAGATACGATCGCTTCATGTAACCCGAGATACATATTGAAATGGTTTCGTTCCAGGTGGTTAACACAGGGATGAAGGTGATTGCCCGGGCAGAGGTTGACAATGCAGGATGTCTGTTCAGACTGATGCAGGAGGTATGAACATGTGATTACTATGCCATACACTGAACGTGATTGAGGATGAATTGCTTGAGACCCATTTTCTCGCTTGCTTTCTTATTCTTATATGTTCCTCTTTAAGGCAGTAAAAGGAGTCTACAGTGCTGCGGAAGCACACTAATTAAAATTATGGTGGAAAATTCTGCGCTTGCAGTTTTTTCTTTTTGGTTGTCTGTTTGTTTGTTCAATTTTCTGTTTTCTTTTTTTTGCCATTTTTGTGGCTTACATAAGGATAACTCAGTTCCCGTACGCAAACAAAGTCGCTTTTTGGTCCAGTATTTCCGTCATTACGGATGTTTTTGACAATAATTTCTCATGTATTTAACAAGCTAACTTTGATTGAAGGATTAAACATTTCTGAGAAAGGACTCTTTTCTTAATTTCACAGGGTATCGAGGCTGTACTACCATACATAAACAAACGCAAAGTTACCATCCCACAGAAGGATCTCGTCATCTTGTTGACTCAAGACAGGCCTTTCTGCACTGAATTTTCAAGTGCGACAAAAGAGCAGTTGGACAAAATTGAAGGTGTGCTTAGACTGATGTATTAGGCCTACCTGGGAAGAATTGGAAAGATGGACGCTGAGAATTGAAATACTATTTTGTAACTATTGTGTTATTGTGGTAGAGATTGTCACTCCCTAGCTGAGCATTGCTCTAGTTAAAAGCACTTGAAAGCATTTAGAAATCGACCAATGCTGCACTTGTATACCATTTTGCTTTAGATGTTGACTACCCTCTTTCCTCACTCACTCTTTCCTTGCTCTCCTATCATAAAGTTTGTTGTCAATAACTAAAGTACATGGATATAGTTACACTAAGTATTTTTATGTTTCTCTATTAGGATGGGTCCATGATAAGAAATTCGTTAGGTTTTTACACTCTTGCTTCGGCATTTTTCAGATCAAGGCTGTATTGTGTATGTTTATGAACCCAACGGTCCATACAGGTTAGTAGTTCGCTCTCAAGTTAACTTTCATGTCAAGGAAACTGAGCATCTTAACAACTTAGTCGTGCAATGCATGAACTACAAACTTAATAGGGGCCAGACAGGATTTATAATCCACATTCTTTAGGAAATTCAGCACCAAAGATCGCTTCATTATTTTGCCTCTGTCTTTGTGTTTAAAATCATTGTTCGAAATTCTTTCGAGTAGTTTCGCAAGTGGTCTTGACTCCAATTGCTTACCTTTCTGGTACGTTGTACAGAATATGTTGAGCTATTTGAAAAACCCCAATGAGTTTAATGGCTGCTTGATTTTCTGTCCTAGCTTTCCTGAGGATACTATAGGGAGTAGACTTGTAATCTGCGGCTGGAAAGCTAAAGTTTCCACACGGGTCCAGATTAGTAAATTTGACAGAACTCACTACAGTATACTGTGTGGTTTACCACCTGGAAATAAGCAAAAAGGTATTCATAACTTAGTATTGTTCTTATTTGATGCGTTTCGTCCATCATGAAAGTTATTACTATTAGTTTCTTTAGCGCCACCGTTGGCGCGGCGTAGCCTTGCAGAGGAGGCTATCACTCCAATTTTGTGATGGCAATCAAAGGAAGGGCTGTTTCTCATTTTTAGGGAAGAAAGACGCAGTGGACTCAAAACAGGAAACGACTTCTAAAGAAGATAAAGACAATGAACAAGGTGACGACGAGAAAAACCTGGATTTTATCGGCGACTTTCTTAACGTGGAGCCACCAGAAGGTTCACTTGACGTGGGTTTTATATGAAAGCTTATTTCTTTCGTATACCTCCTTGTTAAGTTGTACGCTGAATAAAATAACTTGTCAAAGTCGTTATTCTCATTTCATGCAGAGACCAGTCAGCTAATCACTGCTTCCAGGGTCCTTCAACCTAGAAATTAACAATAAAACACACACCACCACTGATATTTCGAAATCCCCGCGCATCTCTCACAATTCAGTGCCAGACCCTCGCAGACCTCTTGTCGGTTCATACTACTCAAGGCCTCAACCTTCCTCGCGAGCGAAGAAATCTCATGCCGCAGCGCTAATAATGAGGGCCTTGTCGCGAGCCAGACTTCTGATCGAGAGCTCTGGGTTTGAGCTCCGAGCGAGACACTTCAGATTAACGAATGGTTTTTTGAATAGCTGAAACCTCCGGGAAAAGCTTTAAATTTAGTTGCTTTATTCGTAGAGTTCATGTTCTTTTAGAGGAAGATTAGTCACTATTGTGTATTCTTTTTAATACCGTGAATGTTCGAATGAACGTCAGCGTCTTCGAAGCTGTGCTCTAGTTCTAGAAGGAGCCAATAGGTTAATAAATGAATGGGGTGTATGGCTCTTCTCTATCGATCACTTTAAGTATTCTTACGGGACAGATGGTCTTTCTAGACCTTAATACCATGGTGCAAGTCAGATCATGGTGCAAATTTCAAACTTTAAATAGAAAAATATCTTAGAGTATAGAATTCTACTCTGTAAGAAAGGATCTCGAAAATCTAGGAGAGCGATGGAGGATTTTAAGTAGAAAGGTAAAATTACATGAACCCACCAGTGGCGACTGTGGAAGGGAATCACAAGTAATGTTAGCGCGCACAGTGATGTGTTTCTGTTGAGATATTTCCTAGTTTTGTTTATTGTTCCCTTGTCACTCGGAGAAATAGCGTACGAAATTGACATGTTTCGATGGAAGCTGAAAAATTATTAGTATCTGGTCTGTTACTGAGTTTCTATTAGTAGAGCTAATGTGTGATCGCAGTGGGATAGTTTTCCATATTGTTCCTGTCAATGAGTTAAACAAGATAATTAGCAAAGAGCCCTGTATAGAGGGTCCCAATGGGGTTAACCGTTAGCCGTAAAACGGCCAAAATATTTAGCCGTTAGACGTAAAAAATGACAAATTTTAACCGTTAGTCGTAAAAAAAGTTAACCGTAAAAATATCTCTGGTGGAAACAATGGAAAGGTGTTAACCGTTAGCCGGAAATTGGCCAAAATTTGAACCGATAGCCGTAAAAGCCATAACCCCATTGAGACCCTCGGTATACAATAGACCATTTCGGAGTTCATGTAATCCTCATAATCAAGACAAGGGTTATCGGCCAATCTTTGTAATGGATAGTCTCACTTTAACAACAAGGTTTTAGATGAAGTCTTACTTAGAAAGTTAGGATTTTATGAACAAAAAGAAATTCAGCATCTCTCAAAGTGCCCTAATAGATTCAGTCATGATAGCATGCGAGAGTTGTTTTTTCGAAACAAAAAGAGAGCATAACTTTCAAAAGAACGAAAATATCGCATTACTTCACCTTAAGAGAGAGGAAAAAAACTTTGTTTATCTTAACTCATACAGGTTTTTTTCATTGGTCTATTGTCTCTATTGTCTAAATACTTCGAAGCAAAAATAAAATGCATCAGTCCCACGCCCACAGTTGTCTCTTTGCAGCCGTTGTTTGGTCTCGTCACACAACATGTCTTCTCCTATGGAGAGAAAGCGCGTTGCGTGACGAGATCAAATGACGAATGCGAAAAGGACTGCGCTTACTGCCGTTCCTCTAACATACAGAAAATCAAAATAATCGTCTACTGTTAGTTGCCTTAAAAATATAATTTCATGTAATTTTTCTACTAAAAGCAAACTGAAACCCTAACTTAGAAGTTTGAACAGTCGCAAGTGTGTTGCAAGGTGGATTTTGTGCCACTATTGGCTGTTTCGAGGGTTATTTTGAGTATTTTATATATCATGAATCTTGCAACACAGCTTGCCGTTGAAGAACTGCTCAAATCAAAAGTTTTGGTGACTCTCACTTCTCACCCCTTCACTCGACTGGGTTTCTCCAAGTGGTCTTTGGTCTCCCTCTCGCCCCTCAACCTTCTAGTGTCCACCCCAATGCTGTAAAACAGACGTTCACACTCTTTCTCCTGAGTACGTGTCCTGGCCAGTTCCACCATCTTCTTTGCACCTCGCAGCTTATTTTATTCATCTCAGCCATTTCAACAACTCTCTTTCTCTCTTGAAGATGTCACTTTCGACAGTCCTTCTTTCTTGGAGATGGATTGTCGAAAGAGAAAGAGAGGCGAGGCGGGGTGGAAGAGCTGGAATGTGGCCAAGGCGGTGGCACGCAACAGGGGGCGTTAAACGGACAATGTGACGGCCTTATGCGTCTACTGGCGTAATGAGCGATGATGATGATGATAATGATGATGATGATGAAACAATACCTTTTGAACATCTCATTACTCAAACAAAATATTTACAGGGCCTTGGAATCTTCAGATTGGCGCTAGGCCTCGCTTGAAGTCCGAAAATTCGGTTTTCACTTTATGGCCCCAATTCGTATCGCTTCCGAGAAACGTAGTGTTGTTGACTCGGAAGCTTATTTTGTCGCTTTTAAGACTCGTAATGTCCATTATTTTTGAGCAGACTCAAATAACTCCGACGTTTTAACTTGGCACAACCCGCACCAAAGATCCAGATCTTGAAATTTTTAGCCTGTTTGTGCTGTCGAGATATTTTTAGCTGTATTGTGTGACATTTACTAAGATAAGTGATTAGTGTTATGTGATCTCTTTTCTTGTGATTTCAATGTAGACAATAGAACCAATTAATCAGCCCATATATCGTCGTTGTCTAGGATTTAGGGTGTGTCGCACGTCAGTGATAAAAGGAAACCGGCTAAAAAATATTATCTTCGTCTATCAATAAATCGGGACGTGATCAGTGAATAAGGAAAAATAAACCGTGAAGTTTGCGAAGAACAGCCTGGTGTTTGGCATTCGCAACAGTACAACTCCTCGCTGTAATCCGCACTTACAAGACAAGCCAACTGTAGGAAAGCCGCCGTTTGAATTTTAAGCAACAAAGATAAACGAATAACTAGATGAAATACGATCTTCGACAACGTATTACAAAATACGAAATAGCCGCTTCCTGAGGCTTATGTAACTACTGTAAGCTATGGCACAGTAAAACACGTGACAAGCGCTCTGTTCGCCGTGACAAACCCAGGAATAAATTTCTTAGGCGATGACATGGAGTGGTTTACACTTTGTTTCAGCCACACGAAAACCGAGTAAGCACTCTCGGAGAATAAAAGAACCCTCTAATTGCTTGTTGGAGCACTGCAACTGAGGAAAATAATACTTTATTTTTCCATCAATATAATTATTTATTCATCGCAAGGTTTTCGATCACTTATGGTAGATTGAGCTTTACCATTAAGCCTCAAAACTAGGAAAAGTTATATAAGCTGTAAAAAACTTATGAAGCAAAAATTTCAGAAAGATCTGAACAAAAACCATAGGACTACAAAGATCTCAACGGAGAAGCCAAAAAAGCAAGTTGTCAAAAGTAAAATTTTATGGGTGCCTTTGAGGTATTTGGTTGAGCCTTTCTTCATCAAGTTCACAGTCCATCAAGAGCTGGTCGACAAGATTCGTCGACACTAATGTAGTTATCATACGGAGGAACCTCCTTTTTGTCCTCAGCGACCTTAAAAAAGAGATAATTTGATGAAAATTAACAATAAATGTTAAATTCCTTCATTGCTACATGAATGTTTATAAAGCGGTAACATAAAAACCATAACTATAATCACGTTTTCTGTCATATAGCTAATATGGCTGGGAAAGCCACGGGTGCGACTTGAAAATTGCCCTTGGATGCTATGTTCAAATAAACTCGTCTCTTATAATCTTCACGTAAACGGTTTGACTTAACATGAAAGAAATGTTTTGAAAGTCAGTTCGCCCAGAGAAACTCGGGGTAACGGTTATAATGCAAAAAGGGACTTACAAACTCCTTTGTAAATTTGCTCTTGCTAACCTTTTCCATTTTTTCCATGGCAGTGATCAAGTTTCCTCCCACAATTTTACTGGCCTCTGCGTTGCTGTATCCTCGCCGGAGGAGTTCTTCTATTAGTTTAGGATAAGTTGAAACATCCTCCAATCCTGTCGGAACTCTGAAGTCAGTAAATGAACATAGTAAGAGCTTCAAGTGTGGTTAAAAAGAATTAAAGCTTAAAGCGAGCCTGGACGATAACTTCATGTGTCTCCTTTCACATTCCCCTTTCTGGACACCTATCAAAAATTTGCGTAAATAACTGAGTACTTGAAGGTCTCAGGTTAGTAAAAACCCATAGTTTTAGTCTTAGAGGAGCGATTCACCAACTTTTCGAGTAACGATTCTTCCAGTATCCCGCTTGGGTTGTCATTGCGGTTAAAAAATAAAAAGTGCGGCCTTAAGCTTGACTGAGATAAATCGCACATGGAAGTGTACCAATTAATCTTGATAAACAGCTACAGACCTTGGTACGCCATCATAATCACCACCGAGACCAACATGATCAATTCCTGCGACTTCCTTGATGTGATCGATATGATCTGAAAATATCCGAAAGCATACCGATTAAAACAGTGTCTTATTTCCTTTGATTCAATTCTGACCACAAAACTCGAATGTGGAGTTAACAATGCGCGAGTAATGAAGCTTACGTTAAAACTCAGGCTGACATTTCTACTAAATGGAAATGAAATCGAATGAAATGACTGCGAGATATTATAGATGACGACATAAAAGTCAAGTTGGTTTCTTTCACTCAATTTTCATCATGTTGTTTTATCAAGCGTTTCGCGTCTAGAAAACTTGTGCACAGATCGAGTGAGTCCCATTTCTTCCCTAGCCTTAATCAGCTTCACCAGAATTTGGAAACAACTGAATCCCATTATTTAACGCATATCAATACCTGCAACATCACTGAGAGTCGCATCTTTTCTGCAAGTGACATAATCGTTGTAAAAGTTCACCATAACTACTCCACCATTCCTGGGCTGTAACGGAAGCACTGATATCATTATTATCATATTTACTATGAGCTAGTACATAATGGGAATGTTATGAAACCAACGAACTAACGAACGACTGAATAATTATTTTTTAAACATGGTATGTTGCAGCCAAAAAATGCAAAATAAGACCATAATGGCAGTGACGTTTGATCTCATTTTACTATTACGTGTAAAAACAATGATGAAAAAGTAAGTCCTTAAGGTAGCATATTTTCCGGTCTCCTTAGCCCTCTATAGCGTGACTCAGGTAACGAAATAACCACCGGGCATAGTTAACGAATCACTAGGCGAGAGAACGAATACAACAGAGAGTATGAAAAGACAAATAAAGAAACAAAAGAACGTGTAGATAAATGAACAAATAAGGAATAAATGTTCTCACAAGCTTTTTTAGGACATCATCTGGAACGTTCCTCGGGTTTTTGCAAAGTGCATAGGCGGAGGAGTGACTGAAAATAACTGAAACAGGTGTTTACGAATTACTTGAGGTTGTATGATGATGAATAATTACAATAATTCATCCAACTAATGCGGTCATCGCATATAATACATTTTTAGGGGGGAATGGGGAGGGAGAGGAAATCACACTAATTTTTTGCTCGTATTATGTCTGAAAGCAATTTCCGAGTTGATAAATGGAGTAAGGTTCAAAAGAATTTGTGGTACTGCGTCGGTGGGAGAGTATAACAAGGTAATTTTGTATTATCATCTGAGTTAATTACGTTAATTGGCCACTGTTAAGAGTTTCGAGCGTTAGCCCTTTGTCATTAGATCTTACAAAGGGCTGACGCTCGAAAAGTCAGCTTTCAAACTCTTAACGGAGGCCAATTAACGTTATCAACTCAGATGATAACACAGACCAAATTACCTTGTTTTTTGACTTGATGTTATGACCCCAAAATTGACTCCTTCCTTCAATTCCTGTTAAAGTTACTTCCCACCTTCAGAGGCCGAAAAAAATAGTTTCTTTTATTTGATTACACTGAATGCAAATATTTAACAAACGTTTCCATAAAAAAAGTTAATACATCAGGAAGGTGTCATAATCTCGTACAGGGGCGAATACCCTGGCGGAATTTTCGCGGCAACCGCTTAACTTGGGCCTCGTTTTTCATGTTATTTGTATATTTTGTTTACATCGCGCACTTGACAAAATACACACGTGGAAGCTCTTCGCCTATGGAAAAATCTTTGCCCACGGAAAAATCAAAAGCGGAAGAAAGTCCTTAGTCCATTTAAGCAACACGCCTCGTAATTTTTAGCCACTCCCAACTTCCGATGTCGATATCTAAACAACCAACCAGAATATTGAAAAAGCCCGACACACTATTATCGACTGATGCCTTGTGAATAAGAATGCGCAGCCATTTTGCTCGTGCTGCGGCATCCGATACCCGCGCCTTACTGGCTCCTGACACTTCCTAAAAAGAAAACTCGCTTTAATTTGATTTTTAACGTAAACTGCAGTTATCAAGCTTTCTTCTGTTATATAGTTTGCTAGGATTTAAGTGAAACAAGCGCGCGTACGAATTTGTTCCCAAAGGACACCCGCGAAGGTGGGAAATAACCTTATCTTTTTGGTAAATTCTCTGACTGGCGTTAAAGGCTTTCGCATGTTCAGTTTTTGCGTGGGGCTCAACTGATAGTTGGCCAATAATTTAACAGTCTGCTGAGAAATAACGCGTTTTTAACTGACAGCTCAGATCTGAGATCAGCAGAATTTACTGATGGATAAAAGTTTCCAAATCTGGAGTCGGTTCAGTGGCCTCTGCATTTAACCCCGTCATCATTCAGTGGCTTAGAGCCACTTTGTTTGTCTTAGTTAGTGGTTTCCTCCTCTCCCCAAAATGATTCAGTTTTTTCCGATCCTGTATTTGGTGTTTGGTCAACATTCATTCTGTTGATCTAATTATAATGAACTTCTGTTCTTATTTCCTGTTTTCCGCACAATATGTGTAGAAAATCTCGTTTAAAACAGCTACAAATATGAACGTAAAATTTGATTTGCAAAAAATAATCAGGTAATTTATTACAGATTTCGCAAACCATGACTGTTTTCTTTTATACCTGGGGCTTCTGTGATATTAAGAACATCATGCATGACTTTGGCGGAAACATGTGATATGTCGACAAACATCCCAAGCCGATTCATCTCTCTAATCACGTCCTAAAAAAAAATCACAGGAAACCCCTTATTGTGTACCTACTATGATACGCCATCCGGATGAAAGCTGATGTATTTCTCTTACGGTAAAATTGAACTAGCTAAGTATCCAATAGAAGAAAAGATCTCCCTCAGTTGAAAGATCACTAAATACCAGCATACAAGACAGATAAACCAGAAACCAACACAAGACAGAGAAACCGCTCGCAAGCAGACTGCCGTGGCTCAAATTTCTATGGCTGCCGTGAGTCGGAATTCGTTCCAGTAGTTGAGTTATCCACAACTTTGACGGGTAAAATTTTCAGCAATATTGGGTTCTCAAGAGAACTAAGACCTGAATTTAAAAAGCGAATTCTTCATTAACCTCACCGCCAGTATTTGTTCACTTTTCCTATCTCGAGGTTCTAGGTGCGGTGCCAACATCAGTTGCAGCCTCGGGCTACCGTGATAAACATGCGTAGATTAAATCAGATGGTGGAAGCCTTCAAAAACACCTGGCCGCCATTTTAGTGTATCAAATAAGTTGATAAAATAGAAGAAAGATTAAATGACAATTTATATCTCACTTTTCCGAATTGAGTCAAACCATTATGTTCCGGTTTCTCTGGGGTACATGAGTCGGCCCTGAAAGAAATTATTAATTACTTAGTCTGTTTTCCAATTCTGCATCCTTGAAACTGTTAGACAATATAGTCTGCATAAGTTTCATTCACTCTTGCAGCTTATTTTTCACCATAAAATTCAAACAACTCTTATCATGTTGTCCCAGCTAAGTGCGACCACTTCAACAAATCAGCGTATGAACATCAAACGTGAATAGAAATTCCCTCCTGCTACACACTGAGTTCGCCGCCTTCGTAAAAGAAGACATTCAGGTAGTTATGGTGTACTAAGGCCTAGTTCAAACGTCGATCTTTACATGTACCGAACCTAACGTTTCTATTAAGTACATGTAAAGATCGACGTTTGAATCAATTAGGATCGGCAGATTTGTATTCGGATCGACAGTGCCGTTCTATCCGACTCGGCTAGTCGAATAGAACGGTAAAAGATCGGCATTGATTCATACGTCGTACTTTACATGTACCGAACTTAATGCATACATTATACATACGTTAAAATAATTATGTTTTACCCACAATTCAAGAAAGTTCGCTTACGTGCCATGCGCGAAAGCCTTCGAACCATTCAAACAATATGGCGGGAAAGGAGAAAGGCTTGCAAACATTTTCCCACCAGCCAGAATTTCTTTTCAGTCGACGACACGAACGAACTGGACGAGGAACTGTGATGTTCCTTTGGGAAATAAGCAATAATAGAAGGCAAGCCAAATTCAAAACTCGTCTTCTCCTGGTAGCAAGGTTGTTTAATGCTAACTGCATCTTGAGTCGCCTTTTTCTACCCTCCTTAATCGCATTTGCAAGAAAAACAAGCTCTTCATTTCCACAAGTTGTGCTTCCCGCATTTTTTCCCGCCATTTTGGTAGGCATTAACCGCTGACTATAATGGAGTTATGTTCAGTTTTGCAATTAGGATCGACTAAATTCGGATCGACGTTTGAATCAACTGCCGCTCTTGATTATTCGAGTCGACCCAAATTGCAATTAGGTTCGGTACATGTAAAGATCGACGTTTGAACTAGGCCTAAGAGGGTTAGACCATCCCTTCCAGTACTACTAAATTGCTCTTTACATAACCCGGCGCGCAGATAGAGGAGTTAAGAGTTACTAGCGCACTGGCTATCTTTTTAGTTTCGAGTGATTATAAACTGTTATAAAAATTTGTTAATTTAATTTTGATGCTACTTTTCGACATAGGAAAAGTATGTCGGACAAAAATATTCACCAAAAAATAAATATTTCTTTGCCAGCTTCAATAACGACAGGGGATTAAGTTTAGATGATAAAACAAAGGATTATGTTCACAGAAATACCCTACGTCTAGTACATTCATTACATGAGGTCACACAACTCTGGTAATATTCACGGTGAAAATTTGCATATTTGAGCGGTCGAACGAAAAAAATTATTTCTCGAAAACTAAAATAAATTTTTGCAAAAAAACTCCACCACAATTATTAGAACATATTGGGCTACAAAATATGAAAGAAGGAGGGAAAACAAATTTGGGTGACTTGCCGCTGTTTGTCTGATGAATACTGACATTAGCTCTTAAGAATGACAAATGAATGATTGTCACGCAACTTACCAAGGAGTGTGACAGCTGTGAGTCAACGTCATGTACCGACCCCCTAATTCATACAGCATCCGAAGGGCATCCAAACTACTATCCATTGCATGACCCCCTTCTACTCCAATCAAAGAGGCGATCTTTCCGGCTTTGTGCGCATCTTTTATGTCCTGCGCAGTGGTGGCCAAAGTAAAAGTACCCGGGTACTTATCAACCATGCGGTGGATGACGTCAATCTGCTCGAGGAACAAGCGTACCGAGTTCTTGTACTGATTGGCACAGGAAACGTACGCTGACCAAAACTGCAAGGAAAGAACGCAATGCATTGGTTAATCAATGGCTGAGTGTCTTCGACTTTTTGTCTTTTTTCTTTTTTTTTTTATAAAGCAAGGAAAAATTAGATGAAGATCATTCTAAGAGGTAAAGAAATGATACCAAATATCTCCATTTTTCCCGGAAAACATCTTATTTTGTTAACAGTAACCTTAAAGCACTAACCTACTACTGTTTCCTTCAAATGACGCACTCACTCTTGAAGGAAAAGTGGCTTGGAAACGTATCGAGCTCAGTCCACTTACCTGCGCTCCAACTTTGCCCTTTCTTAACCTTGGGATATCAGTGTGCCATTCTGGGTTGTTCTTATCTAAAGTCACATTTTCCATTTGATTCATGAAATACTTCCTCAGTTGCCATGGAATATCGTTATGCCTGAAAAAATGAAAAAAAGCAGTTAAAGGGTCACATGGTTCAAAAGGTTCTTAATCAAAGTGTGGGGTATGTTTGAGCGACAGAATTCCTATAGTACACCACAACTACTTTAATTTTCAGTCGCTTAAATCATACACATGAAAAGATCTTCTTTTCATTCACTCATTCGCGTGGTCTTGGAGGAAGTTCACTCATAGCTGACAATTTTTCGGTCATTATACCGCAAGGGTCGCAGTATGTGCAAAATGCCATAGGAGCCGTATCTTTTTGAACCATTGAAAAAGTTCAGTGTTGTGGATGGGAAGGCAAACATCAAAACAGTTATTAGAGCGCAGAACTGTTCGAAAAAATTCATGTCATGTTTATATTCCTTTTTTTTTCCAAGAGCAACGGTTCGTAAAACGAGAGAGCTTCCAATAATTCCCAAGTGAATAATTCCACTAGTTTGTCTGGCAGCTCGACAATAATTAGTTACCTTCTACCTAATAATGATTGCTTTACCTATCAACAAACTGAAACGGTAAAAATTGTATCGGATGACAAGTTGAGTGCTCGAAATGACAAAAATGTAATTGTATTTCATTATTCTTTTACGTATATTCTTTTACGTATATATCAATCATCTCAAACCGTGGAATGCGATAAAACCATCTGGTCTGGTTAATGTTCGTGTCCTCCGTTGTGTGGTGCTAATTTAGGCCCGGGTCGCACTAGAGCTTTTTTTGTTTGTTTACCAAAATCTGTTAACAAGTAGCGTAAGATAAGTGCAACCCCCAATTTGAAAAGCTTGGCGTATCGCCAAAACTTCGCCAATCTTCACAGGAGCCGATGTTCAGCCTCGGAGGCTTCCAAATTTTGGCAAACAAACAATCTTTTTTTTAAAACTATTTAGTTGTCATCGTATCCAAGACACGTCTAGATAAAATTTAAGCGGGAAAAATACACTTTAATCCGCTAGCGTAGTTTGCTACGCGCGATGGCTTGACATAATAGTTTTTTTCACTGGCGGCAATTTGGAGAACAATCAGCTTCAACGAGTACTTCTCCTTCTATTGGAGTTATCGAGGCCAACACAAGTGGTGCAAGCTGCAACCAAAAATATCAGCAGGAAAAAAAGAAATGAAATACGATACATGGGTACTTGAGTGATCAAATTGAGTCGGTTCAAAAGAGGGCTCTAAAAATCATTTTCCCGTTTATGAGTTATGAGGACGCGCTTAAGAAGTCAGGCTTAATTAATCTATGCCAGAGGAGGGAGGATGCATGCGTCACTTTCCTTAAGCGGAGTTACTACTCTTCTGACCTACTACGAAATTTAGTACCGCGATGTCAATTTTCAAGACCATATGCCCTTAGGGCAGGAAGAACTGTGTCTATACCTACCTACTCAAGATCTATTAGATTTGGAAATTTTTGTACTATTAAATATCAGAATCATGTGTAATATACTTAACTGCAATTTATCTTATTACTTATCGTATTTAATGTTTACACAATATTTAATATTTATATTTAATTGATATCTAAAATAGTTCTATGTATGCATAATGTAGAAGTATTTGTAAATTATGACCCGCCTTGTAATTCAGTTTCTACTGCAAGAAGGCTGAATAAACGATCATCATCATCATCATCATCATGGTCCCAATCTCGTTCCATGACTCCGTCGGACGCGAAAAAGACTACGACCAAGGACGGTTTAAAAGCGAGCACTATTTAGCGAGGTCTTCGTCTTCTACTTCTAAAAGCTGGAACTAGCTGCATAGAAGCCTGCTGATAATGTATCAACAATGTGAAAAACGCTACGCGACTTGTACGTAGAATGCTAAATTCCACGAAAACCCGAGAGCACAAAGATAATGATTCGACAACGATCTATTCTTGCCCAGCAATTCGAGCGAGAACATTTCTTTACCTTTCAATGAAGGGAGATAGGTTAGTTATTGCCGTATGTGTCAATGAAGTTTTGGTCAGAGGATACTAGTTTAATGCGACCGCAATTTTTGGCGCGCGAAAAATTGGCAAATATTTGAATTCGCTCTGGTGCGACCTGGCTCCCCCCAAAAAAATTTATTTGATTTTTGTCAACTCTCAATGAAATATTTCAGCCTCCTTACAGTCACACACCACTTTCCCTCCCCCCTCAAACCAATATATTCACCCCGTTTCTATTAGTCAAGCAAGTCAAGAAGCGAGCAAGCACAGAAATAAATTAATATTGGAGAAATTGAAAACAGAAAGAGAGGAAGGATTTGAATCAACAGATTTATTAATTTAAGATAATTTTAGACTGACAAGATAGGTCTTCGCTTTCGCAAATCTTTCTTACCGCATAATTCGATAAGAGTACTCTCTCTTGCGAAAGTATGTCTTTACTACCCCTAACAAACTGCTCAATGTTTAAAAATAGAACGTGACAAGTACAAAATATCGAACTAGCGTTCTTCTAAACTGAATTGGTACCGACGTTTACCGGATTCTGCTTTATGGTCGTGAGAATATGCTCATCGGTGAAACACATTTAGAGACAAAATAACATCGTTATATCTGATATTCCCGTCAATTTTTCCCGTTGTGTACCTGCCCCTTTAAACTCAGATGTTGTTTCTTGATAAGCGGGAAATAACTTAAAATACCTAACTTTATAAGTCGTCTTGAGCGTCGTCTCTGAGAGTTTTCTTAGAACATGTCAAAAGAGGGCGTATCAATTTACAACCTGCCTCAACGAGCTGTCGAAAGACATAGCCAGGCGAGCCTTTACACTGCTTTCTCTGTTTTCCGTAGGAAATGTTCTCGATACTTTTCTTTCAACTTTGCGCAGAAAACTTTTCTGCGAACGAAGGGCTCATGATTTTATCTTTGAACGGCTTAATCAAAGGAAACAACCAATAACAGAGATGAGCAGCTTTACGCACTGTGAAACACGCTTTTCTCTCTTCCCTGCACGCGGCACGCGCGCGCGCTTTGTACTTTGACCGAAATCGCATAACTAGTGACATAGTGTCCCGCATAACTTTGGAGCAATTCCCTTTTGTCCTCCTCCTTCCGAGCTGGTTTCAAAGGTTTTTTTATAGCAATGAATAGATTGAATAGGATTTCTTACCCGTCAACAAGTGGAGTCTCTTCCAACACTTGTGCAGCACGCTGTGTAAGGCTTGATTCATCTCTAGTACTCTTCTTTCCTGTCAACACTGCTATGGGTACGGCAATGGCGATTACAAGAACGACCACGACTACCGTTCCAATAATGATAACTTTCCTATTCATTCTGATGATGGTTAATTTGAAGAGGAATACAGAAGGCTGCACTGAAGTCGGTCACAAGGTAATGACTAGACTAGCTTGCACAAACGTAGTGAGTCAACTATTTATTAAATTTAAATTTTTCTTCTTAATTTTCACATTTCTCGCGCGTTCATTGGTCGATAGCAATAAAGCACAGTATAACAACTGACCAGGCTATTGTTTAGAAGCATAAATAGAGGATTCAATTACAAAGTGCGCTTTGCATAGATTTTTTCAAAGAGTTTGTCTCTGAATTGATCGTGGTTAGAGTTAATGAGCAAAATGGGCTGTGAACGGCTCTATTCATTATGTTTCCTGTTCAGCTTTGCTTTTGTTGTTAGCTGTGTTCCAGCCACTCGTGATCGTAGCCGTCGTGCGGCTGTGGATTACCTTGCTACGGCCAATAAGATCCTTGATGAAACACCTTTAGTGGATGGGTGAGTTAGTCATGTATGTAGCTTTGAAAGACCTAACATTTGTGTTTGACTCAGTCTAAAGGCAAAGATGCGTTTTGTGTATTGGAAATAAGGTTAAGAACCAGCAAATTACGATATATTGTCTAATCTGGGGCTCGAGTGTTGGCTCAAGCGATGAAAGGCGGATCACCTATCGAACGCGCGCGCGCTTTCAGTTGAGATACCACCTAGCACTGACAATCCGTTTTGAATTAGACAACTACCGTGAATAACAGTTGCTGGCAACGAAATCGAAATTAAGTTTCTCCGGGAATATTTATTCTGATGAGTGGATGCAGCCTCTTCGTTATTTACGATTCAAAAATGCTTTCTTAAACCGATACGATGCGTTTCCACGGCATACATATCCAGCTTACAAACGACAACGTAAATCGCCTCCGCGAGCGAAGTGAAATAATTTTTGTAGCCGAAGAGGAAAATCCTGAAGTCTCTCGACAGGGTCCAAGCAATTCTTTACCTAAAACTCCCGCGGAAAATTCTCATACAACTGGCATGCGGTAGACGTTTCCTGTTACAATTGTATCACGCGTGAAGAGAGTCGCGGTTAGCACTCGAGCCATTTACGGACAGGCGGTGTGCGCACTCTGATTGCGTTGCATCGTGGTCGTAAAAGAAAAGTAAGTAATTTGCATCCTGTTGGTCGAGTGAATATCTCTGGCAGCCAGAATAGCGTGAATATACGTGAAAAATAAGGGGGATTCACCGTCTGTTGCCTTTCATTTGAAAGTTAAAAAGTGTTGACGGGCCTGCGCGGCTCCTGTGATTCCTCCGCGACGAATTCGCTCTTAGGAGGCATCCTTCCCCGCCTCCTTTAAGGTGAAACGGAAGGGAGGGTTACCATTCTGTCAAGAAGAGAGCTTCGAATCGTAATTTTAAAACTACAAAAAAAAACCTTAGCTTGGGAACTCACTTCAGCAGTAAGGGTATTCCTTATGGGAGTTACTACATCACGGGCGACGAGCGGGGCAGGAAGAAATGACCGAAATACGAGTGGTCAGCGGGTAAACAAATTTAATACTTCATATAGAGACATATCAGTTATAGTTGCGGAAAACAATAGTCTTCTAAAGCCGAAATGTCAACAGTATACTTCGCTAAATTAAACGTTAAGCAATTTTTTAAAAGTGTTGATGGCACATATATCTGTTACTGCTGTAATAAACAATGGAGGTATCGGAAAAGGTATCGGTGGCATCTGGAAAGACACCAAGAAGAATTACGTTTTGTAACTTGCTGCGTGACGAAAAAAGAAAACCAAAACCGTGGTCCCCAAATGAATTCTCTCACCTTGCCCCAAAAAATTTTCAAATTTTCCGCAACTTCACCAGTTCCTATTCGTAGGTCCGGCCAAGCCTATATGGTCATTGGCTCCCGTATAGCCACTAACTATGGCTTATAAATACAGTAATTTAGTGTTAAACTGTAAAACTCCCCGAAGAAGTCTACGACAGTTAAACGAAACGCGTCGGAGAATAAAGAAATTTTACAACTACCGTTCGCAGAGTGCTGCTAACCAGTTTAGTTTTAAAGATTTTTTTTTAAAAATGTGGTGCGATAGCTGTGGTCAGTTTTTCCATGCAGGTTGTCTGGATGTACCTTTCGTAGAGACGTGGGGGGGCAAAGGCACCAACACAACATTTCATCTGCCGTTCGCTTCGAAAGTTAAGTTTTCATCCCGAGTTCATTTGTTAAATAAAAAGAAAAAAAACACTTCGAACGGAAAACAGAATTATTTTAACGCCTGGGTCTTTTGAAAAAAGGTCTCCTAAACGAGTGGCCCTGATTATAAATATTTAAGCATGGTAAATACATTAGCCTTAACTTGGCTGTTTCTCGAAGCTCAGTGTTTTCCTACATGCTTTTTTTACGTGAAACGAGGCGATTGAATATATATAATAAACACTAAAAGAACTACAGCAGATGGAAATTTAAAATTTCTTATCTAAAGGCTGTGGATACAAACTTATTAATGACTCTAAAAATATAAAAAATTTAGAACGAAATTTTTTTAGAGTTGCTTAGCTTTTCATTTTTCCGGAATCGAAAGTCGAGATTGCAAAATTCAAGTGAAAAGCAAACCGACTGCGATTAATGCCTTAAACAAGTCAAGATACTGTTTTTCGTCATACAACAAGTTACATATCGTAAATATCATTCTTCTTGATGCCTTTCCCGGTGTCACCGATGCCTTTCCCGATGCCTCTGTTGATTAATATAGCAGTAAGAATATTGTTCCAGTCAAAGCGTTTGGAAAATTGCTTAACTTTTGAATTACCGAAGTATAACCAGGTAACATTTTGGCTTTACAACACGATTGTTTTTTGCAAGTTACAAAACGTAAATACAATTTTTCTTAGTGCCTTTCCGAATGCAACTGATGCCTTTCCCGATACCTGCATTGTTTAATATAGATTGTTTCACATTTTATTGAGCGAAGTATACTGTTCACATTTCGGCTTTACAACACTATTGCTTTCTGCAACTACAACTGATATGTCTCTATATCAAGTATTAAATTTGTTTTCCCGCTGACCACTTGTATTTCGGTCATTTCCTCCTGCCCCGCTCGTCGCCCGTGATGTAGTAACTCCCATTCCTTATTGCTGAATAAGTATTCCTTCCTGTCGATTCGTTGTCTTGCTTCTCGGCACCGGCATTCTCCGGCTTTTCCTTTTTTGCCGCGAGTTTTTCCTTTGCCTTTGCAACTTTGCCCAATATTGTGTCGTCCTCCTCAACGCTCCACTGAGCAATCGAGATAACTAAAATACTGTGTCTGCAATGCGATACTTTTCCTGGGAAATCTTGATCCATTGTCATTGACGCTAGAGGTCCATTGTCCCATTGGTTTGCGGTTTCAGGAGGCGAGATATAAAGAATAATACACGAGCGCGCGTAGATATGGAATTTCTCTTCGAGTGTAGCGCAGTGAACGAGTGAGATGTCAAGTCGAACACGAGAAGGGAAATTCCATATCCATAAGCAACCATGTATTATTTTGTTTATCATATAAACACATTAGCCGACTACATTTATAAATGAAAATAAATGAATCGACAAATTCCGAGTGCGTTGGCGCTAACTCCCAAATGGAAAAATCCGTTGACTCATGATTACAAAAACAACAATGGTCGTAATTTTCAATTTACAAAAGTCTCGTTTATTGACTTTGTCCTTACCGACAGAAGAAGTCTTTCAGGTAAACGGCCAAAATCAGCTGGTGGCAAATCTTCCAGTTGTCGATTTTCATTCTCAGCCGAGAGAAATGTTAACACCAAAGCCACTGAATACGTAACTTTCGGTTTTTCTTTTAGTATATTGGTTTTTTTCCCCTTCTAGAAAAGTTTGAACCTCACTGTCTGTCAGCGATACGAATTTTTTAGCGTTTTAGCCGCCCTAATTCGAGAAAGCTCCGACAAACAACTTGTATTAAGAATCGTGAGCTTAATCGTGAGATTAAGAAGCCATTCATTCATCGACTTGTCCGTTGACATGACCTGCCGTTCACAGTGACGTGTCAGCAGCTGATTGGCTATATCAACACACGTGTATGGTAGCCGAGGGCTGCCACTCAAAATTTTACAATTTTTCAAAGATTTAAAGATTTAATAATGATGCGTGGTATGCGTGGTATCCCAATAGCTTTCCAGGCCCGTTTGGCTCAGTTTCAAATGCCTTCATAACAGCACCATCGTTGAAAAATATGTCCAAATGACGAAGCCTTCTATCAAGCATCCTTAGACTCCACGCGGAAAGTCACGAGTGAGGAAATCTAACATCTCTCATCTTTGTAATCCTCGCTCGACATATTTTAGCAAAGCCTCTTTAAGATCGGCATTATTTTTCCACAAGGCCTCTCTGAAATCTGACATCGAAATACTAAAAAACTCTTCTAAATCACTCAAGATCAAAACTACTTCACAACTTGAGTATATGGACACAACGCACGATGGGACCTACAATCACGCCCGCACAGTATTATGGTAGTGACAGCCCTCAGCCACAGCGATATTCACTTGGACTTTTGTTTTGATTTGATATTGAGTTTATTCTTTATTTCGACGTGAATTGCCCTTGGATTTCAGTTTAATTTTGGAATGATTTTTACTTTGATAATGCAATTACTTTTGCTTTTAAATTTGCTTGCTACTTCATTTTACTTTCAATCGTTCTTTTTCCTTTGTTTTGCAGTCACGTTCCATTTTACTTTCAGTTTTGATTTATTTTTTCTTTTATTTTTTTTAATCTTTGAAAAATCGTAAAATTTTGAGTGGAAGCCCTCGACCACCACACTAGTGTGTTGTTACGGCTCCTCTCAGGGCTGGAAATATATGTTATTCACCAGAAGGGAGGTCCGTATTGGGAAAAACTGTGCCCGAGGCCTTGGTACACAAGACAGAGGGCACAGTTTTTCCCAATACGGACCGACCTTGGCTGGTGAATAATATTTGTATTTTTTTCTAAAACCTGACAAATGGTTGCGAAAACAACCTGAACGATAAAGGGCTGTAATTACGGCAAGATTCTCCATAAATGGAACAATTTATGAGCGAGTAGATGGTAAAGAAAACAAGGGTAACGCAAATGAAAGAGAGAGGTTTCATCAAAACATATTTATTTGCTTAATGATATTAAAAGGTGATTTAAAAGACTTCCAAGAAAACTTCGAAACATTTTTTCGGAGAACACTGCCCGCTCTCGGAACCAATCACTTAGAAATTTTGTAATGTTCCTACAATAACGCGTTTTCGCAGCCATAACCGGTCTCAAACACTAGCACTTAAAATGCATAAAACACGAGTACTGTTGAAGTGCGTTTGAGAGCGTTTGGTTGGAGCTGTTGCAGATGGATCAAAGCGGCCATCTTTACCTTTGAAAGGCTTCCAACTACGACGTACATCAAATTTGACCTTCTTGAAAACCGGTCTCAAAATACATACTAAAAACAGTGATCGCGTTTGTCCCCAAGAACCGGTGAATACGTGACACATGTGAATCATAACTACACACAGTCAGAATAAATCAAATTACATTAGCCTATGGTGAAAAGAAAAAAGAACGGCCTAACTTTTGCGGAATATTCCTTCAAAATCTACTGATTTCTACCGATTTCACCGCCACAATAAAAGTAACCGTTACCACTATGCAACGGAATCGGAGTGCGCCCACTGCCTGGTTTACGCACGTGTTGCGAACAGAACACTTCGCACTGTCTAGATAGATTGACCAGTCTGGCAATTACAAGAACAGATACAACCACGTTTCTGATAATGGAGACTTTCATATTAACTTTTATTTGTTTAATCCAAAGAGGATCACAAAAGGCTGCACTGAAGTCGAACACAAGATAGTGCATAAACTTGACTAAAATAGTTTTAACCATTTACTTATAAGAATAATATTTTCGAAGCGTTTTGTTGACAAAACACCCCCCCCCCCCGTCTGTCTTAAATTGGCGTCTATCATAGGTTTAATTATATGAGTCTTTTTCCACTTTGTGTCTGGTTTCAGTATTTCATTTCATAATTCTTCGACAGCGCATTTTGTTTGAAGATGTTATCGATCAGTCAACAAGTCGCGTAAAAGAAGTGTTCCCAAATTCTAGGAACCAGAAATTAGGTCTTTTTAAGCATAAAACTGTCATGTATTAAATACATGTCTAGATAGAATTACTTCGGGAACTGATCTGTGGTCAGGCAAAGTGTACTTGTTTAAAATGCAGATTCACCTTATAGTAGAAAAGCCTACTGATACAACACTAACATCGGAAATGCTATGATGTATTACTGAAACTCAATAAAAAAAAACTCCGAAAGAGGGGTTTATTCAATTCATTTGTGTGTAGGATTCGCGTATTTCTTTGTTAACGAAAGTTTGGTTAAAACATGTTAGTTTGATGCGACCACCACAAAATTTGGACCAGTTGAGGTTGACCGCGTAAAGCAGATACCACATATTTGGGATATTGCAGAGAAACGGTGAAACGTCATTTTGTGCCATATTTGGCCACTCAATGTACGAAAACTCGATCCAAAATACTACGAACATTGATTCCGAGAGAAAAATATAGAGTGAATTTTACTTGAAAAAAATTATCCTTTAGTTTCATTTGAGTGGTCCCGCTCTAAGTGCAGGACTGTTCAATACAGGTGGAGGACAATACAAACAGGCCGCTGGGACTCAGTAAAGGGAAACTTACATTAATTGAAGGGAATAAATTCCGGGAATTTGAAAACCGGCCGCTTGATACAGGGTAATATAGATTCGATTGTAGTTTTGTAAACTCGTTCAAATGATCTTGGAAATCGTTAATTTATCAGGATCTCCCGCCCTCCAGAGAAATGTAAAACGCGCAAGAGCATTCCCTATCGATGCTTAGGCCTGTGATAATGAGATACAGTTTTCGAAGCCTTAAAAGTCATTTTCCAATCGATGTTTTCCTTTCAAATTTTTTGCAGGTTTGTGATCTTTTCGTTTGCAATTTGCATTTACTTTGTTTTTTTCTTTCCCTCTTTTTTCTCAAATACATTTTTGACCGAGCTATGATTTAATTCAGGCCAGTTTCTTTGCAGACACAATGATATTCCTTATCAGATCCGTATGAAGTACAAGAACAGGTTTGAAAATCTGACTTTTGACACGGATGAGTCAGGATGGCATACAGATATACCCCGACTAAGAAAAGGAAAAGTTGGCAGTCAGGTAATATTAAACGCTATTTAAATACAGCCTCTGTGTGATTGGGTTATTTAGCAATGCTACATTTAGGGAGAAACTTCCTTATTTAGAGCCTAAGCTATCATTTCTATTTCTGCCTGGCAGACTTGGAAGTGATGGAATATGATTACAATGGCATATCAAAAATCAAACAAGAGCAAACCAACAAATGACAAGTCTTTATACAGAGGATGGGCGTGGCAATGAATTGTCACTCTGTGTAGATAGAATTTGCATTCAAAATGGCGCATGTGGTTTGTTGTGGACAAAAGAATCCTATTGCTTCAGAATGGTTTTTTTAGTTGTTTTCGGTATGTTTAACTTTATTGCTTAACTTGAAGTATGCTTATCAACTTGCAAACACATATGAAAAGCAATTGCCTACATTGCCTTAATTTACGCATGTGCTTTTAACTGAAAAGTCATTGCTAACAATGCCCTAATTTACGCTCGTGTTCTTATAAAATCACAATATTCCGTCCTAGGAAGTGTCTCGAAGGTGGGTACCAGATTCTAATGCAAGTGGGTATCCTAACACAAAATTGATATCATACTGCTCACGTAATCCTTAACCTACGATTTTCACTTGACGTATACAGTTTTGGGCAGCCTGGTCATCATGTGATGTACGACTGAAAGATGCCGTGAGAATTGGCCTGGAACAAGTGTCTGTCATTCATCGACTAATTAACAAGTATTCAAATGACTTGGTATTTGTGAAGACAGCGCAAGGTATTAGAGATGCAAAGAAGAATAACAAGATTGGATCTCTGATTGGCCTAGAGGGTGGTCACATGATTGACTCGAGCTTAGCCACTCTACGAATGTTTTATAATCTTGGAGTTAGATATATGACGCTGACTCATTCCTGCAACACTGCATGGTAAGATGCCTCCTTTTTTCAATATTCTAGAAAAAATCAAGCAAATTCTTTAGTATCAGCTTTTGTTCCATGTTTAGAAGAAAGCAGTACAACATGATTGAATTACTTGAAGATCTAGTTGCACAATAATTGATAAAGTATTGTGCAGGAACTGAACTATAAGAACAAAATGTGCCTGCCAACTCTTCTTTGATGTTCACATATTTCAAGCACTATAATTAATGTCCTTCTCAATTAAGTTAACAATTGGTCAAGAAGCTAGAATTGCTCGAGGCCGAGAGCAACTCTTACGCATCTTTCGTGCTCTCCAAACTTCGCAAGTGCTTCATATCTCGATGAACGCACAGCTGACGTATGAACCAATTGTTTTATAACATTTCAACCCAATGGAAAATTTTTTTCTCAAGGGATTTGTTTGCTGACGTCATGAGTGTGCACAATAGGAATATGAAGCACGCTTACGCAATTGAATTAGATTAGACAACTATTTTATAATATTCATTTGTACGTCTTTGTGAATCAGATGTTGAGAGTCTTTTTAATGGATCATGGGCAGAAAAAAATGCCCTCTATAAAGACGACTAAAGGTTCTACAGAGAATTTAATGAAAGAGACAAATTGTAGGGTCTGTGCTTCTAACTAGATTAAGAAGTCTATAGAGTGAAGCTATCCTCTTCGCTCAGTTTCTTGGTCTTGTCGTTACTTCAGGGCTGATGGGTGGACAGACAAACTTTCAGGAGAGATCCATAATGGTCTTACAGACTTTGGAAAGGTAAATATTATAATTATAAACATGCAAATGGTTTCCACACAGCACTATGTTACATGGCGCTATGCTGAGATTGTCTTCTGGTAACATTAAGAGTGCTTTAGAAAAGTTGAAGTGGCCTCAGAGCTAATAGACTGTATGAAATTGTATGACTGTGTAAAGTTGTGCTTGTTTTTTAATATTCTGATGCAATTCTCGGATGGCAATCGAACAAAGACCAAGGAATAAGCGGAAACGTTGAAACAACGACTCGAGGTGAAGAAAACAAGTTCTAAGTTCTTCCGATTGTTAAAAAAAAAGGAAATCAGTGGCTTCTTCGTTTTCTGAACTCAACGACTCAAACAACAAAAATAAGGCCGTTGTTTATTTCATTGCTCTTAGTTTTGTAGAAATGTCCAACTACAAAATTTCCCTCGTTAAATCTGTGTTCTAGTGTAAGTTGCCGCTCGTTCAACTTTCCCAACGCACGAGCAAGAATTTTCTCTCACATCATCATTATTTTGAACCAGCATTTTAAGAAATGTTTGGGTTCTCTAGGATGAAAAAAAAGGTTTTTATTCAGAAGATACCACGATACGGGTGAAGGCCATGATACACAGAAACGTGTCCTGTTCCGTTAGCGTATTCTTAGAACCGCTGAAGTCTGCGTTCTAGCATGCCGTGTGTCTGTTTTATTTTTTTTTGTTTATCGCTCTTGCTGTTTCTCTGATTTTAACCTTGCCAGTTTCCATGGAATCTTATGTATGACGCCGTCCTGTTTGCTTCACTCTAGGCTGCACCAGTTGTGACCGAAATGTTTTGTGCGATTTGAAAACGTTTCGAACACGTAAGAGAGAGCCGCAACTGATTTGAAATCCTGTGAAGGCTCTTTTGCAACTTTTGATTTCAAAATTAATTTTAAAAAAAATATCCATCAATCAAAGCAATTCAGCAACGGTCTACGATTCATAGATTGATGCGGTAGTTTCCACCGTACGTCGACTCAGTCGATTACTGTTTTTCTTCGAGTCATACAAAGATATACAGTATAAAGTGTTTGAGCATGTTTTCGTATCTTGCAATTGTCAAATCCACTGTTTATATCCTTATCGATCATGGTCGCAAGGGTTACGTAACGCTATATAGATCTATTAGCAATGTTGAAACTGAACTGAGTGAAACAATGAGGTGCACCCCAGCGATTTAAGGACACACAACAATTTTCCATTGGATTTGGAATGTGTCTGCATTGGTGATCCCTTACTATGGTCTGTGAGTGGTCTAGATAACGTAACGCCACCCACGCGACCATTTAGATGCAGACCTCAAACCTATCACGGCCTTGTTACATACATTTTCCCGTACTTGAGGCTTTTTCCTGTATTTCCCTGAAGCTCTTATTGGGTCACTGTTAGAATATTTTGAATAAGTCGCTGGCCATTAGTTTATATTTGCTCTTACTGGCTGTTTTGATCACTTTGGTGTCGTTACGATTTGTTGGAAAACCAATATACACTACGTATCACTTAATTCAAAATGATAATTTGTTTTCTTCAACTCTTTGAAGAAGAGCTTAAAATGACTGTTCTTTTGGCAAGCCTATAGTACAGGCTGGGCTAAGATGGTGATGATTTCCAACAAGTAAGTCTACTGTAACGCACTTGGTCTCCTGTAACTTTCGCCTTTCGGAGAGGCGAAAGTTACAGGATTTGTCATCAACGATAAAACGCGCATTACTCTAGTCTCTAAATAAAGATCTTAATTTAAATTTCAGCTTGTTGTACTTGAGATGAACCGACTGGGAATGCTTGTTGATCTGTCACACGTTTCCTTTGAGACAATGACTAACACTCTTGATGCTGTTAAAGCCCCTGGTATGTAGCTGATAAGAAAGAATTTCCTTTCCACCTTCCGACTTGGTTTGTTATCCTTCTTTCACCTTATAACCTCCAATGTCTGATTCTTCATGTTATTGCGAATTAGTAGAGTGGAATTGATGCAATCTTAAACCAAATTATGATAAGTTTGCTTATTGTTGCAATTTATTTCCCAGAAAGGGCACTAAAATTGTAAGCAGAGGCAACATTTCAATTACTTTGGTAGGATTTAATAGATTTTAATCCTCTCTGCTATGACTAACCAATAAAGTCAGAGATGCATTTGGTTTCATAACATAATGCCTTTGATATAATTCTTAGTGATATTTAGCCATTCCTCTGCGTATGACATTCACTGTCAGCATGGCCGCAACGTTCCAGATTACGTCCTTCAGAGAATGGTGAGTTAGTGGTACTCATGCTTACGCCATTCAGTTATCGCAGTAGTGTATGGTTGTTATATAAATCAGCAAAATGTGGAGGAAGATGCGTTCCTTCAGGGTAGAGGAAGCGTCGAGGATTTTGTTTCAGTTAGGGAACACTTAAAGCAAAGTTTGATGGAAAAATTCGAGCAACTATTTTACTGATGTTTCTTTCCTGCTTTTTTTTTTTGGCATGAAAGCCTGATAATGGAGGGGTGGTTATGGTGAACTTTTACAGTGACTACATACATTGCAACAAGAGCGATTCATCGAAAAAAGGCACTATTGCATTGAATGCGACCTTAGAACAAGTGGCAGGTGAGTCAGGACAACTGTTTAAATAGAGCAAAGACCCAAGAAAATTTCATTTTGCCATGTTCGATCTTCCTTCTCCCTCATGTACCTCTTCATCTTTGGACCCTCAGGGACATATTTCTCGCGAGGAGGAAGGGGGGAAGTCATTAACAGTTTTCACCCAGTTAGGATGCCTCTCGGGCTATTGCAGCTTGGTTCAGTTGTTTGAACCTCAAATAAGGTCAGATGCCCATGCAAACTGTTAACCAGAATTGATGGGGGACATTGAAATGCAGTTCCTTTTTTGTCTGGTTTCAGATCACATTGATCATATTAAGAAGGTCGCAGGAATTGATCACGTGGGCCTTGGAAGTGATTATGATGGTGTAACTCGGTAAGATACCTACGTTATTTTCTTTTATCCTTTTTTTTTTCTTAGGATTACTTGATTCCTAAGTATTGAGGAATTACCTCAAGTGATCAGGGTGACATACAAACCTGTACGTGCACTTGTACCTCATGTTCCAATTCAAGAAAACAACTACATTATTTTTTCGATTACTGTCAACAAAATTTGGTTAAAACTTTCAAAATTTCGTTTTTTTCCTCTTTTGCTAGTGAAGCAGTTAAGTTTAAGTCTTGGTAAAAAATTACAAACTCTCCTCGAGTGCCCAACCTTCTCGAGTGCGTCACCCTGTAGGTTGGAAAAGTTAATAAGGGCCACTCCCGCCACCTCCGCTCCTAAAAAACAAAAATTTGATTGAAGTATACAAGAGGAGTATTTCTTTACTGGCTTGAAATCTGTAAATTAACTGTTTTTGGTACGTCTTTTATTTATTGTTTTATTTTAAAATAAACTAACAACTTGCCGAAAATGGTGAGAATTTTAATAGGGCCCCATCTCGAATGAGCGCCCTTAAGTTTAATAAGCGCTAAGAGTGCTTAATCGAGTATATACGGTGTCTAAGGTACTTTACAAAAAAGTGATTATATATTTCAGCTTACCAAAAGGGCTGGGGGATGTATCAAAGTTTCCTGATCTTATTGCTGAACTCTTGAAACGAAATTATACTGAAGAAGAGGTAAAAAAGGTGGTTGGTGAAAATCTCATCAGGGCTTTTGAAAAAGCTGAAGAGGTCAGTGGAACGTTATGAAGTCAGTATACTATTAGATGAAAACATTTATGCCTTACTGGAGGGCTCAGCTGCCAGGTGATTATCAGTGTGGCTAAAGCTAAAATCTTGGACAAGACTTACTTCCCCATTTTAGAACAAGTCCTGTTTGGTTCAATATATTTTATCTTAGGTGCAATTTTTTTTCTTTCCTTTCAAGATTTAGACGGGGCTTTCATTTAATTGTCACAGTAACGTTTAAAACGCCAGATAATAAATGTTGGGGAAAGGCCCCTACTCACGCAAGCCTCTTTATTCAGCATGTGTTTGTTCTTCGCTTGTTTTTTTGTTTTGTTTTTCTGATACGATTTGTATGGCAGTTAATTTTCGGGATACTATTAAGACCCTCGTTTTCTTAACTCAGAGTTGGCAATGGTAAGAGGACGAAGTAGACGCAGACGACTGCGAAACGGAAGTCCGATTAGTTAATTAAGAGTATGATCGCATTCAGAATCGGACGACACATAGGCCTGTCTGGGATTATTTCAGATTATTTTATGTCAAAGTAGAGTAATTTAATTTTTTTTCCGAATCGTTAAAAGAGTTAATGCTTTTTATCTTTTGTATAAATAGAAAACATCAGTTACACAAAATGTTCTATCTAACCCAACCATCCTAAGAAAGAACTTTGCGTGCGTTGTATGCTTATGTTTTCTTCGGGATAACCCTGCGCGTAAATAACGCGCACAGCACAATTAACACAGTCATGACATGATAACTGTCTCATTGTAACCAATCACGTTCGTTAATGTTATCGTTTTGATTTTACTGGAAATAATATGTGAGAAGTTGAGATGAAAATAAGGAAAAGGAGAACCAATAGCCAATAGTGATTCAAGTTAACAGCATGGCGTTAATATGCTAGACATGATCATAAAACATCTTGGTGTAGAAACTCCACCAAATTTGACTGGATGTAATTAATTTTGTGGCTTTTCCTTCGTCATGAATATCAATTAAGAGGTTGTATATCTGAGAGTCGGTAGTATTTTCTGGTTTTGTTCTAGGTTGCTAAAAAACTACAGAAGGAACGACCTCCATACGACGAGTATCGATTCTTCACCAATGTAACTTGCAGACCGAATTACGGAGGCGGTTTGACAGGTTGGGTTCCAAAATACAACAGAACAATCACAGCAGTACCTTTGGTAATCTGATGGTCTTCCTGGAAAAGATAAGATCCGACTGGATTTGCAGTTTAGTGAAAGAAGCTTGTTTGGTTGTATGACACATAACCTAACGAAGGACTCAATACATTTTTATAACATAACTATAGAATCGACAAATCAAACGCAACTATAGTGGAGGTTTCTGTAATGATGACAAATCAAACGTAATCATGATGAATTGGTTCCTTCATCAGCCTTAAGTGATCTTGTCTTTTGTTAGTTTTACTGTGATAAATAAAGAAAAAATGAGGCCGTTTTTCTTCCAAGCTATACACAAGTTTCTTAGGGTCTATCCGTCAAAGTACTTCAACGTCACACGAGTAATAATACTTTATTGTTATCATTATTATAATTACAAAAAGTCGTTGTTGCAAAGTCAGAGGGCTAACAGGGTTAAGAAAACAGCAATGTGTAGAGATTTGGCCGAGGGGTTCCTTTGACAGGTAACTGTCTTGAAACCTTAGATACAGTTGGTTTGGTTTTACTTAACGATCCCATAATCCACTTCAAAGCAGTCCATCAGTAAATCTCAACAAATTCTTCGTCGGTTCACACTCTACCCACGGCGTTTCCTTTAAGTAAGCCCCTTTTTTAATAAGAAACCTTCTCAACTAAGTACGACAGTTTTGATTGAAATTCCAGTCGAAGGGGAGGTGCTCGACAGGAACTTGCATTTAACGAATAATCCTTCTTTGGGCAGAATGCCATCACTTGATAGATAGGGCGGATTAATTCCGAGAGAAACAGGCAGATGTCTCGGGGTAGACTAAAGTGATAGCACTAGAGGGCTATAAAAAAATATAAAAAATAATGGAAGTTGCATTTAAGATACTTCATACCGACAGGTCTTAAGGAGGATTTAATAATAGGTTTTCCATTTTACTCCATGCGACTTAATGTCTTATCTCACGAATGTAGGTCAGGGTTTTCCTCCGAATCTGGAACCAGTAAATCCCAGCCAAATCGACAGCATTTGAAGCTCTTCTTAACCAAGTGAAAAGCAACGTTGGCGTAGGTTTTCTGCGTCCTTTCCGCGCTGAAAATTATGATGGATGCCTAATGGCAAGCTATCCATCTCCTTGCGGAAATATTATGCTTCATGTTCATAGGTTGAATTCGTTCCATTGTTCAGTGTTTCGAAAAACAAACAAACAACGAACTCCAGGCTAGCCTTACTAGAAAACTGAATTTCCACGTCATCTATCGCCATTCTGCATCGCTTGTTCCATGAGATGTACGATTTCATGGTTACCACACTTGTAAGCGATATCCAAGGGCCGCCTTCCTTCGCTATCCAAAGCTTTCATATTGCTACCGTGTTTAACCAAGAGCGTTGCCACCGTGATTGCATTACAAGCCGCAGCGACATGCAAAGGAGTACTGGCTTGCCAATCTAACGCTTCTACATCAGCACCACGATCCAGCAGGATATTTGCAATGTCATCTCTGTCTGACTCCGCTGTCCGGTGAAGTGGGGTGTTACCTTCATTATCCACTGACCGGATATCACAGCCATGTCTAATGAACAGTTCTGATGTGTCACATGTCCAGCGTGACCTGGTGAACCTGAGGTGTTCGAAAAGCAACACATACCCTTACTTAACAATGTTAGTGATATTGTAACAAAAACGTTAGTGACATCTAGGGGCTGCATTATGATTTTATGATTCTTTTTTGCGAGACCTTTCTACCTCCCCTTTGTTATTTAGGGATAAATGGGAAAGCTCTGTTTCAAAGTATTCCTTATGTGCAGCATATTTCATATTTCCAATTTATTGTCACCGGGAAACCTCTGGTCTAAACAGCATAATTCCAATTTGAAGCAAGAAAAAAAGCATTATTGTTAAGCAGCACCTCTTTTAACTTTCACAATCCACGTTTCCTTTTGCTTGATCTCTAGGTTCAGTAACCAGACTGATAAATATGCGAACTCTTGCAACTTTAATGGTCAGCACTTCAAAAAGCAAAGAAGGAAAATACCGAGCCCATTCTACTCACTCACGTTTCACCCTCACAACCTCGCAGATAAATTTTTCATTCCTAATAACCTTGAATTTCTTCAAAATGATTCAGACACTGGCACTATCTTTTCGCAACCTCCACTAATTCCATTCAAACGCGACAAAAACAGGCAACTTTGGGGTCAAAAGTTAATTGCAAACAAGTGTCCTAACTGGAACTCTTAAATGTGCTTGCGCACGATACAAAACCTGACCTTTCATTCATTACATAGAGAAAATGTTGGGTCCCAAGAGACCATTCAGATCACTGATCACTTCACGTACACCTTGCAGTTATAGAAAAAAGTTTTACATAAATGAAACAGAAAGACGACCAGGCGGACCGATTCCGAGAACACCTTCGCGACGTAGAATAAAAAAGACGTATCCAAATCAGTCGCCAAACACTTTATCTCCCTAATCATTCTAAGTAGCATATGGCAGTTGGCGGCCTCTCCCTAAATCAAGACAGTTCGGAAAGCCACAAAACTAGACCAAAAATTGATCTTTCAAATCGGCACTCGGAATCCCCACGGTATCAACGAACGCTTTTCATTCAACTAATTTATTCTTGGAGAAAGACGTTTTTCGTCTTGTCACGAGCGTGGGACGAAGAAAAAATTCTGAGTGCCCATGAGGAACCGAACCTCAGGCCTCAGAATTTCTTAATAGAGCTCGCTCACCGTAGAGTCTCTGTGGCTCAGTGGTATAGCATCGAAGCGCGGAATCCGAAGGTCTGAGGTCCCACGCTCGTGACAAGACGAAAAACATCCTCCTCTATGTCTTTACCGAGCACAAAACTTACCTTCTCTCTTATTCTAATCTATTCTTATTTTTCTCGTTACCATGTTCTAACCAATAGCGTAGCTCCATTCTCTGCCTACAAACACAAACACAATCCACAATTCCTCCTTTCGCTTTGGCGAAGGGCTAACGCTCGAAACGTCGGCTTCGAAACTCTTAATTTGCCTTTGACACGATTTTCTTTTGCGTTTTCTAGTTGATAGCTCTATGTAAAATTTGAAATCATCGACCTTAGCCAATTTATGTTATCAACTCAGTTGATAACACCAAACTACCTTGTTATACTCTCCCCCCGACGCAGCACCACAGTTTTTTCAGAGACATACCTCTTTATCCAATAGACAAGCAACTGAGAGTTGAGAAAAATATAAGAAAGATGTCACTCACTTTGCTCTTGAGCGTTCACACTTCACAGCGCAGATGAGGTGTAGAGGGGTGCTTCCCTGATTATTCCTTGCGCGAACATCTACTCCGTTTCTCAGCAACAGTCTGACCGTAGTGGGATCCGTGATCCATTCAGCCATCAAATGCAGTGCGCTGTTACCATCAATGTCAGTTTTCTTGACGTCACAACCCTTCTCGACCAATAGCGCGACAGTATGATATTTCCAGACGCATTTTCTACAGCCGTGTGTGCATTCACATTTGGCGGTGATTGCTTTGTGAATGACACTCTCCTTTCGCTTGTTACACGTGGTTATATCACAGCCATTTTGTAACAGAAGCTCTGCAGTGTGTGTGTTACGATTGTTAGCAGCCAGATGAAGTGCTGTGTTGCCATGGATGTCAACGGCGTGAATATCAGCGCCTTTGTGAATCAGTGCCTGAGAAATCTTACGGTTTCCCTTAAGCCCGGCCGAATAATGCAAAGCTGAGCGACCGAGCTTGTCTTTTACTACAATGTTCGCATCATTATCGAGTAAAAGTCTTACAACAAGATCAGGCCTACGAGAGAATTTAATGGCTCGCATTAATGGCGTACAACCTTCGATGTCTATCGCGTTTACTTTACTGCCATAATCAAGAAGCTGTTGTACAAGTTTAACTGAAGAGCTTTGGGCCGCCATATGCAGTTCTGTTCTTCCTTGTGGATCTATGTCGCCTACTTTACTTCCAAATTCAAACAGCAATTTTGTCATGGCGAAGGTCATGCGTTCATTTCCAAGGAAGGTGTGGAGATTGATGTACACGTTGTGAAGTGCTGTGTAACCTTCTCCGTCAATTAAGTTCACATCAGCACCTTGGTTTAGCAACAAAGAAGCAATTTGAAAATGTCCTTCACTTACAGCTAAACAAAGCGCCGTACGTTTAGCACCATCTCGAGCATTGACGTCACTTCCATAACGCACTAACATTTCCGCCATGTTTATATGATTATCTCCATATGAGCAGGCTATGTGCAGTGGTGTCTGATCATCACAGTCTTTAGCCTCACGCTGAGCACCTCGCTGTAGTAACACTTCAGCAAGGCTAGTTTTGCCATTCTGGGCTGCAATATGTAAAGGAGTCAACAGGCTGTCGTTGGCGGCGTTTAGTTCAGCTCCATGACTTAATAGGAGCTCTACTACGTCATCACTACAGTATGCAACTGCAAGTGACAAAGGTCGGTCACCTGTGACTTCTTCAGCATTAAGGTCGCTGCCGTTTTGTATCAATAACTCAGCGATTTCTGAATGGCCTTCCTGGGCGGCAAAGTGTAGCGGGGTCTTGTTATTATTGTCATTTTCATCGACGTGGGCCCCCTGCTCCAGCAATAGAATGGCGCAATCTTTTTGATTGTAGATTACGGACATAAACAATGATGTCTGACCCTCGTGGTCACGTGCGTGCACGTTCGCCCCCCTTTCAATCAACAGCTTCACCATGGCAACTTGTCCTTCTAGGGCGGCGTAATGCAAAGCAGTTCTTCCAAATATGTCATGCGCGTTGACGTCGCTACCATAGCGAAGCAACAGCTCGGTAGTTTCTCTGTGATTTTTAAATGAGGATTGAAACAAAGGTGTTTTTCCCGAGGCTCTTGCGTCCACATTACTTCCCCTTCGAATAAGAAGGTGAACTAGGTTAGTGTAACCTTTATCAGCAGCTAGGTGAAGTGCAGTAAATCCCATTGGATCTGTAGTATGAACACTACCACCCTGAGCCAGAAGAAACTCGACTGTTTCGTAATTTCCTTTCGCCGTCGCCAACATAAGTGGTGTATGACCGCTGGATGATCTTGAATGGAAGTCAGCGCCATGTTCAATAAGGATCGCAACTGTTTTGGTGTGTCCATTTTGGGCGGCAAAATGCAATGACGTCATCCCTCGATCATTAACATCACTCACACCACAACCAGCTTCTATTAACAACAGAATAGTCTTGGATCGGCCGTTGACAGCAGCATAATGAAGTGGACTCATTTCATGTTTATCTTTAGCATTTACATCGGCTCCCTTATTTAGAAGAAGCTCTGTGAAAGCTGTAGTGTTGCGCGCAACTGCTAACATCAATGGCGTGACTTGATTAGTGTCGCGTGACAATTCATTTGGGTCTGAACCAATGTCCAGAAGTCTCTTGAGGTGTTCCACCTTTCCTCTTCTGGCAGCGATATGCAGCAGCGACTTGGACTGAAATTCAAGATATATGGGGCCCAGAATCGCGTTTATTCTCGCGTTTTTGTCTCTCTGGGATGAACCTCTTAATTCTAGTGCATTTCTTCCTGGGTGAGACCCGTGACTCTCTGTGTTGATAGTTAAAGCGATAGCATTGTCTAGTTTACCAGGACTGTAGTTTGTGATTATTTGAACAGTTTCTAAATCATCTTCTAAACACGCAGCATGGAGTAAGCTCAGTCCACTGGGTTTATTTGTGGCCGTTGTGGCCTGGAAAGCCAGTGATCGCAATGTCATCTGAAATAATACCAAAGCCGTTAAGGTTTCAAGATACTACTTGGGGTTTATTAATTCCAGACAGGAAAACGATTAATTTTTTAGCTTTGATTCAAGTTGGCAGACAGCGACCGTAGGACGTAAGAGCTTCTGTGACATTTAATCAAGATTATGCATACACAGTATTCTCGAATAAACGTCGACGCTCTAATAAGCGCCCTTCCCCGAAGAAACGCCCAACCCCCTCAGCCATGATGTAAAACAAGCGCCCCTCTCGAATAAGCGCCCCCCTTCTCCCTCACTTCCTTATAAAGTAGGGATAGAAGGAAAACCTGTTTCTATCGCCACTTATTTTTTTTTAACTTTTTAAGCTTCAATTACGGCAAAATCAATACAGGAGAGCAATAAACACCCCTCCTCCTTCCAAGAAGCGCCTCTCCTTTAAAGTGCCTATGATACGGAATTTTGTTTTGCTTCTTTTCGGTTGATAGCTATATTCATAATTAGAAATAATCGATTTAAGCGCCTGGCGAGTTCTCCTTGGCCAATTTTTTTGGTGCATTGAAAGTACGATTTGGCGGCCAAAAAGTGTCCCCATTAAGCGCGCGGCCAAAACGATCATGTTACATGGTTGTGACGTAGAAACTGTGAAGACACGTCGGCAACTATGGTGGAGAAAGGAGAAATCAAGAAGATAAGACGAGCGTATTGCGTGGCCGGAGCGCCAAATGATGTTAGCTACAAGAATAATACACATATACCGGGTATTTCTATACACTGCTTTCAAAAGGATGTAGCTGTATGGCCAAATGGACGCGTTTCGATCGTTGACATCGAGGAGATTTTACTCTTCAATGTCGTCGGCCTTATGCTCCGAACCGGCTCTGAAGGCGGCTGTTACGAACACATACCACTAGACAAATTAGGGGAAGATAACTAAAGCATTTAGCTTAAAAGAATGCTGATTAAGGAGCCTGTTCCCACACCGTAAACGATTGTTCAACATTATTTTTGGCTGACATGTCGCAAGCGAAGAATGGTGAGCTCCTTATTGTTCAGGTTTATTTCACGCGCTTGAGATGTACTCATACTCCTTGTCTTTCCACACAACTACATTCAGTTTGCACTTTTCTTATCGTATGAAAATCCTATCAGTTATAGTTTTCATCGTACTTTGTTACCAGAAATACTTTATTTGTGATAAATTTCAAGCCCTCTCCTGAACTGGCCGATATCCTGTTGCGTGAATAGTGCGAAACTTCTGGCGGATACTGGCATAAACACAGGCTCGAAGGGGCCGTGTATTCTCAGAAAATAAATCCCACGAGCTATCAATTCCCCCCTGCCCTCAAGAAACTAAAAGTAGCAACAATAGCAGTCAATGTGATAACAGCATTCCAACGAGAAAAATAAAGAAACAAAAAAATTAACTGAATTCGATGGTAGCGAATCTGAGCGCTGTGTGAAAGCTGATGCATAGGAAATACTAATTTATAATACCGATATCAGTTATTTGCCATTGAGCGAAATGGGTCATACGACAATGCTGCACTTAAACTAAGGAAATTTTCTCCATTAAAATCTCTATTTTAAATAAATTCGCTCGTTTTCCGTTTGACCGGCTTGACGACGACAGCCTCAGCCTTTGCAATCTTTGAGGAAAGGAGCAACGAAACTCTAGAGCACTGACCAGGGGGAACCTTCCCCGCGCTTAGCGCGAAGGAATAAAATGTTATGTCAACAAAAACGAACACAGCTACCCATTCTTAACATAGATTTCATCATAGAAAACAAAACACAAACGCAACAAACTAAACATTCAGTAACGGGAGTTTTTTCTTCAAATCTTGACCTGAAAACCGCACGCGAGAAACCGTCTAGTAGCACGCAATTCTCCTTCGTAGGGCTGAATCTACTTGAGTACGATGTATCTAAACTCTCGGTAGAGCTTGCATAAGTTAGGAATACATCGCTATCGGACATTATTTCAAGAGTATTTCAACGCTGACCGATACAAAATTACAAGAGATGCGAGAGATTTGTAAGTGTTAAGTTTCTACGTCATCGCCCGCTAATTCGTTACCAGTCCGTGGGACACTCTTAAGACAATAAAGGGCACTTACGAGTTTTAAGTTTTTTTAAATCTTTCTTCTGTCGGAATTGGTTTGTACACATGATAAGCTAAATATTTACACACAAAAAAGATTTCCTGTCATGGGCACTTTAAGCCGAAAGTTTAAATTAGCGTCCAGGTGCTTATTCGAAGAAATACGTTACATCCGCAACACAATGCCTCAAACGTGATTCACAACTCACACCTTTCATTCCACTGACAGCCGAATCAGTGAGCTTAACGTAAGATGGAGCGCATACTGCATTGGTCGGCTTTATTCGAAGAACACATTCTGCTGAGTCACGCCAAATCGACAAAAATCTAATTAAATATTCATGCAATTGTTTAACCACGAATGTGGAATGTTTTCAGTACGTTTTTTTTCCTGTCATTCCCGTTTACAGCGGTGTGCTTGGTTGCCAAGCCTTTGAACAGGAATGAGGCTAAGGGTGACCTTGTTATGATACAAACCTTGCTCATTCCAAGTCAAAGGCTTGGCAATTAAGTACACAATTGTAAAATGGCCTATTGAGTGAATGACTTCCGCGACATTTGATGAGTCACGCACTGTGACTGAAAATCCCGACAGGTAATGACAAACTGCGTTGGTATGTACTTCAAAATGTAAGAGCGCGTTCCCTTTCTCAAACACATTACTGCATACAACGTCACAACCAGAATACTTACGCTTAATTGTTGCTTATCGCTATTTTGACTACTAAATACCAAAACGCTCACAACACTCCACTAATTCCGGTCAACACACGGGAATTCAGAGCAACTAATTCTAAACTTTAGGTCGAAAAGTGCTCGCTTCCAGTTCATTAACACCTTCTAATTCTAATAAACAGATCATAGAAATCACTGCGAAAACATATTTCAGCCCAGCATGTTGATAATTTAAGTTTGACCGCTCAGCTCCAAAGTGAGTGATAGCTTTACATACCAACTGGGAATATACCATGTTATTGCTCCCGTCCATTCTGAAATCTCCTTAGACCTGATTCTGGATTGTAATGGCTTCTTCTCGTCAATCAAGAGCCAGAAACAAGGCAATGTTGTCTTTTACGCGGCCTGTCGCGGAGAAATGATTTCCCTCATATACGTTGTCGTTGCCTCTATACGCAATAACAAATCATTAACTGCATTCTGTTCTGAAAGAGGACGAGTTGAAGACTGGGTCCTAATTAGTTGAGTTTCACCCAACGAAAAATTCTGAAATCCTGTCCTCATAATAATCCTATTAAGTTCAACCCTTGAATTCTTTATTTCTAAAATACTACATGTTTATGTGCAAACAACGATCTCTGTTTCTGTTGTCGATATTTAGTCCTGTGTCTTTGCGCAGGCTCATTTCTCGGAGAGCGGTTCATGATAACCTATCATACCATTCATATGCCCTCCAAGATCAACAAACTGAAATACCTTCGCACAACCCAGCTAAAGAGAAAATTCAACCAGATGGGTTTTGTGTGGGTTTATATGCAGAAAATGGAGTTTGACGGGAAAACAAAAATAAATTGGTTGAATGAAAAGCGCTCGTCGATACCGTGGCGATTAAGAGCGCCGATTTGGAAGATAAATTTTTGTGATAGAGTTTTGCGGCAAAAATTTTTCTCCTAAATCGACACCCTTTATCCCCACAGTATCAACGAGTGCTTTTCATTCCACTAATTTATTCGTGACTTTAAATACATGAAAATCATATATGTGCACTGCCGTTGAAGAAACGAATATAGAAGCGATCCTCACAGTTAAGAACACTACTAAACTAGTTGTTGAAAAAAGGCCTTAAAAATATTCAGGTTCGTACGGGGTTTGAACCGATGACCTCTGCGTTACCGGTGCAGTGCTCTTCTGTATTCGTTAATTTAGTCTCGTTTTCTAGTCACCGTATTCCCACCAATAGCGTAGCTTCATTTTCTGCATACAAACCCAATCGCTCTGACGAAGGGAAAACGCTCGAAACGACAGCCTTTAAACTCTTTTCGGTGGCCAATTTATGATTTCAAGTCAGTTGATAACACGAAATTACCCTGTTATATTCTCCTACCGACGCAGCACCACAGTTTCCTTAGAAACTTACCCCCTCTCTTCATTCAACCAGATTACCATTTTGACGTGATGACACGTACATGGTCCCTAGGGATTAATAACAGCTTTGTTTTGCATGCATTTAAGGTGACGCTTCATTACGTTATGCAAAGCTTCAAACCAACAAGATGGCGATTTTTAGACGACTGATATTAACCGTAGTTCTCCTCCACAGATCATGGTGTGCGGATAACTCAGGCAAGTATTTAGCCTCATAGCGCTGTTGATCATTGTGATTTCACATCTGTTGCTCAAACAAGACAAAAAAAAAATTCACACAACTCAATAGCCAAGCCGGGTTGCTCATTATTTCTAAAGTTCTGATCTTTCATGAGCGATGTCTGAATTATTCGGTAAGCAACGCTTAGACTGATTTTGTTATTACGCAGTTCCCTCAGGTTATTGTTGTTAACAACCTTTGCTTAAGAAATATTAGCTCTCTAACCTGGAAACAATGGAGTCGGTACGGTAGTATTTGCTGAGACTCCTTCAAAGAGATGATGATAACAAAACGTAGTTCAAGGCACAACACGATTACTACACGAGATCATATATTTTATTCTTTCAGACGCTGGGTTTTGAGTTATAGTTGAATCGACTTGATATCGACTTACATTAGAGGTGCCAGTTTATGTCACGCAACGGCATAATGTAATACAGTGCTCTATAGCAACTAAACTGGATTTACTCGTCGGGCCCAAATGTAGAGGCTGTGGTTATGTGCTTGGCAGCCGTACGGTCTTCATTACGGTATAATTTAACCAGCAGACTCCAACAAATCCAACTACTTAATTGAACAACGTGTCCAAAGCTATAATTCTTACTGAGAAGATTCCGTTAGGCAACACAATATTAATCCTCTAGAAACATACTTCAACCCATAGTTCACCACTGACACATACTCACTGTTGCCTCCGAATCTCCTCGAAATGCATAATTTTTGAGGTAGTTACGAAAACGAAGACCCATTACGAAAACGAAGACCCCCTACGAAAACGAAAACCCATCATGAAAACGAAGACACATTACTTGCAAACTGATCCATCAGTGGGCTGCCTTCCTACCAAAACGGGAAGCTTTTGGGCCATTGTTTGGGCCACGCACGCCACGTGGAAGAAACCGCGTGCACCGTAAATTTGAAGACGGCACTTTAAAGCTTCTCATAGGTATTTAACATTAAATACAAAGCCTATTATGCCAGCTTTGTCCTGTGTGTTTTGCTGCTGGTAAAAAATGTCATCGCATTCTTTGATTCGCTTAATATATTTGCTTTACTTTAAAAAAAAGAGCTAAGGAAACGCAATTAAAATCAAACCAATACAGTTATCCTATTTTAGTTGATGGAATATATGAATTCCATATATTCTCCTTGACAGTTATCTTATGTAAAGTTATCTCTACCTCTAGCGCTTAAAGCGTCACGCAACGCATCTTCCATATGCATGTCATGTCTATTTTAAAAATCGAAAGCTCCATGGGGCTCTACTATTAAAACATTCAGTAACGAGTTACAGACGTGCCAAGTTCAGAATTCAAGATTTCAGTAAGGGACTTCGTTTTCGTAGAGTGTCTCCCACTACGGGATGTATGGTAGATTTAGAAACAATAGAACCTCACACCAGTTCATATTTAAACAATTACTGACATCGTTAAGCTTTTTCGGTTACATAGACGACTGCCTGCCGATTACATTGATTGTGTACGCTTGATTACATTGGTTGTGTACGCTAGGGGCCTTATCAGTTGATGGCCTGACCTAGTAATAAAGTCCACTGTGGAACCAAAACGCTTTCATATACTTGACGTCCGTAAAAGCTCGTTTGAAGTAGATCGCCGTGTACCAGGATTGAAATCGTGACGAGTTTCCATTCCCGCTGCCGAGTTGTCTCTACCGAGCCATTTTTCTCTACTGTTGTTGTGCCATCCGCGAGAGTTCAGTTGTGCACGAAAAACTATCGTCACAAAACATACCCACTGACTTCATTGTTACATCAGATTCATTGAAGATCGTTGGATTTTATGAACCATTAATTTTTGCAACCCTTAGGGCTTGATGTTTAATCGACAGCTTACTTGTCTAGTATTACAGGATTTCTTACAGTCTTTCGCAGTGAGTCACTTTCGTGCATTGCTTTCGATTACACAACCCTTTTCCGTCCTCCCTACCACAGGTGTTGTTATAACGGTGGCCGGGGGCGGGAGAGCCCATCACGGGGGTACGGCAGACTGTTTGGATTATCAGACTCCCACCATGGACGGAATAGGAACAGGGGCCAGGTTTAATTACCCTTGGGGTATCGTTTTCGACGCGGAAGACAATGTACTTTATGTGGGTGACTGTGTAAGTAGATGTATTGTGAGTCATGTTTTTTAAAGGCATTAAAGCCTTTTCCAAGCGTGTTAAATGATCATATCAATACTTCTTGGCACGAATATAGGAGCATGACGCTTAGTTAAGTTTATGACTGAAATTAACATAATACTACGATTTTATTCCAAACAGTAGTCTTTTCGCGCGGCACAAAAATATTATGTCTAAACTCCTTCAACGAGAATATTTCTCTCGCTGCAATCAAGGGTGTTGGAGGACAAAAGTACAACGACAAATTAAACTAAAATTATGCGTAAATTTGTAGCTTCCCTCTCATGCAAAAATTTTAAATCTTCCTCTTATTAACAGGGCTGCCCCGAAACGGTCCACAGCAATGATCGTTTAAGGAAAATCAATGTCACGACTGGTAAGCATTGTCTTCCTCAACATTCGGACCCGAACTTCAACTGGGACTAAAAATCGAATGTCAGACTTCAGGATCTCTCTCTACTGCGGAGATTAGTACAACATTACCTGAGGATTCTTGAAGATTTCAAGCTTTTGTTAAGTTTCATTTTTATCGCAGAGTTTTAATCTTTTCAGGCCGAGTAACGACATTAGCCGGCAGTGCTCAAGGATACAAGGATGGGATCGGTGAAAATGCTAAGTTCCGTCACGTGTCAGGTAATGTAAACAAAGCAGCTAGATGAGGTAGTTAAAGTGGAGATGAAGGATTGGTTATTATACCCAAATATGAGATTGTTAAAAAAATAATCTTTATGTTAACAGCTGGAGAGTTTGCTTAAATTATGCTCACGTAGGTTAAGATTAAATGGTCACGTGCTCACACAGAAGTTTGACGTTAACTTAAGGTCAGTGTAGTATCCCTAAATTTGAGCCAACACCTTTTTTTGAGTCTAAGCATCCACAGAACACCCGTAAACAGTTTTAAGCATAACTTGTTAAGTATCAGAAAACAGTAAACCGAGTTTATATTCACATCAGAGAAGGAGCCAGACGTGGTTGTGTTCGACCTCGACCTCGACCTCTTTTCGTTCACGAAAAGTTCAGAACCACAATGATCTCAAAAGGGAAATTTGTTGTTTTCGGATAGAGAGTTGTTTCGTGCGCGATGTTCATACAGAGAAACCATTGAGTAATTATTGAGTTCGAAATTGCTTTCTCCTCTTGCAGGTATAGTTATGGATAAAGTCGAGAGAGTTTTATATGTTGCCGATAGCGTGAGTTTAGCGTCCAATCTCTTTCCACACCCTCAAACAATGTTACATAAGACTGAAAAACACCTCCTCACGATGTGCCATGAAAACTTAAACTTTGGGCCTGGTGAATAAGAAATCGCTTTGGATAATTGTGTAATGACGCCGTACAACCTTGAAATAAAAAAAATAGATGAACCCATACAGACCTCCCGCCTAGAAAATAACATTTATTAAATGGCTGTTAGCGCACGTGAGCAGATAAAATTTGATCCCGCGCAAGGAAAATAATTAAATGGAATGGACTTACAAAGACCGTAAGTTTTGGACAATGTCGGCAATGGAATCACAAAAAGCGGTGGGCGGTCAACGAAAAAACGTAAACTAGATTTAAAAATAAACACGTATCCTAGTTGGCTTTCTTTCCCAGCGCTCAAAAATAGACAAGTCATTCTTGAATGTTGTTGAAAATGTTTCGTGTCTGGAACTCTCGTATTTTGACCCATTTCGTTGTCTAAAGTACTCGTTTCTTTCGTTATTGTACAGGGAAACGACCGAATAAGAAAAGTTGATATTAACACAGGTGAGTTTTCTGAGGCTACTTTCTTGCCACTTATTAAACCTTCCTTTGTGGTCCAGTTGGGATGGACAAAATCTCAGGGCTAGTTATTCAAACAAAGTTTAGCCGTTGCTTGACAAAACCATGCTCTGAGCCATCTTCAATTTAGCCGAAATATTTATCTGAATATTTATTTTAATGATCAGTGTCAACCCTCTTATAGAGAATCCCCGGGACGTAAAACCGTCGTTTGGGTTAGATGTAAATAAACGGTCCTTACTTTCTACGCTTTTAAAAGTCAACGGAAAACAAAGAGACAAGGGGTTTTTGTAGCAACTATAACACATAGGCATGCTACGTATGCAAGAGTTTGGTTTTTTTTGGATGGACCAGTTTAAGGGCCTGTTTACATGGAGGTGGGGGACCCCAGGTAGGTGAGGTAACCAGCCTAGCCGTGGTCGAAAATTAAACGCGTTTACATGCAATCTTACAACCACGGGGTGCTGGGGTAAGGTTTCTTGAGGTTGTTGTTGCACTTGGTCGCATGGTCGATTTACAACGCTAAATATTCCGAAATGTGAACATTTCGGAATATTTGGCGTTGTAAATCGATCATATTTTGTTTATATTTCCCCAACTATTTCTTATAACGTATTAAGTGTACAATTCCTCGCGTAACCTAACACCGCGTAACACAACGCGTGACGCTTTCATGAATAAATACATACATGTCCAAGAATAAACCTTTCGTCTTTCTCGAGATGCGAGCTTGGGACGTCTGTGCTCAAACTCTCTAATTGCAAGCGCAACAACAATCTCAAGAAACCTCACCCCAGCACCCCGTGGTTGTAAGATTGCATGTAAACGCGTTTAATTTTCGACCACTGCTAGGCGGGTATCTGAATCAAACATGTAATTTATTTACACGCTCTCTTCCCCGTTGCGTGACGAGACCTAACATTGGCCTCCTCGCAGGCTAAGACAATGCTTGATGTCGTTGCCTCGTCAGAGACAAAATTTGAATTATTTAGTTGCAGCTAATTGCCTCAAAAATATTCTCTCTATAATTCTGCACTGGAAAGCAAACCGAAACTCAATTTATCTCCAGTAGCCATTAACCAAATTATTTACGGTCTCTGTTCTTCGAACCAGTGAAAATATATTAAACGAAGAGAAAAGTATCAAATTTCAAAGCGTAACAATGTGGCCTCCTTATTGGTTGTCGCCTTCTGGACTTTGCCCTTTGCATGCGTAATACGCTATGAAATGAAGGTTGTTCACAAGGAATTGACGCGTGATAGGGTGAAGTCTAAGGTAGCTAAAAGCGAATTTGATCGGTAGAACACGTCTGAGCACGTGAGAATTGATAATGGTAATTGGAATCCAATCCGGTCCGTAATCATACGAGTGGTTAACAAAATCTTTTGTACGTTTTCCTAAAAAAAACAACGGTTGACTCGGCGAAATGAGAAACAACAGTGCGCGCACGTGACGCGTTCTGTCTACTTACACAGGCAAACACTGATTGGTGCAAGTACACCCCACTGCTGTGATCTTATTGGTGCGAGATACATGCCCGAATGTGGCGATTTGATTTGTGCGAGCAACATTCCCCCTTGATTCGCCAATAAAGTGTTAATTTTTAAATAACTCAAAACGGAGGTGAAGAGAATTAAATTGAGCCATGTGCTGACAACGTGATAACATCTTTCGGTCAGCTTTAAAACTTCTGTAGTCCTCCTGCAAAAGTTCTTTTGCTTGTTCTTTTCACCATTGCGCGTTCTAAGATTAAAGAACTTAGATTAAGTCTTGAGTTCTTTATTTCAGCTAACGTAATTACATTTGCTGGTAGTGGGGAGTCTGGATTCCTTGATGACGTAGGACTCAAAGCTATGATGTCCAATCCTCAACAACTGGAATTAGACAGCATGAAAAGGAGGCTGTTCCTTAGTGATACGGTCAGTTACTACACATGTTAGACTCCACTAGACGTCAAACAAGGTTTATTATTTCTGAGTTTCCCTCCTCTCCTCTGAAGGTTTTCGTTCAGTTTATCACACTATCGAATTATTTGAATCGTGACATTATTAACTGCTGATAATCCACTGTCATCCAAATAATTTTGAGACATTTCAGTGTTTTATTTTTCATGTAACTTCCTTTTTTCCCCACGAATAGAGGTAGGGTATGATTTAGAACAATATACAAGTTGTATTTTATTGATAGATTTTAATGCTCGACTTCATCGCGAGAGAACTAACTCTAAGAAGCCTGGCGTTGCTGATTCCATTTTATAGGAGGTTTCTTGGTTGCTTTATAAATAACCAGCGGATAATGAACCAGTGGATAAATATTATCTCATGGGAAATAAAAGACATACAGAGCGATTTCATCATATTTTAAATACTTCAGCGTCATATGCAGATATCTTACAGCCTTGTTTCATGTTTTGCTGAATTCTCTTTTTATGTATAGTAATGTTTTTTTACCGGCCAGGATAATCACGCAATACGGATTATCTCATTACCAAACGGTAAGTTAATAGAGATATAGGGACCTCCAGAGGAACGTGTTTTAATTTAAAAGAACATTAACCTTTAAAAAAACCTTTCTCGCTTTTCATTTTATATATTTATTGTGTGTCGGTTGGTTTCTTTTTTGGGAGGGGGCTTGCCTTTGACGCGTCGATTAGGTGATTAGAGTGGAGTCGTTGGTAAAAAAAAGGGGGCGCTGTTAATTATTTAATACTCGTACAGTCTGCCTGCCTGTGTGTTCATGATATTATGGCTGCTTGAAACCTAATTTAAGCTCACTCAAGCCTCTTTCATTTAAACAGGAGAAGTTACAACAATAGCAGGTGGTAGTCAAGGATTAATGGACGGCATCGGAAAAGATGCAAAATTTTATCACCCAACCGGCATCTCACTTGATGTGCTTACTGGAACACTATACGTGGCTGATCACGTAAGAAATAAATATGTAGCTGATCTCATCAGTTTGTAGGACGCTCGCCAATTATGAACCCTGTATACAGCCTCCCATTGCTGGGTTTATCTCATGCGTCAGGGAGTTCTCTGTGTTACAATGGTAGAACTTCCACCCATAAAATCTGAAAGTAAAGATTTGACCCATAAAATTTGAAGGTAGAGATTCCACCCATAAAATCTGAAGGTAAAGATTTAACCCATAAAATCTGAAGGCAGAGATTCCACCCATAAAATCTGAAGGTAAAGATTTAACCCATAAAATCCAAAGGTAGAGATTCCACCCATAAAATCTGACGGTGGAGCGTCCACCCATAAAATCTGAAGGTAGAGATTCCACCCATAAAATCTGAAGGTAGAGACTCCACCCATAAAATCTGACGGTGGAGCGTCCACCCATAAAATCTGATGGTAGAGTTTCCACCCATAAAATCCAAAGGTAGAGCGTCCACCCGTAAAATCTGAAAGTAGAGCTTCCACCCATAAAATCTGAGGATAGAGATTCCACCCATAAAATCTGAAGGTAAAGATTCCACCTATAAAATCTGAAGGTAAAGATTCCACCCGTAAAATCCGGAGGTTCAAATAATCGTGAAAAAATAAAAAGAATTATGCCTTTGTCTAAAATTTTTGAAAAGGGTTTGATTGAATAGCTTTGTGTGTATAGTAACCGAGTGACTGGCTTGTAAACGATACGAACTAAGTAAGCAGCGAGGAAGCGGGAAGTGGTCGTCTTCGTTGCCTCCCAACTTACTCAGCTCGCTGATTGATGTTTTTTTAAAAGTACTTTTTACTTTCCTTGTCTTGTTGTTTACAGTATAACCATATGATACGAACAGTGGATATAAATAGTGGTAAGATGATATATTCTGATTTATTGTACTCGTCAAATATACCCTCTATATGGAGAAAGACAATTTTCTAGTGGACTAAAAATAGATGTGTTTCTTCACTCATATTGTTACTAGATATGTCCTTGTGTAAGATAAAATATCTTTGAAAATATGTTTACCGGGTAGTACAGGCCCGTATGTCGTTGTTTGGGCTTTTTTTTTTCTTTATTAATCATTCATCTGCATCCTCAGTATACTTTAGCTCACGTTGGTGTCCGTTTTCTGCAGTTCTCTTACGTCTGTTTGTGTTTGTTTATAATTGTCAATCTTCGTGTTCGATGGTGCTCTGCTTTGCGTTGCGAGTAACTGGTATTGTCATCTAAAGTGCATCATTCAAAATTTTCATCAACGCTTCTCGTTATACTCAGATAACTCTGTATTGTTTTGTTCCGCTTATAAACTGTGGATCAATATTCCCATGTTAGGTGAAGTCACTTCACTGGCGGGTGGGGGAAGAGAAGGATTTAAGGATGGTTTTGGAAAAGAAGCGAGGTTCAATTATCCTGAGGGGTTGTACTTTGACACCGATTCTAATTTACTCTATGTTGCAGAGTTTGTAAGTATCAATAAAGAAACCCTTATGTAAATAATCAATAAAAGGATAATTAATTTGTGCTAAGTCTGCCTACTAGATTAACTCACACAGCGTCTGCAGTTTATCCCAGTTTCTGAAGTATGTTATGATAAGGAGAAATGATACTCCCCCCCACCCTCCTGGGTGGGATGCTTCTCCACTGCAGGCTAATACCCCTCCACCCTCAGTGTATTACGTGGTTCATAACATTCATTTGCATTCGTATTCAGTGGAGAGAGGTAATGTAAGAGTTAACAAGAAGACAACACAATAATGTTTTCCAGCGTTAGCTAGCTTTTTGCTAAACTTACAGCTGTGGATAAATAAGCGTATCGAGGAAAAGAAGAAAGGATGGAAAGAATTGGTTTCTAAGAGGCGTCTGGATTTGACTTGATACTTGAACGAACGAAGTTAGCATTAATTCTAAAGTTTTTTGCCTTTTAACTGACAAGCCTTCCCATAAATTCATTTTAGGACAGCCATGCCATAAGGATTGTTACCCCTGCAGGTAAGCGATGTTAGTTCTTCTAAATTACATACCTCTGTGTGCAACACATGTGTGGTCAAAAGATACGAATAACTGAATGCAATATTTTTTGGTAGCTTTCATTTATTAGTTTTGTAAAGAAATACTTGTTTGTGCTCTGCAGATTCTGGAGCAAACAAGACCATTTTCTGTTATCTCAATATTTTATGTAGCCGCTGGAATTAACTGTTGTAAAGGTTGTATCTTCATCAGTTGCTATTTACATTTGGCGATCCTAAGTACAAAATTTTTTTCGTTCTTTATATGTTTACGAATATTTTCGAAGTATGTTATGACAGCGTAATACACTGTTTCAGTGCGCAAATCGATTTAAGTTTTCAGATCATCTTTAGTAAAGTTTGTCTTTTCAACAACAGGTGAAGTAAGGACGCTGGCCGGCGGGACTGAAGGCTTCAGAGACGGAGTCGGCAAGGAAGCGAGATTTTTTCATCCCACTGGGTTAACATTTGACAATAAAAGAAAAGTTATATACGTTACAGACCAGGTGAGCTATTCATATACTGCGTGTCTCAAGAAAATTGCGAGTTGGAAGGCGATTGCTGGGCTCATCACGTTGGTTAAAATAGTCAACAAGATAGAATTTTGTGCTCAGAGGGCATAGGGTGAGGGTTAAATTTGGAAAGGACTTCCTACTACTTCAGTTGCGAACCAAAACGTTGACATTCGAAAAATCAAATTCACTGTTTGATATTCCGAGAACTTAACGAATGGGCTTGTTGATCAACCTCATTCTTAGAGCGTTCTCTTGAAAATGTTGCCTGTAGATTTAATTTTTTAGTAGCATGACTGAACTTTACAGAATTTTTCGTGGAATTTGTCAGTTTTCGTTCTTTTTCAGTATAATCACATGGTGAGGAGTATCACTGCAGTTGGTACAACAGTCGTAGATCCCAAGAAATCAGGTAAAAAATTTAGGGGAATGATTGAATTTCAGTGAACCACTCCCTGACATATTTTTAGTTTCAATGGAGACTTTCTCTGCTGGAGCGTAGAATAATGATAGTAGAGTAAAGTGCCTAAACATAAAGATAATGAACTTGTTTGCTTTCGACCAGTATCAAAACATAGAATTATGACAGCAAGACCCATTCGTATAGTCATCAGCTAAAAGGAAACACAAAGACTGGTAAACCTTTACTTTTGAGATATGTACGATAAGAAAAAAAGTGACAATGACTTACCAAATATTTCGCTTGCAAATCAATGCCGACCCTTGTTTGAGATTTTTTAAGGAAACGTGTTCGTGAATATTTAAGAGTAAGGAAGGCGAAACTGTTGGGCTTATTATTCTCATACATGTCACTTAATCTTTGTTTCAGGTTTGATCCAGACTCTTCGGAAGACAAGAGACACGCCATATTTATTTGCATGTTTCTTTTTGACTGTAATCGTTCTCTTTATCCTCGCGCTCTGGTTTCGACGGAGTTTGCGATATTTGTTTAGGAAAAGACATTTTTAGTAAGTTAAAAATTTTGGAAATTCTCACCCTTCAGTGAAACCTGCATTAATTAAGTTAGTTTAAATTAAGAGTTATAGTAAGATTACACCCTGTGAAAAGCAGAGACCAGCTGTGTTCCGATTTATTTCTTCCTATGTTCTGTAAAACAATTTTGTATTCAACGGTTACCTCTATTAGATGGACGCGGGCACTGAAACCCCAAAATTATCAAAACAAGGGGACGTACCAAGAAGTTTTACTATAAATCTCATAATTATTAAGGAAACTGTTGAGTTTTAACACTGCGTTCAGTTCACGTTATTGAGTGTTACACGACCCATAGTAATGTATCGATAAGCCATTTTTTAGCACATACTACACGAGCACATTGCACTTTGAAAATTTGTTTTCGACCCGGCATATTTCTAATTTGTAACATAATTTCATGCTAGCAAACCGTCATAGGCCTCCCTTCGCCTTTTTGCACGATCAGTGTCGAAGAGAAGTGGGAAGATTTGTTCGTTATCGTTTAAACTTATTACACTGGTACTATGACTTAGCTGAATCTATAGCTTAAGGGGGCTCGTGGAAGGTTTCTCTATACTTTCTGAGAGCGGAGCCAAATGATTGAGACGTTACAGCCTTTGTGTTTAAGGAAGAAGACCCATTTTTTGAATTTTTATAGCACAAATCAGATAAAGAGCGAGAAAATAAAACGCAAGAAATGGTTCCTTCTTTGTATGATTCGTGATCTGTCTCCGAATCCGTCCCTCTCCGAATTTATCGGGTCCATTACATCACGTGACTTATCACATGATCGTTTTCGCGCCATTTCCAATAGTCGTGTTATCATGCCAAAAGCTCAGCCTCACTGAACATTGTGTGTAGACATTCTGCCCAGCTTCTCCTATATTTTACTTCAATTCGTGGTGGCAATATGTCTCTCTTCGAGGAAAGTGACTATGAAAAGAAACGAAATATTGCAATTGCAACAAACCAGGAGATGTTCGCCAGCCTTTTTCCTGAAGGAGTTCGATCTTTGTACCCGCCACCACTAACTCCTTCGCAGCCTTCGATCAAGAAGAACAATGTGGAGCGTAGACAATCCAAAGTTCCATTACCCAGAAGACGACTTCCTAAACGTCAGTGTAGATCTTTTGTCGGAAAATATGACTCAGAGAAAGGTGACGACGAAGAAGACATTGAGGTAGAAGATGTTCGCTCTCCAAACACTCTTAAAATTAAGTTGTGGCCTTCGCGCAAGTCCAAGTTGCCAGGTTCATCTGGAAGCGAGGATTCAGACAATTCACCGAAGCGAAAGCGACCGGCTCCAAAACGACCACCCATGCTTCCTGTCGAAATTACCGAAGACGATTTAATTCTGGTGGCAGAACGTGTGTGTGACAAAAATTATGATCAGACGAATGGAACCTCGTGTCATCAGTGCCGTCAAAAAACGGACGATTTAAAGACAGTATGTCGTAGCTCGAGTTGTATTGGAATACGTGGGCAATTCTGCGGACCTTGCCTCAAGAATCGGTACGGGGAAGACGCTAAGAAAGCCCTGATGGATCTTAAGTGGCAGTGCCCTCCGTGTCGCGGAATTTGCAACTGTAGCTTTTGTATGAAGAAACGAGGTCGAAGATGCACTGGTATCATGATCCATCTAGCCAGAGAGCGCGGATTCAAAGATGTGAAGTCCTTCTTAGGTGATTGACATTGACTAAGCGATTAACTTAAATATTCAGATTAGCTATTTTTCGTTTTACAGTGAAATTTTTGTCTGGAAGATTCCTTTCTACTTTTAACTGAACTGATTGCTACAAATTTCGTTTGCATTGAATTTATTTTCTGAGAAATTGGAGGCTGAGAATTAAAATTATTAGTGTGTAAATCAATCTCCCTGGATGATACGCTCAATATTTCTGCGAGAACTTACCAGTACTATTCATTTTTAACTATGATATATTTTATATACGATATAGCAAACTTGATGGTTTAATTTACATTTATCTACGCATTGGACATAGCAGTATAAAGTCAAGAATTGCTTGTGTTGGAAATTATTCTTACCCAGTTTACGAAGTGAATACATAGCCATTGTTAACTGTAAGACTAGATGTCTAGTGCATGGTTAAAGTACGTTTCTTAGTTTTATGGCTATTGCATATAACTGTGCCAAAGGAGCACTTGAGTATGCTCTTGTTGTGTTTGTAGACTTCTCTCATTCTCAACAAAAACAAATAGAAGCTCACTGGCCTTTATTGATTGTAATTTGAAATTTAGGAAATGGTTAGATCACTCAGGTTGTCATTAACCTTGCAAAGGAATGTTTTGTCTGTTGTGGTGTTAATGGCTAAACCCTCCAGACCTCCTCTTGTCAAGGGCACTAAAATGATTAGATAAGGCTTACAATGGAGAAAGTGTACTCTTGAGACACACCAAAGATAATGGTGTAAAACTACCCAAACGTTGAAGTCAGTTAGGAGGTTGTGATGCTCCTTAAATCCAGAGCCATTTTTGAAAGTAATGTGTGTTTTTAAGAACTGATATAATTGAGTGAAAAATAAGCCCTGCTTTGAGGATGGTGTTTCTAAGGCTATTCTGAGAGACCTTTGAGATCTATCCCAAGCTAAATGTGTGATGGCAGGATTTCCTTTTGGGGAATGTACAGAACTGCTGCATGTGCCGGAATGTAATTTTTGGTGTAAGAGATTTGGAATTCAGGGAAACCTGATCTAGATATTTATTTGCAGATATTTTTTTGGCAAAATTCTTGTAATTCAGGTTACAAGCATAAAAGAACAGTAAAAAAAGTTACCAATTTATACCTTGTATTACAGTTAATGAACAATTAATTTTCAATAAAGAAGTTCAGTTGTTGAGTCTGGCAGGAGGAGAAAACCTAGTACAAAATCTTTATAGGTTGGTTTCTCTGTTTTAGCATGAGATTCCTTCTTAATCCACTCACTATTGGATGTTTCATATATTTTGATAAGAGAAATTGTAGCTTAAAGCAACCCTCCAGTATTAGTACTAATTACTATTTTATCAAGCACCAATGATGAAGTGAAATGAGAAGAAATGAGAGAGAAACTTCTATGTCAAGGTGAGATCCTGAAAACAGTTTGATTATGAAAACCTAATAAGTTTGAAGAATGACTTCCCTGCCATCCATGTCAATGTTGACTTGTGTTTTGTGATTTCAACAAGTATATAACTCAACGATAGCAGCTAATTGTGATTCACAATTAAAACGGTCATCCATATTAATGCACACTTGCTATACACATGCATTTATGTACAGAACAAGTGCCTATGAGATATCTCCAAAATTAAGGATACTTGCACTGAGAGTTTAACCCCAGTCGCTGTTGCTTTGCAAGAGTAAATGAAGAAACAAAAACTCCCAGTGCCAGGCCTTTGACAAAAAATTAGTCTCATCCCAACACAGAATTACTTTTCACATAGCTTTAGGATAATTAATCTACTTGCTCATATCATCAATCATTCAACTGTTCATTGGAGCTTTAGTGCAATTAATCTCCCTTGCAGCTGTTGCTGGTGCTTGTCTCTAAATGTCTCCTTTCCTCCACCCACAACTATTGTAGAGAAGGAACCTGGAATGATACTTTCGAGCTAGATAATAAAACAGAGTGAAATTAATTTAAGTAACATAGTATACAACAACTCCTTTCGAAGGAGTATAACTGTGATAAAAATACAACCTGATTTTACTGGTAACCTCAGTATTTCCATTGGTGTTTTCTATTCATAATTTGACATAAATTCTTATAATTTAAAGGCTCAAAATTTAATGATTGATAGTTCATTTGCACTCCTTTCACACAGGTGGTAACATCAACTCTGAGTTTTCATGACTGTTGTCAGTCTTCATTTGTCACATAATTTTACGATCAAGGATTGAGTGATAAGTCAAAGGACATCAAGAAAAGTTTCACATTCACAGGAGGGTTGGGCAGACTTGGGCATAAACATATATAAACAGAAGAGGAAAAGAAAAAGTTAATTTTTGTGCAGGCTGTTTACAAATTCTGACACATGCAAATCCCTGTCAAGAATATAGAAGTAAATCCTAGGCATCACTACATTTCACATTTCAAGCGACTTTCAAAAGACCATAAAAAATATGAAAGCCACTCTACTAATCCCAACTGGAGTTGCTTAGCTTTTCACTTTTCTGGAAAAACAAATATATTTTCAGTCATAAAACAAGTTACAAAACGTAAATATCGTTCCTCTTGATGCCTTTCCCAGTGTCACCGATGCCTTTCCTGATGCCTCCGTTGGTTAATATATTGTTACAGTCAAAGCTGTATGAACAAAGAATTATAATTGTGGGAAATTGTAGCAAATGCTGTTGAAAAAATCATGCGTGTTTCATTTTAGTCATTTTGAACTGAACAAAGAATTAAAAATTTAGTCATATCTTGGTAGCAAGATTTCCCTTGCACCCTTCCTAAAACTGGAAATGTTAGATGCCTGACGTATTGATAATGGTAATTTATTCTACATATCCACAGTCCTATTAAAGACTGTTTTTAAAAGTAGTAGTTCTAGCATAGTTCTTCTTGAGTGTAGGTTCATCCCTTTATCGGTATCATCGATACCTTTCCTGATGCCTCCGTTGGTTAATATATAGTTACAGTCAAAGCTTTGGGTAATATGTCGCATGCCGTGGTCATCATCTGACTTCAAAATATGGCTCTCCTCTGAATTTTTCCCACTTGGTGATGTTCTTAGCTGTTTGAGACGACCATACAACAGTACAGTAATATATTTGGGCAGTGATATCCTTCATACCCTTGCATGTCCTTTTGACAAGACCAAGAATCTTGTTTGCTTTACCAGTTATTTTGTCAACATGGGCATTACAGGACAACTTGTGACTGGTAAATAGGCCAAGGTCAGAAAATTCAGAAGTTCCTCTCGGATGTGATTGTCTATTCGTGAGTCAAAATGAAGTATTATACATGTTTTTCACCGCTGACCGCTCACATCTCAGACGATTTTTCTTTCCGACTTGTCGCCCGTGATGTACTAACTTACTCTCGCTAAATTTGATCAGTACCTTATTGCACACGTCGATGTTTTTTACCATCTTTGTTGTGTATCGCAGACGAGTGACAGAAACATTCCTCTGAAGGAGCGTGCCTTTCGTGATCCTCTACCGTTTCAGAGATCCTTTAGCAGATAATGAGTACAAGAGCTACATCAACAGCTTTTTCAGACTTTGTTCTGGCAGGTTGTTCACTGTATGCAGCGTTGAATGTCCGCGAGGTGTCTGGTTCTGCGGCATTGGGTATGGTTTGTGTTGCAATAGCTGCCTCTCTCGGAGTTCTAAGGTTTGGGGTTGTCTTCCCGAACATTCAGTCAAAAGTTATTCAATTGCATAAACTTTTAACATGGATTGCAGCAGTTTTAGGTAGGATTTCTTTCACAAGTTGTAATGAGTTACAAAACTCAATAATTTTAAGAGTAACCCTCTGCACTTTCCCACGAGAAGTTTAGTTCGGAGGCTTATGTAAAAAAAAGCATCAAATGCCTTTTGGTTACTGATTTTGATGTGAAAGTTCTTTTGATCAAATCCTGGTGCACATCCCTTCTGACAAGCACTTCCCACTGCATTGCTCATCTGCACAAGCAGATAGTCTGAAACAGGCTAGGATCCACATCACTTTAATCTCTTCCTGATTGTACTGCAAGCAAGGGTTACAAGCATGTAAGAAAATAAGTTGAAAAAACACTGACTAAACCTTTCAGCCCCCTCATGTTGGATAAAGTAACGTCCATTTTTCACAATTATTTTTCCCTGCTGATGTTGCTCAGAGTTTACATTAGTGACATAAACAGAAACAACCTAGTAGTTTTATCAAGCATCCTAACCAACATAATATTGCAAAATACAAAATGCTTTTCATGGGGAATTTCTCAACTTGAGCTTGCAGACTATTCTTTTAAACTTTAAAATCTGAAGAAACAAATTGTAATGCAACTTTGTTTCCTGCTTTATAGGTATTCCTCTTATTGGAGCAGGATTTTGTTTTCATCACCACAAACCTGCTAATGCTAAGTGCCATCTGGTGAGTTCTGTCATTGCTCTTGTCATCTCCTCAGTCCACAATCCAATGGAAGAGATGTTGACCAAGATAGTTAGTACCCTAGCAGTGTTGGGAATAATTTTTGTCACATTCATGAGTTCAAACTTCTATGCAACTGTTGGAGGTCTTGCTTATGGATTAGCAAGTGCAGTTGAGTCCCTCAGTTTTCTTGGTTTACCTGGTGTTGACTGGTTTCATTACATATTGGCTGGTGGAAATCTCCTTTTGATGTATGGTTTTATCAAATAGAACCATGATTTGAAAAAAAAAAAACTTGGGCAACAAAGCCGAGGCATTTGAGCCTGTGCCAATGAAGCTTCAAGGGTGAGAGGAGACAGGTTTTGTCATTTCCAGTTCAAGAGAACAACAGAGCAACCCATAATGGCAACCAGTGATGTCCTATTCTCACAACTGACATGTTTTGTACAGCACCAAAGTCTGTTTGCTGATAAAACAGTCTAAGATGAGAGGGACTACTCCTAATCAGCTGGAACCAGTTGTCAGTATGAATTAATTAGGGAGCCTCTTACATGTTAGCAACATTAATATATGAAACAAGCTCAGTGGCTCCCATCTGTGTTATTCCTCCAAGATCAGTACTTTAAAATTCTTCTCTAAACAAAGTCTTAAAACTGTTTCTTTTGGTGGATCAGAGTGTATTTAATGCTGGAGAATTAAGACATGGTACACTTAATTGCTTTTTTAACCTAGTGATTGTGAATTCATTAACAAAAATAAAATTAACTCAAAGTAAACTCTTACTCTGGTTTATGACATTTCATTGACTACCCTGACTGTGTTTCTTTTTTTAATTTGAATGACCACAGGAAAATCTATGGATGTCAGACACCCCAGCAATCCTGTAACAAATCAATCCAATTGATGTAACATCATGTAGCTGTTAAAGTTCTCATCTTCAGTAATTATTGAATAAAAGAAATAATTAAAGAAAGTAAGGAAGAGGTCACTGAGCATCAGACACAAAATTAAGCCCAATTCAAGTCTCTACAAATCTATCAGCAGTATAATTTGTTGAGTTTACCTCACAACACACTCACTTGGGCATGGATTGCACTTGAGATAAGTTTATAACTCCTTTAGGAAGACACCACGATTACAAACAAAAACGTTTTAGTCAAATAAGTTGGGTCACACTAGTGCGAGGTAACTTTCACTGTTTTGGCACATGGAGAACTGAAGAAAATGAAAACAATTTTTTGTTTTCTTCAGTTCTCCAAAAAATGCTGAGCACAAGTAATTGAACCATCTGACTGAATTTCACTTCAAAAATATTTTAAAACAGTGATTGCAGCACATGGGCAGTCTTGTCCATGTTGGCATGTATATTGCAGTTTCATGGCATAGAGTATGGATACCAGAAAACACTGATTGGAGAGCAGTAAGGAGGTAAACTAAACCAAATCAAGTTGCACAAGGGAAATGTTTCACAAATAGAAAATGCAAAATATCTCCACACTATTGCCTTAAAATGACATGCACACTGCACCTTGCAGGGCAACAAAATTATCCAAAAAAACAAGGCAAACTTTTGCTTGTAGATAAAGGTTTGTTTTCTGAGAAACTCAAAGGAATGCACAGGGTATTTTGACCAGTGTCAACTTAAAGTAGAAACTTAAGTAACATAGAATCAAAAATGTAGATGCAACAGGTAAACTCTCAAATAAATAAACATTCAATGTGACCTTTCATTGCTTGCATGTAAATACACTTTATTTTATGCCAAAACTCACTTGCTGCTATTAATGACTTCTGTTAATCTTTGTTGAATTTTTTTCAAGCCCAGTCCTGTAGTTTTCTAAGTTATGGTTACCACTATTTACATACAGTTTGGGTATTCACAATACAGGTCTCTATCATTTGGTCTAAATATTAAATTGTACCATTTAACAACATTATGGACACTGGTTTACTGAACCCAACCAGAGTAACAGTTAAGATGAAATCTGAAAATATATTTTGCTGTCTTTCACTTTTAAAAGTATATTTACCTCAAAAGTCATTAATTAATTTGTCTGATCACGGTAGTAGCCTGTAGAGAGATAACAATAGAAAAAGGATTGGCAGCAAAAAGATACTATTCTTTCCAACTAACCTTTGCTGCCAATAAGAGATAGACAACTGGTTAACAGTACTAACATTTAACTCAAGCAAACCGGCTGCTTAAATAGTGAACAAATATTGCCTTGAAGTACAATTCATTTTTGTTCAAATTTGTTTCTTGTAAGAAGACCATGTTTTCTTAATAATTAGAGTGATTTTCAAGAGCTCTCTTTTATATCTGTGGGAAAATAATATACTACTCAACAGAATCATGATGGTACACATAAGTCTGAAGAGATGCAAATTATACTTAAAGATAAATACCAAATTAACATGAGCATCACACGAATACTGGTTACAGTACGTTGATAAATTAAGATACAGATGTTAAACTAATCTATGTTCACTGCATCTTCTTAGCAAAATTATTTCTAATTTTCTGAGCTTGGGATTTGAAAGATAATCATTCTCAACTTTATTGTATTTGCATCCAGCATTCTGTTGCATTCCATTGGGTCCAAAAGTACAAGATCATGATGACTGCTTTCCTGCAAATCACTCGTGAATTCTTGTTGATGAACTTCAGGTTTGATAAGCAAGTCACTGAATGGGCTTCGTAACATTAGGAATTTCACATTGAGGTTGACTTTGCCTTTCTGTACAAGTTGATAGGTCAAGACCCTCTGTACACTTTTCTCATTTCCAACCACAGTTGCTTTCACCACCCACTGTTGACCCAGAGCATTGAATCTACTGCTTTCATAACAGAGTTGTGGGATAAAGTCATCTGAACGGTATGGCTTGAGCTGTAAGTCTACAGATGTTGGGAAGATGGTTAACCTGTATTGGTTAGTAGGAATGCATGCAGTGCTTAAAAAAAAGTGCTGTGCAAATGAAGTTGTTTGTCTCAACAATAACTCTCTTAGTATGTTCCAGGGGTCACAGTGTTAATTAAGTACTGTGAAAAATGTTGGTCTCACCATGGATTGATACAAACCGAGCCTGAAAAATGGCCAACAGTCAACACAATCAGTAAAGAATATGACTAAATTTAAAAAAGCAAACACACAAACCAAGGCATTGCATTTATGATTATAGTCACTATGATTAGAGCTTGATCAACTGCAACTAACAGGTTGATTAATCAAAGAAGAAGAAAAGAAACTAACATACCTAATAATGGAAACAAAGAGTTGTTAACAAAGAACTGCTTGTACATAATATTGTCACAAAGCAAACATTGAGAACAAATCTTAAAAATCCCTACAACAATATCAAAGGAGCAATAATATTAACCATTTATAGCAATCTTTTCAAAGGACAGCAAGTTGAGAATGTTTTGGAAGAGATCCTGCTCATCTTTATGATTCCTATCTATGACTTCTAGTGACTCCATCAGCTGCAGTCCAGTCATGTTGGGGTGATCACACTTATCCTCATGATCCCTGAGCTTGTGAAATGGACCCTCCCACAGGCAACCTATCCTTTTAAACTTGCAACACACAGGCCTGAAAAAGCATAAGACACTAATCAAAGCTGAAATGCAAAACATCCAGTTTTGACATTTGGTAAAAGCACAAAATAGAGAGCCTTAACAAAGAGAATTGCTGAAAGACATAACAATATAAACATTAGTATGGTGCATGTTGCTGAAGGAAGATTTCCCACCTGCCGAGAGAAAGCAAAAGAAAGTCAATGTAGAAACATCCAAATGTTTTGATGAAGTCCCCTTAGTTACTTTTGAATCAAATTCCATGAAATCTGTCTTTTGGGGTCATTTGATCTTGATTGGGCCTCTTAGCTGTTCTATGACTGTTGTGGCTAAATATATCTTAGTTTGCCCCTAAACTGACTCAAGTTCTGAATCTGCACATTTACAAAATTCAAAGATTTTGAAATTTAAGTTTGAGAGGGTGAATTGTGAAATGTTTCAAATTTGTGTCACATTACCTGTGATCGGTCAAAACACAGACTCTAATTCTTTTGTTTTAACTCAAGAAGTGATTGCGTAAAAAATACTGGCTAAATACTCTCAGCTGTTCCAGGCATTCAGTTGGCAAAGCAAAGCGCAGTAGCAAACAGCACAAAAGTAGCATAAGACCAAAGAAAAATCAGGGAGGTTTGGGTGGGGTTTGTTGACCAACCTGTCTCAAAGCTCGCATCAGCAAAAGTAACTATTTTGCATTATTTTACAGACTGAATGCCTTCACAGACTATCTCTGCTTAAGTTATTGCACCATGGATATATACTTATGCCTGAACATAAATTCTCCAGCCAGTGTATCCAGACACTAATTTGTGTGCCTATTCACATTGCAGTTAGTTTAAACCCTGTGCTTTATTAGTGGTAAAACATCCCCTGAAGCTTGACAATGGTGATCTTACTTATTTTAATGAGTTACCTTACTATTGCCACTAAGTAAATAATTTACTGAAATTCCTTCCATGTTCTGAATCTCATTTCCCTAAAGTTATATTCACCTAAACAAAAATATTTTGCGGTAACTGAAGGTTTAGCCATAACCCTTGTAACCAGGAAAATTACATTTGGTGACCGTACATACTGTTATCAAATGACCACATTAAAATATGAGCACTGGGTGGATAGCTGAAAGTGAAACTGTCATCTTAACATCTGTAACCACTTTTTAAAGACCAGTTCCTCCCCAGGTAGTGGTATGAACATACTGAGAATTACCAATCAAGAAAACAAAGCACTTGTGCCCAGATGTTTACCATAAGTTCTGACCATTTATCCCTCCTTTCCACCCCCAAGAAAAAGGTCTCATATTGTTTTTCATTTGGACTTAGCAGTATTCCAGTAATAGGTAGATCTCCCTGTACCCTGCCCCAAAGAAAAAAAAAATTAAATGTTACACTCAGTGCTCACTATGGCTGGTAGACAGATAAGGAAAAGAAACTACCCCTATCATGTGAGCTTCCATCAACAAGTTTTTGTGAACCATAAGACCCCCACCCCTACACACAAAAATGCCCCCACCCATATTAGCCCCCTGATTTTGAGCCCTGGTAATTGACAGCCCCCAGGGGGACCTACTAATGCACTTGTGATAAGTTTGCACATTTCCAAGTACAAAATGTACAGAAATATACTATTTTACAGTTTAACAGCAGGTGTATATAGAACAACTTTACAAGCTAACAAGTTGTGAGCACAAGGACTTATGCACAATTTAAACACAATCAATGTAGAAAAAGCATAATTAATATTATCCTTACGGTTATTTTAACATCTTTACTCACAAACACATCAACACAAATGTGCAAAATATTAAAGTACGATTCTTGTGGCGCTTCACTTCTCGAATCTTTAAAAGTCACATCATATGCTGGTTTTATTGGTTCTGAAAATTTCATTCTAGTGACACAGCTAATTTCAGAGACAAATTAAAATTAAGAGATTATATTGCTTTTCAGTCAAACTCTGTAACACTGCAAATTCATGTATACAATATCGGTCATTGGTATGAAGTTTTCCAACTTGTTTGGAACATCTCTCTTAGTGATTCAAGTAGTCAAAGCCATAAGAAAGACCAAAGTTTCCCAGCCAGAATTTAATGGAAATATATTGAATGTTTCCATTAGTAAGGTTAGAAATGTTACATAATGATGTAAGTAAAAAGGACAAAAGGTTACTGATATGTGTGGGTAGAATAGGAGGCATGATTCATCAGTATGTCAGTTTCCAAAGTCAGTTTTTTATTTACTAGGAGTAGCCTGACCGTCCAATTAAAGGGACACTGTCCAATCATTAATGGGGTCAGTCTGTTTTTTGAGAGAAAAGAGTTTGCTTTCATAGTGGCAGGTTTTTCAATTTGAAGAAAGCTTAAAGTGTTCTTTTTCAGTTTCTTATGTTCCCAAAGAAACCATTGTTAGCTCCATCTTTATTTGCCACCACCTATTGTGGGCTCTCCGTCCTGTCAAAACACTTAAACAGTTGATTAATATCCAGATCAATGGAGTATTTCATTTTGACAACTTTTCTTCTGCTCTGTGAATCTTTTGGCTCTTTGGTGTTCCTGTGAACAATGCCAATCTCTATCTGGTGCATGAACCATGTGACAGATCATGATGAATTTGGATGATAAAGTTATCCACAATTCAATTAACCAGTGCCAGCCAAATCACAATGCAGCTGATAACTTGTTACAAAACAAACTACACCATGCCAAAAACAATTTGTGCAATTGTGAAGGATTTCTGTTTTCTCCAAAGAGGGCTGGGAGCCAGCTATCAGGTATTCATGGTAGTGTTCTTTTCCCCGTTCTTCCCTTCTCTTTGATAACATGTTTGTTATATCACAAAGAGTAGTCCACTTGTCATGGGGAAAGGCAATTGACAGGTAGGTGTTCTTGTCTGCCTCATAATATGGAAACTTCTGTCCCATCAGGTTTGTGACCATTTAACTACACCTTACTAGTCTTCTAGCAATGAGGTTGATCAGATGTCACCTTATGAAGATATGAGTTCTGCCATGATTGGTTTTATTTTCTACAGTTGTGATTAATGCATTGTGAGAATGTGTTCTCTCTGCAGGCTACTGTTTTAATGCTCTCTTGCTTTGTTTCTTGTTTGTAGGAATTTGATGATATGCTTCTGAAATTTCTATCCCATGATCCCACTAATGATGTAAGGGTGAATTTCCATGTGAATTACCTCCTTGCTTTCCCCTGCCTGTGTAACAATAAGGGTCATGTTCAATGAATGTAACCTTAACCTTATTCTTAAGTGGGTGGAAGTCTACAGTTGTAGAACTGTACAGGAGAGCCCTAATACAGTAAACCTCTGAAGGAACATATTGTCAATTAAACACACCAATCACAGCTGTTAAAAACTGATCAATCGCAGCAGAGTATGATGCCATACAGGGTCATACCATAATGCAATGCAAGTCGATTGCACCACAATCAAATTGCTTAATTCTCATCTTATAGATTGACAACACTGGTGATAAGATCCACTTTGGAATTTCAAATGAAACAAAGTCACCAAAAAAGTTTGGATAATACATTACCCATACTGACATTAAGGCCTTGCTGAATAAATAAAGCATATCCCGCTAAATTTAAAGGGCAAAACACTGAGTCATCATTTCAACTATTTTATTTCATACTTTCAATCAAATATTGTTAATGAATCATTAACACTGAATCAATATTTATACATACCAAAGCAATCAATACACCACTAACTATCTAGGTTTCTAGTTATAGTGCTCATCTTAAGTCCAAAAATCATTTAATGTCTATATGAATAACCATGCAATAGCCATTCTCTCTATTGCTCAAAATTATGACATGTTAATTTACAACAGATTATTACATTTTTTGCAGTATGATATCAAGATAACTGGTGATACTACAAAAACACCTAGCTTACTTCTTTGAAAGTTGTAAAATTGAAATTAAGAATATGTTCCACAGCACTTATTGTTTGCAGAATGTGCGCTGGATGGAGAGGGAAATACCAAGCAAATGGAAGAGAAGCTTTGCCTGTATTCGAAATATTGGGGCTTCACACATAAATCCCTTCCAACCCACATGCCTTTACACAATAAGAGATCAAAGCAAACAAAGTATCGTTTTCACTACTTTATTTCACCACATAACTTAAAATCAAAAAATATTAAGGGCTGCAAAAGATGAAGAAATCAACAACAGTAAAGCAATAATTCAACCCAAAGAAACATTTTAATACATTGAAGAGCCAATACTGATACAAATACAAAGTTCACTTACCTGTTTAAACATTCCTTCTCCTCATGGTTTTTCAAATGGCTCCGTGGCAGTTCATGATTGCAGTATGGGCATTCTGCAGGAAGTTCTGAGATAGCTTTCTCAACTGCTAAATTACGTGAACAGATATTGCGATTGATCTCTGTTCGACAATTGGGACATGATGACTGCTCATTTTTCAATCGGCTATCAGCCAAGAGATGTGTGAAGCATGAGGCACACATCAGGTGTCCATTTCGGCACTGAATCAAAAATCAAACTCAAGTTAATAAAAACAGAACAGGGTGTATTTTGCACACCTTCCATAAGATAATTTATTCTTATATTATGACAATAAAGCTGGAGAATGCCACTCCATAAAAGTGTCTGTAATTTAGAGTGCAACATTAAATGATCATGAATTTCTGACCCACTCCACCTTTAAAACCATAATTTATCCTGGGTAATAATTAAAATTTAATTAATAGTTTCAGGGATGACCCACAAAATTCACTGGTACACAAAAGTGCTAATGGTGTTATTAACCACAAATAGTTCTAAAATCAGAGAAAGGGATTGTCAGAAGAACTCGATTTTCCTTGCTGCAGTTATAGTAAACAAGAAGTTTTCACCACCAAGTATTATAACCAAAGTCACATCGAATAAATTTTCTTCAGCTGACATTGATGTAGAGTGATTGAAATGTTTGCACCACAGGAGACAATTCCTTTCTGATGAAAATAACAAGTTTGTTGGGGACCGTAAGTGGCCACGAAACTAATATAATCTATAAAGAGTGATAAAAGAAGTAAAACCTTCACCATGGGAATTAAATTTTCAACGCCTCATGAAATCGATTCTTCACATAAATAATTGAGTATGACAGAATCTTAATGAAGCGTTGGTACGTACTACATCGATTTCTTCAGAGACAACGTATTCTCATATTATATAAATCTATCACCAATGAAACAAATAACAATGACACATAAACGTAGAGCTAACAAAATGAGCTTCCTAACAGACGCAATCGACACAAAATTCTCTAGAAAAAACTACAAGTCAAACGATGGTATGGTTGTTGCGTAGTGCAAATCGAAAACGTAACGTAACCACTGTCCGTAATTTCGGCAAGGATCGCAACACACTTTGACCTTTGAGTATAAAACTAACCTTGCTGACAAGCACGGCTGTGCAAAATAAAGAAAAAAAGAGATTATCTTTACAATACAAAACCTACGATGGGGTGTATCGTTGACACATAGTTATTGGATAGGAGATAATAACAAAGCGCAAAGGCAATGCAGGTATTAAACGATGCAACCAGAATTGACATCACCGAAATGAATTATATTTTGAATCCTAAAAGACCAGATTATTGAAGTTAGCAATAGTTACCATTGGACCAAACAGCTTGAGATTTCATCCTTAAATTTAATTAATTTTATTCCTACCTGAAAAACCGATTTGGTGGGTAAATCAAGGCAAACTGTACAGCTAAGGATGTCGTTTAAACGAGCCTCCAATTTTACAAGCCGATCGCTTTTTCTGTCTTCCCTTAATTTTGCTTTCTTTAACGGAGGTTCGATGTTTTCTTTTTCAGATGTATCTTCCACCTGTATGGAGCCTTCGGCTTCTTCCTCTGACATACTCCCCTTTTTGATACAAAATCCGACGCCCTTAAAAACACCGCTAAAATCAACCGATCGATTTGTTTTGGTATGATCACTTGATGAGATGATGTAATGTTTACTTCTCTGCGCCTGCGTCACAATCACATGGAACAAAGTTCAATCGTTCCATTTAAGGTAAATACTCGTCACGAGACTTTCACGCGCAATTTGTAAACCCTCATGAGGAATGAGATGCACACTATGCATGAAGAAATTAATGGAGAAGAAAAAATTGGTTATGTTTGACCAGTAGTATAGTACTTTACATCACTTTCAATTATCAGTGATGGGGAAATTAAGTATCCTCCAGAAACCATACACTTTTTATCTTCGCTTATGAACAAGTTATGACATTGCCAGCATTTTGATACTCAATAGTGTAAGCATAACCATTCAAAGTAATGTTCAGTCTGGAGGAAAGTTAGTGTTACAAGCTGTGATTTTCAATCTTGCTCAGCAGCCAAGCCTTTAGCCTACTATCAAAGTCTTATCCTTCCTTTTTCTGCTCTCTTGGAGCCGTTCAAAAGGCATTTTCTCAGTGAATATTAATCTCTATTAATTAATATGAATCTAGACATTGATTACTAAGAGGTCTGTACTGGGTACAGGCAGGGTACATAATAGTATTTTCCCTTTTCTTTAAGATTGAGCAATTTGTTCAGCATATAAGTCCTAAGACTTGGGTAGAGCCAATGGCTATTCACCATGTTATTTTAATTGCGAAATTACTTTAGTATTACTGCTTAGGTGTCTGTGCATGTGTCATTAGTATTATTTCTAGCTTTAACTTTGTTGGACTAACTTGTTGGGGATTTTCAAAAAGCACAAAAACTACTCAAAAAAAAATGTTGAACTGGATTGGATTTTGTTTCATCTTATTTAGGGTTTACCCCAAACTTGTGATCATATACCCTAAACTGTCATGATAATGAAAACTGGAAGCAAGAAGGATCAAAACTTGGAAATCTTGACCAAAAAAAATGAGCATCCCCCTTAAATTTTAATTGATGATTGTTTTCAGGGCAAAAAGTGAGAAGAATAGACTACTAATTATCTGTGAGCTCTTAATTAACATCACCTCACTTTGTTTCTCACTGTCAGCTGGAAGTAGGGCCACGATGTCACAAATTTGTTGAGGGAATGATTATATGAAGGAGCAAAGGTGCACTTAAAGGAGCAAATAAAAATAATGGCATCTCAAATATTTTGACCGTTCATAATCTCTAAGTACCATAGGGAGTAATTTGGGGCAAATTTTTTTCTTTTTCTCATTTAATTTTTGTTTTACTTCATAGTGAGGAAAAGGAAAAAAAAGGAAATGCCCACCTCTCATGAAAGGGAAATGGGGAAAGGAAAGACATGATCATAGGGTTCTCAGAGAGATAATCTGGAGGTAACAGCAACAAAAAAGCCACTATGTGCATCGTTTTATTCCATTACCAGATTAGAGTTGAAAAAATATAACACAAAGGTTACAAAAACAGCATGTATTTTACATTTTTATCTCACTGAAAAGAAGGAAAACTATGATAGAGTACAATTAAGACTGCTTCCCAAAAAACATTGAACAAAACATATTTTCTAATTACTAAACTGATGATTATTGTTATTCTACTATTACAACAGCCCTCCTCTTAAGGCCAGTACAAGATGAAGAACAGATCCACCCTGGATCTTGTAATCTGCTGCAGTTTTGTCATCATTCCTTCACAAAAAGGTTTATAAATGTTAATATGGTTTAATCAACTAAGTTGATAAAGTAAATTGGCCACCATAAAGAGTTTCTAGGCTGATATTTCAAGCATTAGCCCCTCGTCAGAGCAAATAGAGTAATTGTGGGTTGTGTGTGTTTATATGCAGAAAATAGAGCTAAGGCTATTAGTGGGAACATGGTAACAAGAAAAACATGAATAAACTAGCTGAATGAAAAGTGTACATTGATACAAAGGGGATTAAGAGCACTGATTTGAAAGATAAATTTTTGTTCTAGAGTTTTGTGGCTTTCTGAACCCCTTAGATGTAGGGGAAGGCCACAGACTGACATATGCTGCTTGGAATGATTAGAGGAATTAAAGTTTTTAGAGACTGGTTTGGAAGCATCATTGTCATTCTTCTATACATCCCAAAGATGTTCTCAGAATAGTCACTAAGATGTCTTCCTGTTTTACCAAGGTATATCTTTTACAAGTCATGCAAAACATGACATTGGCAGAGGTGCATGTGAAGCAATCATTAATCCTAATGGATCATTTGAGTCCCAGTATTTTCTTGACATAATGAACCAAAGGACAAGTTTTACACTGTGGGAGAGCACAGGTGAAAGTTCCAGGTTGGTCATTAGTTTGTAATGAACTCCTGACCAAAATGTTGTCTATGTTTTTGTCACATTTGATTGAGATTAGTGGAGGTTGTGAGAAGATAGTTCCAGTGTCTGAATCATTTCAGAGTAATTTAAAGTTTTTAAGGATGATAGATTTAAATGCATGGTTATGAGAGTGAAATCTCAGAATGAATGGAATACAATCAGTATTTTCCTTTTGTGATGTTTGTAATGCTGACTGTTAATCAATTTGTTGGGCAGGGTAGTGGCCCACTTGGATGGCAGAAACAGGATAGCCACATTTTTCCAAAAACTGGCGCATTACCTCTGATTTGTTGGAAAAATCAGAGTTGTCACTACATAAACAATGAAGTCTAAGAAACTAAGAAAAAGGAATAGAATTATTGACATGTGATGGAAGCAAAGATGAATACAACAAGTAACTATGTGAGCATGTAGGTTTGTAGTATGCACTAGTGTATGGACCATTGCCTTCAGGTTTGGGGCAGTTGTATTGACTGAAAAATTTGTGTTTGATAAAACCTACAGAAAGATAAGTGGTAATTGGTTCCCATTCATAAATGTTAGCTGAGAGTGTGAAATAAAAAAAATCAAATAAAAAATAACAGACCCTGGTCTTTAACAAAACAAGGACATTTTTAGGAATCACTCAAATCTCCAGATCTGATTTCACTAGGCTGCTTAAATTACTGATGTAAAAGCCTTAGCTTCTAAATAGTGTTATCACCTTCAATAGTAAGTCAAATAATTCTGTGAAATAAACTATTTTGCATTTAAAATGTACAATTATGGTAATCTGAAAGTGGGCATATAGACACAACAATGCAAAAATAATACCATTGTATTATCAGAATTAATTATAAGCAATGATGGTTCTGCATGTGTATCTGGGTACTTACATTTGCTTTCCACTAAATATTAACCTGGAAGAAACAAAATGACAAGGTTAGTATAACCAGAGGCCATGTAGCTATGAATAGGAAGAAAAACCTAGTAACAATGAAGCAAATATCTCCTTGGCTTTTGAGGGGAGATGATCTGACCTATTTGTGTCTTTCTGTGGTCTACAATAAGTGAAAAAAGTATTTCAAGTGTGACAAATATCACACACTGACAGTGTTAGCCTATTATCTCCCGAGTGACACAGTCCAGTTTGATTGGATGTCCATTGAAATGCAGAGGCTAGTAATTAAGAAAATTCAGTCAATTTTGTGTTTAAAGACTTGCATGTCCCTACCAAAACAAAAACTGTTAAATTTTTTAAAATTATTTTTAAAATCCAAACTTTTTAAGCTTAACAGTGATTTATAGTTTTCCATGGTTTTCTTTAAGATAGTGCATGAAAGACAATTTTTCTGAAAGACACCTTATTGTTCAGTAACCTTAAAGAAGATCTTGTATTGAAACAATACAACAAATGAATATAAGTGTCACAAGCCCACTAGCCTCCCTACTAATGCATTTCAATTACTCTCTATTCCCACAAAGCTCCTAAAAGTATTTCTATTACCCCTGGATTGAACATTAGTCCACTGAAGATTACCCCATACCCCAAGGCAGATTGAGATATCCCATTTATGGCCTTTGGTAGAGAGACACTGTGAGTGCAAAATGGCTCAGTTTAAGAGCAAAACATATTGAGGGGGGCTATAAGTCAAACCCAGATCTTGTAATGCAGAGTGAAGCAACTTCATAAATTCCCACTACCTCTCAATAAATTTTGGCAGAGTTCCTTGTAAAATCTAGAAAAGGTGTAAAGGTCTAGGCTGATTGCCACTCACAAAACCAATAGAATTTCATTTATTTTTAATACATTTTTTCATCAGTACTTCACCATGTATAACAGTCATTTAGACATATCCTCTAATGGCTGGGTCCAGTGTTTGAAAGGGCAGATAATGCTATCAAATGGATAAATTGCTACCCAGTGGATAAGTGTTAAAAAAAAACCCATCCAACAGATAGAGATGTATCCAGTGGATAGTGTCATTTACCCTCCAAATAACTGGGGCCAGATCAAAAGTATGGTCAGCAAGAGGTTACTTGAAATTTTAAAGCAAGAGTAAGTGGCTCTAGACTATCAAAGGATGAACTTATACCAGTCCTAGTTATTAAATGTGTGAATGAAGTTATTCTAAGACTTTTATCATGAAAAGTTGTGTTGTAATGACAGGCACAATTTTGAGTGTTTGCATTTCAGGTTTTTACAGTTACACAAAACTAGTGAACCATCATGGATAGCAAATCTTACCTTTGCTGTGGAGGAGGGATTCCTTCCTTTTCTTCAACTCTCTCTTTTATTCTTTCAACCTTAACAACAAAAGTAAAGTATGGGAGTTTAGAATTTTGGACAACTGCTTCTCTCTGCCTTCCCAATATAAGTTCAGACAGGACTTATTCTTATGTTCATTTATTGAGAATAAATAATTCACAAGTACACTGTGACATAACAAGGAGATCTCCAACTGGATAAATATAATAAATGCAAAAGCACAGTGTCACTGAAGAGACATGGGATGGTTGTTTATACCTTCCAATAATAAACACATTGCAAATTATTTATTTGAAGTAGACTGTATTCTTCTTTATCTAGGTAGACCAAATCTTAGTTTGCTATTGCTAATGTTTTATCACCAGATACTTGCTACTGAAGTACATAAATTTCAATAAAAGTATTACACTTGTATATCAGAGGACCTTTGGTATTAGGGTTGTTCGTTAATATTTAGTTCTCTTATTTATAAAAACCCTGTGCCTGAGGCTACTAGCTGTACTTTAATATTCACCTTGTCTGTAGGCTCAATGTCAATCTCAATCTGGTAATTGAAATAAATAATTTCATTGTTTATGGTTTTTAAAAAATGTGAACCTAAAGTAATGAGAGAAGTTGTCTGTAAAAGCCATAAGTCGAAAAATTTGTTAGTGGCTGGACAATTATGCTGTAGAACAAAGGAAACTCATTTTTTCTGCACTGAGACCTGTCATGTTTTTACCATGCAAGGGGTGTTGTAGGTGTTGTAGGTAACAATAATGAAAATTTGATTTCAAAGAAACTTAGGTGATCTGAACCTAATATTCATTTAACTGAAGGAGTATGGCAATGAGTAAGGATTATAATGTCTATTTTCTTATATCCCCTCTCAAAAAAAATGCACTTTTTATCAGGCGTTTAAGTCACAGATATGGACAATCTGACATTCACATGAACAAATGTTAATCTTACCTCTTTTCCTGTTAAAGTCTTCAGGAGAGAGGGAAAAAGGAAATACAGAGTTAAAAACAGAGGAAACTTATTATTAATCCTAAAGAATCGAAATGAAAATACCTTCACTTTGATAAGCATACTGAAATCAAGTTTCTTTGGCGAGGAAAGAGTGAAATTTTCTTATTCTAACACTTTGAAATATTTGGGCTGCGAAAAACCTGGTAACCTGTCATCTAGAATGCCGCTGACAAGTCAAGTTCGCGGCCTCCCAATTCATGTGTTCTCTTTGTTCTGGCAGCCATTTTCATCTGATTGTGTGAAAACACAGTCGGAGAATCCGTTTCCATCTTGCCAGAAGGAACGGTTTTTACAATAATCCATTATGTTCTCTTTACTACAGAAACTTGTCTTTCTTTTTCTTTTAATTTTACCGGCATCGCTAGTTCTGATTGGAAATGGTGAGTAAGCTAGTCTTCCGTGATTTTTACCTTTTATGTTGTAAGTAAAGTATGTACGTTCTTTTAAAGCCCTCTTGTGTCCTGTGATGTGTTAGGCATTTGGAATGATTTTACCAACGCGGATAAAAGACAGTTTGAATGAGCTTTTGGAGGGTTATCTTCGGTCTTGAAAGTGTTTTACTGTAATTTCCGTTGTATTTCTCCTCGATTGCTACATTCTCTCTGTTCGTGAGGAATAGACCTGTTTTTTCCTTCGCGTTGGGCGAGTGATTTCCCTTATTTTGTCTGAGGACTTGTTGTCAATTTATTTAAGTCTGTGTAGAGCAGTAGTTGGGTTGTTTTGACGGTATGGAGGGTTTGTTTCCTGAGTTATGCTCATGTGTTTTATTTTGGCGTCTTTGTATACGTGGCATTCAACCACTGGGTCTGAAATAGATGTATGTGTTATGGCCCGGGAAGACGAAGTTGAAAACGAACAAGAGGTCGCACAACCAACCGAAGCAGACGCTACAGAGGCTACAGTAGATGAGGAATATGTTGAAGAAGTTGTTGAAGATGCGGATGATGGAAAGGTCAAACTAAGATGTTATCATACTTCTGAAACTCTTGACTTGAATTAACTTTTGATATTTGATGCTAGACCACGAAATTAACAGAGCAGAGCTTGATGCCTTAAGAAATAAATGAAATGTTAGATGCAATAATTTTTGGCTTGCATGTACTTTTTGATATCATCAAAAGTCACCATGTAATGCAGGACATTTTAAAATTAACATCTTGACAAGTGAAATTCCATTAGTTGTCACTGATTTCTCTGGCCAATCCTATTTCTTATTGATGTAGTGTAACTTTTGTCTTTGTTTGGATAATGCAATTTTAATTTGCATTACATGTATGTTTGTCAAACAGGTGGATGCTGAAGATGAGGAAGAAGATGACAAGGAAGACAGTCCAGCTCCAGCAGACTCTGTAAGTTCTACATGTAATTTGTAATTTGCAAGTAAAATCAATGATAGAAACATTCAGGTTTGACTTAAAACCAACAGAGTACTGTGCAGTATTTATTCTAAAACACTTGTAAACTATAGTAGTGAGAGAATTTTATTTATTTCTTATTTCATGTTTGTAAAGACTATCTTGAATGCAGCCATACGTGGTTTAAAGTTTTTTGCTTTTCACATGTGTACAGTAATTTTGTGGTTGTACAGCTATGCATGTTAATTTACTTAATTTTTGGGCTTGATAACAAATGGTTGAAGATGTCATCAATTCATTATGCATCACAGGTTTTTCTATTCCTGTAGAAAACTGATGCAGAGTCTACTGAGGAAGAAGAGGAAAAGGAAGAAACTCTCAAGCCATCTCCTGATGCTGATACAGTTATTTTCTTCACCAAGCCTGGAAACCAAGGTATTTTGAATGTCGTCTTTGAAATGTTGTCCAGAGGTGAATTTGTCTTCATGCATAGTGCAGTGTGATTGTTTCAGCTGGGATGGAATTTAGCAACCTCTCTTTCACTTTTTCATTCTGACTTCCATTCAGGTTGTCAAATTACATGCGACTTTCAAGGGCAACCCTTTTCATAGTTATTTCCATTCATTCAATCACAGTTTGCACCTGACTGACATTCTAAACCTCTTTTATAATTTTTCATTGGTTCTCGTTTGTACGCATTGCAGTATTTCCAGCTGGGGAAGTAATTAAGTGTCTCATTGGCCTTGGTAATAATGGCAAGAATGATTTTATTGTGGAACATGCGGAAGCTTCTCTCAGGTAATTATTATTTTTTTTTGTAGTCAGTTTAAATGGTTTTTGTACTGTTCTTGGCAGATAAAAATAAATTTCAAGAAAGTGTCCCTTTACCAAGATATGTTTATGTTGAAATGTGCTCCCCACCTTTTTTGTTACATTGAAACATTAACTAGTTTCTTGATGCGTTATTCGCAGGTATCCTCAAGATTACACCTATTACATCCAAAATGTAAGTATAGATTAGCATTATTTAATGTTTTTAAGTTTCTATGGTACAAACTAAATTCCCTTTTCAAAAGAAGCACCTATCTTTAGAATTTCTGGTGGAAGTTTATATGTTTATTACCCTTGAAAAAGAAATTTTAAATTGAGGTTTGCTAATTTTTTCATTTATTTTCAAATTTCTGTAGTTCACTGGTTTCCAATATAACATTGTTGTACAGCCAGGCAATCAGGTGGGTGTTGCTGAAAGAACAAAAATAAGATTGACATGTTCACATGAATACATTTGTTTAGGCCGGTCAAAAGTTTCTTTGCTTTTAAATTTGTTTTAGACATGGACATTTGCCTTATTGATCATTGCAAATCAATACTTGTAGTTTAGGGGGGTTCTTTACCATTCACAGTTAATTTCAAATAGATATTAGAAAGAAGTTGCTAAAAATTGTGATTTTTTAATGTACACTATGAAAGGGGTTGCCCTTGAAAGTCATGGTCAACCATGGTCAATGGTCAATTTGTCTTTTTTTTGTCAGGCATCCTTTGAATATGCATTTAAACCTCATGAATCATTTGGTGGGCGTCCATTTGGTTTAACTGTTAACTTGGTCTACAAGGACTCGGTGAGATATTATTATATATTAACATCTGTTAAAGAGGAACTGAAGCCTAAAGTTACACCATTTCTAAATTGCAACTTTTAACATAATATCAATATTTTTAAAAGTCTTTGGGCTTGACTTTGCCTTGAAAAAATAGGCAAAAATTAAAATTTAAAAAAAATCTTGCTTCTAAACTTGTTTATAGCAGGTTTGTTGAAGTTATATTGCTTCTTATGGGGATTAAATTTGAAAATGAAACAATAAAGTATGTTTCTAATATAAAATTTTGGCTTCTGGCTGGGTTTTGATGGGCTGGGGATGTTGTTATAAATTGATCACTGAAGGTGTCCATGTTGTTTACTTATTCACTCTTTAAACTTCACATATATGGTTTTACATGGTCATACATGTTCTATTTCTTTTCCCCATTTATCATGTTTTAAATATGTTCATATCTGGATGATATTTTCAAACCAAATTAACTCGGTAGTCTAGGGTTGAGTGATATATGGCAAAATGAAAACATGGTTGTATGTAATGCAGAGCCCAGTTTAGTGAGTCATTAAATCACACAGTGAGTTGTTTCTTTTGTTTATGTAGAGAAATGTGTTTGTTTATATAGTTTAAATCAGTGATTTATTTATGGTGTATTGTGCAGCATTTGTATGTACCAATGATTAGGGTAGAGTCATTGTAAAACACAGGGTGAGCTACCAAACACCTAAATCCTCAAAAGAAAATGGCTCAAATGTCTTGAACTGCATTGTTGTGTATGGGACCTCAAGTCTGAAATGCTTGGAACAACTGTGAAATAAAAGCTAAGGAGGACACCCTCTCAAAAATATTCTCCTATAACAGAGAATTGTTATGCAAACACTCGAGTGACTGATTGACCAAAGTATTACTTATCAGGAGACTCAATTCATCAAAGGTTTTTACTGTGCTACAGGAATATCTGTATTTTATGTGTTTCAGCATAGATCTGCATATAGATGGAATAAACCTGCCTTTTTTTGTCAGTTTCTTGCTTCTGTATGCTCTTTAACCCTTGACAACAGACACGTTTGTGGGCTGTAAACATAGCTTTGCAATATCTCTTGCGAAGACATTGATCTTTCATTTTTTTGTTTATAAGTCGGTGAAAACTTCTGTTTCCTTTGTGTCTCCTTCTGAGTCAATTGGTTCTTCGCCTGGAGAGTAATTAGGCTCAAACTGGAAGGGTACAAACCACTGATACTTATGAAATAAAGACCATTAAAATGTTAAGTTTGCATTTACTGTGCACTGATGTGTGGCCTTTGCAAATGAGAGAAGTGTTTCATTTCCTTACCACTGACGCCACATTTGACCTCTGCTTCTTGCTTTGAGCCCATGGTTTAATGGCCGTAAAAGCAGAAAAAGAGAAATTCAAGTAGAATTTTCTAGGAAATAACAAGAAGCATATGAAAACAAGCATTGAGACTTAATCTTATTCCTCTAAAGCTAACTAGAAATGAATGCAAAAAAAAAAAGAAACAATTTTAGACTTAAGTTTCCCTTTATATTGAACTCCTTGGCTATTGTTGCATTTAGATCAAGTGATAAGTTAATTCTTTTGATTAGGCACCTAATCTGATGGTCAATTGTTATTATCCCAATGACTTGCACAGGAAGGTAAACCATTCATGGATGCGGTCTTCAATGAAACTATCACCATAACAGAAAGCGATGAAGGAATTGATGGTGAAACGTAAGAAGACATCTTTGTTTCATATAGGACATAGCCTTTCAATTTAAAGTTCAGGGAAGATGTTGGTGGCCTTTTCATACTTGTTACTTTCCTTTCACATTTTTTTAGTTTTGACTTGTGTTTTTATTATAATTATTATTTCCTCAGCTTCTTCCTGTATGTGTTCTTGGCAGCAATAGCTCTGCTGTTAGTTTTAGCTGGTCACTATGCTCTCACATCAGTCAAGGTCAGTAAAGCTAATCTTGAACTTTTAAATCTAATGACCCTACCTGTATTGAAGTTTTGCATGCCACTTAATCACCCATCTTAATTAGAAGCTAATGTTTGAGCTTGGATTTAAGTTCATGAGTTCATGTCAAATCTACATGCACAAAAGTGAGTTGTTGTTGTTGGTGTTTTGTGTTTGTTTTTTTCTCTTGAAGGGAAAGAAACCAGCCTCCAAGCCTGTAATTGAGATGGGTACACAACAGAATGCTGATATTGACTATGACTGGCTCCCCAAAGAAACAACCACAGAGTTTGGTAAGTTACAAAACCGCTACACTAAAGGTTATTTTTATTTTTCTGTCAGTGGTGGCTTTAGTATTTCTTATCAAGCAAGTATTAGTGAAAGTTATACCCAATCAACTAAGCTGCAAAAGGATCAGAGATTAATCTAGGTCCAATCACCAAAATGTCTAGAAAGTTTTGTCAAATTAGAGCATCATAGTTTTCCTGACTTCTGGTGCTTCTCCTTCTATCAGGTGTTTATGGTCAGAAGCATAACATAACAGCTACCTGTGAAAGTCATTGTAATGTTGATTTTATTGTTTATGAGAAAAACAAATTGAAAATCAGTTAAAACTTAAAAAAACTAACACATTGAAATTTTCCATTCTGTTTATTTAGTTGGCAAAAATTCTCCTCGCCGTTCACCAAGAAACAGACGTCAGAAGCGCAACACAGGCTCTGATGAATAGTCATTAAGTTATTAGATATATCAATTGTGAACTTACTGTGGCTGGCCTATTTACTTTGGTGTGTTACACACTGTCTGAATCTTTAACAAAAAAACTTTTCACTGAAGAAACAGTAGGTAATGCATCACTACCTTGCTTTTTTTCCCCAGTTTGACACTTATTGTAGACCCTTATCTTGTTATGACGTATAATTATGTTCTGTGGTTGAAGCTTTCGGTCAACTTTTGGTTATCTTATAAACATTGTGCTGGTTCTTTTTTTGCTTGTCCAATCAAAATCAAGTAATCTTGAAAAGCAAATACGCTTGATATTTTTTGTCAGGCCTGAAGCCATTTGCTTTCTTGATTGGATGATTGGTTGAGAAACTTGGAAACTAGCTGAAATTTCATTCTGTGATCGCAACTCGTCTAAAAGATTTTGCAACCACTAACAGTGTATTATAATGTAATGAATTTTTAAGAGTTCTAGGAAACAAATTAAAATCCTCTGACTTTCGCTCAAATTGGCTGCAGAACGCAAAACCATGTTCTTCATGTACAATTCATGACTTCATAGAAGAAGTGTTATTGATTAAAAAATATCTAAACAAGCCAGAAGTTGTTTTTTTTCCTTCTGCTCAAAGGTAGTTGTCAGGAAATACATTCAGCCATAGTCGTTCTCCATTAAGTGAAATATTGATTGGTGCATCCACCACAAAATCAATTAGTAAACAAAGAATTTTGTTCAGTGTGTACCGGAAATCCTCTGACTAGTATTCAGTGCGCTTCTTTCAAATTTAGGTAAAGATGTGGGCGCTTATTCAAGGGGGCGCGCTTGTTTAGTTTTTCCCAACAAGGGGTTCAAAAAGTGATGAGGTGCCATTAAAATATACAAATCAAAGGCAAATCACCCACTAGATATGATTCCTCACCCATAGAAATGGTGGGAGAGGAAGAAGGAGTGTGCTCGTTCGCGGATTTTTGCTGATGGAAGACGATAGCGGTATTTTGTGCTGTGTGAGCTATATCTATCTCATTTAACAGGATCGGGATGAACACGGCTTCCATTAAATAAAGAAAGATTTTAAAATCTGCCTGGAACATTCCGTGAAGTAAGCCAGAGCTTACTTGTACTGAAGGTACAAGGAAGTTTTGCTCCACAGATCGATGTTCACACAGTTTAATCCATGACGAAGCCTGGTATTTCAAGTCAATTGGCATCTGCATGATGCACACGGCAAGAAACACGAGTTCCTTAGTTTTGTCATGGACGTTGCCCGGCCTTTAGACATTTAGTCATAGCCAGATTTTAATGCACTCCCTATTTTTCCTTCCTGGTTTTAATCTTTTCGCTTTTTTCTGTGACAACGTTATTATAATTCGGTGTATTCCTCAGCTTTGGCTTTTGGGTAGCTTTAGTATGCGCATAGCAGGCACTTGAATAAATTAGACAGGAGAGTTTGACGGTATAAATTTGTAGTGCGTGAGGGAAGAGGTAGGTGCCCCAGGGCTTCACATGTGACTAACCCCACAAGACTGGACACGGCCTCGGAAGAGGCTTGGGTGTAAGGTCGATCTTCTCTCGGCCAAGCGTGACATGGTCAATTTTGCGTTCGTATATCACAAGGTAAGTGGGGAGCATAAACCGTACTACTCCTAGTTGAGAGAAAATTTAACTTAGACCCAAGCCTCTTCCGTAGGCCTGTCCAGTCTTGACATCAAAAGCATAAGTAGAACGAAGCGAGCTCGGAAATCCTGATGGAAAACGCTCGTTTTCAGCGTAAATGCGCGGGGAGTTTTGGAACTGAGACATTTTTTCAGGTGCAATGATTTTAGATCGAAAACTTTGGGTGAAAAATTGCCGATCGCAAGGATTTTCTAGGTGTAAACCGCCCCTGTGTGGGCAACGGTCGAAATCGTATGGTGTGCAACCTTGACTCCGTCTCATAACAGGAATACCATTGCCCAAAACGGCAGAGGACACCGGTAACCACAACGGACACACAAAGAATGGGTAAGTTCTCTTAATCTTACGCGTAGAACGTGCGTATTTCCAATAATTTTTTTTAGAGGGCACAGTAATGAATCCTGCAATCTGATTGGTTCTTTACCCGGTCAGTATTTTCCTATCTCTGCCCACGGGCCACGGTAACGCTTTCGTGAGTCGCCGAGTACATCTCAACTTTCGTTGCCATTTTTCATAAATATATCTCGTTTTGCCGGCTGGGCAGTATTCTTAAGCAAACACGTCGATCACTACCTCAAGCCGACTTATGAATCCTCTCTTTTCTCTCTCTCAAATCACTTTGGTTGCCAAAAAAATATTGGTTTCAGAATGAATTTGTATAAGCAATAGTGTCATTACGTTGGTTGACAAGCGGCCTGAAAGCCGTCTGCAATTGATTTTAATCATTCACAAAAAGTACATAGAAAGTTAAAACGTGAGGTATTTGGTTACAGGTAAACTCAACAATGGAACTTTCATTCATTTAATATCTGAATTTTCTCAAACAATTTGTTCGTAGTGAAAGAACTTTTTTTTTCTTGCACGCTCTCTAATTGACAGGTGTCAGATTGTGACAGATACTTGTAAAATAATGCTTCAAAGTTTGTTTGGAAGCCTTTTAAATCACCTTTATCGTTACGGAAATGAAAATGTTTCGCTGAGGCATCTCTCTTTAATTTGCATCACCTCTATTTTAACTACCATTTACTCACTCAAAAATTGTGTTCGGGTTCTTTCGGAAAGAATTTCGTCAAGTTTAAAAACAATAAATATGTTATTTACCGGCTAAGGGTCGGTCCGTATGGTGAAAAACTGTGACCTCGGTCTTGCAAATGCTGCCCTCGGCCTACGGCCTCGGGCAGTATTTGCAAGACCTCGGTCACAGTTTTTCACCATACGGACCGACCCTTAGCCGGTAAATAACATATATATATTAAGCGTGATAAATCGACCATATTCTTCCCCTAACAATTCCTTACAACGGGTTCAAATTCTCAACGGTTCCTCATCACACAGCTCGTGACGCTTTCACAATCGTTTGGTCTTTTTCTCGAGACGTGAGCCTGGGACACCTGTGGTTTTTCATTTTTCCGACTTCCCAGCCGTCATGCGAGTTACACGCACCGCGAAGTAAACAAGCAAGGTGAGAGAGTAGGCAAAAGAACGACTGAACGAGATCTGTTGAAAAGGAAATCAAAATTACCGCATGGTCTATGACATGGCTTTGTAAGGCGAAGTCATCTGTAAAGTTGTCAAATACGCTTGTCAAGTTTGTTACGCCCGCTATGCCTCAATGCAACCTGTGCCTCCCCGTACTTATATAAGTTACTTTTAGTGACTGGTACACAACAAAGCAATGGTCATAATAGCACCGCGGGAAAAGTACTGGGCCGTTAGAAATAACACACCTTTGCAGACACAGCGATACAATCACTGCCCTCTATCGCACAGAGTGACTGTGAACCTGATGAAGGCTATCATGAAAGGGAAATGTGTTCCATGAAGGAGCGTTTTCCGGGAACGACTAACAGTATGTATGCGTTGCTTATCCTCAACAACGGCTAAACCAACAGTTGGTGGCTTGCGACCTAGAGCAGGAGCAAACTCTGGTGAATGAAGCTGAAGGTAAATTTCAAGTTTTTATCTGTTAATCATGGTTAGTTGCTTCGCATGTAAGGCAAATATTTTCGCAACGTTTTGCAAATTAAAATGGAAAACCGCGTGGGGGTGTACTTATCTCCCTACGATGTGGCCACTTTAAAATGATTTGGGTTTGACTTCGAGGTCACAAAGATGAAATTTTGCTCTCGCTTGACCACAGATGGCACTCAACCAGTGAAAATGAATGCAACTTTATATCCAATGTTACAACCCTCCGCCTATCGTACTATGGCAGCTTTCCTCGACCCGCACCTCATTTGTCTATTGACTTGTTGAAAATGTGGTGGCTGGGTGGAAGAGAATCACGCAAAATGGGTATCTCATTGTAATCATAATTAAGGATTCACATTTGAGGGTGTTAAATCAGTTTGAAGTCTGAGATGTTCATTCTTTTTCCCAGAAATACGATGACAGTTGGTAAAAAAATACTTGACGTCTTTAAGTGGTATTATTTGAAACTATAAAATAAACTCCTAAATAGTGGACTGTAGATAGGGGAATGTAGATTTGTAGAATCAGCAAATCAGGATAGTATATTCACACCAAAGAGCAGCCTAATAACATACTTCATATAAAAGAAATCTAGAAAAGAAATCTTTCATATTTTGTTGGTTACAATACAACAGCAATAGACGGATTGCATGAACTTCAGCTTAATACCTTATAGTTCTTATAGCTTGGAAGAATTAAAAAATAGATGATTTCCAGATAGTTTTTAATTTTTTTTGTTCATAGTCTGCCTGTGTCATAATTGAATACCCCTCCCAACTGGCTGAGCTTGTTGTAGAGCTGTATCTGATTGTTGTTATCCAGATATATCTGTTCAAATATTGAAATCTGTTGGCTGTTCTATTCTGCCTAGACTTTGAAATTCTGTAAACTTCAAACAGGTAACGAGGGTGAGCTTGTTGTAGAGCTGTATCTGATTGTTGTTGTCCAGATATATCTGTTCAAATATTGAAATCTGTTGGCTGTTCTGTTCTGCCTAGACTTTGAAATTCTGTAAACTTCAAACAGGTAACGAGGGACCAAGGAGGACGGTGAATAATGACAAGTACCTGATTGATCTGTTGACTGCTGCATAGTTACCACATATAGTGTATAGGGCAATAATGCTTTTTCTATGTTGGTCAATTTATAAAATGGCTAGTGTTGAGCAAAATACAAGGCTGTGCTCTAGCGGCGCCCGGTCGCCTCAGGCGACTAACATTTGGTCTCGGGCGACTGAAAAAGAAAAGCGGTCGCCCACCCGGGCGCATAGATTTCGGCTTGTGTGAAAACTCGAAACGAAACCAGCAAATGTATAGAAACGGAACGAAACAAAAAGAAACTCCATCGTGCTCCCCGGCTCCCGCTAGCCCAAAAAGCAGTTTCAACAGTGGAGCGCGATTAATAAAACAAAACCGTCCTTGATGCAAATTTGTGTTTATTTAATTAGCTTCGTCCGTGGCATGCAAGATGTTTATCAGCACCATATTTGGCGACTTGCTCTCAATTGTGATCATTCGATCAAAATTTGACGAAAATGAAACTTTAATATAAGAACCCTTTTGTTTCGAAACCTATTTTAGCGATCTTCAAAGAAATTTTCTTAGCGGTTTTAACATGTATGTGGTTAATTTATAACAGGATTTCATGATATCACAAGTTCGCCAAAATAGAGTACGTGACTGCTAAATATAGTAACTCGCTTCGCCACCCTTGCCCGGTGAAGTGAATATTGAACGAGAGAGATTAAAGATGAAACTGTTTGGCAATTCTGCGGATTCCCTGGAACTGTAAGAAGTATACAATGCTACTCTTTCAAAACGTCACGAATTGCTAAAGATTGTCATTCAGCAATGGTTTCCTCGGCTGGAAGTCGCACAAACTTGCAATCAAGTTTTAATTAAACATCCCATCAATGGTTTCGTCTACTTTCTGAAAATTTTAACTTTCTTGCAAATAGTAAGTTGCAATGACAAAGGCTTCCTGATTCACTGTAACTTTCTCTAATGAGAGCTAGATAAACTTTGAAGTCCATCCATGAATCAAAATCTTTGAATAAGGATTTTTTATTGTTAATTATTAACTGATTCAACTATAAAATGGATTATTAATTAATCAATTAATTATTAATTAATTAATCGATTTGGGCGACCAACATGGAAGGCTGGGCGACCTACTTGTCATGGTTAGGTGCCCAAAGGGTGCCCTGAAAATTTTCCTAGAGCACAGCCTTGAAATATAGATGATACTTCTCTTATTCTACCTGTTATGTTCTTCAGATGGTGTTTGTTGTGGGAAAGTGCCCAGGACTTAGCACATGAAGATTATTATTCAAAAAAATATATATATACAATATATGAATTTGAAAATCTGGGATGATCTATTATTTTCCTTGCAAAACCATAAAATATTGCAAGAAGTACTGAAACTCAATTGCCTTCTATTGATTTCTATTCTTTCTATTCTATTCTTCTATTGATTAATCAATTGAAACATTGAAATAGATGAATTTAATGGTTCTTTTGCTCAAATATGACATTTTCTTTTATTGAAACTAACGCCTATTTAATTTCTTGAGTTCTCCACAGATAGTCCTGACAGTGTTTGCATACACAATAGCTTGTTTATTGTCAAGTTTGTAGGTCATGTCTATAATATTGTCCCTTAGGAAAAAGTTACCCTTGAAGACAAAGGAACCTTTCTGATAAGCAGCACTATAGTCATCAACTTCATCTTCACCCAAAATTATGGCACCACTGCTTGTAACTTTGAAGAGGTAGTAATCATATATGGCGCCATCAGCTGCTGCAATGGCTACAGTACTTCCTTCTTCAACAAGATCAGTGAGTGCATTGACTGTTTTACTGACATTGACTGAGTCTTGATTCTGCCTTTGTGACTGCAACATCTCCTTCTCTTTGACATCTCAACCTCTCCACTTATCAACATACTCCTCATTTTCACAGTCCATGTCAGTTAAACAACCAATGCACATACAGCTTCTTAGCCTTGTCTTCACCTTACATTGCTGAGAAGTTGTTTTTACAGAGTGGATTTTTTCTAATCCCTTTTAGCTCTTTAAAAGTGCGCCAATTCTGTTTCTGTCAACAGCTCCTTCTCCATTTAGTGGAATGTAGAAGTATACTCTCTTGTTTAAGGTGGTTTTGCTGTTGGTTGAAGATGGCAAAGAGAACTTGTCCTTCAGATACTCATAGAGCTCCTTTGCAGACTTGATGGATGCTTCTCTTCGAATCACAGCAAGAGTAGCACGTTGTTTGACATTAGCACCTGCTGCATCTTGCTCTCCTTTTGCATGAGAGGTTTCAAAGAAATGCCGTCCACCTGACACCCAAAGTCAGACAAAGAACATGACAAATCACCAAAAGTGTGCTTAGATTTGTATTGTCCAGCACACCCATCAGTGAATTCATGAACTTTGTCTACTTTCACTTTGACCTCATTCCTAAGGTACGTCAGTATTAGGCCTTGGGTGTGGTGTACAAAATGGTAGTCTTGAGTGTTGTCTTCTGAAAGGGCAAAGATGCTCTTTGATGAGGACAGGGTCTTGTTCTGTACTTTTGCCATCAATGTCAATATCAGCATGGCGATAGACAATTGACACATGAATGCTGACTTTCACAGGATCGAAATACTCTGATTGAATTTCATCTTGTGATCTGCAAGTGTAATTCTCAGAAAAATCATGCACACAGATGATATGGTTGAGAGGCAGGTTTGTCATTAAATGATCAAACTGTTCTTTTGCCATTTGGCCATAAATGAATGGTAGGGAAACTGATATATGTAGTTTTTACTACAGTGTAATTCTAAATGTGTACTGATAATGCAGTATCATGTTTTGTGAACATGGTCACACACTCCCCTGCTTAGCACTCCTCTATAACATGTGTGCTTGGTTAATAATTAATTGTCATAAATATATTTTCCATACAATCTTAATAGAGTCAATATCACTGAGTAGATAGAGAATTCATGGACTTAAATGGTTGTGAGACTAATAACTGCAGTTTTAGGCTGCTTGAACTTGTTCCTGTGTTTCCAGCTGTCTTCCTCTTTTTTCTTCTTGGTGGTAGGTAGATTTATGGAAGTGGATCCTGTGCAGTAGGTAATTGGCCTGCAACATCTCATACATTACTTTCTGACTCCACTGGAAATACTGGATCTGTATCACTTCAGTCAGCATGGGCAGTCCTCTGTGCAAACTGGTTTGAGGTACAGGCTCTGGCTCATCTGGAGTTACTGGGTTGGCTTCATGCACTCTCTTGCTAGAACTAGGACAGATTTTTCATCTTAGTCATCTTTGTCAGCTGCAATACTAAGATGTTAAGAGCCAGGTTTACTCTCAGGGTTGTGTCTGGGGTAGGTTACTCCTCTGAACCTTCTTTGTCTGTCATTCATGGGTTCTACATTGTAAACTGAGCTTTGATAGTCTGTTTTGTTACTAATCACCTTGCACACATGTGAACTTACTGCTAACCAGCTTGCCAACAACATTAGTCAACTTGTGGCCACTTCAGATCAACTTGTTGATAACTTCAGTCAATTCACTGTCACTTATTTTTGTTATTTGATTTGTTATGCTTAAAGCACTGTTTATGTCCCCTTTCAGAACAAGGTCAAAATTGGGGCCTTTCATAGAAAATGTTAACAATTTTAAATGAAACCTTGCCAATCAACATGACATTCAATTTGTTAATTGTTTGAAATGTTCAAATTATTAGAATAACACACTGCAATAAAATGAGGAGAAAAAGATAACTATAATAAAAAAGGAAACAGTCTCCAAAAGATAGAGTTCTTCTTGGTAGTATTTATTTTCTTTTGGTTTGTTTTGTTGTGATTATTCTTCTAAAGGAAAGTACATACAGGTATTGAAATTTGTTGTATACTATAACATAGTGTTTTAAAGTGTGTTACAACTTAATAGTGCTTATTGTAACTTAAGATAGCGTATCATTAAAAGGGAAAAAATCAATTCTCTAAGTAATGTTTTGTTAGAACTGTTGTCAGGTTAATGGTGTAAGTAATATTACAGTACAAACATTGAAAATGTAAATGATATAAGAAAAAAAAAACAAAAACAAATAAACAGCAATGAATACTTTAGACAAGAAGAGAAATGTATTATCAACTAAAACATTTGACACCAGCCATGAGTTGGACCATACAATTTTGAACAGGACTTAATACAATATACAACACATTGACTACTACTTTAAATTTTCTGCTATTTGTTAAGAGATGTCAGGGCTTTGAGTAAATTGAACACCAAAATATCACAGCTGCTTGGTGCTAAACTTGAGTGCCTTTAGGAACATAGCTTCTAGGGGGTTGTGGTTGTGGTTGGGGTTGCTTTAGACTTGGATGTTGTTACTGTTGTATACATATGGCTCATAATGTTTGCATACGGAGACAATTGCAATCAGTTCCGTTTCAATTTGCATATATCATGTTTTGGCATTTGTAAGTGCGCAAGAGGTATAGGCCACTGGATGCCCAATTTGTAGTAGGGCAGTGCCTACTAAACTGAGGTGGGTCACACAGTAGAGTGATTCCTTCTCCCAAGGTCTAGTTACTCAAAACTGGTGTAGTTGTGACTGTTCTCTTCAGAACTTTTTAGTCATCTCGTGGAGTCTTTCCCCAAGTCCATCATAAGTTGTTTTGTGTCAGTTCTCTTCATGGTCTTGCGATGTCTGAAAGATATGGAAGAAAAATTGAGTTATGCTTTTGGTGGAAATGTCGTAATGTAAAAAGGAAGAAGGAATGAAAAGTTTTTTGTTGATGCCATGGCAATAAAGTTTTGTTTTCTAAAGACTTTTTGTGGTGCTATATGCTGCCAAGTATGATACTTCATCTCAGTAACTTGCTTTCTCTAGAAGCTGAAGGAGAAGTACAAGTTTGCATATGGATTACATGGTAGTGATCCAGTGAACAGACATAAAGCACAACATCAGCAACATTTTCCTTGTGTAACAAGATCAATGTGAATCAATAGGCGTGTCAAAAAACAACAACATTTTTAATTGAAAAAAAATGAGAGATATCCAAGGACATCTGAGTGTCACAGACATGCAGTACTGGATCATGTTATTACATAATTACGTGTTAATACCAAATGGTAGGTGATTGGCTGAAATCAAACTGGTGATCAGAGGGCAAGTACTGAGACACATGCAGAATAGGGTAATGCAATATCTCTACAACTGACACTTTGTGCAATTTTGAAACCCCTTTGCAAATGCTCCCCCTCTATGGCTGGAGAATGTTGCTTTGGATCAGGATGTAAAGTGATTGTTGGCTTTCTGTCACTTACTGCTGGATTGCTGCTGAACACTTTTGATTTGTTCTGTTCATTCAGCATGTCAGAGACTTGTCTGTCAGCCACTCATGCTTGAACTTGTTTGTTAAGGACTTTTCAGCCTTTTGGTGTCTGTGGAGATCTTTTGGCAAGTGGGCTGATAGTGAAGAAGTTCAATACAATACAGTGTGATAAACTTTGTTTATAAGGAGTACCACTTAAAATTTAAAAAGACTGATAATCCTGTGGCCTTCTAAAAATCAACAAAGTAATATACATGAAGAATACACAATGTTGAAGAAGTATCTAGATGTGTAGAAGACTGTACAATAACATTTTTTAAAAATTGCAATGAGTTAAAATTTGTATATAGGTAGATGAAATATTTAAATTAGTATTTTAAAAGTGGTTTTTACTCTTTGTATTTATGATCTTTCAGGTTAATTGTCAAAGGATTGCTGTCATTTTCTGTATGCTTTCTCAGTCTCTTTCCGTGTATAAGCATTAATTTTGTTTTTTTTTACATTAATACACATTTTTTCCATATTTGACCATGGCTGAATATTTTCTAAGTCTTCTTGAAGCTTATTCCTTACCGATGGAATGTTAATCCAGTTGGAGTGAGATGTTTATGTACCATTGTGAGTAGAGACCACCTGGCAGCAGGAATGGAAACTCGTCATGGTTTCATGGCACACAGAGACCTACTATAAGCAAACTTTAAGTTAGGAAAAGTGGCAATCATCTAAGTCATGGTTCTTGCCACAGAGGTTGCAAAGACTGGTGGAGTTATCGGAGCTTATCCTTTGGTCAGCAGGTACTTGCATTTCATGGCTAGAGAAGCAATGCAGAATGTGAGAACAGCCCTCAGAGGTTTGCTTTTGCCAAGCCTTTGTGGAAATGATAAGGTTGATCCATTGAGCTATCTCTGCACAGAGGGCTTCTCCTGAGGAGACTGGTTCACTTGCAGTGCTTGTCTCAGCATTCACAAATTTTATGAAGTCTGCAATGACGGGAATCTCTCCTTTAGACATCCTTATTCTAGTGGCTTCACTACACTACCTGTCCTTGCTTGCCACCATGCTCTGCAAATGATGTAGATGACTGAAGATTTATTGGAAGGTTAGCATTGTTATGGTAAGAAATACAGAAAATTTGTCTAGAGCCTTTTTGTTGCCAGTCCATGTAATGGGCCACTCATTGATCTTCTTCAGGTAGGCATATGATGTTCTGTAAGGTCTCCATACTTTTTCTCTAAGGAGCATCTTTGCTTCTAGATAACCACTGTCTTGATCCACTTGAAGACATCCTTTCACAAGCTTAAAATCAGTTCTCCTTCTAGGTGCTGCTTTAAGTTCTGTAAGGATGCAGCATTTGAACTGAATTTTGCTTATATTTGTGGTTCCTACAATGTAGCACTGCATGAAGGTTGAAATTCCAGGGGATCACTAGTAAACTCACTTAGTGTCAAGCGTGGGGAGCAGACTCTGGTGCTGTTGTTCCACTAGTAGCTCTATTAGCCTATTTTGCTAATGAAGTGCATCATAAAACTCCATTGGCATTGTATTTGGCCACGCATCAGAGCTGGAAAACTCAGAGGCAAATGGATTCAAGCTGAGATGTTGCTGCATTGGCTTAGGAGGTACTCTAGGTTGGTCATAATAATCTGGATTAGAGCTGACACCCGTGGCAGTTTTTGAAGGTATTCTTAAAGTGGTGTATGTACTTAAAACTACATGAAAGAAGACCCAGAAATTGAAGATGGCTGAGAATGAAAGACCTCTGGGGAAAGTTTAGGTTGATGGCTTGAATCCTCTCTCACATTCTCTGGAGCTTCTTTTGCATGTTCAGTCCATTGTACCATTTTCTTGGTGAAATCATTGATTCTGTCACTCTGTTTGGTATACCAGTCACTAGCTACACTTTGATCAATTTCACTTTCAAGATTGTCCAACAGTACAGCAACACATCTTTAAAGCTTCTCCATGGTGCTACAAACTTCGCTGAGCTTGTTTTCAATGACATCCACATTTTCTTCAATGCATATCAAAGATTCCATCTGGTTAATCTGCCAAGTAATTCTCCTTCCGATAGCCTAACAATTTTTCCATCAAATGTGGGAAATGAAGGTCTTTCCTTTTTCAGTACACTGCCTCTGTCTTAATACACCTTGTGGGGCTTCAAAAAATTCTAAACAGTTGCCTTCCATTTGTCTCCAATGGTTTCTAAATTTACTTTTCTCAAACAAATTTGCAACATTTCAATGAAATATTGGGGCCAAAATCACTCATACTTGTTCATCACACACACCTAATTATTCTTTGATAAATGAAATATACTAAAGTATTGAAGCAAGTGTAAAAATTGGAGCAAAATGAACATTTAAAGTGGTTGCTTAATAAAATAACAAATATCAAGGCTCTACAATCATACTTAAAGAAATTGACCAATGAGAAAACAAAATAAAGGACAACAAAGACACTTGCAAATGTTGTAAGAGATCCTGGCTGGTTAAAGAGATTATAAAATGATGAAGGAAACAGTGGCATAGTGCAATATAAACTAGTAGTAACCACAGGTTAGAAAGTGCGGGCCTGAATGCAATTGAATAGCTTTTGTTCAAGATGTTGGGAATGGGCAGAGAATTAGTAATGTGACCATGTGTATTTTGAAAGTGCAAAATACACGTCTACCTTTATAGATATTTTGGGCAGACTTGTACCCAGTCTCTTCTCACCATTTGCTTATAGGGAGCGCGCCAAGAGATATGGGCACGCGGACTTCCAGAGTGCAAAAGTAATGACTGGGTACAAGTCTGTATTTTGCCTGAAGTCGTCTACATGTTGTTGAGTTGCTGCTGAATAAGTGACATAATTTTTTGGTAGAACACAATATTTATTGAAAAGTAGAAACATCAACATAAGATTTACTGTAATAAAGGTTTTAAGAACTGCAAACATGAACGGGTTCTAATCCAGTAGTAACATAATGTTATTGTAATAAAAGTTTTGAGAACTGCAAATGTCAATTGTTTCCAAAAAGTTGAACATACATTTTAGTGTCAAAAAGTTTGAATAACTGCAACGTCAACGGGTCTTAATCGATTATAACCATAAGTTTCATTTAATAAAGGTTTGTAAAACTTCAAATGCCAGTGGGTTGTAAAATGTCCAACATTGAACATAAGTTTCATTGAAATGAAAGTTTCAAGGAATGTAAATGGGTTCTAATGAATTATTGACAAATGTATTACTGTAATAAGTTTCGAGAACTGCAAATGTCAATGGGCTCTTTAAAGTCCAACATAAACATTAGTTTTGATCAGTTGCAAGATCCAGGGGTACAAATGCGTAACATTAGGGAAAAACTAGCAACTTCATAAAATTACCAAAAAATCATCAAAACATAGATTATTCATAAACTTTTATTGTAAGAACTACTTTTTGAGAAAATATTTGATGTTATCTGTTAAATTATCCTCATTACTTAATACCCAGAATGCATAGCAGGCGTGGTCATATATTCTATTTACACATTTGCAGGCTTAAATTCACGATTCTGTTTAGAAATAACACAGTTTTATTTACATAACTAAAAAAAGACATAATTTCCTCATGCTGGTTGGGTAAAAGCTGGAATAATACATTTCTACGCCTATTTAATTTCTTGAGTTCTCCACAGATAGTCCTGACAGTGTTTGCATACACAATAGCTTGTTTATTGTCAAGCTTGTAGGTCATGTCTATAATATTGTCCCTTAGGAAAAAGTTACCCTTGAAGACAAAGGAACCTTTCTGATAAGCAGCACTATAGTCATCAACTTCATCTTCACCCAAAATTATGGCACCACTGCTTGTAACTTTGAAGAGGTAGTAATCATATATGGCGTCATCAGCTGCTGCAATGGCGACAGTACTTCCTTCTTCAACAAGATCAGTGAGTGCATTGACTGTTTTACTGACATTGACTGAGTCTTGATTCTGCCTTGTGACTGCAACATCTCCTTCTCTTGACATCTCAACCTCTCTCCACTTATCAACATACTCCTCATTTTCACAGTCCATGTCAGTTAAACAACCAATGCACATACAGCTTCTTAGCCTTGTCTTCACCTTACATTGCTGAGAAGTTGTTTTTACAGAGTGGATTTTTCTAATCCCTTTTAGCTCTTTAAAAGTGCGGCCAATTCTGTTTCTGTCAACAGCTCCTTCTCCATTTAGTGGAATGTAGAAGTATACTCTCTTGTTTAAGGTGGTTTTGCTGTTGGTTGAAGATGGCAAAGAGAACTTGTCCTTCAGATACTCATAGAGCTCCTTTGCAGACTTGATGGATGCTTCTCTTCGAATCACAGCAAGAGTAGCACGTTGTTTGACATTAGCACCTGCTGCATCTTGCTCTCCTTTTGCATGAGAGGTTTCAAAGAAATGCCGGTCCACCTGACACCCAAAGTCAGACAAAGAACATGACAAATCACCAAAAGTGTGCTTAGATTTGTATTGTCCAGCACACCCATCAGTGAATTCATGAACTTTGTCTACTTTCACTTTGACCTCATTCCTAAGGTACGTCAGTATTAGGCCTTGGGTGTGGTGTACAAAATGGTAGTCTTGAGTGTTGTCTTCTGAAAGGGCAAAGATGTGCTCTTTGATGAGGACAGGGTCTTGTTCTGTACTTGCTTTGCCATCAATGTCAATATCAGCATGGCGATAGACAATTGACACATGAATGCTGACTTTCACAGGATCGAAATACTCTGATTGAATTTCATCTTGTGATCTGCAAGTGTAATTCTCAGAAAAATCATGCACACAGATGATATGGTTGAGAGGCAGGTTTGTCATTAAATGATCAAACTGTTCTTTTTTGCCATTTGGCCATAAATGAATGGTAGGGATAATCTTTCAGGAGTTGCTGGAAATAGTCAAACATCTCTTTGACAGGAGTTTCTTTTTGGACCAAGTGGATTTTCCTTTTTTCCTCGCCATTGTTATCTTTGTACGTTATGTATTCATATCGTTTCCACTTGACTTCAGTTTCAGACATTTCTTCAGCTGCTGTCTTGAAGTTCTTCACCCCACACTTGTCACAGCTCCTTGTCAGGCAGTCTAGAGAGGAATAGCTGGAGTCTTCTGGCTTTTCACACAATGTGGATTCCACAGCTTCAGTGAGAAAATTAAAGGCTTGAACTTCATTATTTTGTATGGATTTTCGATATTTCATGCAAGAATCAAATACAATTTTGCATTCTACATGCTTCCTACACAAGCAAGATTGTCTATCTCTCTCTCTAGCTCCAGTAACAAAGAAAGGCTTCAACTGCTCAAATCTTCGTTGTTTCACTTTTATGTCGGGATGTAGCTCCTGGAATTCTTTGAAACACTCTGTTTGAGTCTTTTCAAGGATATGCTTTGCGTGCTCCACATACTCCTTTTTGCCAATTCGTTGCCGCATCTTGTCTCTTTTGGATCCAGTGGGTCGACTTGCTTGTAGGGTCCAAAAATCGTAGATAACACGCTTATCTTCTTCTTTAATCGCGTCACACCTGACATTTCTTTTTGTGCTCAACCAGCAGGCCTCATCACCCTTCAAAACTCTTTCTCTATGTTTGATAGCTTTGGACACCTGGCTTCTTTTTACTCCCATCATCTTGGCAATCCGTGTTTGGTGCTTGTTTTTTTTGACAGAAGATCCAAAAGCCAAAGAGCGCGTACAGTTATAAGCTGCTCTTTCATCAGTCGACTTAGCTTTTTTGACTTTGGACAATCCTTCTGCCAAATCTTCTACCAAACACTCCATTGCTTCGATATTTTGTTGCTCCTCAACTGGTCTCACGAACTTCTTTTTTTCAAGAATCTTCCTTGTGCGAGGAGTACTTGCAAGGTTTTGAAGAATTTCAGCCTTTTTTGCGGGGGTTTGAGGTAAGGCAGGGGACACCTTGTCCTTTGCACGTTTTTTTTTTGCCATCCTTGAACTAAAAGCTGGTGTGGTGATGTTGACTTCAGGTTTCGGTTGCGCAAATGATGACTCTTTTCTATTCTGACGAAGTTTTCGAACCCTTTCTCGAGTTTGCTGTCGCTTTTTCTCTTCCCTCTCTTTTTTCTCTTTGCTTCAAAACCTTCTTCTTGGTAGCTGATGCAGCATTCCGCTCACGGTTGGCTCTTTTGTCATCAGCCTTTTGTGCAGATGTGCGTGTTTTCACTGCGGCGACTGTCGCGTTTTTTTTTTGCTTCTTCGAAGCAAGCGCATTCTTTCTCTTGCTTTTTGTGCAAGAACTTCTTTGTTTCTTTCATAGTATTCCCTTTGTTGTTTAAGCTTTTTCTTCTTTTTTTTTTCTCCATTGATCAGCAGAATATTTTTTGTTTTCCATTGAATATTTCGCAAGCGAAGCGTGTAAATTCTCGACGGAAGAAGTCACGCTAGGGAAGTCACGTTCTCTAGTAATTTCCAGTCTCAAACGATCGTTTGTTCATGGGTGTATATCAATTAATTGTTGTATACCCCCTCTAGATGTAATGTACAAGGTTGTTGTAAGCGAGGAAGAAGCGAAGTTTAGATGCGAAGATTTCTAAAACTGCCACTATTTTGCGCGTGTAAACTGATACACCAATGCAAACAATACTGTTCCAAGATCGAATATGTTCGCGATTCAAAAAAGACATAAATTTAGATGTTAAATTGAGTTAGATTCGTGAACATTTGGTACCGATAGAAAGTTTAGAATTTGAGAATGACAGATCTGCTAGTTGAAGAGCAATTTCATTTTAAGCGCGGCTATCACAGACCTTTTTGGAGATGAGGATAAATAATTTTAAGGTAAATTTTCTATGCATTTTATGTGTTCGCGATTCAGACTTTTTGGATTTTTTACGCTGTCTTTGAATTAAATGGAATAAAAATTTGTATACAGAAAATAAATCATCTGAGAATTATTGTATGTATTTTTTTAAACTGATTTGAGCTTTTTTTGCGACAAAATCTTGGTGACTATGAAGTATAGTACAATATTGTATAAACAGCGTTACATGTTCGGTCGCCGAGAAAATTGTTTCGTAGCGCGAATATTACAATTCAGTGTTCCAATTTTAACTATTTTATTGAAAAGTCTATGTTTCTAGTGTATTTCTAAGTCAAAATTATTTTGAAATTTTAAATTTTTAAGTAAGAAATTTTTGAATATGTTTGATGCTTTGTCAGATTATGTTACGCGTTACATAAGAATTCGCCTCACTTTTCTGAATACTAAAATCCATAAAAAAATAAATTCTTCCTCTATTACCACGATTTTTGGTTTAATACAAAGAGGTTAACTATATCTAACAGGATATATAAGTTTTAAAGTGTTTTGTTTGAAATATATATTTTTTTGCTCAATATGGTTTTCGTAAACATGCTTTGCCACCCTGGATCGTGCTACTGATCTTTGTTGTAACAAAAGTTTCAATTAATGTGGACGGGTGTATTCTAAAACATCCAGTATAAAGTTTGATGTAGAATCTATTAGTAATTTCACATTTTCCAGGTTAAGTAGTCCTTCTTTGAGTTCATCTGTTGTGTTGTTGCATGACAGATCTACTTTGTTGATCAACATTTTCATGACGTCCGTAAAGGCTGTCAGCCAGACATCTTTACCATCGATTTGTGCACATAAATGTGCAGACATGCCCTTTTCACATGCTTTGACATTTTGACAGGTGCCACAACTAGCACAAGTAATGACTTTGCAATCAACAGCATATGGCATTTTCTTTTTGCAGTTTGGAATCTGACAAACCATGAAGGTGTTTACTTTATCTGTGAATTTAAATTCCTCTACTGTTATTGTCTTTTTAATGTTGGTTAACAACCCTTTTCCTTTTATGTCTTTCAGTAGGGTATCTATCGGAGTGAACGTGGTTTCTGTTGTTGTTCCAAGGTGCGTCTTCCCATTGAAGTTTTTGACACTGAGATTCTTTATGTCATAGCTTTGTCCAGTGGTCAACGCTGTAATAGTGTCATCCCAAAGATGGATGATGGTACTGCCTGTTTTGTCTTCGAGAACACAGTCTTCTTTTACCCTCCCTTTTGAACCATTTCTTTTGACAAGTTCTTTTGGCTCCAAAGAACCCATTGTTAAGGTTGCCTTTACGTTCACTCTTTGGTTTCGTGTTAGTTTGTCAAGCTGTTGTAATGTAATATCTGTGGCAGATGAGTCAAGGAGGTTGGCTGATGATGAAGTGCCTGCAGGAGAATGCTCTTTGCATGGATCAAAATTGACATCACTTGAATTAGCTTTAATGAGTGAGGTGTACTGGTTTATGAAGATTTGGCCATCATCTTCCCTGGCACTCAATATTTTAGAAGGTGACTTTGTTTTCTCAAAGTGAATAAAGTGCTGGTGGGTTTTCTGGTCAAAGCCGATGACTTTAGCAAACTTATCTGGAGATGTTTGGAAGCTAAATGTATAGTAATCTGTACCATATTTTCCTTTTTTCATCGGTGACACTGAGTGCACAAAACCAGGTGGAGTATCTGTAAAAAGAAACACAAAAAACAGAACTGAAGTAAATGAAATTGGAAGATTATAAATGGAAAATTTAGTTTACATATTCTTGTGAAGTGGGAAAATAACAATAAGAGTACAAACCTTTTCGCTTTGATGCCATGGATCTGTGATTGTAAAAGCACTGAAAAAAAAAAATCAAAATTCCAATTATTATGCACCAGTTGTACTAATGATTGCTTGGTTTGAGTAATTTATATACTTTGCTTCTCAGAAAGTTGTCGTTGTATAATAATGGTTATAATAAACTTATTATATTTTACAATTTATTTACATGCAAAAAGTTGTTTGTTTAGTGTATCATGAGAAAAGGAGTGAAATTTCAGTCAGTTACTTGCCAATAATCTTGCCAATATACTCAGTTTTAGGATTACTTTGAACAAGGCAGTGTGACTTACTGTATGTTGATGTTGTTCATTAATAGTATAGGTAGATGTATATTAAATATTATGAATTGGATGATGAAGTTAATACATTGGTTTGTAGTTGAGTTTAGTGAATGGAATTTAAGGTGCTCTTCTTGTAGCCTGAACTGGAAGTTTGATGCATTCTTTATAGTCTTCAAACGTTCAAATGACATTGGCTCAATAACACAAGAATCTAGTGTTTTCACCCTACTGATTGCAACATATGTCATGCCTGCTGTTCGTTCTTGTGGACCAATATCTATCCAAGCTTTTTCTAGAGTAAGTCCCTGGCTTTTGTGTATTGTTGTAGCCCAGGCAAGCCTTAAAGGTAATTGCTGTCTTTCATGAAAAGTATCAAGTGAATGAGATGTTACTGTGATAGGGCACACTGGCACACATTTTGATAGTAACTCAGTAAATGATGGCCCTGTATAATAGTCAAATTTAACCATAACTGCTATTGGTAAATCTGGCGGTGAGTGATTTTCGGCAAATATGATGTCTACAACTTTTCCAGTAGCTCCATTACACAGTCCAACTTCTGGCCATAACTTCATTGTAAGCATTACGGAAGCATGTCTGGCAAGAAATAAGATAGGTACTAATCCAGACATTTCGTCAGAAGGTAATGATTTAGCAGTGGAAGATGAATGGCGAGCTTGAATGCAAGCTACTGGTTCAGCGGTTCTTGGTGATTGTACGCAGCAACATCATCGTTACCGTAAAATAATTTTATAGCATCGTCAAATTCATTTAGATTTGCAACCAGTGATGGTTGACGAGATAAAAGAAGTTGCCAGTCTTGTTCAGTAGAATCACCAGTGCAAAGACGCATCAATAAATTTTTAAAGGCAAGGTGCATAGCACTGGAGCCCTGTACCCTCTGATTGGCAGATAATCTTACTACTTTATCGAACATTAAATATGCAATGTTGCCTTGTTCGCCGATAGGTCTTGTGGGCTTTGTATGATATAAAGGTTTGTCTGCAACAGGTGGTAACTGTGCTGGATCGCCTACCAAAATAATCGATTTTCCCCCCAAAATTTCACCATGTAGTCCAGTTGCTTGCCTGCATCGTTTGTCAATCCAGCCAAGCACTGTCTGGCCGAGCATAGAATACTCATCGATTAAGATATATTTAACATCATGTAACCGGTCTTGCAACCTTGAAAGAGACTGTCCTTTAAGATCATTGTTACCTCTTGGACCAACAGGTAAATTTAATACTGAATGAATTGTTTTGCCATTGATATTGAATGATGCCTTTCCAGTAGTGGCAGTCACAATGCAAGATTGCTGTAGTAGAGATCTTAAAGCACTTAGAAGGTAACTTTTGCCAGTTCCTGCAAATCCATTTATTATTAAAAGTAAGGGTGGTTCTTGGCTTGGGCTTTCGAAGTGTTCTTTAACTAAATTGTATGCAAATGCCTGCATATCACTGAAAGTATTGATGTTTATTTTGTTGAAAGGGTTATTTGAAGTTTGATAAATATATGTTTGCTTTTGAGAAATTATCCAGGATGGCATTTCAGCTATTTGTTGTGAAATATATGGGTAAGAGGTTGTCTGCCAATTATGTAGCGAGGAAGCTTCAGGATCACTTGAATTGTTTGAAATAGAAAAGTCTGCTAAAATCATCCATTCTTCACGTTGCTCTGATTCAGTATACTCTTCAGTATGTAAATCAGAATCAGAATATTCCTGTAAACCTTCAAGTTTGTCATGCCAATCAGGAACATAGCTTTGGGCATACTCTGACTGCAAGAATGTTTTCCACTGACTAATGAATAGTTCATCAAGCCAAAATTGGGGCTTTTTATGCTTGAAGAATATGTAGGAAAAACCCTTGGAATTAGGTTTTTAGGCTGAGCAACCAATTTGCCAGAAACGAGTTTGTACTTTGTTGCAAACTCAAGAAAGTTCATATTTGTCAAGTTGCATTTTAAATCTGCTTGATATTTGTCTCGTTGAGCATATGTATCAAGTAAGCTAGCTGTTGTTACTTCTTCATTGGGTGCATCAGACAGGTTAAGTCTATGGGAGCCATTCAAGTTCACAGGAAATACTATGAAGGATGAGCTGACAAAATTAAGAGAAAGCAAATGGTGCATTGTTTCCTGTGCAGAAAAATCTCTCTGACCTAGTGTTTTCATGACAGTTTTCTATATCATTGTTGTGGCATCGGCAGTTGACTGACAGTTGTGAACAATAGCACTGAATGTGTTCTTAAGCAGGTGCGATTTTGTTTCACTCTTTGCTGCATACTTTGCCAGATACTCAACACAGGCCTGGTAATCTACAACAAGTTGAATATCACAGTTTGCACGCCAGCCTTGAAGCTGAAGTCGTTGGTGACTGTTAAGTCTAGAGTCATTCCTTTTAGTTACAACTTGTATTTTATATTTTGGTGTGTTATCCTTGGAATGAATAAGTTCAAATTGTAATGAGGTTTTTTCATTATGTTGAAATGGGAAATTAAACCTACATTTGGGTTCTTTTTCATTTCCTTTTTTTCTTAAACAATAGCTGGTACTGCATCGAGTGTGCCTCTGAATCATGTTTAATAAATCGATGTAGTCATTGTCAGATTCTTTAATATCATTATAGTTTTTTTGACATGGATGAATAATTGGTTTTATCCAATTGCCTTCATCTGGAGGATCTGGGTTACAAGTAGAGAGAATCCAATCATAATACTGGCAGATTTTTTCACTAGCTATTTTCCCATTAATTACAGTTAAACTGTCAGGTGTACTTTCATCTTCAGAAACATCTGCCAAGTATCCTTTTAGTGCAGTGTCACTCAATTTGCACAAATTTGGATCATTGTTTAATTTTGCAACACCGTGACAATGAATACTAACTCTGGACTGATATTCGAATCTATACCAATGCCATTTGGCATCAAGTGTGTTATATAACCAATGTTTAATAAAGCTCTTTAACCGTTCTGTATAGAACCAATCAACTATGTGAGGGTTATCAATGACATTCTGGCGTCTTACATCATGAGAATTCTCATTGCCATTTGTATTACAGGTATTTTGAAAAAGGTCATGTAATTGTGGCCAGTGCATATCTGCTGAGGAAAATGTGAAAAAGAAAGTTGGAGGACCCACATGTTGGATGATTGCTTTTAAATCTTCTTTTGCCTTAAACCAATAGGCATCTGAACCAGTTATATTGGTGATGTACCGTGACAATTTTGTCATCAAAAGATTGCTTTGATTATTTGTAATCATATCTCTTAACTCTTGCAATGTTAAATGTTTTTCTCCTGGATTTTGCTTAAAAAACATTCCAGTTTGTTGAAGAATTTGTTTACGTTGAATCATATTTAAAGCCCAGTTAGAAAATCTTGGATGATTTATTATCTTTTTTCTCTCCAAATTTAATAAGGTGTTTGATCTTTTCCTTAAGTGTAACATTTTTTAACAGGGACGGGTTTGTTGGATCCCCTTTACTATCTGGAAATAGTGTTGGGAATGCCAGTGTAGCCAAAAATGCGGTGGTAAATTCATTTAAAGGATTGTCGCTTGAACTTGGCCAGTCAATATGACCTTGTAAAACTTGCTGATTTATTGAATGTTTTTCCTGTTGTTGGCTATTATTTATTGGAAGAAAGCTTGAAGTATCGACATTTGTAGTATAAACATTGTCGTCTTCTTCATAAACAGGGCCACGATCTGGACCACAGTTAAGGGTGTCATCAATAACTTTCTCTTCTGTTTGTATGGAAAGAAGTTGTTGGGGTACTTCATTCTCTGGTAAAGATACAAGTGCTTGATAATTTATTTCAATATCCGAATAAAGTGGATTGTGTCTTGAAAGCCAATGTATTGCATCTGATACAACTTGTCTTCTTACAACAAGATCTTTAAAATCGTTTCCTTTCCCCTTCTTCCGGACAACAATAACAGGTAAATCTTTAGGATATCTTGGGAGAGAATGTGCCAGTTCCCTAATGTTTTTTGGTATATTTATACAATGCCCTGAGAAGCCTCTTTGTCCTCCTGGTTTGATATAAATATGAATAATGGGAAGAGCATGAGCTATTAGCATTTCTTCCACTTGTGTTGAACCACTTAGGGTGCGTTTCTTTAAAAAAATCCAAGATTGGATTCTTAATCCGAGATCATGCGGATTCGTTATTTTTAAAGACACGAAAAATCCGAAAATGGATTTTTTTTTCAATTAGCCGTAACGACCCCAGCATGCAGTTCGCGTGTTTTGGGGGGAGTTTTCAAAATGGCGGAAAGTTTTGGTTTGATGTTTGAACTGTTCGAAGAAGTCCTTGCCGATGACCTTGAACAACAACAGGTTCTTTTAGGAGCTCGTCCGAAAAGAACACGTTCGCACAAAGAATTTTTACGAAATAACCGTACCTAGTTACATACCGTAGGACTTCCGAAGTCACTTCCGCATGTCACGGCATACAGTTACAGTTCTCGAACATTTGCTTTCGGTCCACGGCGACTTACCTCAATACACCGGCGATAGAGGAAGACCACCGGTCGAGTTAAGAAAGCAAATCCTTATTACGCTGTGGATTCTTGGGAATCCAGAATGTTTACGCTCTGTTGCCGATCGATTTGATGTTTGCGGGGCAACTGCGTACAGAGTCTACAGACGAGTTTGCAAAGCAATAGTGAGGAACTTAATGGATGAGTTTATCAAGTTTCCAACTGGTCTAAAAGCCCAAGCGGTGATGGAGGCCTTTGAAGAGAAAAAAAGGGTTTTCCGGTGTTTTGGGGGCTATTGATGGCACCCACATACCAATCAAAGCACCACATAACAATCATGAACAATACATAAATCGCAAAGGTTTCTTTTCCGTCCAACTACAAGTCATTTGTGACCCGGATTTATTCATAACCGATGTTTTCTGTGGTTACCCTGGTTCAGTACACGATGCTCGCGTGTTTCGTAATTCTCCGATCTGCCGAGAAGTTGAAGTGAACCCAGACAATTATTTTCCTGGCAACTCCCACATTTTGGGAGACGCAGCCTCCTTGAAGAGGTGGCTGTTGACCCCATTTCGAGACAACGGACGTTTGACTGCTCAACAAAGACGTTACAATACTGCCCACAGTTCCACCAGAATGGTGGTTGAGAGGTCCATAGAGCTTTTTAAGAACAGGTTTAGGAAGCTAAAAACAATGATGGATGTTGACAAAATTGAGGACATACCGGAAATTATTGTATCCTCTTGCATCTTACACAACATTTGCATTATTGAAGATGACATCGATGATTTTTTAGATGACTCTAATGATGATGATGACAATGATGACAATGATGATGACATCTTTCCACCAGGTGTAGGAGCAGTTGATAAGAGAAACATGATAATGAGACTGATCCCATAAACCTAGCATTTATAAGTGGTTTATGTATTGATACCTTTTGTACTGTGGTGTTTTCATGAACACTTCTTTCATAGGTGGTGTATGTCATTCATAAAGTTTATACTGTATAATAGTCTTTTTGCTATAAATATCAATATTTTATTTGTTTTTAAAAGTATATAAGAAAATAGTAGAGCCATGTACATGGATCACTTTATACTACCTGAAACATTTATGGTGTTGCTTGAAAGGTAAACTTTCAACACAAATGTAACAGCCTAATACTCTGACAGTCCAGGTTGCTTGTGTCACGCACAGAAAGGAGGAAGTGCGTGACACAAGTGATCTGAAGCATCTGAGAATCAGGCTAAAAAAAAGTAAAGGATATAAATAATATCAAAACCAGTTTAGTTAGGCCCTCTCACCTAATGTTGCTGTTGTAGTTCCTTGTATGTATGTGATAAAAAAACATACAACTTGCAATAATACTGTTAACATGTATGATATAATAAACTTTTAGATAACTCAATACTGACAACAAACTCAGGTTTACTGTATCTATGTTCATGTTTGTGGTCAAATAATCCCATGTTCTGCAACACAATAAAAAATTATGGAATCAAGGTTACTCTTTGTTCAATGATTTTTCAAAAACATTCAAAAATCGGCCGATGAGTGCCATGCGTTCATTGTGCATATTTTCAAACTTTTTAATCTTTTCCTTTTCTTCCTCTTTCCTGTCTTGTGTAAATTCCTTAAAGAGCCCAACGAGGTCTTCTCTTTTCTTCCGCTCTAGTAACTTCTTTTTCTTTGCTTTTGTAACCACAGGCTCCTGTGTCACTACCTGTGGAACTCAATGTGGAACTGGAATTTTTAACACTCTTGACTGCATCTTTGCTCCGTTTACCATCAATGTTGCTGCACAATGTTTTTGGAGCGATGGCATCATCTTTCGAAAATATTTCGTGAAGTTCGTCATAGAAGTTGCATTTCTTTCGGTCATTTCCGCTGACTTTGTTGTGATCAACACAAGCAACATAACTTCTCTTCAGATTTTTCAATTTTCGTCTCACACGCCTTGGCATTAAAGAACACTCCGTTCTTCTTTAATTCTTCGCTGATTTCTTCCCACAGGGACTTGTTCTTTTTGTTTATATCTTTAAATCGTTCTCTGCGTTCGACATAGCAGGAAATTAACAACAGCACATCAGCTCTAGACCAGCGTACAAGAGCTCTCGATTCGCCTTCGGTGCCTTCACGCGACTGACTGAACGCGGGCTGCAGCTGTTTCCAAAGAAGAAAAAAACTGGACCAGGCTGAGGTGATACTGATCTGACTGTTTCATGGCTGAACTGTGATGCCTGCGGTGGTGGAAACATGAACTGAGGAAGATAAGGTTGAATGCCCGGTTGAACGTGGCTTTCGTTCCACTGATATTCTGGATATTCACCTGCAGATAAACTGTCGTCCAATATTGTCCTGTAGATAGAAATAAAAGATGCCAAGACGCATCAAACATCCGGAAAATTTATAAAAATACGTACAGGACGGAAAATTTCGGTGAAACTACACAAAAAACTCACCTTGTTTATTCGCCATGGCCGGCAGCAGCTAATATTTACAACAAAATGGCGGGAATGTGGCGGATTTTAAGAAGACGACCGCTTGCCAAACGTACTGCTTTTTGTATCCGTGCAATAAAGAAACGCACGGATCATGAATCCTAAAAATCCGGATTTAGATTTGATCTAATGAATCCACTCGGAGTGTGGATTCTATAGATTCAAAATCCATTTTCGGATTTTATTAAAGAAACGCAAAATCCGTTTTTGGATTCAAGAATCCGGATTTGGATTTTTTTAAAGAAACGCACCCTTAGTTCTTTTTGTACAGCTGAAGGCACCATAAGGTTTTCAGTTGAAAATGTCTTTACAATATCCTATTCTCTGGGGCATCTTGTGCACTGATAATTATTTATGCATTTAGGAGTGGACTTTAATGGCCACACTTCAAAACAAGTTATGCATTGGTAAATAGTATAATTGTTTGAATTATGAAATTTTGATATGTTCTCCTTTGCCCATGGTTGCTCATGTAAAGGACCTAAATTTTCTGTATAGCAGTTTGATAAATATTGTTCTTTTGAAACTGTTACATTAGGAAGTGATGGTCTAATGCATACTTTCTTTTTTCCAAGAGTTTTTTTATTTTCTTTATATCTGTGTCGTTTTGCTTCTAGTCTCTCTTTGTGCTGAAGTTCTGTTTCAGATAATTTGAATTTTAGATATCTAAGAGCATTTGTATTTCTACCGTGTGGCACTGTAGAAACATAATGTAAATCCTCTATGTACCCAACAAACAATACTTTTGTTATTTCCCAGTCACCAGATGGAGTAATTGTTGATCCTTCTGGGCATGAGAGCCTTGACATAATTATATGAATGACACAATGAAGTTGATTGGCTACAGCCTGAATAATAATATTATCACACCATGTCCCAGGAGTGGTCATTCTTTGCAAATGCATTTGCCATGAATGCTCTGATACACTTTCCACAAACAACTCAGGATGTTCTTGAAGATATTTAACACCTGCTTGCCTTATTTCAATATGAAAGTCAGGAGAACCATAATACTGATGAGATACTGATCGGAAAAAGCAATCTCCACAGCCTCCAACATCAAATGGCTGTAAACCCTTCTGTAATAGTCTATTAATCAAACGATCATAGGAGCTCTCTGCAGTATCAATCTGATTTGACTGGCTAATTGTAGGATTCATACCACCAGAAAGAAACAAACTGTTTTCTCACTACAATACTTTTATTTCTAATATCTCTTTTAAGATAAAATGGCAAAAACGAACGATAAAATCCGACGTTTCGGAGTAGTCACGACTCCCTTATCAAGGTAAAAGTTTAAAACATGCAAATAACAGTATTTAAGCGATGTGGCGCGAAAAATTAACATAATAGGTGCGAAGATTATACAAATACTTTCGCACGAATAGAGTCCGATTGCACGTTCAGGTTTGGCTTTAAAGTTCTTATATGAAGCATTTCGTACAATAAGCAGTCAAATTTGAAGTAATGCATTTCGGAAGACATTGGAACCTTTTGTTTTAAAAGAATTTTTAAATGTTTTCTTTTCTTTCTATGATAATACAACCGCACTAATTTCGTTTTAGGAATTCTAGAAGGTTCTCTGTTTCTCTTCCTGCGATGGGATTGCTGCAACGGTGTTCTCTGGACTGAGCAACCAACATGCCTTTAAATACTCTGTTCTTCTGGGCGCTTAAATTGCATGGAAGCACACATTTACTTTCCAAAGGAACAGAACTATACTTTCTTAGCAATAGTGGCAATGCTAAGATAATAATTGGACTCCATTTTGTTCGCTGTGATAATTTTTGTTTAGGCACTGCGTTTGGTTGAATAATTACAAGCTTAGCTGATCTGAATTCTGACATTTGTGGTGACCAAACTGAGTCAAATTTTGGGAAAACTGTACTCCATTTTGTTACCCGTGATAGTTCTAGTTTAGGCTCTGCGTTTGGTTGAATTCGTGGTGACCAAAACGGGTCAAATTTTGGCAAAACTGTGCCGTCGTTTGATTCGACTCGTTTGCATGGTGACCAAACTGGGTCAAGAGGCCAAAAAGTCAGTTTGCCTTTTGCGCTTTGAGATAAACGCGACATCTGCGGCAGGAGGCTTGGAAAACTTCACCATGCTTTCCGTACAGACAGTGTTTTATTCTTCAGCTCTGTGATCGTGAAGCGAAACATGTCAAAGGGCTCCTTCAAAAAGTGAAAGTGGTTTACAAGAAGTTTTAACCGCCCAGAACAGTAATCAGTATTAAATATAACATAACTAACCTTACCTTCACAGCTACAAAAATTCAAATCCCCAGCAAATGGTCCAGTTGCGCTAAAAATCTCCTACAGCTACAAAAACTCCAAATCCACTCGACACTCGCCTCAACAACGTCAGCAAAACATTCTTCGATCTTCCATACAATACAATACAAACTTTATTGACACTCCCTAAGAGGGCTTTTCAGTGACAATTAATAATTACAAGAATAAAAATGTTTAATCTATAAAGCTAAAAATAATTACGAAAATTACAACTAAGAAACTTTAAGAAGGTATGATAAAATGGGTAAGATAAAGACTAAGAAACTTTAAAAAAGGACAATAAAAAATATACGATATGATTAAAAACTAGGACCAAGGAGAGAGAAAAGCAGCAAATAATTTGGCCCTAAGTTTACGCTTAAAATTAGAAGAAGAATTACAAAGTTTAAGATCATTATCTAAACTGTTCCACAGGCTGACAGTGCAATAATAAAAAGTTCTTTGTCCAGATTTAGTTTTGTATAATGGTATGTGCAACAGTTGGGAGCTTCTGGTCGTGCGACCCCTAACATTACCGCGCGTTAGAAACTTCGAAGAGAGGTAAGTAGGAGCGGATCCAGTCATATATTTAAAAGCAAGCATGGCGTCACGGAAGTATAGCTGAGATTTAATAGGTAGCCAATGCAGTTCTTTCAAAAGCGGAGTAATGTGGTCAAATTTTCTGGATCCACAAATAATCCGGGCTGCAAAGTTCTGGATCACTTGGAGCTTGAGGAGGTTAGTGTCAGCAGCATTGGACCAGACGGAGGAACAATAAAACAACTTACTAAATACTAAAGTGTTAATTATAGTAATTAAAGTCGATCTGTCAAATACGTGCTTAACACGATTAATCTGGGCCAAACTTGAGAAACAGGTGGAAACAGTTTTAACAATGTGCTCGTGGAAAGTTAGGTTCGAATCAAAAATCACACCTAGGTCTTTAACGACATGCTCCGGTGTCAGCTCTTTTCCTAAGAGGGAGAGATGGATATCGGGGAGGTTTAGTAGCCTTTGTTGACTTCCGTCAACAATGAGTTTGGTTTTATCACGATTCAAAAGAAGACGATTATTGAAGCACCAGTTTCGAATATGTAAAAGATCGGCGTTTAAATCGGTGACAGATTTAGCCCAGTCGTGGACTGGAAAAGAAATGTAAAGTTTTGTGTCATCGACGTAACTTTCAGTAAGACAGGAAAGGGGGGTGAGTGGTAAGTCGTTTACATAAATACTGAACAACATAGGTCCAAGAATGCTTCCTTGAGGCACGCCTGATAACAACGGGTAGAGGATCAGACAACTCAAATTTATGCGTACAACTTGTCAGCGGTCAGAGAGGTAGCTGGTAAACCAAGCAATGCTTGATGGTGAGATTGCAACGTTCAACAGTTTATTGAGCAATATTCCGTGGCTTATAGTATAGTATTGAAGGCTTTGCTCATATCAAGTAAAACAACAGCGGTAACTTTCTTCTCATCGATCGCACTTAAGAGAGTATCAGTAGTTCGTATTAAAGAGGTTTCCGTAGAGTGCAATTTCTTATCGCCACTTTGCCGAGTAGATAACCTTTCATTTGACACTAGATAAGGCATAATTTGATTAAGCGCCACCCTTTCGCATACTTTCGAAAGGATGGGCAAGAGAGAAATAGGCCTATTGTTGTTAGGTTCTTTGTGATTTCCATCTTTTAGGATAGGCGACACGACAGCTAATTTCCAAGATCGAGGAAAATTTCCATGCTTGAAAGAAGCGTTGATTATGGATGTAATCACTGGGAGAGTAGCAGGAAGGCTATCTTTGATTACACGTATTGGAATGTTGTCAATCCCAGATGACTTATTAGCTGGCATTGACCTGACAATCTGGGCGACTTCATAACAACCCACGTGCGTAAAATTGAATTGATCAGTCACTGGGGAAATTGCAGGATCAGGCACAGGTGGTGAAAGATCAAAATTGCATTCATTAGCTAGTGAATTAATCTTGTCAACAGCAACTTGGCCAACAGACGTAAAGAACCGATTAAAATCGTTTGCGATGGTCCTGTCATCTTTGCTAAATGATCTCATGCTGGCAGACTTTTTTGGAATGAAAGATTGAATAGTCTTCCACAACTGGCTTGAGTTGTTGGGATTGCTTGTGATCAGGTCCGCGGCGAAAGCGCGCTCAGCTGATCTTATTTTTCTCTTGATGTCATTCCTAAGGTTTTTATAGGTGGTCCAAGCATCAGGTTTACCTGTTCTTCTTGCTATCTTTCTCCACCGGTCCCTAGATTTCATGAGCTCTCTGATCTCGTCAGTTATGTAAGGGCTAAGTCTTCCTCGAATCTTGACTTTTTTGATTGGCGCGTCCGACCGCCATGACCACTCCTTTTTACCAAATCGGATCCATGTGATAGAAGCTTGAATCACATGTGATAACGTCAGCAAAAAACGTCCTTTGATCTTCCACGTGACAGAAGCCTGGATCCCATGTGACAAACTGTTCTGATTGACACATTTTTCGCATTCTGATCATTCTTAGTTGCAGAACAAATTTTCAACTTCCGGTTTGAGCCTCCCAGTTATAAACGTAGCACGCACGCGTAATACGCAATCCACTGGTCACTGTCAAGATTAGGGTTGCGGGCCTCTCTTGGGCCCACAACAATAGAGCTGAATGAGTAAAATTTATGGAAAAGAGCATATAAGTATGACACAGAAAGAAAAGCAACGCTCAAAAAAAAAAACCCAGAATATTGATGAAAGTAATGTCCATGAAAACAAAAGAATTAAATGAAGAAGCATTAAAGGCCAAAAAAAAAAGTTGTCCAAAGAAATCAATATTTCACAACTTTGAAATGTCACAAGAATAGAACTGTCTACCTTATAATTGATATTGGCAGAAACTGCACAAACAAAGCAATTCTTTCTTGATCACTTTTTATCTAAAAGAGATGTTTGCCAGTTGATGCACTTTAGATCACAAACATGTGATACAAAGGACAGTAATAATGGTCTTGATTGGTCCCAGTACTTTGATGACACTCTCTGTTGCAGAGGTCATCTTCTGACAGCAAATAAACATCTTTGGCATTTTTCTTGACATCCATTGTCAGGAAGATAGCTTCAAAGGGCTTCACCATGTCACAAGATGGGTTCCACCTGGTTGGTACTTCATTTACTTGTGTTGAGGCAATTCCATTAGAGATTGTTTTGATTTCAAAACTGCCACAGCTCTTTTGCTTTTATGGAAATAGCTTACTATGCGCCCTATTCTTCTAAGAAGCCTGTCCATCTGGGACACCTTGATTCCTTGTTGGGTTGCCAGATTGATCAAAGTTTAAACCCTTCATTTTCCACAAATGAATAGGGTCTCATGTCCTTTGTAATAAAAACTCTGATAGACATCTCAAGAAAATCAAAGTGTGGCTTCCCTTCCTCGTCAACATAACCAACATAGATTAACAACTGCTCTATGGTGGCACAATCTGTAACCTCATCAACTAAGATGCTGAACCACTTGGCATCCTTGACCCTTCAAATTAGCTCCTCCCTGATAAGCTGACCAAGGAGGAGGTGCATGTCAGAGAGCGTAGCTTCTTGTTGGCTACATCCTCTTTTGTGAACCAATCAGAACTTAGGAAGGCATTGTATGTGATCTTGTCAGTGACTTCATGAGCCTCTTTGTGCTGTTGAGACAAGGATGAATTCCTTTTCTCTAATTCAAAGATTGTTGTTGCCATGTGTCCACTGGCTCTTGCATGGTCACTAACAGCACTGTGCTTGTAGTTGGTGGATGGTGCAAAGTTGAATGTGTTTTAATTATTGTACTTGTTCTTAGTATTATGTACATGGCACAGTAGGCAGAATGTTCCTTCCCCTTTGCAGTATACCAACCATCACATGCTAACATTAAAAAAAAACCTGCAGTGTCTCTGTGCCGAATACAATAAACTGATATTTAGCTGCATTGTTGAAACAAACTCTAATTTGTACTGGGCATTTTTGAAATGATGGTACCCTCCTTTCGTATTCCAAAAACTTAGGTTTGGAAAGACAAAGTTGACTGAAGTAATTTGATAATGGAATCATTTGCTGTTATGTCCAAATTTAGACTAACACTAGTTTGGTGTGTTGTGCCTTTTCTAGCCTCACTTCTACTGTTTGCACTCAATTTATCACAATGTAGTTGTGATTGTTGTTTCTTGAATAAAGCTGAAGATTTTCTTATTTTATCTTTTAAGTACCTCTGATCTGTAGCTTTGTTATGAGTAATGCAGTGATCATCAGGCTGTACACTTACGTCCCTTCATTTGTCTGACTAACACCACAGGCAATTGAAAATCATTACTGTCACTTCCATGGTAAAAACCTGATTCTGGGATTTTTTGACTCTACGACATTGTTGAAGGCTTCATTACGTTGTGAATTTGTTGCTGGGGCTAGTTGTTTAACCATAATATCTGTTGAATTGTCATCAAAAATAGCATTCAAGGCTGCCTCCAATGCATCACCATATAAATCCTGGCCAAATGGCAGTTCACTGTGTCTATAACTTAGCAGGTCCTTTTTGAATGGACAATGGACACCATAATTCATCACACTTTTCATGTTTCCCAAATGCATACAGTGTTTTTTATGGCTGCTTGAAGTGAATCTGCATCATCTTTGTTGTAGGCCACACAGTATCCAAAACACTTTCCTAAGTAATTAATCACTTTTGTTGAAAGTGTGGAGCAGCCTGGAAATTTTCTTCTGACTTGAGCTTGTACAACCTTGAAGTAAAGGACTGTTTTGTATGAATGATATTATACTGCTTTCCAACATGATAGGAAGCCTTTATGCATTTGTTTGAATGAGTTGTGGTGTCATTATCAACAGTGTAAACATTATATTTAATTTTGGACATTGTTGCCCTCGGAAATAGGTCAGCAACCACATCTGGCTCCATGCTTTTGGATGAACCACCAGGCTTTTTACGACAATCATGATTTCTTGGTTTTTGATTCTTTTTGGAGGTATTTTTGCAGATCCTGCAGGGTTTACTCCTTGCCTAAAAATCAAAAATCTTTCCAATGGACAATCCCATAACTGCTCAATGCCCAGTGTTTGAACTGTGGCCACGGTTACATCTCTGCCAGGCCATATCATATGAAACTGCAGCTCCTATTAGACTATTTTGATCACCAGTACCTCCAGCTGTGACAAATATTTTTTACCGTTTGTATGAATTCTTGGTCCAGAATAATATTTGAAACTGTTAAAAGAAATCATATTTGTTTAATTATAAGACAGGTTTCTGAATACTACCATATATTTCATCCAAAAAATAAACCATATTTATTTTTTAAGACTTGTCAAATGTGATTGCCTTTTTTGCTTGAAAAAAGTCATCCCTTTTGAAGGGCAGAGATATATGGTTTGAGAAAGTACAAGTCTAAGGTTTTTCCAGGAAAGTGTGTTTAATATGCTAGGCGTAAACAAACTTGGAAATCATATCTTATTTTTACATGAAACAGGATTGTTCTCAATCGGCAGAACGGTCAATATCCAACGGGGTTGTCACACAGAGCAATAGCTTTTACCTTTTTATTTTCACGTTAGAATGAACAGCGAAGTCTCACAATCAACATGTCTTCCTTCGTCTTACACGTGTAAAAATGCGCCCGCGATACAAATAAGCGGTAAATTTGCGAAATCATCTAGGCAACTAGTTAATCATTGAACGGCTAAATAATTACAATTTTTTAATTCTTAACATCCTCCTCCCGAATACAATTGATGCATTGGCTGACTAATAACATGCCTGAAAATCTTGAGTCTACAAGGGAGCATGACCACTGTCATAGACTGTTTCTCAATAACAATCAAAGTTCAAATCATCTTCTCTAATCAATGTTTCAATCAAAGTTCTAGGTAACAAAACATCAACGACTGTCACTAGATAAGACTTTGTCTATTTCATAGAGAGATTTATCCTAGAGAGGCGAGCATCCTCGTAAGAGAATGATAGAAACATGTGCAAAGTACAGCTTGTTACAAGTGGCTCGCGCCAGGCACCTATCGGGCAAATCATAACTAGTGTCCAGATCTCTCATCTAATGTTGCGTTGTGCTCTATCTCTCCCCAAGTCTTTAGTGTTCCTCATGCTTGCATATGGGGGATAGTGAAGACTGATAAGAACACAAATGTTAATTTGAATTAAAGAACAAAACTAAGTATGGAATAGTGTCATTTGACTGTCTCATGGATCTAATGACTAAGTCACTGTTCCAATAGTCCTTTGGAGTTAAAGTCCCGTAGCCGACGCAGGGGCTAAGGGAGGTTTCTTTGGTCGTTCTGGGGGTTTCGGCGGGCTTGACGGGCCCAGTGGATCTGCTTGGGGGCTGGGCCCTGCGTGCGTTCGTGGAGTTGCTGTTGAGGGGTGCTCAGGAGATGGGGAAGGTGTTTGGTTGCTAAGTTGTATCTGTGGTGCATTTGGCTTTGGGCTGGGGCTGTGGTGGTCAGGTGTCACTGCTGCCGGGGTTGGCCCAGTTAGTGGCTGTGCAGGGGATGGTTGTGGGGGCATCCTTGCTTGTGCTGGGGTGGGGGCGATTGGCTTGGGCGGTCTGTGTGGCAGCATAGCAAGATGACGCAGGTCGTCATCAATTGTTAGGTGGGGCGGTGTGGTCCGTACTGGGAGGTATTTCCTTAAGAACTTGCGGTTGCGGGTAGTCATCCTCCCTGAGCCGTCGATGCGGATGACATACTGGTCGAATTGGTGAACCTCGACCACGACTCCTGTCTTATCCCACTTAGTGGGGTAGGGGCCTGTTTGGTTCTGGATGCGAACATGGTTACCAACGGCCAGGGGTGGGAGTCGCTTGGTGTGCTCAGACCATCTCTCTGCAGCTTTCATGTGGCGGTTTCTTAGTGCTGCCTCTCTTGTCGCAAGGGTGTCACGCCAGGTAGGGTGTGGTTGGTAGCGACCAGGTAAGATAGGTATGAAGTCCTTGATTGGCCTGCCGAAGACACATTGTGCAGGGGATAGCTGAGTATTCGGGTCGGGTGTGTTTCGATATTGAAGGACTGCACGCTGGAAGGAGTCAGTATCTAGGCTACCAGATGGGGTGGTGTTGTCAGTGATGAACCGTTTGACTGATTTGACGCCAATCTCTGCCCTGCAATTTGAGTGTGGGAATGCCACTGACGACAGACGGTGGTGTATGCCCCAGTCTTTCAGGAATTGGCGTGTGGCTGTTGCTGTGAATTCAGGGCCGCCATCTGTTGCAAGTTCGTCTGGGATGCCGAATGTGGCAAAGGTTAAATCGTGAGACAGTCAATCAGGCCTGTAGATCCCTCTCTTGCTCGCTCAACGAGGGGCCAGTTGGAGTAGCGGTCTCACGATAACAAGGTAGGTAACCCCTTTGTAGTGAAAGAAGTCGGGCGCAAACACATTGGAACGGGTAGGCTGGGGGTACAACTGGAGAGGGCGGTGAACTCGGTTGAGAGGGTGCCATGCGGTTGCAGTGGTTGCAGGTTTCCCGTAGGGGCAATGATGGCTGGGGTGATGCCTGGCCAGAACACTGTGCTTTTGGCGCGTGCTGTCATGGAAGTCACACCTTGGTGGGCTGAGTGCAAGACAGTCAGAATATGCTGGTGGAGAGAGGGTGGTATCACGATGCGATTCTTGTAGAGGATGATGCCATCAACTGTATAGAGGTGTTCGCGAAATTGATGGTACTCCCGAAGGGCAGGTGGTAGCTCGTTACGGGATTTAGGGAATCCAGTCTCGATAAGATGAATTAGCTGGGTCATTGCCCTGCTGCTTGTTGTGGCCAGCTTGACCCTATCCCATGTGACGGCAATAGTGTTTAATGCCGATGAGGCTGATGAGGCTAGCTGGTCGTCAATGGTGATGGAGCAAGTGCCCGGTTGTGGTTCGGTGTGGCGGATGCCGCCAAGAAGGAGCGTCCGGAGTTATCTAATTGCGGGAGAGCGGCCAGGGTTGCGGTTGCCGCGGCTATGTCGCCTGGCAAGACTAGCAGGTCTGGTTTGGTGGTTCCCGTGGGATGGCGGGATACAGCATCGGCAGCTTTGTGTCGCACGCCAGGGATGTGTACCATTCGAACCGGTAACGTAAGCTTTTCTCCTTGAGGTTGCGGAGCCGGGCGTTGGTGATATCTTCAAGGGACCGGTCTCCAAACACTTTTAGGAGGGGCTTGTGGTCGACAGCAATGATCAGGTTACTGCAACCCAGGACAAAAAATCGTGCTTTGTCAAGCGTGTCGGCAACGGCTAGGGCTTCGCCCTCTACTGGGGCATAGCGTGATTCAGCGGCGTGTGTGAAACGGCTCCCAACCAAAGTGATCTTCCAGCCTGTACGACAACAGAAGGGTTTGGGGGATGGGCACTGGCAGTGTTTCTGGAACAGCCAGAATCCGATGCCGCTTTTGGACCAGTCGGTTGCCAGGCAGGTTGGTTTAGATTTGTCAAAGATACGCACACCCTCTTCGATTTCACTGATAATCACTGATTTGGATTCTTCAAAGAGTGTGTGCAGTTCGTCGGTCCATTGGAAAGGGGTGCCGGGCTGGAGGAGCTGGCGGAATGGCAACATGCGCTCAGTCGCTGCGAAGGCATAGGAGACCTGGTTGATCAGGCCAAACCAGGAGCGGACATCCGTGATGTTGGCTGGGATTGGAAAGTTGCGGATGGCATCAAGGTATTGTTTGCATGGCCACACACAGCTTGGGGTGATCTCAAATCCTGCGAATTCGACAGTGTCGGCTCCGAAGACGAACTTGTCTGGGTTAAGTATGATACCATTGTGTCCGCAGAGGTTGAGCCAGTCAACCGCCTGGAAGAAACTTTGGTCAAGGTTGTCTGCCCAGAGAAGGGTGTCGTCGATGCATTTGGTCTTGTTAGGAACGTGGGACACGATCTCATCAAACCGTCTTGAGTAGCCGTCGCCAGAAGCTATGTAGCCTTGAGGTGCTGTTTTATAGCGGTAGCGACCCCATGGAGTGATGAAGGTGGTGAGGTGTCGATCGTCCTCATGGAGGGGAACGCTTTGGTAACCATTCCAACAGTCAAACACGGTCTTTTTGGTGTTGCTTGGGATTGAACGTGCCTGGTGGAAGGGGCTTTGCGTGTGGTGGGTTTCACGTGTCGCGTGGAGGTTGGCGCCTGGAAATCGACTGTGCGGCGGGGCTTGCCATTCTTTTTAGCACATACAACCATGCGGTGGCACCAGGTGACGGGTTCTCCCTACTGGCACTGGTTCGAGGACACCCAGTGAGACGTCCTGGTCGAGTCCTGCCTTGACCTCCTCTTGCCAGTGAAGTGGCACTGGTATGGGGTTGTGGTGTGCGACTGGTTTTGCTTGGGGGTCAACCATTAGCCTCATAGGGATGCTCTCCATTAGGGGTAGCGGCTGGTGCTCGCATGTATTGAAGGTGCTGGTTCGGTAGTAGTCCAGCAGCCACTGTTGCATCTTCATCCGACTGTTCTCTGTTGCTGGGAAAGGGGTGGTTGTGGGCTTCGGTGGCGGTGTGATGCGACGCGGGCAGGTGCATGGGGGGCTGTCTGAGCCCTCAGAAGTTTGCATATCTCTGTCTGACGGGGTTGGT